CGACAGGAGCTGCGGTTCCCTTGCCAGCGGCGGCTGGCAGTGAGTGGCCCTTGCCAGCGACAGGAGCTGCGGTTCCCTTGCCGGCGGCGGCTGGCGGCGACTGACCCTTGCCGGCGACGGGTTGCACAGGCCCCTTAACGGCAACAGGGGGCGTGGTTCCCTTAACGGCGATAGGGTGCGTGGTTCCTTTACCCGCGGCAGGCGGCAAGATTCCTTTACTGGCAGCGGGGGGCGTGGCTCTGTTGCCGGCGACGGGCTGCGAAGTCCCCTTGCTGGTGATGGGCTGCGTGGTCCCCTTACCGGCAACCGGCTGTGCAACACCTTTCCCGGCGATAGGCTGCGCGGGCCCTTTGCCAGCGGTCGGCGGCGAGATTCCCTTGCCGGCAACTGGTTGTGCGGTCCCGTCTCTACCAACGGACTGGGCAGGGCCCTGACCGGCGACTGGTTGGATGGTCCCTTTGACGCCAGCCGGGGGCGAGATTCCCTTACTTGCAACGGGCTGCCCTGTTCCCTTGCTGGTGACCGGCTGCGCAGGCCCCTTACCGGCAACGGGCTGCGTGGTTATCTTACCGGTGACAGGAGGTATGGACCCTTTACCGCCGGCCGGCGGCGAGATATCCTTACTGGCGACGGGTAGTTCGGCCCCCTTCCCGGCAGCGGCTGGCGTCGTTTCCTTACCGGCAGTGAGCTGCGCCGTATCTTTGCCAGCGGCGGCTGGCGTTGTACTTTTTCCGAAAGGCCAGAACTTCTTAATAGAACTGCCAGACGAATTCTTATCAGTGACGGGTGGCTCAGTGCCCTTGCCCGCGGCTGGCGTTGTTCTTTTACCCCCGGCCGGCGCAGTGTCCTTGCCAGCGGTCGGTGTCGTCCCCTTACCAGCAGCGAGTGTGGTGCCCTTACCAGCAGATGCTATCGTTCCCTTCCCGGCGGCGAGTGTGGTGCCCTTGTCAGCAGCTGATATCGTCTCCTTCCCGGCGGCTGGCGCGATATTCGTGCCAATGGTCGGATTGTTCTTGCCAGCGGCGGGTGCGATGTCTCTGCCAGTGATGGGTATCGAAGCCTTGCCAGCGGTCGGTGTAACCCCCTTGCCCACGGCTGGCGCATTGGCCTTGCCAGTGGTCGGTGTTGTTCCCTTGCCAGCGATCGGTATCGAGCCCTTGCCTGCGGTTGGTGTTGTCCCCTTGCCTGGGGCTGGTGCCGTGGGCCTACCCGCCGCCGGTATAGGCCCCTTGATAGAGGCCGGTGTAGGGCCCTTGTGGACTGGGGACGACTTCTTGCCAGCGACGGCCGGTGCAGTCGTCTTGCTAAGAGGCCTGTTGACAGGTGTCGGACTTCCCCTAGGCACAGGCAACATCTTACCGGTGACGGGTTGTGCGGGTTGTGCGGCGCCCCCGACGCTGGCCGGAACGGTCCCCTTGGCAACAGGAAGCGTGAACCCCTTGGCGACGTGCCGAACATTTCCAGTGCCAGCAACCAGTACCTTTCCGCCGCCGATTGGTGTTGATTTTGCCCCCTTGGCGATAGGTACCACTCGAGAGCCGGCGTGCGGCCGGATGGTCCTCGGGCTCGGCATGTCATCGATGTCCATGGCCTCGGAATGCTTGGTGTTGCTCCCAGGGCCGAACATGTTGTCCGCCCGGAAGTTAACGCGGATGGGCTCGGGGCGGGGCGTGTCGGGCTCCGGAGAACGCGCGGGGCGGGCTCCGTTCTGCGACTTGGACGTTGGCCGTGGCGCCTTGCCGTTACTGTTGGGCGCGGTGCCCCTTGGCTCAATCCCGGCTTTGGCGCTGATCGGCTGCTGGCGGATTCTCGGAGCAGCGTTGTTCGTTTGCGGCGCGTGGGGGTGACTCCGCGCTCTCCTTTCCGCGCGTGCTTCCGGCGTATCGGGGTAAAACTCATACCTGCTTTCCCATGCCTGCCTGACTCGTTGAGCGAAGAAGTCCGGCCCCAGCTGCTGATAGACGTCGAAGAAGGTGAGGTGGGCGGGATCCGGGGGCAACCGCTCGGTAGCCCGGCTGCGGGAGTCGAGGCCAGACATGAGGTACGGTGCGCCGGCGAGATATGCGCGCACGCGGGTCAAGCGCATGGGGAGGTAGCTGCGAGCTGGCCGGCTTGGCTTCTGGATCGCAGACATTGTGAAAGAGTTGTTTATTGTGGTTTTGTCCTGGTAAGGCGTGGTAGACCAGATGGTGAGATGTGAAAAGCGAGTGTGTTGTCAAAGTGATGGAAACGAGTGAAAGTGAAATTCCTCTTGTTCTCTTTCCTCGTCGATGGCGACCACTACGGGGTTCAAATAGTTTGAGGGCTCATGCTCAGTGGATAGTGCAGCCGGTCTGTACACGACGCATTCCCGTCTGATCCCAATAGTATATCTTGGGTGACGCCTGTGCAACACTTGTGTGTGCTTGTTTAGGAAGTCGTCGTAACTTGATTGGTGCACAAAGAACAGCGTTCTGGCACTGGGCGCAATGAACAAAGCAGTCATGGGAAATGCGGAAGGCGGCAACAAGATGAACACGGAGAACAACAAAAGGCACAAGATTGCCGTTCTGGGACAAGACACTTGTTGTTGAACGGCGTCAGAATGTCACGAGAATGCAACTGCGTTGACTCAGTGGTGCCAGACGAGATCGAGAACCAGCTATTGAACGCAGATAACATCGGTGGCCGCGTACGATGAACGGACCAAGCCTCCGAGCTGAAAATTGAAGCCACGAATTGCGAAAGCTATACTACTACGTGATACATATGACAGTCGACGACGAATGTGCCAGTTGGCATCGTGGAAGGGATGTTGTGAATACACTGTGGTCCGGCCCAGGTGGCCGGATGAAGCGCTTGGGATGGGTGGGTGATGGATGTAAGACGGGATGACGGGTCTTGCCCCTTGAAACATCGCCCGACAGAAACATGACGCCTATTACAGGAAACGCATCCCGTTGCCCGTTTCGGTACTTGGGCTGTGCGTTCCACAGTCTCAGCCGCTGGCGACGCCGCCACACGTCTGAGAAGCTCCAGTCGGGACATGAGACTAAAGCTGTACGAACTATGCTGCAAGTTGGAGAGAGACTAAAACTGGGCAATGATGGAACGGAAAGCATAACCGCTATGTTACTGGGATACCGTATCTACAAGGCTTATGACGACTATCGACATAAAATGTTGCTGCTGCTGCTGGTGCTGCTGCCTCCCCTTTTGTTCCTTGTATATGCCATCAACTCTACTGCGACACGAATTGGTCCTTGTGGGACTTGAACAGCTTGGAGCTGTCCAGGAGCTCACCCGTCGACGAGCGGTAAAAGTCGACCTGCAGGTTCTGCGTGTCGAGGAAGCGGATCGTAGCATAGCTAAAGTCGGCGTCGTACGCGAATGCGTTGTACGAGACATTTGCGCCGACGGCGCTCAGGCCCTCAATATTGCCCGCGCCGCCGGCGACAATGTACATGGGCGCCTTGGGGTCCGTCATGCCCGCCGGGTCGGCCGTGTTGTTGAAGACGGGGACGAAGCGCTGCGAGTTGTGGACGTGGCCGAAGACGCCCAGGTCGACGCCGTGCTTGTACATGATGCCCTCGAAGGCGGCCTGGCACGGCTTGCACCCCTCCCCGCCGGTCGAGTACCAGGGCCGGTGGCCGGCGACAATGACCCACGGCGTGACGGTGCGGTCGACGGACGCGAGGTCCGCCTCGAGGAACTGCAGCTGCTGGTTGGGGGCGCCGAAGGGGCCGCTGTTGAGGCCCGCAGAGCCGTCCGGCCCGTCGGGCGCGTCGGCAAAGTCCGTCTCGGTGTCGATCATGACGACGTGCGCCATGCCGTACTCGAAAGAGAACCAAAATGGCGGGTTGGCGAGCTGCCGGGCCTTGTTGGCGTTGACCTTGGCGGCGGAGTCGCCCGACGTGGACGAGAACGCCGTGGGCATGAAGGACCCGCCGAAGCGGTTCATGAAGTCGGTGAAGTTCTTCTGACCGGCGGGGCAGAGGCCCGTCGTGTGCGGCACCTCCTGGCATGCGGCCTCGTGGTTGCCCGGGCTGGCCATGTAGGGCTTGCGGCCCGCGATGGGGGCGAGCTGGTCATAGAATGTCTCGAGGATGGCCTGAAACGCGTCCTTGCCGTGGAAGAGGTTCTTGGGCCGCAGAATCCAGTCGTCGGCGTAGCCGAGGTCGCCCGGGTGGATGACGAACTCGTAGTCGTCAACAGTCTGGGCGAGACGGTTGATGGTGGTGTGGTTGAGCGAAGGGGGGATGTAGGGGATGGTGTCGCGCTTGGAGAGGTCGCCCTTGATGGTGTAGCCGTCCTGGCCGTAGACGCCAAGGTCGATGATGGCGTTGATGGAGAAGGGGGTCTTGTCGCCAGCGACGCGCGGGCTCATAAAGTGCTCCACGGAAGAGTTGGTCGACTCGATTTTGTAGTAGTAGGTCGTGGCGGGTTGCAGGCCCGTCAGGGCGACTGAGTTGGACCACGTCCGCGACGACGGGTACGTGACCGACCGGGACGAGCAGGCCTGCAGGGACAGCGAGTCGGCCGAGGTGCCGTAGTTGACGCACGGCTTGGTGAGCTGCTTGTATGTGTTCCACGCAACCGAGACGGCTGGACGACGACAGGACAGTCAGAGACTAGGGTTCGCGAAGAAGACAGTCGTGTCTGAGCACAGAATTCCAACCTACCATTGGGTCCATTGACGGCGATGCGCTGCTGCACCGGCGTCGTCAAGTCGGCCGGCTTAGGGGGCAAGCTGGCGGCGGCGAGGGCATCGCCGACAAACAGCGACAGCGCCGCGAGGGAGGCGTAAAGCGAGACCATGACGAGCGCAGAAAAGACGAGTCAACCGCGCAGAATCGAATCGAGTCGCCGATCCAGCTAGAGGAGACCACATGGCCGGCGAACGGCGCGAAGGGCAGACCCTGATATACATAGACGCCCCCGATGTGCCGATGTGCCATGTGCCATCGCTCGTGGGTGCACGGCCTCGCTCAAACGCTGCGCGGGCCCCATCGCGAGCGCGGCCTTTTGCAAACCTCCGACAGCTCAGACGAGGACGTGACACCTCGCTTGCCGCCCTTCCGTGGCGGTCGCTTGACAGCGGGTGGCCTAGCTCCCAAAGAAGCAGACGGGAGTGCACATCTTTTGCCAGGCCGATCATGTCGGGTGCGTTGCATTGCGCGCGTAGCGGACGCGCATTCGCTCGTGGGAATATGGTGTACAACCATTGGCCGGGCGGCCGCTAAATCCACCTTGGGTTCTTTCGTGCTGTCCGTCCGGTGTGTTTCTGTCCCGAGGCACGCCGGGCGCGCGCGGCGGGAGATGGACGGACGGTCAGCCGCGGGGGAGGGGGTCTATCCTTTGTCGCGCCTCGGTGCAAGGACGGTGCCTGACTCTCATGCCCGCCGTCGCCAGTGGCCTCACCACCGTTGCAGCCGGGGCGCACGTGGCCGCTGTCCTGCGCCCGAACGGTCAGAAGCGGCCCTGGCGAACCCCGAAGATACCCGTGATAGCTCCCCGTTACTATGAGAAGACGAGGGCACTGCCTGTAGCCATTTCAGGATAGATATTCAACCTATGGAGTCAAAGCCTGGAAGGCCTTCGACTCGGCAGACAGGGGAGAACTCCAAGCACGCAACGGAACGCAGAACTGCGGACTTTCGTGGTCGGTATTCGGTAATGGATGGCGTTAGACTGGCGGGCGCGGGCGGGACCGCTGGGGGCTGCGTGCCGGGAACCGGGACCGTCTCGAGTTAGCACCGCCCGGGCGGCGCGATTACTATACCGGCCGTGCTAATTCGTCGGTGACGGCCTCTGATGAGGTACTTTAGACAGAAAATGCGCTGTGACCTCCCATCCAGGTCCGAGTCCGCGTGGTTGCAGGGCCCAGGCAGCTGTTGATGTCATTGCGCTTGTTCCCTTCACTGCAGCGGACGGCTGGCTAAACAAGGTTCGCTTAGGACCTTGGCATCGGGAGTTGCGTACGTAGTAGCAGCGGCTAGGAGATAGGGGCGGAGATAGAAGCGGGGTACAGGGGGAATTGTGACTGTGAGAAAGAGAAGCGAACTGCAGCGTGATCAAGTGCTGAGTGCCGAGGGCTGAGGAGGGAGCGAGTGAAGGGAGGGGGAGAGCGAGTCAAGGACAGAGATAATAGACGGCCACCTGTCAGTGACCAGCTCGTAAGGACAGTGGGGCGTCCATCCCTCTCTCGCTTCGAATTGTCTCCTCCTCATTAGCAATGCAATGCCAATCACCTGTCCAGCGAACAGCGGACGGGCAGCGCAGCTAAACGTCTACCAGTAGCTTCAAGCCCTTCAACACCAAAAAGCAACCATGTACGTGCGTGAGCCCGCGCACGAGGCTCCGAAAAGGTGGTGTGAAGCAGCAACAATGGGACAGCCTGCATGTAACTACCCAACTACGCATGCGAACCCGAGCTAAAACAGACGCTGGGAGGGGTCGAGGGCTACATCGGTCAGTCGATGCCCCGTTCCATTCTTTTGGCCCGCGCCCGCAGCTGCTTCACCTGCAGTCTGCAACTAGGCTTTAAGTAACCTGGTGGTGCTGGGTTGCTTGCGCTCTACGCCTTGTTGCCTGTTCAGGAACCGCCGTTCGGGGCGCATGCATGCCCCCTCGCTTGCGCAGAATCTCGCCAATCGAGTGGCGGCTAGTCCGTGGGCGTGGCTACGTGGTTGGCAAACGACTAGGTACCGCAACATCGATGGATAGAAGACATCGGTCGGCAACAAAGAACGGCCGCGGCCGGCCTTCAGACTATAGCAAGCGAATCTATACCTTGCATGCTTGACAATTCATTGTCACAACCATCTCAGTCCAAGCTGGACGCGGCAGAAGCTGCCCTCTACAGGCACCAGGCCAACCTCTCTCAGAAACCAGTGTTCTATTATACTGTCAAGCAATGCTTCCGCCTATGCCGGCTCTTGGTCGCGGGAATGCTGATACTCGTGTCTAGCCGTGACGCCTCTCGCTCTTCTGCCTATCCCTTACAGCTCACCCGGCTCATTCTCCTGCTTGCTGTCAAACTCGTGGAAGCCCAGCTCGTACACGAGGCCGAGCGTCATGCGCGCGTGCTCTAGCATATGGTCAAACGACAGGTACTTGATCAAATCCTCCGTGGAGTGGATGTGGGGGTCAGAGTTCTCAAATGCCGACTCAATAACAAACGCAGACGGGTAGCCGGCCTTGGACGCCGAAGCGTGGTCGGAGCAGGCATATCCGCACTTGGTCTCGACCCAGGGGATGTTGCAGTACTGCAAGTACACGTCTGTCAGCAAGGCTCTCTCCGTCCGTGAAAACGGTCAAACGAACCTCTTCAATCACCGTCTTGATAAACTTGGTCAGGCCGGCGTCGACGTAGTCGACAATGACACCGACACTCTCCGGGTCGCCGGCGTCCAGAGTTCCCTGCACGTATCCCGTCATGTCCTGCTGCAGCATGGCCTTGACGTCCCTGTTGCTCTGCTCGTACGACTGGAAAATGGCCTGGCTGCCGAGCAGGCCGCCCTCCTCCGCGCTGTACCAGTGAAACTCGATCGTGTTGGGCGCCTTGCCATCAATCACGTCCTTGGATTTGAGCAGCGTGCGGAACACCTCCAGGATAGTCACGGTCCCGCTACCGTCGTCGTCGGCGCCGGGCGCGGCGAGGATGGACGGCAGCCAGAGGTTCGTCGAGTCCTGGTGCGCGCCAATGACGATGGTGCTGTTGCTCTGCCCGGGGATGGTCGCGATAACTGAGTGCTGCCTCCACGAGTGCGGAAAGCTTGCCGCGTGGACCGAGCCCTGCGCGCCTGCGTCCTTGATAATCTCCTCGACCTTGGCCAGCACCCAGTCCGACGACTGCAGGCCGTAGTCGGACTTGTAGTACCGGGTGTGGAAGCTCGTGAGCTTCTCGAGGTTCTGCTTCATGTGCTTCTTGTCGAGGTTCTTGGAAAGCTTGCCGACGGCGTCCTGCTTAACGCATTTGCTCGGGAACGCGACGGGGGAGCGAACTTGCATGTGCTTGCCGAGCTCGCGGGTGTGGGTAATGTCCATGAAGTTCTGGCCATTCTATACAGCCCAAGTCAGCATCGCGAAATAGCAGACGGCGCCTGGGGATCCCGCACCCTCTTCATCTCCCACTTATCTTCCTCGGTGACCCATTTCGTCTCGCCGGGCGACGTCTCGACCAGGAACTTCTCCGTGTTGGGGTACAGCTCGACGTGCGTGTTGGCATCGGCTACGGCGCGCTCGTGCGTCTCGATGAAGCGGGCCGAGATGGCCGGCACGCAGGCGGCGAGGAGCGAAGTGTGCGAGAGCTTCATATTGGGCAATGGGAACGGTGGCGATGACGATGATGGAGGTGATGATGGAGAGGAGAGGATGACACCGCTGGACGACGGCGCTAGCTGGATGTCATAGCCCTGAAACTCCCCGAGGTGAGCCCAGGCGGTCGCGTCACAGCGCAAGCTGCCTAATCGGGTTGGGCACACCCCGCGTTCCGCCCGTTGCTGATGACGACGCCACGCTCACAACACGGAGGCATTTACTCCGGCCTTCATCGCATGTCTACTTCCCATTTTCTGTGTTGGATCGAATGGCGATAGGAGCTGCGATTCTGTCATCCCACCCCTCTCAATGCGACGGACATTGGTGCTCCGCCATGTCACATTGTTGCTCCACCGAGTCACCGATCAAGCAGAACCATTGCTGAGCAAGGTCAATCGCCACGCCACAGTCGCGGCGGCGCGTCATGTCTTTCTACAAACTCGACATGGGTATCATGCTTTGCCTCTATTCTGACGCCGTTCCCTGCATAATCACTTCCTTTCAGACTGTCCCACCCAAGCACGCCACCCTAGCAGCCGCCAGTTTGAAGGACTACTACTTTCGTATAACGAGGTAAGCTGGTCATGTACACCGACCGTCTCATGACGGAGGCGGATGCTGCTGTTGCCCGCCCCATTGCTGGCCTCCGCTTTGCGCCTGCATCTGGCTCATCAACGCCGCGAGCAGAGCTGGGTTGACGAATGCGCCACCGCCAGGCTGCTGCTGCTGCTGCTGCTTCCCTTGACCAGGCCAGCCTGGCGGTGGAGGCGGAGGCGGCAGTGGGCCAGAGGACGGAACCCCTTGCTGCCCTTGGGGCTGCGGCCAGCCGGGAAACTGGAAGCCAAAGGCAGGCATGGACGGCGCCGGAGCTTGCGACTGAGGAGCAGGATGGGATGGGCCTGCCCATGCGGGTTGTTGCTGTGGTTGTTGCTGTGGTTGCTGCGCATGTTGGGGATACTGCCCGTATCCGTGAGGAGCCTGAGAGTAGCCATCCCTCGGCGGGTTATTGTCGCCGCCGCGTCCGCCGCGCCCGAACCCGCCTCGCCCCCTGCCACCTCTGCCGCGGTGCTCGCCGCGCCGGCCGCCGCGATGGAAGCCGGACCGGGGCGGCAGCTCGACCGGCTCGCTCGAGGGACCCCCTGCACCGAAGCCGGGTGGGCGTGTCAACGGCTTGTACGGCCCATCGTCATCGTCGTAGTTGAGCGTGTCGGATGACGCGCTGACCTCTTGCCGCAGAGGATGAGCCCCCCGGTGACCACCACCACGCCCACCGCCGTCGCCGGCGGCGCCAGCCTTGTTCTTGTTCTTCTTCTGCTTGAGAGAGCGCTTGTATTCGGCCTCCTTCTCGTCATCGGAGAATTCCATCTCGTCGTCGCCGACCTCCTCGTCGTGGATATTGCTCGCGTCCGAGCCCTTCATGTTCTTGAGTGGCTCGGTGAAGACGAAGGACGCGTGGTCGACAGGATAGAAGATCTTGGTGCCCAGCTCGACGCCTAGCTCCTTGATCTCGTCCTCCGAGTTAAAGCGAACCGTATACATGGGCTGAAGAACCTTGCCAATCGTTTCGGCGACGGCGCCAATCACGACGCGGTCCGCGTTGCAGAGCACGGAGCCTGTGTCGAGGACTTGATACTCGCCCGGAGTGAAGGCCTTGATGAGCATGACGTTTTCGACAATATGCTCCACCGAACCGAGCTCCTCAATCTTCATGTCCACGGTGATGGTGACATCGGGCCGCGGGATTGCCTCTTCCGCGAGCTCGTTCTTCGTGCGCAGCTGGCTGCCATTTCCGGAACGGCCTCCGCGTTCGCCCTCGTCGTCAGAACCACCAGCCTCCGCGTCCATGAGCAGGCGTGCAGTTTCCTCGACACCGAGAAGTTCGTAGCCCTCGTTGTCGGAGTCCTGGTCGGAGGAGTCGGAACTGCTTGAATCGGTGGAGGACTCGTATGGCGAGGAGTCGATCTCCCATTCCGGGTTGTCACCGTGATCATTTTGCAGCTCGACGGTGCCTGCTGGTTCCTGCAACGGTGGCTGCGGTTCTGCTGTGGTCGTTGCGATCACTTCGGTCGCTTCAGTCGTTTCGGTCGCTGTCTCGCCGAGTCCGCCAATGGCTGCCTCCAGGGCTGATGTCAATGACGGGCTCTCCGCCCTGTCAACCACCATCGAGTCTTCAGTCGCAGTATGGGTTTCGGTTGCATCTTGCAACTCGGTGGGCTTGCCATCGCCATGCGAAGAGCTCGGCGCAGCCTCGGTGGCTAGTGCTGTAGGCTGCGCGGTCGAAGATTCGGCGTCGGGCATGTGCTCCTCTGGTCCGGCGCTGGCGACGGCAGCGATGGCGGTATCGGCGGGAACCGGCGGTAAGGATTCGTTGGGCTTGGCCTGCCCGAGACCGGGGATCTGAAAGCCGGACATTGCCGCGGTGTGCCTCGCGGGTTCTAGTTGCGCGAACTGAGAAGTCCCGGGCGCGATGAAGGCAGAGTGGGATAGCGCGGGGCAGCGCTCGCTCGTTGCCTTGCGCTGTTTCTGAGATGTGCCTAGCGGAGCCGGTCCTCTGGTTACGGCAACAGAAAGTAGTCAATTTATTGATGCGCACTCAAAAGGTCGTGAGCGAGAGTGCAAATGTTGTAACTGGAGGAAAGACCAAGGCGGAACGAAACTGCGGCAGAGCCTTCGGGGTCCCGTCAAGAAAAATCACGGTGAGAAGCAAAGTGGGTCCTCGGTCTACTTAGCGTGTCCTTGACCGAGTCTCACCGTGGCGGGATGGAGACAGGGGTGCTCCCAAAGGTCTGACGGAGAGCTCCCGACGCCCATGACGACACATTTCAGCGCCAACAAACGAGCTGGCCGCGCAGCGAAGCACTCACCATGCCTCCGAAAGCGCAGCCTTCTCAATTCGAGCACCCGGCTTCCTCTCATGCCAAGAAGAAGTGAGCCCTCGAACCCTCACTTCTTTGGCCCTCGCCGGGGCCTGTTGTGAAACCAAAGAGCTAACCGGCGAGCAGGCGCAAGGGCCCTCACCCCATTGAGCCCATCACGGCTTTCTACATTTTCCTGGCCGCTGGTATCGTCGCCGCCCTGTTTGCGCCAATCCAGGACTGCGATGAGACGTTCAACTACTGGGAGCCCGCGCACTACCTGTCCCACGGATACGGCCTTCAGACGTGGGAGTACTCGCCTGAGTTTGCCATCCGGAGCTGGCTGTACATAGCCCTCCATGCCGTCGTCGGCAACGCGCGCCGGCTGCTCCCGCAGTCCAGCAAGGTGAGCCATCCCGGTAGCCGAGCACACGCCTAATCTGACTTGACGCGCCGCCAGGTCGCCGAGTTCTACTTTGTCCGATATGGCCTCGCCTTTGTCTGCGCGCTGTGCCAGACAGTCCTGTTCAAAGTCATCAGTCTCACCCTCAATGGCAGGATAGCCATTTTCTTTCTCATCGCCACTGTCACGAGCCCCGGCAACTTCCACGCCAGCGCGGCCTTTTTGCCATCGAGCTTTGCCATGTACATGTGCATGCTCGGCGCGGCAGCGTTCATGAACTGGCGCGGCGGGCTCAAGACTTCGCAGGGTATCTTCTGGTTTGCCATGGGCGGCATCCTTGGGTGGCCATTTGCGGCGGCGCTTTGTGCGCCTTACATCCTTGAGGAGGTTGTCTTCACCTTTTTTAGCGACAAGGAGGCGTTCATCGAGTCCCTGATTCGACTGATGCGCGGCGTCATTTCCGGCGTTATCATATTGGTGTGTACCCCCTTCTCTCCTGTGGCCAGATACTGACAAATGCAGTTTTTCGACTCCTTAATCAACCTGTTCTTCTACAAGAAGATTGCCGTCGTTTCCTGGAATATTGTAAAGTACAATATCTTCTCGTCGACGGGCGGCCCCGATCTCTACGGCACGGAGCCGTGGACGTTTTACTTCAAGAATCTTGCCCTCAACTTCAACATCTGGTTCGTGCTGGCCCTGTTGGCCTTGCCGTTGTTCCTGCTACAGAAGCTCATCGCCCCGTCCGGCCACGGCTTCCAAAGTGGTCTGCGCACCGTGGTGTTTGTCGCGCCCTTCTACATGTGGCTCGCCATCTTCACCGCACAGCCGCACAAGGAAGAGAGGTTCATGTACCCGGCGTATCCATTCCTCGCCCTCAATGCGTCAATGTCGCTGCACATACTGCTCACTGCCATTGGTAGCACAGACCCGGGCACCCTCATGGGCAAGATCCCCGCTCGCCTCAAGCTCTTGGCCGTGAGCCTCGTTGTTTTCCTCTCCGTGGACATCAGCCTCTCGAGAATTTATGGCATATACTCGGCATACCACGCGCCGTTGAGCATCTACAAACCCCTGTGGGGCGACGGCAGCGGGAAGGCCGGCGTCGGCGGACAGGATGACCTGGTCTGCTTTGGCAAGGAGTGGTACCGCTTCCCCTCGTCGTACTTTCTGCCGCGCGACATGCACGCCAAGTTTGTGCGATCCGAGTTCCGCGGTCTGTTGCCTGGCGAGTTCTCCGAGGCAAAGACGGGCTTCGGCTTCTGGAGCGGGACGTGGCTGCCGACGAGCGGCCTAAACGACCGCAATGAGGAGGACTTGGGCAAGTACGTCGAGTTGCGGGCGTGCTCGTTCCTCGCGGACACGCAGTACCCGGAGCGCAAGGATCCGCTTCCACCAAACGAGCCCGACTACATCGCGGACACAGAGAACTGGGAAGTCGTCCGATGCGAGCCCTTCCTTGACGCGGCAAACACGCATCTCTTGGCCAGGACGATCTGGATACCCGACGTGTCAGGAGTACCCGACAAGTTTCGAAGAAAATGGGGTCGTCATTGCCTGCTTCAACGGAGGAGCAAGTGACCAAAGGGAATGGAGCAGTCGGGCCAGTTCAACGGCGGACTCATTCTTTCATGATAAATGTGCACGACGCATAGAAAGGCCAAGTGGAAATGTAGAATAGAAGTAATACGCGGATCAAAAGCGTGGTTGCGTCTTCATGTTAGTCGCAACTCTTTCGCTGCAACCCCAAGTTCGGTAGCGTTGATGTTTAGTGTGGGTGTGCGCTCCCGTGACGCGAGCTAGCTGGTCTACAGTGGTGAGGTCATCGCTGGACCGACGGCACACCTCACCCGCCACCATCAACTCTACTCCACCAACCTCGATCAAACACTCGAAGGAGACTCATAGACCGATAAACAAAGTCATTCACGGCCAGAACCCCGTCGCCGGCACGGTCAGCTCGTGATGGCATCTCTGATCATCGCGCTCGCCGTCGGTGGGCGCCACTTATATCTCGTTCACAAAGACAAGAAGCTCGAAAGGCGCCAACGCAGGCTAATGCAGCAAGAAGGGGAGGGGCATGAACGCGACACAGGGACCCATTCGAACGGGCGAGCTTCGAGGAAAAGGCGCGCCGCACGACGGGCAACGAGCAGGACAGATGGGCGGACGGAAGGGGATGGGCGACGCGACTCGCAAGAGACACTAACCAGAAACCGTCCGATGAGGGATGAGGACTCGGCAAGCAGGCTGAGCGAGCAGTCGACCTTGGCCGGAGATGATCAACCAGCTGCAGATGGTGTGCACAGGGACGGAAGCGCAATCTGAGAGCATGGGTGTGGAATCTGTGGATACAACATTTGGGATATGGGCGGCGTGGATGCATAGATAGTTCATCGCTTTTATTGACTCCAGCTATGTATATCTACTGCTGGTCTGGATCGACGTCCTTGAACGTGGTGCCAATAGCCACCTCATCATACCAGATTTGACGGAAGCCCTGGCTGCCCTTCATGTAGCCATCGTCGTGCCAGCTGTTGGCATACAGACCGACACGGTACTGGAAGACGCTATCATCATCAACGGTGGTGGGAACGTTGAGGCGCTCAAAGACCTTGTTGCCATCAAGCCAGATTTTGTAGTAGCCAGACGAGTCGCTCGCCCACTTCGCCTGGACGACGACCCTGTGCCACGTGCCGGCCTGGATAGTGGCGAGGTTGCGCAGCGTGTCAATCTTGCGGGAGCAGTCGGGCTGCCGGTAGTGGCCGCTGACGATGCGCGACGTGAGCTGGTTGCCCTGGACCCAGATCATGGCCGAGGGCATCCAGTCGTCGCCGCCGCAGCCCGCGCCGGGCCGGTTGGCGATGAACTGGGCGATGTTGTACGACTGGTCCTGGAACTCCCACGCCTCGGACAGGCGGAACGCGAAGCCGTAGAAGAGCGTGTCGCCGCGCTTGTAGCCGTAGTTGTGGTCCACCTCGGAGTGGTACCGGTCGTGGTAGTTGGCGTCGTACGTCTGCGTCATCTTGAGGGCCGTGCCGCCCTTGTACGACACGTTGTCGACCTGCGTGACGGTGCCTTGGTGCTCGCGCCGCACGTAGTCCCAGCCGTTGAGGGTGCCGGAGTTGTAAAAAGTGCGCTCGGCGAGGACGATATTTGGCGCGGCGGCGGCCACGAGGAGGGCCGCGAGGGACTGGACGAGGCCAACCATCATGGGCAAGATGTCGTGTCCGGCGTTGTTGACCTTTAAATGTTGTTGCTCTGGCTTGCTCAGAAGTGAGCGAGGATACCCAGTATAGCCTTGCTTGGCCCTTCTTTCTAGGCGTTGATCTACCCAAGAGTCAGGCGGGATCCTCGAGATGGCCCTCCAGTATGGCACTTTATATACTTTGGGCCTTGAGCGCCTGCCCGTCACTCCCCGAGCGAAGGATCCCTAGATTCCCTACTAAACCCTGTTTATGGCGTCCATACGCCAAACATGGGCGAACTCATCGGTGTCGCCGTCAAAGTCCGCTCGTGGTCGGTCAGCACGGGCGTTCCATCGCCCTTGCACGGCGGCATCTGGCCCGCCGCAGATGCCACCAATGCTACCTGCAGGAAGAACAGGCGTGGCGGCGGCACAAGAGTGAAGCGGAGAAGCACCCGCCGTGGACAGCCGCCCCCCCGCGACTTTAAGCTCGGGAGGATCTCGGTCGGATCGCGTGGTGGTGCTCGCTGCCGGGGCGCGGCGTGAAAGACGATTCGCGGATTAATTCCATGGCGTGGATGCACGGGCAGGCCAACCTGCCTCAACTGGATCGTCGCCCGTCTGCTTGGGGGGCCTTGAAGGAGACTATGGCCAGGTTTGGCGGCCTGGTGGTTTGTTTAAGCTTGACCGAGTCAAGGTACCGGCGTGCGGAATCGTGGAGCGTCGAGTTCCCCGGATGATCTCCAATGCTACACGGCGTTGCGGAATTGAAGCCGGACCTCGGTGCGGGGGGAACCCTCTTCAACTCCTCGAGGTGGAGGCTGTAACGTAGTTGGCGCAAAGCTGTGCTGTGGTTGGGAGCGATCAAGGTCGCATCGAAAGGCGGAGGTGTTGACCCCACAGTCAAGTGAGTCGTCGTTTCATCTTGAGGAGCACGATATTGTTGGCGACAAGGGACATGAGTTGTCGAGTCGTGGCACGTCGTCTGATAAGGCGGTGGCCGCGCCACCGTCCAGAGTCGTGTGCCACCACCATGAAGTGAGCTGCCGCTAACAATTACAGGCGTCCTAGATCATTGCAACCAGTACTTGGACCAGGCATAAGTTCGATGAGACAGGAGATATGTGCCTGTCGATGATATTGCGCGCGCTGTCCGCCCGCCGTGCAGCCCGTTAGACGTAGCGTCCAGGGCACCGGGCACTGTATGACGAGCCAATTCCATGCACCTGAGGTGGTCAATGGCGACCTCCAGGGCTTCATACTGTAGGTACAGTACCTATCCACAGATGGAGCCCTACAGGGCAGGAGCGCGAAACAATCAGCACGTGCTCCGCTGTAGCTGCACGGGGCGCCGCCCAGAGACCCACTGTGGCGGCACCCGCGGCAGCAGCCAACGCCAATCCAGGGGCCCAATTGCTGGTGCCGCGAGCTCAGCTCGCCTGCACTCCAGACTCCGAGGCCATCCCTTTGCTCGTCCACTGACATCACCGCGCGGGAGCTTCACCTTCGCCCCATCACGAGCGGCGTCGTCCGCGGCGTTTGTTTTCATCGTTTGTTTTCATCGTTTGGCACCTCTCTCCTACCATCGTCATCAAGCGCCAGGAACCCTCTGCGGCCGACGCGTCCCCCCCGGCACCATGCCTATTCGCGTGAGATCCAAGGCGCAGCCGGTGCGCGACATGAGCCCCGTGTCTGCCAGGATGGACTTCGACATGCCCGACATTGCGGAAGACGACTCTTTCCGCAACGTCGTCCGCAAGCTATCTACGTAGGCCGATGATCTTTGCCACCCGGCCTACTTTTCCAGGCTGATGCGCCGCAGATACTTTTACGACGCCATCGAGCTGCCTAGCACCTTTGAGCAGCTTAGGACGACTGCAGCGGGCAACTGCATACGCGTGCTCGTCGACCACCTCAACGACACCTGCACCAACCCTGCTATTGTCAATGCTCTACTGTGCGTTTGCAAACTCCGCCCTCTTCTCCTAGGTAACACCTTCGCTAACTGAAGTGGCAGCGCTCTCAAGTGGCACTATGCCGCCGATAGCGAGCATCAGGGCCTTGGCGAGACGCGCTCCAACGCCTGCGAGATCGTTGCATGGCGCTTCCTATCTCGGCTCTCCGAGCGAGAGGCCATGAACTACTGCCTCTACGAGATTCCTGATCCAAAGGGAGATGAGGATGAGCGGCCTGTCGAACGCGACCAAGAGGCCGGCGAGACCTCCCCGTTGCTGCCGCGCATCCTGCCCAGTGCCGACGACGATGCCACGCAACGGCCGGCCGGCAGCTCGACCAAAAAGGCGACTCTACTTAGCTCCCTGTCCAGACTGACTAACGCTAGCGAAGACGCGCCCGACGACCTTGACCCGACCATCGCGTTTAAAAGCCTTAACGCGCTGGAGATAGCGGCCATTGCCGATGCCAAGCGTTTCCTCAGTCAGCATGCCGTGCAAAAGATCATCACCGGAATTTGGAATGGAGACATTGTGTTTTGGGATTCGCTCTCCGTGCACTCTACCAAGAAGCACAAGTACTACAACCCGCAAAAGTCTGATCCCTTCTCCCGCTTGCGCGTTCCCAAATACCTCAAGAGCTGGGAGGTCCTCTTCTTTCTCGTTTTCCTTGGCCTCTACTACACGGTCCTCATTGTCCGCGACGAGGAGCACATTACCGTGACAGAAGTCATTCTATACCTGTGGATTGCGGCCTTTTTCTACGACGAACTGACCGAATGGATGGATGCCGGATCCGTCTTCTACGCCACAGATATATGGAACCTGTTCGACATGATAATGATCTTCATCGGCTTCACTTTCGGCGTCCTAAGTAGGTACCTGGTGATGGCCACGTAGACACGACTGCTGACCGAGGCTAGGAATTATTGGCATCACTCGCCAGGACAAGCAACTTACCGATGTGGCCTTCAACGTGCTTTCCCTGGAGGCGCTATTTATGATGCCGCGCATCTGCTCCATCTTAAGCCTGAGTCCGTACTGGGGTACCTTGATTCCCTGTCTCAAGGAGATGGGCAAGGACTTTCTCAAGTTCATGGTGCTCGTCGTCATCATCTACTTCGGCTTCCTCACCACATTCTCTCTTGTCGGTCGCGACACCTTTGGCCTTGGCAGGATGACGGGTATCCTCACCAAGATCTTCTTTGGCTCAAGCTACGTTGGCTTCGAGATCATGAACCAGATTGATCCCATCTTCGGACCGCCCCTCATGATCATCTTCATCACCCTCTCATCTATCCTTCTGACTGGCTCCCTCACGGGTATGCTGTCCAACAGCTTCTCCCGCGTCATCACGCACGCACGGGAAGAGTACCTCTACGTCTACAGCGTCTACGTCTTGGAGGCATCCACGAGTAATAGGCTTACGCATTTCTACCCCCCATTCAACCTCATCGCACTCGTCATTTTTCGGCCACTACGTCTCATCTTCCGCCGCGATGACAAGTTCCGTCAAGGCCGAATCCTCCTGCTCAAAGTGACACACTTGCCGATTGTTGGGGCAATTCAGCTGTACGAGCTTGTTAGACGCAGGGTCAGCGGTGCTGGCACGTTTAAGGGACCTAAGGAGGCTAAGCGAAGGCGTCCTCGGCCGTTCGCCAGGCCCGCTTCGGGCCACCACAGTCGGCAGCTGTGGCCTTCTTCTCCCCGCATCGGATCGAGGTCGACTGAACGCCCGCGTGACGACGACGAACTGATGGACGCACCGACGGCTGTCGAGGTGCAAATGTCGGAGCTGTCGAGCAAGATTGAGAAGCTGACTGCGGCGGTGATGGCCCTGCAGGAGAGCCAGGTGGTGCCGAAGCCCGCGTCGGAGAGCCTGAGCGCGTCGGCATCTTGACGGGCTGCCGCTTGCAATGGTGGGTCGGACGCGTGATGTTTGTCAGTGTACGATGCAACGCGGGCGAGGGGCAGGGTTGGGCTCGGGATGCTCCACAACTATCTCAACCTAAAGATGAGCCTCCCAAGGATGCAGGTGGCACCTCTGTTCACTCTGGCTTGCCTGAACGCGTCATGCTTGGACAGCCGAGCAGCACAATTTGCATAGGTATCCTAAGAACTTGATCCACGCCTCTCTGCTCGTATCATGGATGCGTATGCCGTTGCCGACCCCGCAAGTAGCCGACAGCGGGCACGGCGGGTCCTCTGGCCGAAACCCGGAGCCCCGCGTCTGTCCCGGCCTGGCTTGGACCCGTGGACCGGACTCCCCGCATTCATCATCTCAGAGCATCACATCAGCTCACCCAATTCTCATCAGCACCATGCACGCGTAAGAGTAAGTGCCTAGCAAAATGCAAATACCAGCGAGCAAGCAACCTGCAGAAAGCGAGCTCGGTCGGCTCTCAGCGACAGAGATTCATGATGCCATTCAGAGTGGCAAAATCACGGTGCAGCAATACGCGGAGGCTCTGATTCGGCGATGCGAGGAGAGAGACGGCGAAATACACGCTTGGGTTCACTTCGACAAGGAGGCCATCCTGTCACAAGCAAGGGCTCTGGACGCGGTGCCCACTGAATCCAGGGGTCTGTTGCACGGGGTAGCAATTGGCATCAAGGATATTTTCCTCACGAGAGGTATGTGAACCTGCGTCATGACCCCTTGCACACGTATACGATCTGATACGATGGGTACGTGGGAGGGAAATAGACATGCCGACACGGTACTTTTCTCCCATCCACGAGAACGACGGCAATGGCGCATCCGACTCGGCGGCTGTCGGGATCCTGCGCGCGTCGGGTGCTCTGCTGCTGGGAAAGACGGCGACCACTGAGCTTGCATCCACTATGGTGGGCGGGCCCTGCGTCAACCCGAGGAGCGTGGGCGGGAAGGTGTATTCTCCGGGAGGCTCATCCTCCGGGTCGGCAGCTGCGGTGGCGGATGGCCAAGTCCCTCTCGCACTGGGGACTCAGACAGGTGGAAGCATTGTACGGCCTGGGTCTTTTTGCGGCGTGTGGGCGTTCAAGGTACGTACAATATCCTGAAAAGGGGAAGAGATGTCCCCTCAGAGGGGGATGCTGATGCTTTACCTACACGCTCCTAGCCGACATGGGGTCTCATTTCGACAGAAGGTGTGAGCCGCTGCTCAGTGACGTGCGACACCGTGGGCTACTTTGCGAACAACGTCGACGACCTGAACCTTCTCTCGCGAGTGTTTCGGTTAGATCTTGATAGACGCGGTGGCGACAAAGATGAGACTCCTTTTAGGGTACGCGACGCGAGAATTGCCATGGTCAAGACACACGTCTGGGAGCTGGCAAGACCGGCGACAAGAGCGGCATGGCAGCGGGCCCGCGAGCTCCTGGTGGGGGCAGGCGCGCAGATCGAGGACGTGGACCTGCCAGGAGGCTTTGCGCGAGCCCACGCGTGGAGAGAGGTCATCGCGGGGAGCGAGGCGCGGTCTGCGTTTCTATCACGTATGTCATCGTCACCGCACTCCAGACCCCTCCCCGGAGCTCCCTCCACAAATTCACTTTCATCCTGCCCCGAACTTAACCCCCCACCAGACCCGACAAAGCTTGAATGAGTGGCTTACGTGAAACGCGGTCAACAGGGTACCTAGAGGACAAGGACAAGCTGCACGAGACGCTGCGTCCGTTCGTGGAGAGACGGCGCACCCCTGGCAGGGAGGAGATGCTCGAGGCGCACGATGGAGTCGCGGCTCTGCGTCGGGAGTGGGACAGCGTGGCGGCTCGGTACGACGCGGTGATTACGCCGAGTGTGACGGGGGAGGCACCCGAGGGTCTCGGTGACACGGGCAGCGCAGTACGTAAATCCCTTCTACCCGTCTGCCCTTTCGTTTCCCACTTCTGCCAGCCTCAAAGCGCGAGGCTGCGCACCAGCTGGTGCAGCATCGTGGAGCCTGGAGGAAGTCACAGCCCCAACCGCGCAACAATGAACAAGACGAGCTGACGTGTTGGCGCGGGCATGCAGATTTTCAACGCCATGTGGACGGTGCTGCATGCGCCGACGCTCAATGTGCCGGGCTTCGTGGGCGAGAATGGCATGCCCGTGGGGTTGACCGTGGCAGGAGGACGTTATACCGACATGGAGGTTCTGAGGGCGGGCAAAGCCATAGGCGAGGTCTTTAACAGGAGTCGCGAATGATTCAGGGTTGGCGTGTATGTTAGATCCGAGCCCCGGCGATTGTGTTCGGTAACTTGTAGTGCAGGTGTGGAAGCACCGTGACGCCCGCACGTGTCCATGATGCAGGGACTAACTCAGTGCTAAGTTGAAACACTTTAGAGTTTGCCCGTAGACTGGCTGAGTGAGGAAGAGCGACATCGTGGACGCCCGCTTAATGTCGTGTTGACGAGTGCCGTATTGAGCTTGCGCTAACCACGACTAGTCTGCCATCAGCCAGCAAGGCCGAGGTGTAAAGGGGCGGTTACGACAACCACTCTGTGATTGATCCTAGGCGCAGTTGGCGTGAGATTGTACTCGGCCGCCACGAGCCAACATGACTGACAGCGGCGACAGCAGCAGCCCACCGAGTCAACTGCCGGGCACCGTAGGCCAGCTATTTGGACAGCACCATCGCGGTCGCCGGGCTGACAAGCTGAAGCGTCGCGGGCTGCCAGGCTATAGCAGCAACTAAAGGCATCTCAACGCAGCAGCGACAGGAGGTGCCGCAAGCTAGCTAGTTGCAGCAGCAACTAAACCCATCGCTGGGTGACAAGCTGCAGCGGCAAGTGTGGTCTGGAAGAGTTTATAGTGGACAACCTAAAGCTGTCGCGGCACGCTGCTAATGCGGGAAATCAGGGACCAAACTTAGCAGATGGTGGAGCACGAAGGAGAGACTGAGATTGCTCTTATACTCGCGGCCGCCCACCCTTGTGGTCGCAGCGCTTCTAGAGTCGCGTTCTTCCCGTCGGCATGCACATGCGCGTAGCAGGCCTGTTTCCTATCCTGTTTTATCGTGAGTTCTGATGCCCAGTCATATCGATTCGTATGTCGTCTCTCCAGCACTGACAAAGACAGGCAGATCATAATCATCATGAGAATCTCGATAGCTGCAGTTACGGGCATTCTTGTCCAGGGCATATCCTTAGCTGCTGGCCTTCGGATCCTTCAATCGAATGATGATGGCTGGGCCGACTTCTACATCCGTCATTTGAACGACAAGCTCCGCGAATTGCACCACGAAGTAGTCCTAGTAGCTCCGCCCAACAATCAGTCTGTTCCGACCGTATTCTACGATGACCCCATCAACGGTGCGATCCCCAGCCTTGGAGTCGTGATTAAGACTTACCAGACTCCCTGGCACGCGCTTTAGGACGAGACCTAGACTAACATCCATGGATAGGCCCTTTGCAAGACATGGTCGGCTCCCGTTTGGGGCCATGCCAACATAACAGCTGCGAGGAAGGTGGACCGATGAACAACAACCAATCTCGCCCCGACCTCAACTGGGTAAACGGCCACCCTATGCACGCCATGCAGTACGGTATCGAGTCCATCGTACCGGACTTGTGGAACGGAACAAAGCCAGAGCTTGTCATTAATGGACCCAACAAGGGCAACGTCATCTGGCCGTGGCTCCAGCGCATCCCCAACGCAATCACGGCGGCGTACGCGAGCGCCCATTACGGCATCCCGGCCATTTCCTTCGCATATGGATCTAGAAACGGCAATTGGTCGTCGTGGAACACTGCGAAAAGACCTCGCAACAGCCGCACCTACGTCGGGCTCGTGGCAAGGCTTCTCGGCGAGCTCCAAGAGACCCACGAGGCAGGAAAAGGCCTGTTGCCACCCGACACGTATCTCAATGTGAACTTCCCACCTCTTTCAGCGACGTGCAAAGAGGTTGAGGACTTCCAGTGGGTACTCGCCGGTTTCGCACCTCGGGGATTCTTGGACCCAGTGCCCGCCGTCGAGTGGTGTGGCAAGCAGACCTTGCCCAGCGAGTATAAGACGCTTCATAGTGGCTGCTACATATCCATCGCCTTGGGCAATGCGACGTCAATGGCGATCTTGGCCGATATAGTCGCTCAACGAAATCTCATTAACAGGCTGGGGAGTATCTTGTCCTGCTTACCGGCGGAAAAACGTCAGTAGAGGATGACTACATATACCTAAAACCGACGTACTATAACTACTTTTAAACGCTACCCGCTAATCCAAGGCACTCATGAAATAGCTCAGAGTGCAATGTGCGAATCCTTGCGATCAATCCCACAGACCTACGCGTACCCCAAGCCCGCGACCCTTCATACCTCACCGAGTTATGCTCTGAATGCAGATTTGTATGTGCCACTATCACCTCGACTCGCACTCCTTAAAACTCCTGAGTCAGTAGTGCGCGAAACATGAACGGTGTTATCTATTGCCACAAGAAACGCCCATATAAGCGAGTACCAGCGGTCGTCCCGACGGCTCGTGCCGTTTGCAATAGCATGCATTCTGGGAGACAAGCTTGGCGCAGTCGAATGCACGAGGGAATCATAGTCAGAAGTGTCCGGACAAGTGATGCACTTGAAGGCCTGATGAATGCCACGGTGAGGTAGGAATCTCCCTGGTTTTCCGCCTGCCCCAGACAGAAAGTCAAATTGACGGCTGCCTGCCAACACTTCAACGTTTGCGGAAGAGCTCCAGTGTATTGTCCCGAAGCGCTGGTAGGCGGCCCAATGAAGGATCTGAGAAGCCAAGATGCGGACGTCCTCGGCAGATGGGATACGACAAAGCGAAGTGTCGTTTGCAAGGAAGATGCTGCGTAATTACCCCGTCACAACATTGCCGAAGAGGGTCGCAGTTCAGCTCCCACATCACCCTCCACACCTATCCCTACTGAGCAGGCCACATACAAAACTGAGACTGTGGCGCTTTCCTTGAGTTCAGATACGGCCCTTGGTCAAACACAAATGGGATGCGCTGTCGCTGTTAAGACATTGGTTCGCCGGCTGAGACAGCCGCGGATGCTTTTGACACCGTGGTCAGCCTGCCCTAACGTATCTAGAGCTCTATTCTCGTGATTGTTATTCGTGTTGCGATACACGAAGGAATACACGCTCACCATTCTCAACATGAAGATGCTGTCCATCCTGACGTTTTGTGCTCTCCGCGCGGTCACCTGTCACGCCTCCCATGCTTCCCGAAATGACGATGATGTTCGGGACAGAAGGGAATTTGGCTCCGTTGTCGATGGCATACAAGCAAAGATCCTGAAAACCCTCGACGACAGAGAGGAAATTCTTCATTCGAGAGGAGTCGAGGCTCGTTGCACATCGAAGAATGTTGTTTTCCGCCGGGAATAGTATGTTTTGTACATACGAGACCACTATGGTTGAGGCTGACACGTACTGCAGCGGCGCTCTTACCGAAGCGGAGAGGTTGGACTATGTTAACGCTGTGAAGTGTCTCCAAGGCCTGTCGGCCCGGACTCCGGAGAGCGTGGCGACCGGAGCAAAGTCTCGAGTATGACATGTATTCCGGGTGCCGTCACATAATGCTAAAGCAGACCTGAATTTGCAGTTTGACGACTTCATTGTGACGCACGTTCAGCAGACTTTGACCATCCATTTTACTGGCAACTTCCAGCCGTGGCATCGTTGGTTCGTCTACGTATACGAGCGTGCTTTGCGCGATGAGTGCGGCTACAAAGGGTATCAACCAGTATGTATTGGCTTCATGTCACGAAGGGCAGTAGCTGCCGCCGAGTTTGGCTGATACAAGGAGCAGTACTGGGACTGGCCCAAATATTCCTCGGCACCGCAGGACAGTCCGATTTTCAACGGTGACCGCTATAGCTTGGGCGGCAATGGAGATTTTGTACCTCACGACGGCCCAATCGCTAAGTCGCCGAATGGCCTGCCGCTTCCCGGTCTCGGCATGCAGCTGCCACCAGGGCTTGGAGGAGGATATGTCACGACTGGGCCCTTCGCAAACATGACGATCAATCTTGGCCCAAGAAATAGCGTCGCATACAACTCCCGGAGGATAAGAAGGGATGTCGGGCCCACCCTGACCATCCGTTACGCGAACTATACCACAGTTTTGGGTAAGAGCTGGTGGCAGGCTACGACAAGGCATGACGACTGATAACTCCACCCAGATATGCTACGGAAGTCAAACATTGACGACTTCCGGTATCTCTCAGAGGGGACTCCATACAGTATTGAGATTGGACCACATATTGCCGCCCACGCTGCCATCGGGTAAGCTTTCGTGATGGACGAACGTCATTGTTCTCTAACCCGTGGGCTTAGTGGGGATCCTGCCGGCGATTTATTCATCTCCCCCGGTGATCCGGCATTTTATACCCACCACGGAATGATGGACCGCATGTGGACGCTATGGTAAGTGCTCGCCTTCCAGGTAGTACTTGAGGCGCTTACGGACGCTGTCTAGGCAAGCGATTGATCCTGCGACACGACGCGACGACCTGGGTAGAGGAGAGTATAGCCACACTACATGGGCAAACACTCCGCCTTCAAAAGAGACGAACTTGAGTGATATTCTCGACCTAGGTTATGCCGGCGAGAGCATTCAGATTGCAGACGTCATGGACACGCTCTCCGGACCGTTTTGCTACTTCTATCTGTAGCCACTCAACAGGCATTCGGTTTATGGTACATGTACGGCATGGCCCCGTAGGCGACACGAGCCCTGGTCAAATGCTCTACAGACACTTCAGCCGCACCGCGCCCTCTCGGTACTCCGCGATTGATCTTGATGGTAACTCTCCATTGCTTCTTCTAGTCTATCAGTGGTCCAAAGCGGATATGTACATTGTTCTGTACTGCTTGTCACAAAGTTGCCGGATACCTCCTTTCCGCCTCTGGAATATCGAGTCCAAGCCACTTCCAGCAACCTGTCGCTTGTAATTAGCATTGCCTGCCCCAGAAAGAGGAGCAAACAGGCCAACTGACCGGAGAGATATAAGTCGGTTCCAAAATACTTCTTTAGGACCTTCGGTCCCGACCTCGTGGAGTCCGGATTCGAAGCAACAGCATTATTGCCAACAGCCATCGCAATCATGGGTGCAATGTATACCAGCTCTTTGTACTGTGGTTCACGGCCAATACTGTTCTCTATCGTCTTCTGGTGGATGTTCATGGCAATGCAGTACCCGCCATTCATGGCCCCGCCGCAGCGTTTGATGCCAGACCATTCAGCTGCGTCTCCTGCGCAGAAATGAAACTGGGAATTGGGCACGTCGACAGGGAGCATCAAGCTAAGTTATGTCAGTGGCCATGCATTTGTAGTGACAAGAGCGATTCCGAGGCGGTGGCTTACTTGGGCTGGATTCGAACGTGGCCAGAAGAGGTGACAGCAGAGCTTGGCAGGAAGTTTGTCGACGGCACGCTGTTGGAAATAGCCATGATGACCATGCTAGCCGGTACCTGGACGCCGTTGGTGAACTTGACGTGGTATTTGGCCGACCCGTCCTCCGCTTCGGTCTTGGTGAAGCTTTCCAATCGATGGCCCATGAAGGTTTCGACGTCTGCTTCTTTGAGAAGATCCAGAGATGTATCCTTGCACTCATCTGTAAGCCCTTCAGATGACAGAAGCCTGTCGCGAGAGTGTGCAAGCATGACCTTGGTGTGAGGCATGACCAGTTTTAGTTCAGCTGCCATTTCTATGCCAACAGCACCGCCGCCAACAACCAGCACGCCATGTCTTGCGTTGCGAGCGTCTTGAATATGGCTTTGTACCTCCATCAGGTACTCAGGGTAAGTGAGCGACTGCGGAACTACTGGCCAGACTCGTCTCAGTCCGGTAGCAGTGACCATGTAGTCATACTCAAGGACAACCTCATCGTCAGTACCATGAGAAAGCATTGTCGCCTTCTTGGCGCCACAGTCGACGTGCGAAATTTTCCCATGGAGGACCTTGATGTTGGGTTCTTTGCACAGCTTAAGGTCTTTGAACTGCACCCACGCCTGTTTGGAGTATTCGATGTCGGCCAAGGCGAGCGGAGAGCCTACAACATGAACTGGCGCACGTGTCAGATGCTACATGTAATCGGTCTCAATCAAACGGCACACGACTTGACTTACAAAACCCGTCCCTTTCATCGACGATCACCACATCGAATCGGACTTGAGGCCATTGATCCTCGATGGGGTAAGGCTCGGGAGCCATGCGAGGGGGTATGCCCTGGTGCAAGTCCAGGAGATTGACGGCCACGGCGAGTCCCGCGTAGCTACCGCCGGCGATGAGGACCTTGACCGTCACGGCCGCTCCCACTGCTGAAGGCATCGCAGCCGGGGAAATGACAGATCAAGTTGCCTCGCCGGTCTGCTGAACGTTTCTGACCCTGCTGCCGACGAAATGATCCTTTGACAGCTACCAGTGACACAATGGAGGTTCAGCTCGACCAAAACCTACCATCTAGATTATGAATGGGGAGTCGTGTGAGCCACATCCGTTGCAAAAATGCAGACGCAGGCTTCCTGCGGCTTAGGTGGCGACCCATTCTGGCCAGGCCTCGGAGGATTGGGTCCCACAAAGAGCAGAACATATGCCTGAGCCGAGGCAGGTAACTGCGTTGTACATGGACACACCACCAGGAGCGACGACGGGATGAGCCCGGCTCATGGCTACCTGCAGTCCTGGAGGATTTGCCAAGCACACACACAACCTCAAATTCAGTGGTACACGCCGCCGGGCGTGTGCAGATCCCACTCCACACCCACGGCGTTACAGGATGCACTACGGACGCCAAGTAAGCCGCGCAATTCGCTGCCAAGGAACTGCTGCTGATCATGGCCCTTTCCTCGTTGGTTTCCCATGTTGGTCCTTCTACACTCTATTTCGTAATCAGATGCATCTAATCAATCAGCCCCCCACGGACGCTATGTACGTTGCATGTACAACCGCGTAACGTCCGTTAGTAGCGTTCTTGGGACATCTCGTAACCCCGACTCATCAAGTAAACGCCGAGCGAGAATCCAAGAAAATATCACCAAGAGTGCCAAGATATGGACACGGTTGGACAACTGAGCAGACGAGTGAAGCGTGTTGCAAACCAGTGCCGCCCATGCCTTCAACTATAGGGCGCATGGTCTGCTATTTTGTTTGTGTTTGACTCGGAGCCTGTCCCTTGACAGCATGGGCGATCTGTAACGCCAGCTTTTGAGAAAATTGCCGACACCAGGTAAAGCTGCCCGTCATGAACCAGAAGCCTGGTATGCCCGTGGGCCTCCACCACCCACTTCTTTCCTGTTCGTGGTCCAAGGAACCAAAACCTCGAAGCTTGTCTGCAACCTCGTCTCCCATGAGCTTGCGTATTGTAAGGATACTTTTCTCATAGCCAGTTGCAAGAACAATTACGTCCGCTTGTACGCATGTCCCGTCTGCCAGTGTAACTGAGTTTTGACCGAGCTTCTGTACTCCTTCTTCACACCGATGGATCTTGATGCGTCCATCAATGATCATCTGGCTGGCTCCTTGGTCGATATAATAATGGCCACCTGTGATAAGCTGATGGTCTGCCAGTCCGTAACCGTCCTCGCCGGTGCGGACGGCCAGCCCAGCCTTCGTCAATCCATCGAGCATCATCCTGTCGTTCTCGGCCATGATGCGTGTCAAGCCGATACTCATGGTGCGAACGAGGGGGATCGGTATCGAGTTGCTCAGCAAGTCCGCGTCTTCAGTTGTCAAACCCGGCATGTTCCAGATGCCAAGCATAATCGTCTTCCACGCAGCTCTGGACAGAGAGAAAATAGGGTTTCGCTGGATCATACATACTTCCCGCGCGCCACATTTTACGAAGTCCTGGGCAATATCGTGACCGCTAGTGCTGCAGCCAATAACGACAACCTTCTTGTTCCCCAGGTCAGGGATATGTCGAGCTGACTGATGCTCGATGGAATGATATATGAGGCCTCTGAAGGTCTCTTGACCGTTGAAGTTCGGAATGATGGGAACATCGCTGTAGACTCCGGTTGCAAGCACGACTTGCTCTGAGTGAAGAACGTCCTCTCCGCACGGGCCGTTGACCCTGATCTCGTGTCTCGAGCCGAGCCTTCTCACTGAGCTAACTGTGGTATTAAGCCGCACGTTGAGACCCATAATTTGCGAGTAGTGCTCCAAGAATTCCGCCGTTTGATCGCGATTGAGCCATTCAGGCCAGTTTTCGGGGTATTTCATGAATGGATAGTGATCAGTAAAGGTTGGTGTGTTGAGCGTGACGGTGTCGTATCGCAGTCTCCAAGAATCGCCAACTCGTGCATGTCGATCAACAACGAGCGTTTCGACCCCCATGGACTTGAGACGAGCGGCTAAAGAGATACCGGCTTGGCCTGTCAACGTCAGTGTGTATTCCGTGGAAGAGTTCTGGAGGGCTGTACCTGCGCCAATGATGAGAACAGGGAGCTTGTGCTTGTCGCCGTAGGTTTCTGGGGTGCCATACAATGAGAAAACGTTATTGCGAATTCTCTCCCTCTCTAAGTCTTCCTGGTAATGAAGCTGCGACAGCTCTGTGAATACAGTCCAGGCTTTCCACTCCCCGCTGGGCTGGTTCACCATCTTCAAGAAACCTTGGCCTTTGCCAAATTTCGTATGGAAGGAAAAGGCCGATTGCAACCAAGTATCACCCGCCCATTCAACTAGGAAAGGCTTCAAGCCTCCTGTTTCCGGCTTCAGATCAGTCAAGATAACATCAGAGCGGTGCAAGTATGCGCTGATTTTGTCGAAACCCTGCTTGGTGGTGAAATCCCACGACAGTCCAAGCATGTCTCGCCACCAGCATTCGCGGATGAACGACTCTTTGAGCCTGTCAAATTTGCGCTCATTGAAACAGGATTGCAGTTTGTAAAGCCATGCAGTGATGATATCCTTCGGTTCAATTTGATCCTTGTCCACATGGAGGTTGAGCTTGGGCATCGGCGGAAGCACGGTGCCATCCATGTCGTTGATGAGCGCCGAGATGTGGCGGCACCTTGATTTCGCGGTGGTGACTAGGACGCAGGGTAGGACTGCTGAGGTTGGGGCAAGACAACGGCGCTTCCCACTGTCCTCAGGCGCTCTACAATGCTAGAATATATGGCCGAGACGGTGGCATTAGTACACTATATCGTAGAATTACACCAGGGTAACAATCATAAAGTCCAGCGTCAATCATGGACGCTGTCCGATGCCGTTGTGAGTGATTATCTTGCTCATGGGGTGGGGCATTGTCGACGTAGATGACCCCAGGGCATGAACCTGACTTGTAGACCTTGGAGGGGTGTGTCATTAGACAGCTTGCCGCCTGGGATCTTGGGGCAAGAATTCGTGCTTGCCGTACGGTAGGTCCTGTTTGACTACATGCCCATGTATACCGCGAGTAACTTCCGAATTGGGTCACGATTGGCGCTCTTCTTCCGCGACCAACTTTTTCTATTCTCGCATCCCGGTGCTGTACGAGGCCACATACGATAACGTGGGTACATATAGATCGCAAACTATGCCCTAGCCGCGCCAGACTGCTTCAATAGCAACAAAAAAGGTCATGGGATTGGCCTCCAGACGCACAACATCAAAGCTCTCGTGTGCTGCCTTGAAAATGTTTCTCCATGCCTCCGCCGGGCGCTCCTCGGCGTTGAAAAGAGCCATCATCCTCAAATCTGTGGCCGTGCCCATTTGCTGAATCGATCGCGGGGTGTTCACACTGCCACCTGCTGCCTGTTGATGGCCGACGTAATCCAAGAAGAAGACCTTTGCGCCGGGTCGCAGTGCAGGTACGAGAGCCTTGAGGATCTTTACACATTCCTCATCTGGCCAATCGTGGAGAATGAGCTTGATGAGGAATATGTCAGCATTAACAGGCTGAGGGTTGAAGAAGTCGTGAGCTCTAAAGCTAACACGACTTTTGAGAGCATCCGGGCAGTGCTGATCGAAGGCTGATTCTGCATGCGGGAGGTCCTCGACGATGATGTTCAGGCTTGGGAAACGTTGCGCTAGGGAGAACGAGTCATGGCCACCGGAGCCACCAAGGTCAACAATGGTGGCATCACCCAGGGCGTTCCAGTCAAATGACTCGGCCAGCGTAGACTCCAAGTGGAAAATGTCTTTGATGTAGCGCATAAACTCGACAAAGTTCCTCTGGCGCCAGCCTTTTTGTTCTCCTTCGCCGTCGTTTTCGATGAAGTCCCAGGAGGTCTCATAGTTGCCAGTACAGCCGCCTTTCTGGTATAAAGCAAACGCAGTTTCGCTAATCTCCTTTGTCAGGGTAGGTTTGCCGCGAGAGTGAAGCTCCAGTGCTCGATTCATGGCCAACATTGGTGCTCCTGCATCGTCAATGATCGTAGAGACAAGCGCACGAAGTCCCGAAGATTTGGCGAGAGCAGCTGATCGAGAGGAGTGTGAGACTTGCTGTGTCACATCGAAATCACCCTCTGGTGCAAAGAGCCGCAAAGTGGTGGCATGTTTGAGGACACGAATTACTACCTCCTCCGGCAGCCGCGTGTGATCTGCGATACCCTTCACCGATGAAGAACCATCCAAGGGAACGGCCGACCAGAAGTTGAAGTGATTCATGAGATTAAGTGCCATGATATCCGGGACACACTAATTTCACAGTTCGTAAGCGGTTGAACGGGCCTCAAGTCTCATTCTCGAACCTTACTGTGTGGACATGGTTGAAAATGCTCTCACTTGGCCCTTGCACCAGGTACCACAGATCCGTGATTTTGTCGAGAAGCTTCTGTCGGTGCAGAAACAGCTCGGTGCTGAGATTCTCATAGCTTACTGGACTGTCAGACTTGAAGGTTGGCTCCGCGATTTGCTGCTCAGCCAGCGACTTCGTGAAGCTGTCTGACAGTGCCGTGATTTCGGCAGTCAGGTCTCGAATGTTTCCAGCCATTGTCATCAATTCGATATCGGTAGTGTCTTGCGCTGTGACGAGCGTGGCCTAAAGGGTGAACATGGCGCAGATTTGTATGGCAAACTAGCAGACATTGGCTTTGCAGCCAACCGTCGGCATTCTGGTGACTCTGCCTCTGACACAATTGATTGGGTACCTGTGGACAAGGCTCACACCCTGTACATCGAAGTACATTCTGCGCCTTGTTGTCGCCAAGATGATGATCTCTCCCGTTTTCGACATAGCTGGCATGTGTGACCAAATTTCACTAGCAACGCCGTGGCATCATTCGGACATACGGCTCGTGAAGGGCGGCACATCGAGTTCAATCACGACCTGGTTAGCTCATCTGCTTCGCCTTGGTTCGCTAGGCCGTACCATGGGAATCCGAGCATCTTCAGCGGCGAAACCACTTTTTCTCGAGTCGTGGACCACTACCATGTACTACGGAAGGACGCGACTGGCCTAAAGAAATGCCGCAAGATTGGTCCGATGGTGGCGGCGCCATCCGACAAATCTTATCAATCGGATCAAAAGCGGCCCCAGCGAAGCTTGACTTCCCTGAAATAGCCTAGGGGATGTGCGGGCTGCCCCGCTACTCTAAGTCTAAAGCATTGCTTACGGAGCCTTGTGGAACGGCATCCCACATACAACGGCGCCGCACACGCCGTTACATGGCGCAGGAAAGTCAAAAAACTGATTGGGGTGCACGTCAATCTACAGGACGCACCGCTGGCGATCCTCGCCGTGTCCCTGAATGACAATAGCTGCTCAAGGCTCATTTACCGACTGTGTCGACTAGCAGGGGTTCTGGCCAAGCCATTGCCATATGCCAAGGCCAGAGTGGCGTGTCGCCGAGGTCGCACAGTCCTTGAGCATGGTCCGACTCCGCGAAGGCACATCGTAGCGACCCTTTGAGAGGGTCTTCCTACGCCCCCCAAGTGACATGTAACATGTGAATGCTAGCAAACTATGTCTGCGCCTCGCAACATGCAGCGATCCTGGCCTTGGCTATTATTCCGACGGACACCCTTGCTCACGATTTATGCGAAAAGCGAAGTCATTGAGATAATATGACTACCACGCTTTGTTCGACGCCCATTAGATGACGAAAAGAGAATAATACTCGTCTCGTAAAGGGATATGGCAGTCCACGTACTGTGATCACTCTGGCCATCAGCCACACACAATCAAGTCTCTCAGGCCGCACCACAAATGGCTGATGGAAAAAAGGTGTTGATGCTGACCAACTCTGAGTTGGGGCAGGCAAACGTCTTTCTCGCCGTCGCCCATGAGCTGTTGCAGCTCAGCGCACAGGTACAGGTTGATATTTGCTCCTTTGCGCCGCTGTCAAGTCAGGTCTCGTCGATAAGTCAGCCCAACATCCTTACCAGAGGTGATCCCCGAGTCAATTTTATACAGTTATCAGGTCCGTCATGGAAAGAGGCACTTTTCGGCCGCCCGGAACACCAGTTCCAAGAGCTGTGCGACATTCGTCCCACAGTCTGGAACGTTGGCAAGGCCGCCAAACTTACTCGCATTGCCTGCCCCTGGGCGCCAGATGAGGCTTGCGGGCTGGTCAAGCAGCTGGAACAGATAATCACGGATACGAAACCGGACTTGATCGTCGTTGACAACGCCTTCCCTCCGGCTGTTACAATCTGCTACAAGCTGAAGCCGAACTGGATTGTACTGTCTCCGAACACGTACAAGGAGTTTGCGTTGGCCAAGCAGCCAAATCAGCAGTACTACTGGAAGTATCCGCCGTACGTCATGAGGATACGCAGTCGAACCGCATCGAGACTGACTGGTTCTGTATCAGACCACGATCTACTATTCCATTCCCGGTGCCGTGGTACCAGATACCACTGGTGTACTACATGGTCCGGAAGATGTTCTTGAACGACTCAGACACTTGGATGCTTCAACATGCGAGCCGAATGAAAGAGTCTATCAATACCGACTACGCCGACTGGGCATACATATCCATCGTACCTCCCGAAGGCTTAAAGGTCCTTCTGGCTACCCGCCCAGAGATCGACTTTCCCTTTGACGTCATTCCAGAGCACATGGTTCCTTGTGGCCCAATACTGAGGCCTGTTCAAGCTGTTGGCGATGCAGACCCTGATCTTGCAAAATGGTTGGCTCAACGCCCTACCGTTTTCGTCAATCTGGGCACACATGCTTCGGTGACAGTGAAGAAGGCTATCCAGATGGCCAAGGCCCTGAAACGCTTGCTCGAAAGAGCTGCCAAGGAACAAACGGAGATGCAAGTTCTGTGGAAGCTTCATCGGCGCGGCGACTATAGGATGTCAAGTGTGTCTGATGCCCTGGGAGAGAAGTGGTCAGGGTCTGTCCGCATTACCGATTGGCTCGACGTGGGGCCGACGGCGATCCTGGAATCCGGTCACATTGCTTGCTCTGTCAACCATGGCGGAGCAAACTCTTTCTTTGAGGCCGTTAGGCATGTGTTCAGCTCCAATTTCCTGACATCATGATGGCTGACTGTACCAGTGCTGGTGTACCCCAGGTGATCCTGCCCGTCTGGGGAGACACCTACGACTTTGCGAAGCGAGTCGAGTGGCTCGGCATTGGAAAGTTTGGAAACCCTCGATATGCACCAGATGTCGATGCAGGCGAGCTTGGACGTAACTTGGAGAAAGTCATACTTGGCCCTCGAGCGCAGCAAATGAGGAAGGAGGCACAAAAGTTGGCTGATCTTTGTCGTGTTGATGGCGGTGGACGACGCGTTGCGGCAAAGTATATCCTCCAGATACTGCAACTGTAACTACAGCAGCCGTATAACACAGGTTCGAACCGGCGGGGAATGGTCATATGGACTGTCAGTGCACATTACGTAGACCAGTCCCAAGATTACACGAGTTCCGGGTACATGTCCGTTCAAAAAGATACATGGCCAGCGATACTTCTCCATCATGAATACTAATGGTTTTCAAGGCTGCCTAAAAAATTCTATTGGAGCATTTGTTGCGTCGCGTTCAGCCTGTAGCTCTCATTTTTCTCCATCAACTCCGTGTGTCGGCCGCTGTCGACGATGTGCCCTCCCTCCACCACGAAAATGATGTCAGCCTTGTGCACTGTGTGCAGTCTGTGAGTAATTGCCAGCACAGTCGTCCCTGTAGAAGCGCTTTCAAGGCTCTTCTGAAGGGCTGCCTCGCCTGCTGCATCCAGAGCGCTGGTGCTTTCGTCCATGAGCAGCAGGCGTGGTCGGCGGACCAAGGCACGGGCGATGGCAAGCCGCTGCTTCTGCCCCCCTGAAAGACGCGACGCCGACGCACCACACGGTGTATCGTATCCTTGTGGAAGAGCGACAATTTCGTCATGAATACCAGCGGCTCGACAGGCAACCTCGATTTCCTCGTCCGTGGCGTCATGCCCCGGGACAGCACCCAACCCGACGTTGTGTCGTACAGTCCCATCAAAGAGGGTAGGGTCTTGGGGTACTAATGCCACAATGTCCCGAAACGAGTCTGGAAGCTTTGCGACGTCCTTTTCATCTATGAAAATAGATCCTGCCGAAGGTGCGTATAGCCTCTGGACCAAGTTCATGATGGTGCTCTTGCCTGCCCCTGAAGGGCCAACGAGGCCACAAAATTGGTTGGGCCGAATGGTGAAGGACACGCTATCAAGAACAGGGGTCTCAGGATTCCTGGGGTAAGCGAATGAAACGTTGTCGAATACGACTTTGACGCCTCCTTTGGCAGTGGTGAACGGCGGATCTCGCCTGGCGTTGGCGGCGGATTCGACGTCTTTCCCGCCATCTCCAGTACGATTGACGCGAACGGTGGATCCTATATGAACAATACCCATGACGCGAGCTATGGCGAGACGAGCCCTGGAAAATTCTGGTGCAAGGGTGAACATCGTACTCCAGAGTTTCGCGCCTGTGAGCATGGCGACCAGGACGATGAGAAGGTCTCGCTGGGTGTATTCGCCCTTCATAATGAGCTGAGACCCCCACCAATACGTCAAACCATTGACAAATGGAGAAGTGGTGTGCGAAATGGAGAGCAGAATGTTGGTGGAGGCTGCCGATCGGACGACCTGGTTCATGGGCGGCGCCAGCAATCGCTTGTACGACTCCATATATGTGGTCTCCAAGGAGAGTGTCGCCACGCTGCGAATTGATTGAATGGCCTCTGAAGCCAACGAGTTGGCTTTTGCAAATGACTCCTTGTGACGCTCTTCGAAACGAGCTAGCATGCGCAATTGCATGAAGCCAGATCCGAGGAGGATTGGGATCGACACCAGAGCGACGAGGGCGATTTTCCAGGCGTAAATGTGGGAGATGATGACAGCGATGATAATGTTGACGGCAATTGCAAATATCGTTCCAAAGGTGGAACCGCTGAAGCTCCCGATAGACATGCAGTCCTTGGTGATGATCGACAACAATCCCGATGGAGTGCGATCCATCGAGGTGTGCCATTCGAGAGGCTGCTCGAGCAGCGACCGGAACGACAATGTGCGTAGCGCAAGCAGAATTCTCTCGCCAATGATACCAAATCCCAGCCAGGCGAAGAAGTTGGCAAACAACTCGATTGCGCCGAGCATGAAGATGAGCCCGCCAAAGAACCTACCCATGGACAAAATGCGCTCGACGGTGCTCTGGCACGGGTTCAGCGCCCCAACCGTGTAGCCAAAGATTAATCCAGATCCCGAGAACACGGCGCCGACAAAGACGGCGGCAAAGAGAGCGAGTATAAGCCATCCTAGGGAAGGTCTGACTAGCCAGAGGATCCCTTTCAAGACGCTGCCAAACGGTCGCTGAGGAGTGTTTTTGTCGCCGACGGTGTCGTCGTCACCTTTGTCCTTGGATTCCGGTTTGTCACACGTAGCAGCTTCCGGCTTCTTGATTGAAACGTCTCGGTCGAACGCGTCGCCGCTTCCGTTTTTGAGCGACTCGTCGATGGAGGTGCTTGAGAGGCATTCGGCTTCTTCTAGATCTCCGCCACTCGTGTTCACCTTTTGCAGTCTTGCCAGGGCGGCAAACTTTCCATCCTCCCTGGCCATGAGCTCGGAATAAGTCCCTTGCTCCAAAACTTGACCGCCCTCCAACACAATGATGTTGTCGGCATCGCGGATTGTCGCAAGTCTATGGGCAATGGAGATGATTGCTCGCTTACGAGACGCCGCCACGCGCGCAATGGCGTTCTGCATACGGCGCTCACTAGCAGAATCGACGCTGGCAGTCGCCTCGTCGAGAATGAGCACCTCGGCGTCACGAATCAGAGCCTGGGCAAGTGCTATGCGTTGGCGCTGGCCGCCACTGACCGAGCTGCCCCTTGGACCGACAGAGGTTCCATAGCCCGCGCTCAAGCGGTCAATGAACTCCGCGGCGTCTGCTTGCTCTGCTGCGTGTCGCACGCAAGTAGCAATCTCGGCCAGGCCGCCCCCTCGAGCTTCCACCCAGGCTAGTGCATCTTTTCCCTTTGTGGCTGCCTGGGCCAATTCCGGGCCGCCCAGAAAATGCTTCAGGCGCCGATGATGCTCATGGGGGGAGTTGACAAGCCCTAGCGCAATGTTCTCAAGTATGGAACAGTCAAACAAGGACGGCTCCTGCTGCACAAACGTCATGCAGCTTCGAAGCGATCGCACATTGAGAGCTCTGAGGTCTTGGCCATTCATCTCGATGCAGCCATCGGTCGGGTCATGTAGTCGAGCCATCAGCGAAGCAATTGTCGACTTGCCGCTACCAGAAAGGCCAACAATGGCAGTGTATTTGCCAGACGGAAACTCAAGGCTGATATTTCGCAAGGCAGGTTGGCCAGGTCGCGTTGGGTACTCGAACGTGACGTTTCGGAACGCAATGCTCTTGGGCGTACCTAAAGGCAGGGCCTCGCCTGAATCTGACGTACCGTCGATGGCAGACGGGGTTTGGATGTCTCTGATGAGTCGCTGATACGCGGAGACAGCCCCCCCAATAAATGGGAGCATTGGTGCTATTCCGCCCAGCATAACGCAGGCTATTCACAGTCAGCGACTTGAAACCGACGTGATGCACGAGGTGAAGTTTTGGGTATGTGCGTCTCACCATCGATGAGGAGATACACAATGGCGTAGATCTGGCCAATGGATGATCCTCCATTGTCTTCCCTTGCTGCGTCCGCGATCTTAATACTGCCCTGCCAAAAGGCCAAGGCGTTTGCGCTGTACGCAAAGAAGTAGATCAAACCCGTCTGCACTGACGCAACGGCGGCCTTGGCAATGGCATGCTTGTGAGCGACAGACATGTGGCCAACGAACATGGCCTCGAGTCGAGAAGCAGCACCGAATGCTTGGACTACCGGTATGTGCGATAGGGCCTCCGAGGCAATTGAAGAGGCAGACGTAACAGCTTCGCTGTACTTCTCTGCGAACTTTGCTGTGTATCTGCTACCGATTGCGCCAGAGAGAAGAAACGCCGGCATCACGGATATCAGGATCCCTGCCAGCCGCGGCTGTTGCGAGAAGGCGATTACGAACACGGTGGTCATGAAGCTCAGCGTGGAAACAATCGCGCCAACTTTCTCGGAGGTGCCTGACTGCACGGCTGCAATGTCGCTTTGCAACCTGCTCGAGACCTGGCCCGCTGATCCGCGCGTGTCGAAGAACGACGGGGGCTGCCTGAGCAGGGCGGCGACATAGTGGTTGCGAAGACGCTGTGCCAGCCGCTGGCTAATGATGCTCCACGCCGTGAGATAGCAGTAGATGAGGAAGAAGGCGATGGCGCCGATCCATGCTGTCTTGATGACCTTGTCGTTGATAGAAGACTCGTAACGAAAGGGATCCTGGCCGGGACCACCTTCGGCGGCGCACGTCGCACTGTTGAAGTTGTCTACCAGCTGGCCGAAGAGAACACCTATCAATGGAAATGGAACGCCAGCTCCTGCGGCACATAATGTCCCAAACACAATCAGGGCGATATCGACCCATGTAGGTTCGGCGGCGAAGAGGAGGCGGAAAAAGACAAGGAATTGACTGAATATCTGCATCATGCTCAATCAGCCCGGGTTCAATTCTCGATAGCTTCACGACACCACTGCCTTACATGTCCTTTTTGCTTCTGGTCCTTTGCGCTGGAACTAGGATCGCTGTCTGCACCCCGATCACTGATCGGATGCTGGCCTACAGCACCCTGCCTACCACCGGGCTTAGCCTTCTCCGAGGACATCGCCTGGCGTCTTGCGTTCTCCCTGTGAAGGAACTGTCGCGACTCAATGGACGAAACTCCAGGAGCAATGCAAGCAATGAAATGACAGACAACCCGTCGCCTGTCCTGGCCTTTCGGTGTAGACAAAGGCACTCCCGCTCTGTGTGTCGTTGTTTGATGGACGTATCGGGCCCTCGAGAGCCTGCTCTGCTCCTGTTCCCGCGCTGACTGCCGAAGGGGCCAAGAGACAGCCACTCAGGGACAAGTGCTTGGCCTTGAAGGACATTCCTCCGAAATCAGATAAACTCGGGGGGGCATGTGATGCCCGGTGCCAAGAAAAGCTTGGCCAAGCTACTGCGGACTCGGGTGGTTTGATGGCGCTGGGCTGGTACCCCGTTGTACCGACCAGGGGGCTACATCTGATGATCAGGGAGTGTCGATAACCAAGCGGCAGGCCGTCGCGAGATGTGCCGCGACTAACTTATTACTTGGCACCATACAGAAGCCGGTCTCCTTTGGAGTTTGGCAATCCCTTCCGCCGGCTGAGGGAATTATTACGTATCCTTTGCCGCCGTGGCAATTCTCCTGCCCTCGGCCGAACCAGGTTACATTTCCGATTCACCGGCACAGAAGACCTATGATGGTCGGCACTGCGAGTATGCACATGACATTGGCCTGGGAAGCGAGGTCATTCAGCGCAATCAATGAGAAGTGACTCTGAAGACCTCTGAGGCACATAGAGCGCCATTGTCGAAGTGTGTTATGATGCGTGGCAACGGAGGCGCACCTGAGCTGCGCACGGGGTCAATCGTTATTGCCCAGCTTCAACTCTCGCGGTCTATCATCTCCCTCAATTCGTGCAGACAGTCAAAAGCCTGTCAAATATAAGCGCATACGTCTCATATTCTCGTTCGCACCATGTTCAGCGATTGGAAAGGGCACGAATCGGCTTCGTCGTCAACCCAGAACTTGCCCAGCACATCGTTCAGATGGCAGCACTTCAACAAATTTTGCGCCATGAAGCCCAGCTTGGCATTTGTCTCCCTCCCATTGGATCTCTATCTCCATCAGACATTCACGACAAGGCGCTTGGTTGAAAGAAGACAGTCGCCTTTGACAGATTGGTAGAGGAAAGAGTCCCTGGCGGCAGGAATTACGCGACGTTGAACCTGCCAGCGTGGGCGGAGCGCTTCCCAGGCTGTTCAATCTCCTATCTGCGACCCTATCAAGTTCAGATCAGCTTGTGAGTTGAACTGTCGTGATGGAGGTGGATGTACGGGCTTTCATGTTGCCACGCATGCACAGGGGAAACGGGGCAGGATTATGAATCGCGATCTTCTGTGCTGCCTTCAAGACTGAAAAGCCAGATCGTTATTACATATGAACATTATCTGTATTCAAATTGTCGAGAACTCAGAGACTGCGTGGCCCATACTCGCAGACGGGCCGGAACGCGGCCACTCAACTGTCGAAAGTGAGCCGCGACCGTTCGGGCCATGCGAAAGGCACGCTGCAAGCGACGCACGTTGACCGACAACAGACAAGTTTTCCAGTTCCAGGGCGCCAAAATGCGAGGAACACTCTGCTCGATGGCCTTCTCGTCTTTCCGACGCTCGTATTGATCTGGTTCACGCACACGGTGTACCAGCGATCGAACCTTACCCAGCCGGACCAGCCCTCCCTGTAAGAGACCCGAGTTAGGTGTGGCATTGGACGGTCAATCGGACCAGGGTCAATGCAGACATCCCCAGGGGTGTCGAACGCTGAGCGCGCGGGGGTGCCTCATGAGACCACTGCGTGTTACATCTTATCAGATCCTCTTACGCAAGATTTTCCCGGTGATCTCCCTGTCCAACTTGAATCACGCGTGTGCCTCGGTTCCCGTCGGGAATATGGCCGTGCAAGGCTTGAACGCGGGCGTCGAGCTCTTGGCACAGCTGCCACAGCCGCCAACAATTTCCTTCCATGGATCCGCCGAGGAAGAGGTGGCGCACACGGGATGGAGCCTATGGGTCCGAGCTTAAAATGATGCCGCATCTAATCAGATCCTTGTGCTTGGGATGTTGGGGTGCCTTTCCCTGGCCTGGCTGGTGGATTGGGCGCATGCATGTGAGGACTGGACGCCCCGGCCGACTTCCATGCCCTCTTGCGCAAAACATGGCTGGGTCGAGCGGGCACGACTAGGCGTATTTGAGGCTGTACATTGGTGCCAAGCTCCCGAGCCCGGACGTTAGTCGACAGACCCTTTGCGACCACTTTTGGCAGCCATGAGCCAAGGCGGTTGTGGCGCTGTCGCCGTCGCACACGGATGAAGGGTTTGAACGCCCCGGTTCTCTTACATGAAGTTGCAGATTTTTTTCCCGGGCGGTTGAGGGCCGTTAAGTCATGACTGTCGCCGGTCCTCTCCGTTTCTCCTCCGAGATCGCCTCAGTAGCTTTTGGGCTCATGTTCCTGCCCCTACTTATTGCACGTGCTGTCTCTGCACTTTGTCCGACCCCCTCCAGAGAACGTTGAAGATCTCGCGACACGTTGAGATTGAACGATGCACAGAGTCGACGCTGACGGGCCTCGGCCGCAAGACAGCGACCACGTCGCCCCGGCCGATGTAGAGAAGCACCCCGCCCGTGACGATGTCACCACGACTGGGGCTGTGTTCAGCGATCAAGCCAAGAAAGAGGATGACAACACTTCCAACAACGAAGAGTTCCAGGATGGCGTGAAGCGCGTCCGCGCCATCACGACCGCTTGGTCGAAATGGTCGCTCTTTACCATGTTTGCGCTGTATGTGCCACGCCCCTAGGCTTCGCGCATCAAATGCTGTTGCTGTGATTAACCAGATCTCCAGTCTGTACCTGGTCACCTTCGTGGACTATCTCCAAAATGCGGTCGATTCAGTGCTCAACCCATACATTACGTCCTCCTTTGGCAGCCACGGCCTCCTCAACGTCGGCAGCGTCCTCTCAACCATCATTGGCGCATGCGCTCCCTTGGGCCTAGCAAAGATCATTGATGTATTGGGCCGCGTGGAGGGCTTCACCTTCATGCTCCTGGTCTCAGTCATCGGTAGCATCATGAAAGCTGTCGCCAAGAACGTCACTACCTATGTCGCGGCACACACGCTCTACTGGACAGGCCACATCGGCATCGGATATGTCGTCCGCGTCATGCTCTCCGACATGAGCAGCCTCAAAAACCGCATGCTCGTCATCGGCTTCAACCAGACGCCGAGGATCATCAGCAATCTGGCTGGGCCAAACATTGCAGACAAGTTTCTCAAGAGGCTCAACTTTCGCTGGGCTTTCGGCGCTTTCGCCATCATCCTGGTCGGCTGCAGTCTGCCCGCCATGGGTCTCATGACTTACATGTTCCGCAAGGCTCTCAAGAGGGGCGTCTTTCAGAAGCGCGCGCCGTCAGGTAGGAAGTGGCACCAGTCAGTGGCGCACTATGTTGTCGAGATCGACTTGGCCGGCATGATTCTCATCATGGGGGCGCTTTCCTGCATCCTACTGCCCTTCAGTTTGGTCAATTACGCTCCCCAGAAGTGGAAGACGCCATACATCATTGCCATGTTGGTGCTTGGTGTGATTCTCTTCCCGGTCTTTTACATTTGGGAGGCCAAGTTTGCGCCAGTGCAATTCCTACCTTGGAGGTACCTCAAGCAGGGGACTATTATCGGCTCTTGCCTACTCTATGGCATCATGTTTTTGTCAACGTTCACGTGGAACGGCTATTTCAACTCGTATCTGCAAGTCGTGCACCGACAAAGCGTCGAGCACGCAGGATACATTACCAACACCTACTCCCTTACATCGTCCTTCTTTGGGCCCATCATTGGATACATCATCCACAAGACGGGCAACTTCAAGTGGACCGCCTACAGCGGTGTGCCGATTATGCTGCTGGGGACGGCGCTTCTCCTGCCTTTCCGCCAACCTGACGCGCCCGTGGGAATGCTCGTGTTCACACAATTCCTGGTCGGTCTCGGAAGCGAGGTCTTCGTCATTTGCAGCTCGCTTGCAGTCATGGCACCTGTCACGCACCAGTACATTGCTGTCACAAACGCACTTGCGGGCCTCTTCGGCGGCTTCGGCGCCTCCATTGGATTGTCCATCGCCGGGGGCATCTGGAACAATTTGTTGCCCAAGGAGCTGTACAACCGCCTGCCCGAGGCGGCCAAAGGTAGATCGACTGAGATCTTCGGTGATTTGAAGTTGCAGATGAAGTTTGCCGACGGGTCGCCGGAGCGGGACGCTATCGTTGGAGCCTACGCCCATGTCATGAGGTACATGCTCATCGCGGGCGTGGCGTTGATGCCACTCTGCCTGTTGTCTATCGTTGTCTGGAAGAACATCAACGTCAAGAAGATTGAGGAGGAGAGGGGCAAGCAGACGAAGGGTACCACTTTCTAATTGGAAAGTGGAAATCACAAGTACCAAACCCGAAATCTTCATCGAACTTCACACCTTCTCTCAGGCTGGGATACCGGAGTGCCCACCACCTCAAAGACAGACGACTCGTGACTATGGATGCGATGGCTCCAAGCTGTGTAGCAGAACATTGAAGTTTGGGCAGGGTACTAGCAGTGGCAGAAATGAACGGATGTGGCAGCATTGTCACCCTCATGGCTTCGCCAGAAAGATTCGTTCTCACGGTGGCCCGTTAGGATAGCACTATTCGACTTATGACGACACTTTGCACGCTTATTCTTCAGGTCAGAGTTCTTGCTAATGACAGCTCAATCTACTTCGTACGTGCTGACCTCACATGTACTTTTCGTTTTGCCCCCAAAAAAACCCCCAAGGCCATTTGGCATACGTTCCACCCTTCATGTCATCAAGCAGCACTTGCTTACAGCCGGCTGGTGGCCCGCAGGCTAGACTCCTTGCTCAGCTCAAACCGATCCAGGTTCATGACCTTGTCCCATGCGGCAATAAAGTCCTTCACGAATCTCTGAGCACCATCGGCGCTGCCGTAGACCTCAGCCACGGCACGCAGCTCAGCCTGAGAGCCGAATGCCAGGTCGGCCCGGGTGGCCGTCCACTTCTTGGCGCCGCTCTTCCGGTCGCTGCCCTCGAAGACATCGCCATCGGCTCCAGCCTGCTTCCACACAGTGCCCATGTCCAGGAGGTTGACGAAGAAGTCGTTGGTCAGAGTTCCGGGGCGGCTGGTGAAGACACCGTGGGCCGAGCCATCGTAGTTGGTGTTGAGGACGCGGAGGCCACCGACGAGAGCCGTGAGCTCGGGAGGCGACAGCGTGAGAAGCTGTGCCCTGTCGATGAGGAAGTTCTCCAGCTTAATCCTGTCCGTGGACTTGCCATAGCTGCGGAAGCCGTCGGCGTAGGGCTCGAGATGTCCGACGGACTCGACATCAGTCTGCTCCTGCGAGGCATCCATGCGGCCTGGAGTGAAAGGAACAGTGACGTCGTTGCCAGCATCCTTGGCGGCCTTCTCGACGGCGGCGCAGCCAGCCAGTACGATCAGGTCAGCCAGAGAAACCTTCTTGCCACCACTCTGGAACCGCTTCTGGATGCCCTCCAGAGTGCTGAGCACTTCGGCAAGCTGGCGGGGGTTGTTGACCTCCCAGTCCTTCTGGGGCGCCAGGCGGATACGGGAGCCGTTGGCACCGCCGCGCTTGTCGCTGCCGCGGAAAGTCGAGGCAGAGGCCCAGGCAGTGGACACAAACTTGGACGGGTTCACGCCGGAGGCGAGGATCTCCTTCTTGAGGGCCGCAATGTCGCGGTCATCGATGACGGCGTGGTTGAGAGCCGGGATGGGGTCCTGCCAGATGAAGTCCTCAGAGGGAACCTCGGGTCCGATATAGCGAACGCGGGGGCCCATGTCACGGTGCGTCAGCTTGAACCACGCCTTGGCAAAAGCATCTGCGAACTGGTCAGGGTTCTCGAGGAAGCGTCGAGAGATCTTCTCGTAGGCCGGGTCGTAGCGGAGCGACAGGTCGGTCGTCAGCATAGTGGGCAAATGCTTCTTGTTAGGGTCAAAGGCATCGGGGATGATGGGCTCGGCATTCTTGGCCACCCACTGGTTCGCACCAGCCGGGCTCTTGGTGAGCTCCCAGTCGTACTTGAACAGGTACTCGAGATACTGGTTGCTCCACTTGGTGGGTGTCTTGGTCCACGTCACCTCCAGGCCGCTGGTGATGGTGTCGGGGCCCTTTCCGGAGCCGTGGCTGTTCTGCCATCCGAGGCCCTGAGCCTCGATGCCAGCCGCCTCGGGCTCCTTGCCCACGTTGCTAGCCGGCGCAGCACCGTGCGTCTTGCCGAAGGAGTGGCCACCGGCGATCAGGGCGACGGTCTCCTCGTCGTTCATGGCCATGCGGCCGAACGTGGTGCGAATATCACGGGCCGCAGCCACAGGGTCGGGGTTTCCGTCGGGACCCTCAGGGTTGACGTAGATGAGACCCATGTGGGCGGCCGCAAGGGGCGACTCGAGGTCACGGGTGTGGATGTCCTTGGCATCGGGAGCCTTCTGAGCGGCATCAACGGCACCGTGGTGCTTGACGCCCTCGTGGCCATGCGAGTAGCGAACATCATTGCCCAGCCAGGTAGTCTCGCCACCCCAGTAGACGGACTCGTCGGCCTCCCAGGCATCGCTACGGCCGCCAGCGAAGCCGTACGTCTTGAAGCCCATGGACTCGAGCGCCACATTGCCGGTCAGGACAAGCAAATCAGCCCAGGAGATCTTGTTGCCGTACTTCTGCTTAATGGGCCACAGCAGCCGGCGGGCCTTGTCGAGGCTGACGTTGTCCGGCCAGCTGTTGAGGGGGGCGAATCGCTGCTGACCCTGTTTTGGGTTGACGCGCCGGTTAGCGATAATTCCAGCCGACCCAACCCTTACAGCATCAATTGATTGGAACATACCTGACCAGCACCGCCACGGCCGTCAAACACACGATAGGTGCCGGCGCTGTGCCAGGCCATGCGGATGAAGAGCCCGCCGTAGTGGCCAAAGTCCGCCGGCCACCACTCCTGGGAGTCGGTCATGAGCTCATTGAGGTCTTTCTTGATGCCCTCATAGTCGAGGGTCTTGAAGGCAGCGGCATAGTCGAACTCCTTGCCCAGCGGGTTCGTCAGGTCGGTGTGCTGGCGCAGGATGTTGAGCTTGAGCGAGTCGGGCCACCAGTCGCGGTTCCTGGTGCCGCCGCCACCAATGTTCATCTCCTGAACAGGGCACTTGCGCTCTGCCATGGTGCTGCAGGTGTATCTCTCGTCCTTTTGACTATGATGTTGAAGCTGTCCCTGGGCTATGCGGTGAGCTGATGGAAATGAGAGGGACGCAATTGGGGGCTTCAACGGATGAGGGGCGCCACGCCCCGCGTTTTATGTGTCAACGGACCCCGCACCCAATGACGAATAGCTGGAATCTTATTTGCTCGGGGCCGGTCCGCCGAGCGACAGCTTTCGGTCAGTTACAGTCCCTATCCAGGCATTAACGAGACACCTTGCGGTCGGCCCCGTTCGACAGTGAAGGCTATGTTATGGCGCGTTAGAATTCTTATCAGCTCCGGGCGCCTTGGCCAGGATCTGGGACAACAAGGTCACCGTTCCTTCCGTGGTTCCGCCAACGCTTGCGGACCCTGCCTTCCCGTAAAGTTTCACGCGTTTCCCGTCCGAGTCGAGCCTAATACGAGGCGGTTGGCAGCCGCCGTGCTCTTGTTTCCCATCACCAAGTAAGAGACACGCTCACGCTGGGATGTCGCGGATCTGGTCGGTTCCGTGGTCCTCGCTCTCGAAGCAGCTTGACTCCCTCCCTACCTACGAAGTAGGTACATGTATGCTCTCATCAGGGTGCTCCTTGTGGCTCGTGCACCCATCATCACCGTTTCCACCGGCACTTCGGTGGAATATGCCGGCCGCCTCCGCCCGGGCCCTTGATTGGCCCTGGCTCCTCACTTTTCGTCAACCCTCTCCGTTATTACGTGAAGGCCAGCGATCCTTGACGCTCTCCAAACCTCCGGTTGTTGCCGAATCCACAGCTGTGTCGTCCATAACCTGGCTTGGTCTGCCCACGCCGACGACCGATTCTTGAGCTTTCGACGCCTCTCGACTATTTGGGAAGGCCTCAGCGAGCTACCCCGCCACGCCGACCTCCTCACCCCACCCGACCGGCTTCCGCGGCCTCGTTGCCGGTCACGGGGCTCCAGCCGATGCAGCCCCTGACGAGCTTGGCTTGGCCTTGGGAGTGGCCGCGTGCTGAGAGGCCAATTTCATATTTAGCCGTCTCGTGGCCTTGCTTGATGCCGTTCAATTACGACGACCGTTCTCAGGAGATACCGCAGGCTTGCGCCAGCTTCAACACCTTCGGACTAAAGCGGGCCACGAGTGATCTCACTTCGAGCTTAGCTAGCGTGTCATGCTTTAGCCTCTGGACCGTCCAATGGTCTTGCCGCTGTAACAAATGGAGCTCGAAACCCTCTTCGCGTGGACGCCGTCGTGTTTAGGGTAGCCCTCAGGAGCCACGATAAACGTGATGGATGACGCGCAGGGAGGGCAGATAAAGCGCAGAACAGTAATTTGCCACTGCATTCCAGGCGAAACGGCACGGAGCATTCCCCAATGTTCCCATCCGCCGGCAGTATACATAGCCATAGCTTACCTATAACGGAGATGTCGTCGGTTTTTGCTCCTTAAGGTCGTAGGGAATGCGTTGTGTGGGGGCCGGCGCTCGTTCCTCTGCAATTGTGGACGTCTGTTGTCTCAATCACGATTGTCGGGGAGGGCCGCAGCCTGAGGCTCTCTGTTCCGACACAGTGTACTGGATAGCACTACATAACACAATGGTAGTATCATATGTGGCAATTGGGAACCCTCCTTGCCATCCTCCACCTTGTTCTACGTGAACGCCTGGGGTGTTCGCGTTGCGCCCGTTCTCCCACGTTCATGTTACATGTAGCAGTTGAGACCATATTTGTGCCCGAGGGTTCGCAGACAGCAAGATTACGCGGCCCGCAGCGCTACTCTCCTTGTCAGGGCTTTTGCTCTGTATACGGGACAAGCGCGGCACCCACTGACAGACACGGGATTGCGGCGAAGCCGCTTGCAATCGATGCCAGTTGCTCGTGGGAGAACCACGCGACAACGTCTGTCGTGTCAGCAAAGTCGCTTCGGTGGTGGACCATTCCCGAACATTTTCTGACTTCGTTATTGTCGCAACCGTGCCAATCCAATCACGTTCCTTCTTTAGAGATTGAGTCCGACTTGAGCGAGGACTACGAGTTACTGTCAGCCCCAGCCACGGACATCTTTCAAAGTGCCTATCAGCAATGTCCAGCAGCACTATTGAATCATGTCTTACACATCGGAGCCGAGTAAATGGAACTTCGCTCGTGCGCCATAATATTTGCACGCTACTGTCTGACGCTATAGATATCGGCCGATGTACTTCAGGCAATTGACCCACGAATAAAGTGCTATGGCGGCTAAGAGCCGTTCACTTTGCAATGCCACTTAAGCCCTACTTTCAAGCATCTCCGTTCTAACGACTTCCAGGCTACCAGCCAGTCCCAGAACTTGCAGGTTTCATGATGCATGTCCCCACGTGACAGACAATGGATGATCTCCTGCCTTTCTAGCCGAGGCCTGTTGAAGAGGCAAAAATAAATTCGGGGATGTTCAGGGCATTGGTCATGCTGCATTTTTTTTAATTTCCCTTGGACCCCGAATGCATCACAACATGGCGATGGACGGCATTCTGGAGTTGGTCCTGCATGCCTGATGTAACCGCACTTTCTGCATGGCTTACGGTCCACTGGCGATCGCCAGTAGGAGTGCTGACAGGACAGGCACAATCGTCTTGCCACAACCATTAACAGGCTGTTATTGTTGCATCAGGCTAGGCGAGTGGCCCCTGCCGCCGTATGAGTGCGGACGCCACATCATTTTTGTCACCTCATGTGGTGGCAGGGGATCGCATGTCTCTCGGCTCACTGCCACGATGGATCGCATGCAGTGCCTCTGACACGATGGAACCTCTGACCAACAGACTGCGGGTTAAGACGGCCAGAAAGTACAGCAGCATTGGTGCTCCGCAGTTGGACAGAAGCAATTTAGAAATTCGCGCAGCGCTTGCTACAGGGGACCAACAGCCGGTTTGTGAGAAGTAATATGTCCTGGTGCATCCGTCCTGGACCACTCGGCCTCGTCTCGCCAGATATTCGGCCCATTTCCTAACACGGTTCCCATCACTTGCAGCCATCATTCGCGCAACAACATCCGCAACCACAAGCATCATCCAGACACTGTTCAACATAGCTCTCCACGATGTACAACAACAAAACGTTAATGTACAAGCAGTACACGCCATACTGCCCCGTTCCTGGGAAGCATTTGACAGTGGAGTCTCGACCTTTTGACCCCGATGCGCCTCCTCCTCCAGGCGGCATTACGGTCAAAAACATGCTCCTCTCATTTGACCCCTATCAGCGTGGTCAAATGCGCCGCCCTGGAGATGCTGGAACATATTCTCTGCCCTGGGTAGAGGGACAGCCGGCAGTCGTCACTACGCTGTCGACTGTGCTCAAGTCCGACAACCCCGGATTCTCACCAGGTGACTTGGTCAGTGCTATGGCAGATGCTGGGGAATATGCAGCGGTGCCAGCGGAGCTTGCTGCCCAGACCCGCGTCTATCCTCCATTACCTCCAGGTATAACAATCGCGCCGTCAGCGCTCATTGGCGCCTTGGGAGTCGCTGGCCTCTCCGCGTATGTTAGTTTCAATGAGTTCGTCAAAGAGCCTCGTGAGGGCAAGACCATCTTCATTTCTGCGGCAAGTGGTGGCGTCGGCCAGGTCGTCGGACAAATGGCCAAAATGCAGGGCATGAAGGTCATCGGGAGCACCGGCAGTCAAGACAAGGTGGACTTTGTTGTTAATGAGCTGGGTTTCGATGCGGCATGGAATTACAAGACGGAGGCGACTGGCGCTGCCCTCGACAGACTCGCTCCAGAAGGCTTAGACGTCTATTACGACAACGTCGGCGGTGAGCAGCTGGAGACCGCCCTGACGAGGATGAAAGACTATGGAACCATAGGTGAGAGCGTCGGCAGGTTTCTCGGTAGTCGCAGGCAAGCACTGACTTCAAACCGGCACAGTCTCCAGCGGGATGGTATCTGTTTACAACTATCCAGACGAGGAGAAATACGGCATACGCACCGGAATGAATATATTTTTGAAGCGACTCACCATCCACGGGTTTGTGTGCTCTGACCCACAGCATCTTCAAAAGTACTTGCCAACGTTTGGGCCCGATATGGTAACCTGGCTTGCGAGTGGGAAGATCAAGACCAAGGAAGAGGTCATGGTTGGCATCGACAACGCCCCGGAGGCGATGATCAGGATGTGGAATGGCGACAAATTTGGCAAAATGGTTCTCAAGATTGACACAGATTGAACGTGAGTGGCGGATTCGGCTTTGAGGAAAACCTCACTTGTGCAAGTACCTGTGGATGTAACAGGGCGACTCCAGTCGAAATAATAAACAAAGGAAATCAACGTCATGTGAGGACAGAGACAGAGTATGAATACAAGACGGCTAAACTAGTGCTACCAATCAAGTTTAGGCCATACAATCCGTAATCGGAACTGCCACGACGCCATTTCAATCCCTTGAACTCAGACTGCTGTGCCGATTCCATGGCGCGAGTAGTACTCGTGCTGCATGTCGTGAAGGTTTCCCGACGCGCTCGTTCCACTAGAGTTCCGTCCACTTGCCAGAATGTGGTTTGTTTCGCTACTGCTGTTGGCGTTAAAAATGAACCTTGTGGTATTGGGTTGAAGGGGTGCGTCATACAAAGATTGGCTCTCGCCCGGTGAGGACTTTTGTTCCCTCATGCTGATTGACGACCCAGTCGAGTGCCGTGTCTGAGATCGAGCGGTGCCCGCTAGCCGTCTAGTTGCGCGCACGAACAGAGGTCGAAGTACAGGAAGACATGCGGCGATGAGGTAGCATCCCGACTCGACGAGAGACCAAGTCGCGATGTCGGCGGAGTCCCAGGTGCCGTCACTAAGGGCTGTCACGCGGAAGGTTACGGTGAGCCGAACAATGCTGGCGACGATTCCACTGTAGTGTATAACATGGTCAGTATGGATTATCCATCATAATGTGAGGGCGATTCCCTGGGGGGCGACTTACAGACTACCCATTAAGAAGATGCCAGACAGAGCCAGTTTCTGGTTCTTTGACACCTGAAGGCGCCACACGACGGGCATTGGAAGGATGAGCATGACCACATCGGTGGCAATATTTGGCACACTCATGCCCTTCCAGTAGCGCACGGCATCTATGCAGTTGCTGATAAAGAGCTTCAAGTCCCATCGCGAGGAGAACGGATGGCAAGATGCGAGCGATGTGATGATGCCGGCAATCGCAGTCGCCATGACAATCCCGGCGACAGTGTATGTGATGATTCGGTACGGGCGCGTCGTGAAGATGCGAAGATATGAAGCCAGAATAGACAGCTTCGGGAATGCAACTGCTGCACAATACAGTTGCTCGATCGCGTAACCACATTTCGCCCAATTCACGACTGCTTGAGGGTTCGTGACAAGCAGGACGTCCAGGTGGCGACCGATCCCGGCAATTTTGGCCTCAACTGTTCCGTTTGTAAGTTCTTGAGGTCAAGAGATAGCCTTCCAGATCTTACTGATTGCTATGGTGCACATCCCGAGGGAAAATACAAGCGCTGGGATGATGAGGTAGTCGTCGAGTCCCCATTTCGTCTTGCAGACAGCCCGCGCAGTAAAGCGCAGGGCGGCGATTGCAATCTCCAAAACAATAAAAGTAACGCCGACTGCGATTACACGAGCGCTGATATCCTCTTCCGCGTAACCTGGCGGGAATGCAGAAGTTGGGGACGCCATCACCGTGACTTACTGCATGTGGATTGCTCTGTCCATGTCTCGATGGCGACAGTGGTTGACAAGAACAAGAGCGAAAAGCAGGGAGTGCAAATGCAAGCACTTTGACCTGTAAAGGCCCGCCTAGACTCCATGTTGCACAATGCACATCAACGGAACCAAGCACCGCGGCAGGATCATACGAGGACAACGCCGACGCGTACGCTCACAGGTTGTTGGCCTCACATGAGGTAGTGTTGATGCGACCCTCCTAGTCTGCACGGCGTGACGGGATCCCCCGTAAGATTTCGGAGGATCCTTCATCCAGGCAAGTGTGAGACGGTGTCGATTTGACCCTGCGACGGCAAACACTGCGACAATCGGCACGATGGATCCGTCCCGTCCGTCAGCAGGATGACCCGGTTTTACCCTTGCAGATGCACCGAGGCGACACGGATGGCAGGCACCATTCCCGTGCCCAAGTTGGCTGTTGATAGGCGCAGAGCAGGCATTCTTGAGATCGATGCATAGCCCCGGCCCCCAATACGATGGCGGCTGGGTGCCATCAACAACCAGGGATCCAAGTCGCACGTCACGCGGGGCATTTACCACACAGGGCCTGGCTTGCAACTTGGGGGCCGCAGCAATTCCGGGACGTCACCAAAGATGGGGTGACACTGTCTTCGCTAAATATAATTGATGAATGATATCTGGCTTGGTCTTGGTCATGTTGAATTGCGACGGTGCCACGATATTGTCCGCGGAATCCGAATACTGTCTGATCTATATGCAGAGAAACCACGCCTCCAGTGTGTATCCTCCAAGGAGGGCCAGTGCTACACAAACCCAATGGTTCTGAAATGACGGAGATCTTTCCATGAAATCGAGGTAGACTACTGAGCCTCGATCGTTCTGAACATGGGCTCGACGGCGGCGTACAGCGGCCCGGAGCCGATTGCTGTCATAGGCATTGGTATGTTTGCAGACACCGTCACGAAACGATGTATCTAATTCGATTTTCTTGTAGGGTGTCGCATGCCGGGCGATGTCCGTTGCCCAAAAGATCTATGGAATCTGCTCATGTCGGAACGCATCGCCAACAAAGCTAAAGTTCCCAGATCGCGATTCAACATTGATGCATACCTTCATCCGAGCAATGAACGACCAGGAAGCTTCAACGTCCCAGGAGGCTATTTTCTCGAAGATGACCCCGAGGCGTTCGACCATGGGTTGTTCAATATTTCCCCCGTGGAGGCTCTGTGGATGGATCCGCAACAGAGAAAGCTACTTGAAGTGGTATATGAGGCGTTTGAGAGCAGTGGGACAACCCTTGAGACAGTTTCTGGACAGAAGACAGGATGTTTTGTTGGATCGTTCACATTTGACTTCCAACACATGGCTCAGAAAGAATCCGACTTCAGACATGCGTACGTATCGACGGGGGTTGATACCGGAATACTTGGCAATCGCATCAGCTACGTTTTCGACCTGAGAGGCCCGAGGTATGACTTTCCGAGTCGAGGTAAAAGATATAACATGAAGAACGCCACTGACCGGATATACAGCCTGACTGTAAACACAGCCTGTTCATCGTCCCTATACGCCCTCGACCTTGCCTGCAAAGCTATCGCGTCAGGCGAATGTGATAGTGCCGTCGTGGGCGGGACAAACCTCATTCTTACCGTTGACCAACAGATGAACACGGCGAGGCTCGGCGTTCTCTCTCCGACAAACCAGTGTCATACATTCGACGACGCCGCAGACGGCTATGGTAGAGCTGAAGGCGTCGGCGCCTTGTACATCAAGCCTCTGAGTGCTGCTATCAGGGACGGCGATCCCGTTCGCGCTGTGATTCGATCAACGGCAGCAAGCAGGCACGTTGTCCACCCCATATGCTGAGTCCTTGAACAGCCACATCTAATATGCAGTGGTAGTTCCGGGAAGTGCAAGGATGGGATGACGCACCCCAGTGTCGAAGGGCAGGTGGCCGTTATCCAGTCCGCGTATCAGTCGGCAGGTTTAAGTCCGTCACAAACCAGCTACGTTGAATGCCATGGAACTGGAACCCCCGTCGGCGATCCCATTGAAGTTGAAGCCATCCATAAAGCAATGGGAGCACCCAGGGCTGTCTCAGATCCTGTGCTCATTGGAAGTGTAGGTTGTACTATACAGCCCCTGGCCCATTACTGTACTGACTGCCGCACAGGTCAAGCCCAATATCGGACATAGTGAAGCCGCGAGCAGTATGGGAACTCTTATCAAGGCAATCCTCGCTTTGGAGAACGGTATAATCCCGCCCACGGTTGGCATTACCAGCCCGAGCAAAAGCAGTACGTATGCCGGTTGCACCGCCGCCAAGAATTTGAGCTCACTTCATGAATCCAGTTCCATGGACTGAACGAACTGTTCATGTCGTTACGCAGCCGATGGCTTTCCCAGAGAGGCAGCTTCTTCGACGAATCGGTGTCAGCGCTTTTGGCTATGGCGGAACAAACGCGCACGCGATTCTCGAGAGCGCCGATAATCTTGTGCCGCCTCATCATCTCCGACACCGGTTCGTCAGGCCACTGGGTGCATGTGTGTCTCAAAGTGTGGTTCCTCCGGATGAAGTCGCAGCACGGCCGTCCTTGCTGCTGCTATCGGCCCACGACGAGCCTACCTTGAAGAATACGATCTCCGACTACGCCCGCGAGTGCAAAGATGCGGACCTTCTCGATTTAGCGTATACCTTGGGTGTAAGGCGGAGCAAACTAGCTCGAAGAACGTTTGCTGTCTGCAGAAAGTCCACATTTGCGACTGACATGCTCGAAGCATCCTCCAGCTCACTGATGGCACCGAACCAGCCGACACGAATTGCTTTCGTGTTCACGGGTAGGTCCAGATACCCCTTCTGACCTATACCTTAGACGTACTGACTCATGCAGGCCAAGGTACGCAGTGGACAAGGATGGGAGCCCAGCTCTTCGACATGTATCCAACGGTACTCTGGACGATACAGAGTCTGGACAGACATCTGGCAACCTTGTCTGTGGCGCCAACATGGACAATTGAAGAAATGCTCCTGAAAGGACAAGATAGCGTCGTGAATGATTCCGAGTACTCGCAGCCTCTTTGCACGGCTATTCAAATTGTGCTCGTGGACCTCCTGGCGAGTTGGAATGTTTCCCCGACAGCAACTATTGGACACTCCTCTGGTATGCCATCCGCCTCATGTTAACCCCAAACCTCGCGGGTTGCGCTCGATGCTAACAGCCAACCCAAAAAGGTGAAATCGCTGCGGCGTACGCTGCAGGTACAATATCAGCCGAGGATGCGATCACCGCTGCTTACTTCAGAGGCAAGGTCGCCGCGTCTTTGAGATCCGACGGTGCCATGCTGGCTGTAGGCCTTGGAGCAAGCGAAGCTCAGGACATCGTCGAAAGTGGCCCATGGCGGGGGAGAGTCATCGTGGCATGCCACAACTCGCCCAATGCTGTGACGCTCAGCGGCGACTGCGTTCCTATTGAGCAGCTGAAACTCGAGTTCGACAACCGAAACATATTCGCGCGAATGGTGAAAACAGGTGGAAAGGCGTATCATTCTCATCACATGAGAGATGCCGCTATAGCCTACGAAAGCTATCTCACTAGTGAGGCAGCGACGGCACAAACGCCAAGTCGTGGCGTCGTTGTGCCAATGTTCTCTACAGTCCGGCCAGAGCGTTTAGTCACTGTCAATGGGTACATCCCAGCCAGCTACTGGGTTGACAATTTGAACAGCCCCGTCCTCTTCTCCGAGGGCCTCCATCAAATGTTGGACACAATGCCAGAGCTGAACACCATTATCGAGTTAGGCCCGCATCCCGCCCTGGCTGGATCGATACGGCAGATCTGCCAGGTTCTGGGGAGAAATGAGATTGTCCATATACCAACACTGAAGCGCAATGAACACGACGGAGAGCAGATGCTTAAGATGGCCGGAAGTCTCTGGACCATGGACGCAGACATTGACGTGGTGGCTGTAACCTCAATTGATCGCATCGAAGGCGGGTCAATTGAACGACGAACTGGGCATCTGCTCGTCGATCTTCCCACGTATCACTGGACATATTCGAAGCCATGCTGGACGGAATCGCGGCAGAGCCGAGAACATCGGCAAATGATTGAGCCACGGCACGATATACTGGGCCGAAGGGTTCTGGGCACGTCGCCCCTTGAGCCAATTTGGCGAAACGTACTGCGACTGAAGGATCTGCCTTGGCTGGCTCAGCACCGTTTGGGGGGCGAGTTCATGTTGCCAGGTTCGGGATACCTCGCGCTTGCTCTGGAGGCAATTACGCAGATCAATGCACAATCGCAATTACCACTTCCAGTCGACAGCTATACAGTCAGAAATGTGGTCATATCCACTGCGACCGTGGTACCCGACGATGACGAGGGCACTGAGATCATGTTCCGCCTACAGCCAGAATCCGGGAAGCTTGACGTGTCCGAAAATGGTGTTTCCAGTCAATGGTATGACTTTCAAGCATCCTGTTGCGCCTATGGAACATGGAAGGAAACCGCAAGAGGCCGGGTTGCCATCAACGTCAGAGGTCTTGACTCTCGACAAACGACGGCACCCTTCCCCGAGACACCACATCGAGCAGACCATCTTGACTGGCTAGACAAGCTACGATCAGTTGGCTTCGACTTGGGCCCAGCTTTCTGTCATATTACCAGCATTTTCACCAATGGCAAGTCGCACCATGCTCGCGGCGACATGTCAATCAACACTACCTGCGGTCTGATGGAGGCGGAGTCGCGCTATGTTCTCCATCCTACAGTTCTTGACTCTTGCTTGCAGCCCTTTTTAGCGACAATTCATCAAGGCAGAATTGATGAGGTCCGTTGCGGTACGATCCCGACGCACTTCGATGAGGTCACGGTGTACCCCCCAACACCACAACAGTTCGTTGAGCCATCCAAGCTGCAAGTATGGACTCCTCAGCTTGGCAATCGTGCTTTCTCGTCGAACTCACAATTGATCGCGAGTGATGGGGCGTTACTGGTCGACATTTCTGGATGTCGCAATCTTCTTTATGGTTCTGCTATCCCCGAAGATATGAAGGGTCCTCGCAATCAGGACTTGTTCATCAAGTCCGAATGGAAGATCGACGCGGAGTATATCGAATGGGCGAATGCCCCCATGGCGCTGGATGGGGACCCGATAATTGCCGCGACAGACATACTGCTGCATAAGAATATCTCGCAACGGACGCTGTGTCTAAATGCGTCATGGGCCGACGAAGTACTCGCTGCTCACCCTGGGACTGACTTGACCATCGCCATCTATTCGGCGACTCAATTGGAACAACGTTCCGCCAAGTCTGTCGAAGCTTGCTCGATACGCGCGATCGAAGTTTCACCCCAGTTGCACACCGTGGAAGAAGAGGAGCCCTTCCAATTGGTGCTCGCGTCCGTGGCGCGAGATGGTCAGCAGCATACAAAGCTCGACAACATCCATCGCATGATGGTGGCCTCTGGCGTGCTTCTCCTCCAGATCGATCCCAGCGACGCCGAAGAATGGGCTCAAGATTTGCATTTGGCCAACTTTGGTGGGGTCACCCAACTCGCTGGTGGCGTTGTCCTCGCAACGGCCGAGAAGAGCGTTGAGGTCAATGTCGACGCCTCTGTTGTGGTGCCGGGGCACGTCGTCCTTGTATACAGAACGCATACAACGCCATTACTGCAGTCGATGGCTCAATCATTGAGAGGGAAGGGATGGCAAGTATCGTGTCGGCCCATTAGCTCACCAGGTACGGTCTCCGGATGCCCAGTCTTATTGTTGGCAGATCTGGAAGGCCCTTTGCTCGCAGACCTCGGAGAAGAGGATTTGAAGGGGCTTATCTTCTTGACCGAGAACGCCTCTGCGATTACCTGGGTCACATTCGGTGGCCTTTTGACGGGCGACAAGCCAGAGTACGGCATGACGGCGGGTGCAGCTCGGGTCATTCGGAACGAAAAGGGATCGCTCGACCTTGTCACGGTTGATGTTGACCTTGAAACGACCAGCGTTGCACGAATCGCACATCTGCTGATCGACATACTTTCCCGCCAGCGCCTCCGAGGCCGAAATGGAGAGACCGAATATTGCATGACGAAGGATATGGTATACGTCGCCAGGCTTGTCGCACACCACGAGATCAACTCCAATCTCGTCATGGACTCCGGAAAGTCGTTGACAGTCTACCAGTGCGACCGCCCTCTCGTTTATGGTGCTATTCGCGACGGAGAAATTGTTTATCACAAGCAGATAAGTCAACCCAATAATGAACTTGGCACCGAGGAAGTTGAAGTCCTCGTCGAGGCAATCGGCCTGACGTCTTCGGATTGGTCCGATGACTCGACGCACCTGAGCCACGAGATCGCGGGAGAGGTCTCCAGAGTCGGAGATGGAGTGACCGATCTCGTCCCCGGGATGAAAGTTGTCGCTTTGGCTTACGGCAATCTCTCGACCGTGCAGCGCACCCAGCCTCGCTTCACCCGCCAGCTCCCACTGCACATTACTCCGATCCAAGCTGCGGCGATGACATCAGCATTCGTGACCGCAACGTATGCATTGGAAGACATCGGCCGCATTGAGAGCGGTGACTACGTGGCGATTGTCGACGGACTCAGCCATGTTGGTCTGGCGGCACTCGAACTTTGCCACCGTCGCGGTGCTCGGGCGATCGTACTGAGCAGCTCCCCGTCGACAAGCGCTTACGTTGCGGACAACGGTCTCGCTCGCGACAATGAGATAGTCTCGTGCTTCAATGGCGACATCTCTGGTCAAGTTTCTCAAGCCGCTCGTGGTAGAGGCTTAGACATTGTGCTTTGCTCCAGCGACTCCGACCATCTTGTGGTAACCGAATGTATCCGATGCATCAACACGTTGGGCAGAGTAATCACTGTCGGTGGATCGTATCAACTGCCGGCATCTCAGAACGACCTTGGCCGACACGGCAGGAATTTGAGCTTCGCAAAGTTCGACTTGAAGGATATTATGGATCAGCGACCGCGGGCGGTTTCGAGGTACTCTCCACTGGCGTCCCATGCATCACTCGAAGCTAAGAAGTCAACAGGATCCTCAACGACTACGTTCGGTTGTGTCGCGAAGGCAAGCTGAGGTGCTCGCACCCATTTGCGGTTCACTCACCTGCAGGCATAAGTAATGCATTGGTACTGCGATCGACCTCAGGCGGACTAGCCTCCACCAAAAACGTGCTATCGTACGACGAGACAGCCACGTTCAAGGTACCGTTTACCTACAGTTTCCTACGCCCAGGCACTAATCAGCTTGAAGGTCCATCCATCGCCGGTGCCGCTGGTACTGCGCAACGACGGCACATATTTGTTGGTCGGCTGTTTGGGAGGCCTAGGGCGGCAAGTGGCCATGTGGATGGCCGACCGTGGTGTAAAACACATGGCCTTCTTCTCGCGCACAGGAACAGACAATACCTCTGCGGCGAGAACGGTCCAGGCATTGCGAGACCGGGGAGTCGAGGTAATGGTCCTACGCGGCGACATAACGAAGTTCAACCACGTGCAGGATGCTGTGGCCCAGGCCAGTTCCGCCCTACCAATTCGTGGCATGATCAACGCGGCGAATGTCCTTCATGATCGTGTCTTCCACAACATGGACGTAGAGTCGTGGCGAGCCGTTACGGACACGAAAGTCAAGGGCTGTTTGAACCTGCACAACGCACTCGTCGACCAGCCTCTGGACTTCTTCGTCATGACCAGCTCAATCACGTCGACGCTGGGCTCTACAGGGCAAAGCAACTATGGAGCCGGTAAGTTCCCCTGAGCGATGCTCAACTCTCCACAGCTCGACTGACGGTCCGCAGCAAACTCATTCCTGGACTCCCTAGCGAGACACAGGCGTTCTCGTGGACTTCCTGCAGTCTCCTTGATCCTCCCGGCCATCCTCGGTATTGGTTACTTGTCTGAGAGACCTGAGATTGTGCAGTCAATCAAGGCCAAGGGCATGTACGGCATATATGAGCCAGAGATGCTCAGGGCCTTCGAAATAGCAATGACACCGCAAGATGGCCTTCACAGCACGTTCGATCACCTTGCTGTTGGCATACAGCCACGACGTTATGGCGAGGCTATCAGAATTGCCGGTGCCTATGTTCCATGGAAAGAAGACCCTCGCCTGAACTGGCTAGAGAAGGCTTGTGCTTCTCAAGCAGGGCCTGTCACTACCCACGGCCCAGGCGCCACCTCGGGATCACAGACCATTCAAGCCGTTATTGAAGGGAAGCCAAGTCCCGAGAAGGCGGTGGAAGAGATCACTGCCCTGCTCACTCGACGACTGGCGCGTCTGCTCATGATCGATGAAGCAGCAATCCAGCACTCACAGAAGTCAGTGGCGAGCTACGGCTTGGACAGCATGATCGGCGCGGAGTTTCGCAATTGGATCTTTCGCGAATCTCAAGTCCAAGTGCCCTTCCAAAGGCTTCTGGCAGGCAATCTCACAGTCGCCAAGTTGGCGCGGATCATTGTGCTGAAGGAAGAGTAGCTGGATGAAACTCTGCACCGACGCTTGTATACATTTAACCCTGTGCTTCAACATGATTTTGGTGCTGTTTCTGGAAGGATTGGCTTCGTAGGATAAGGATTGTGTCATTCAACCTCAGTCCACATCTGTGACAGCTGCATGACTTCCGCCCATTCATCTCCACGGTTGGCATTGGCCATTCCTGATTGCATGCTGTTGAAAAGCTGCGCCCCCGTGGCTCCATGCTCCGTTTCGTACCACCCAATGGAGCTATTGCCATGCAAGTTGCCGTCTGTCGTATCGCTCAATACCGCCATGCTGTTCATGCCCGAGTACATGAGGCTCAGCTGGCCTTGGTGCATGGCGTTCATCATCCTCATCTGCTTCATCTGCTGTATGAACTCAATCCTGGGTACAGTCTTGATCCAGACTTGCAGTCTCCGAGATGCGAACTCTTTGAACTCGTTCAAGGCTGCATTGGACTCCTCGGAGCCAGACTTCCCAGCTTCACATGCCTTCAGCCACATGCCTCGCATTCGAGGCGACCAGACCTGACAGATCTGGAAGCGCTCGTCGTACTCTCCATTAAAGGTAAGTTCACTGCCAAGAGGCGTATTGGCGACAAAGCTAAGATAGCAGTTCTCGCAGAAGAGAGCCTCGGGGTAGCCCCACCACTTCGTCTTCTCGCGGCTCTTGATACCAGCGCAGGCCTGGACTCCCGCAAATTTGATGACGAAGTCTGTGAAGGGGTAGAATATCCCCGTATCAAATGATTGGATAAAGTTGGTCATGTACTGTTTGAAACGAGGGCTGGCGACACAGAAGCTGCAGACTATTGTTGCCTCGGCGTCCCGAGAGGCTGGTTCAAAGAAGGTCTCCATCTTGTTGGCCTGAATGATGCCTGTGTGGCAGGATTCGCAGATACTGAAGTCTGGACACCCACCCGATACCGTCCACCAGTTGCCTCGGATGATGCCATTCGCCGTACACGGTACCAGGCTGGAAATTTTGCTTGCACGTTGGGCGAAACCGTCAAAGTCGTTGGTGAAAAGCGCGGCCTCGAGGGCAAACGCCATTGGCAGTTTTCCGGTCGACAGATCACAGATTCTCCTCTTCCCAAGCATGTCCATCCAAGCGTCAAAGCCAGCTTTCGGCGGGTGAGCCTCAAACTCGTGCTGAAACTCTGTGTAGGCGAGCTTGTCCAGGTAGCATGTCTCGCAAACGTGGAAGTTATCAATGTTCCGTCGTGGCAAATACCAGGTGAGCGAGTTCAATTCGACGTCTTTGCCTTCACAGGCGGGAACCTGACAGCGCTTAGTAGCAGCAGTTACGAAGCCTTGCCAGTCATTGCGCTTGGAGAAGTCTGCGGCAGCGCGCATGATGTATGGAATTTGCATGTCGCAAGTCCATTTGTCATCAGGACCCTGCTGTTGATACGGCGTGAATCGCGGCTCGAATGGTGTCCCAACAACTGAGTCTTCGTAGCAGGCTTCGCAGGCAATGAAACCGTCGATGTCGTTGGCCGCCATGCCAAACCACTTTAAGCCGTCGGTAGCTGTGACAACACTGGCGCCTTTGCAGGCAGGGATATCGAGGCGCTTCAGCATGAAAGCACTGAGTGAATCTGTGTTGTTGGAACGGAGAGACAAGGGCCACAGCCCGTCCTTGACCCGCGGAAAGTAAAAGCCGCAAGTAGACAGTGAGCCATCAGGCCGCTTTATGCGAATGAAGCTTGACTCTAGGGAAGTGCTCTTGATGTTCTCCGCATGACAACGGGTGCAGATGAGGTAGGACGGCACGCCTTCTAGGTGGTACCAGTCTAGGGCGTAATCCACAACCCTGTTTTCGGAGCAGTACCGGACAACATCGTTCGGTTCGCCCTTGTCTTTGATCGGCTGCAATGTCTTCTTGGAAGATCGTGCTACGGGCATTGATGGTGGCAATGGCTGCGGTCGCGGAGCGCTAGAGCTGACATTGAGCCTGTCCATGACATTGGACAGCTGTCCAATGCTGTCTTGGGCATAACTAGCAGCTTCGCCGGTTGGGGGAGATGAAGCGTGATTGCTAGTTATAGTCTGGTCCCTGGCGGCAGGATCAGGCATGTCTGGGGGAGGCGCTTGGCTATCGTAGGCACTGTTGGTACGGTCATGGGGATCTGTTGGGGCGCTATTGTCGCCTGGCACAGGGCGCCGTGGTGGCACTGTAGTGTTTATGCCCAGCGCATGTGGAGGCGAAGCCACGGGCTCATGAGAGCCCATACCAGGACCTGTGGATGCATACGTGTTTGGAATGGACGGATTCGACGGTGAGGGCGCAGTCGTGTAGGTTGTAGGCAACGGCGGAGCGCTTTGTACAGCAGTTGCATGTATATGCGCTTGGTTTTGTTGTGAATGATTTGGCGGAACATAAGGCCCCGGTGACGGCCCAGCATAACTGTGACCTTGGTGATACTGGGACGAAGTCGGCGGTGTGTATGGCGCTGGCGGTGGAGGAGCCGGGGGATACGAGTAGTAACTGGGAGATTGACCATTCAGAACCGGTGGCTGGTTTGTCTGGCCCGGCACCGTGTATGTAGCTGGCGAAACCGGCTGTTGGGAATTCGTCGGGCGAGGATACTCGGGCGGTATTGGGCAGCTTTCATATGTTGTCTGGTGGCCTGCGGATACAGGTGCTGGCCCAGGTGCATAAGGGTGGCTCTGGTATGGCGAAGAGACACTGTTTGGCCCTCCCACCACTTGGTTCGGTGGCGGCGGGAAATACGGCGCGTTCGCTGCATGTTGCGACGAATGGGTCGTCGCGGCATTCTGTGGTGCAGAGTAGGATGTTGCCGCGGGGTTCGGATACGCTGCATGGTGCGTCTGCTGCTGCGACGCCCGTCAGTCAAGGTCGGAAAGTCAGTATTTTGGTCGCTCTTCTGCTCACTGGGGCGGCGTTGTAGTATCCGGCACCATATTGTCCGCCGCCGTAGCCGTAGCCCTGTGGTGGTTTAGAGCCACTGGATTGGTCCTGGAGCTTCGACACCCTCTGCTGAACTTGTTGCTGGCCAGCGGCATAGGCCTTGGCCAGCCCGGTTTTGAACGCCTTGCCGAGAGAATCCATGATGGCTTCTGTGTATGTCGAATACAGGCACAGGCGAGGGACCTGCCCTTTAAGCCGTCGCTGTCACGGAATTGTCGCGGGATCCAGCAGACCATATGTGTCCGAGGAGCCTATCGTGAAACGCTTCACGACGGTCTAGACCCTTCCGCAACACCAGATCTGCCTTGCATGTTCTATGGCTGCCTCGTGCCATTGGCGGGGCACGGCCAACGCCTCGTCGACGCCCAGGGGGCGCAAAGATCACGGCGCAGAGGTTTGCCCTGCGGGAGCTCGGGGCTGACCAGGTCTATTGGCAAATTGCATTAGCGCTCCGTTTAAGCTTGATGTGACCCTGCACGGGGACTTGCGGCTGAAGACCTCTCACCGCGACATGACACAACTGCCCCTCTGACGCCTGGCCAATTTTGAGCCCGTGCAGGATACTGGTGGAGATTGGGGGTGATCAGATGGCACAATTCGCTCGTAATAAGATCTCGCTCATACTACATGTACATACACAGCCTCCCTTTGACCAACTCAGTCTGCGCCCAACGGCATGTTCTTGTAAATCGCATCATTTCGCCTCGCGCTCCTCGACATCGACGTGAACGTGCGCAACATGCTTTCGAAGAGAGGCCTTGACAGGATTCTCGTCCTCGAAAATCTCCGACATCTCTTCCAGAGACCGTCGGCGCGTTTCGACGGAAAAGAAGTAACTGACTGTTGCCTGCATAAAGTCCCATCCGATAAAGATGATGTAAGTGTACCAGCCAATCTTTTGCAGAGCAATTGGGAAACAGAACTGGTTGATGAAGGCAAGGGCATGTACGAAGGCAAAGACAAACGCAATGCCTTTGCCTCTCTGTTCGTATGACAGGCACTCGACGGGATAAAGCGCCTGGAGTGGCGTCATGCCGAAATTGTAGCACCATCCGAAGATGAAGATGAAGGCAATGCCCGAAGATGCCGCGCTCGAGGACTTGGTGTTGGCATATGCGCCCGCGCCACCAGTGATACCCGCGAAGCAGATGGCACAGGCAACTGAGGTCCAGATAACGGTCGGGCGACGACCCATTTTCTCGTCAGCGCAGCACCAACGTACGCCGCGACAGCCGAGATGGCGGTATAGCCGACGTTGATGTTGAGGACCTGGTCCGACTTGGTCAAACCCGCGGTCGCCAGCATGGCCGGCAGATAGTAGCTAACCACAGCATTGCCGGAGCACTGGCCCCAAATGGAGGGGAGGAGGGCGTTGAGCATGCGCCACCGATCAGAGCGTGTCTTATAAAGGTCGCTGTAATCCCACCAATGCTTGTCCGAGCCGTTGACGGTGATGACCTGGCGGTACTCGTCCATCTGAAGGCGGACCAAGGGATGGTCCGACCGTCCTGCACCGTGGTACTTGGTGAGGAACGCCAGGGCCTGCTCCTCGCGACGATTGGCAAACATCCATCGAGGCGACTCCGGGAAAGTCAAGACCGACAAACAGACGATGCCCGGGCAGATCATCTGGCACCAGACGGGGATTTGCCACGCAACGTCGCCACCATACTGCACTGAGCCGCGGGTGACACCAGCCGCGAGCAGGGCTCCGACGGAATACGTGCAGTTGTAGAAGGCCGTCAGGACGCCACGATAGTTGGGAGGCGATATCTCGGCAATCCAGATGGAGCTGGCGGCGCGGGTGATGCTGACGCCAAAGCCCAGGAAGAAACGACCGGCCACAAACTGGGACGTGTTCTTGGCTAAACCGGACAGGATGGTGCTGGCGATGACGATTATGCTCCCGACAAAAATGCCCATGCGGCGCCCGCGAAAGTCACATGCCGGGCCAGTGACGGGCAAAGACGCAATGGTGCCGACGGTGTACATGGCCGAGATGTAGCCAAGCTTGGACCCGGTCTTTTCAACTTCAAAGCGCTCTCGGAAACCCTCCATGGCGGGTAGAGAGCCAAAGATGGACCCGTCGTAACCTGTGCGAAAGTTCATCGGTTAGTTGAGCTGTGCTGGAAGAAGGAGCTAATCGACCTTAGAGGAAGTGACGAACCATTCATAGTAGAGCAAAGAAAGGCGATGACGGCGTAAACGTAGAGCTTCAGTAAAGGCTTGCTCCAGGGGTCGAGCTGGTCGGAGGCGAGGGCGTCGGCGAGACGATCTGCCGAGGGGACAGCATCGTGCTTCACGTTATCGTGATGCGCGACTTCGTGGGTCCCCGAGATCTTGTTGTCGTCGGACGCCCGCGATGCAGGCGATTCCGCAATGGGGGCCGCCATGGTCTTTGAACACTCGCAAAGGGAAGCTTGTGAAGGAGACTGCTGTGTGCGACGTTGACCACCCTGAGTCTGGCAACAGGAATTAGGGTGTCCGAGTGGCGATGGTGCTCATGGCCTCAGACGCCAGATGCGAGAAGATGCGAGCATGTATATACACCTTCCAGGCTGGGGTCGTCGACGGCCGCTCAGCAGAGGGCGTGTCGTCCGCGGCTTGGAGTTTCCCCAGCAAGCGTGCTGCGGCGGCGTAGCGAGGAGCGTCCGGCGTGTGGACGGTGCCTCTCCGCATCGGCCCCGGCGACAAGCCCCTGTCGACTGGCGGGTTAGCGTTCGGTGGCCGGGGCCGTGACGCGCCCGGAGGGCTTTCGGAGCTGGCGCCGCGCTAAAGAATCGATGGTGGATGCTGGCCTGCTGGCCCGCTGGCCTTCTTTCACACGCCATCTCTCGCGCCGTGATCCCATTCCCCGCCTCTAATGCACCCCCGTCCTCGGCTCCGGCAGCCGAGCGTGTCAAGCCGAGTAACATGCGTTGAACAATCTGGGGATGACCAGCCGATTACCAAGGAAACCAGGTCACTCCCGCGCGCCCCGGACGCTCCGGCAGACTCGGTTTGGTTCAACGTTGACAGGTCGAGGGGTTGCGTGCACCGGACCACAGCCCTGTACGCGGGGGCGCCGAGCTGGAGTCCTGGGGTGACCGCCAACTCAACTGGGAGTACCGCTCGCCGCCAGCTCAGTTTGGCCCCAGGACATACAGGTAACCCGACGAACCTGACTCGCGCTAGCCCTCGCGCCAACTTCACGTTTCTGGCAGCTCTACAAAGGAATCTAGCCACACGAAGCCAATCGCGTATTATTTAGCAACGTCAGAATCATTCGGAACTGCATTAATTCACACCGTCGTAGACAAGGGAAAGGAGAGGCCCGTCTAAATGATCTATGATCCCAATCTGGTCTCTTCAGCATTTGAATGCACGCGGACAGTATTCCGCCACTCTATTCAGCATATGCCCGCTTGCAAAAGCCTATTTCCGAACTCGAGGAAATAGTAGTCGCCGTATACAAGGCCGTGGTTCGCGTACTTGTCCGTCCAGTCTCGGTTGAAGTTTGCGGTGGCACGCATCAGTATCGCATCAAACGGCGGGTCGCCATGGCCACTGCCTTCATGTTCCGCGGCGACGGTTACCCCTCCACCCTCGCCGTCCCGGACAACTAGCCGAAGTTTGTCGGTGCTGTAGCATAGCTTAAGCGTCTCCTTGACAATCCGCATAGCGGCATCGAAGAACCTCCGCGCGCCCGCTGTGTCGCCAGTGGCATTCAAGGAGCTGTGAAGCAGCAGCAGGCCATTTGCAGCAATCATGCCGGCGGAGCTGTCCCGCAGAGGATCGCTTTCGTCAATAGGGGCGTCAAAGTCCCACAGAGGAACGTAGCGTCCAGTTCTGGTGCCATTCGGCAGGGTCACCTCAACCGACAGTGGCGCAGATTCCATCCGCTGAATGAAATGCTCGGCCAGCCCGCAGGCTGTCGCGAGGAACACAGGGTCCTTGGTCCAATTGTATGTTTGCGCATAGCCCAGAATACCCCAAGACTGACCTCTCGCCCATGTCGAGTCGTCCGCATAACCCTGCGCTGTCAGGCGCTGAGCGACCTTGCCCGATTCTGAGCAGAGGTTGGCAACGTGACAAGTCGAGTATTGAGTGTACATGGAGTTCTCGGAAGGTATCTCTCGCAAGTGAGTTTGCCGTACAGTGTGAGCATGTGCCGTTGCAATGTCAATGAGTCGTTGCGACGAAGCGTGGTGTCCGGCGTAGTACAGCAGGTCCAGATCTATTGTGGCGGTGGTTAATACGGCTAGGGCCCGCAGCGGACATGCCAGACAATGAGAGTAACCTACTGCACATGCTGTCAATGATGACAAGGAAGCAGTTTTCTTTGCTTGAGAACCCGTGGTGATTGTTCACAAACGTGTCCCAGCTTCTGATCGCCGAGGTTTTCTCGTTGTAGCGACTCGCCAGACTTTCAGCCGCAGTCAGAATTGACCCTAGGCTCTTTGCATTCCCGGTCAGCTCGTAGTCGCGCCTCAATGCCGGCTCGACTATAAAGCCAATATCGTGGGTGTCCGTTCGATACGCCATCTCGTGAAGCGGCTGCGCCCAGTCGCGGCACACCTGAAGAAGGCCATCTCGTAGCTGCTGCCGCGACTCTCCGGTGACGGTTTCATTGCCCCCGTCTTTGAGAAAGTGCTGCGGGTATTTGATCGACCTCTCCAAAAGGCAGTACAGGCTGCCTGGGAAGAATCCACATGTCCAGAACTCGGCGTCACGATATTGGTAGACACCAAAATCGGGACCAGATTGCGGCACGGTCTCGGGGAAGGTCTCTGGCGGGTTCTGCATGAGCGTCAGCGGTGATGATACAGGGACGTCATTGTGTCGCGGCCGCAGGTTCAATTCAACTACCAACCTTCCGCCCGAGGTGCTCCGTCGCCGTCTTCCAAATTTTGAGGACCGCGCTGTCGGAATACAGGTCCCTCAGCTGTGAAGAGACAGCTGCGACTTTGGTGTCGCCGTTGCGATCGGCCAGTACTTCGAGGGGGCGCGAGGGCTTGGCGCCATTAGCCTGCTTTACTTCTCCGTTCATGACCGCCACGCCGTTCAGCGAGGAAGATGTGAGGCTGCCCATTTTCTCCGATCGAAGATGCTTCTGTTCAAGAGGAACGCAAATGACGCTTTCTAACACTCGCTGTGCCGAGGGCGAATTCTGGAGCTCGGCTGTTTAAGTAGAAGTTGCCTCACTCGGATGCGTCTTATTAGCACCCGTGGGGGCTCCAGTTAAGGTCCCCCGTTGCCGACTGGAGGCATCAAGTCTGTGTCGGCCCATCACTTGGTCCGCAAGGTGATGCAGGCGGATTACTGCTGCCAGGACCATTGACAGTGCATGATTGCTCTGTTGCGCAGAGGGATGTGGGACGTGGTCAAAGGTGCGACAGCGGGATCGACGGGGACTTGGGCCGGAGGCGGCGCCGAAGCTGGTCCGCCAGCCGGTGACGGGTGAGCCGCTGCAACGTGGGGGCCGTTTCTCACCTTCATACGACGAGGGGCGCTGCTTCAATTCGTCGTTCCTTCGATCTGATCGTCAGACATGGACGGCGTCGATAAATTACCATTATTACAATACCAGTGTACCGTTTTCCCTTCGTGATATGACGTTGACTGACGCCTTTCTGGTCCCACAACTCATCACAGGCGGGTTGGGCCATGAGTAAACTGAAGTGACAATCAGGGCGGGGAATCGGGGATGAGTTGGCTGTGCGGGTACATCGTACAGGCAACGTGGGTCGGACGTGCTCGCGCTGGTATGTACTTATAGGTTGGCCAACCTAACCACTGCATAGAACGACGGGAATTCAGAGTCTCGGGCCCGTGTCAAGCCAACTCTACGCAACGTCACGATGCCGAATCTCGCTGGCTTCTCGGACAACCCGCTGCGCACAAAGCATGACGTTACTCGGGCATCTGAGGCGTTTCTACATCCCCTTGTCCCATATTTCTCGAAGTACCATGCCCGGGTCAAGATTCCAGTAAACTCAGCAGCTCATTTCGACGATCTTGCCGCACAATTAGAAGGTTATGCGCGGCCGCTGTGGGTGGTTGGCGCGCTATTGTCGGACCCGGGCGTGGCCCAAGGAATTGGTGCACGCGACTCGCTGCTTCAGCCATGGATAGACGGACTGCAGCACGGCGTTGACCCGTCATCGCCGGAGTTCTGGGGAGATATCATCGACATGGATCAGCGAATGGTCGAGGCAGAGATCATCTCCTTTGCGCTCTTGGCAGCACCTGCGGCCTTCTACGACCCGTTGTCGGATGACTGCAAGAAGCATCTGGCCAATTGGCTTTACGGCCTGAACGGCAAGCAGATGCCGGAGAACAACTGGCGATGGTTTCGCGTTATGTCGAATTTGGCCCTGATCAAGGTCTGCGGCCGTCCGCGCGAGGAGCTATGGCCGTTGATGGAGAAGGATTTCCAGACCCTCGACTCGTTCGACATTGGCGACGGGTGGTCGGCCGACGGCCCATGGCGGCCCGTGACAGAGAATCCCGAGGACGAGGGATCCGGGTCGAGCGCAGCCTACGGCCGTCACGCCGACTACTATTCCGGAAGTTTCGCGATCCAGTTCAGCCAGCTGCTATACTCAAAACTGGCTGCCGACCTCGACCCAGGCAGGGCTGCACAATACCGGGAAAGAGCTAGGCAGTTCAGTCGCACCTTCTGGAGGTTCTTTGACTGTGACGGTGAGGTGCTGCGTGAATGCCGTTTTGTCACTCTGTGCTAACAGTGTGATCGCTCAGGTGCCGGGATTCCATACGGCCGATCCCTTACGTACCGTTTCGCCATGAGCGGCTTCTATGCTGCGTTTGCATTCGCTGGACTTTGTGACGACAATGATCCCCTAACATCTCACGGCTTCGTCAAGGGCATGCTGCTCCGCAATCTACGTTGGTGGGCCAACAACTCTGAGGACATATTCTGGCCAGATGGCACGCTCAACATTGGGTTCATGTATCCGAACATGTATATGGCCGAGCCATATAACTCTCCTCAATCACCATACTGGGCGCTTAAGTCGTTAATTGTGGCCGCTCTCCCGGCCGAACACGCCTTTTGGGCCGCTGAGGAACTCCCCCACCCACTAAAGGGCAGCACGGACGGCAGGCAACCGCCAGTCCCTGGAGTAGAGTTGGTCAAGCCTGCGCGTCAGATACTCTGCAATCACGAGCGCGGCAGCCACCACTTCTTGCTCTCTTCGGGGCCGTTTGCGGTTTGGCCGATGAAGGTACCAGAGGCGAAGTACTCCAAGTTTGCCTACTCTTCATCCTTTGGCTTCAGCGTCCCCGCGGGCAGCACCATCAATCAGCTCGCCCCGGACAACACCCTTGCGCTGAGTCTTGACGATGGCGATACGTGGGCTGTGCGATGGATATCGATCGGAGAGACCAAGTCTACTGAACTGACTGTGAACGGCGAAATGGTCCCTGCGTTGGTCAATCGCTGGCGCCCTTGGCGGAAGAGGGCGGTGGAGGTAGAGACGACCCTGGTGGCACCTTGCAGTCAATGGCCGGACTGGCATGTTCGCGTACATCGCATCAGATCTGTGAGGTCGCTTCGACATAGCGAGTCGATCACAGCTGTTGAAGGGGGTTTTGCCATCGATGGCCGACGCTGTTCCGATGGCCGTTCGCTCTGGAATGGCCGGAGTCAGGGCGGGTCGGACACGGCTTTGAGTGCATACGGCATCGCAAGCGGAAGCGAGGGTGCATTCGAAACACCAACGACGGCTTTCGTCATGTCTTCGGCCGGCGCCAGCGGCATTGTGGATCTGTCACCTCCTGGGCCCTTCGACTCCACCGCTGGCGAGGTGATGAAGACTGACCCAAACACCAATCTGCTAACACCACGCACTCTTCTGCCAATAATTCGCAAAGCCTCCGGCAATTTCCCTTCACAGGAGTTTGTGTTGGCTACGGCAGTCTTTGCTGTCACATCAAAACCAGGTCCCAGGCACGAGGGGCTAGATGGTGTTGATCAACGTTGGACAAAGGCGCCCAAAATCTCTTGGGGCCAAAATCGCCACTTCACATTAGCTTAAGCTGTGCTGCTGTTCTAGTTCAGAATTCGTTTATATGTGCTCTTAAGTACAACTAGGCAGCTCGAAATGGGTGATGCTATTGACTTGAATGCCGGCATGGCACTGCGGTCAACACACCGGCCGATTTGAGAGGTCAATGACTGTGGTGCCCACGACGTAGGGAGTTCAAGCAGCATAGGCTCGACAGAACCATGCGGGCCTGGAAAGAGGAGTCGCTAGTGCAGAGAACGCAGAGTGGATCGAGTTTCCCAGAAAGGCCTCATCTCCGGCTCCAGGCCCGTCTCCCGAATACGTAGTACCGTCAAGGTGTCCATCTGATGCCTCGGCCGCTAGAGCCTGGCGTCTGGGGTAACAGCGACCTTGCCCATTGTACCCCACAGGTGAGCCACCGTAGCCATCCGCGCGCCCGGAGGACTGCCGACATCAGGACATTGATGGAGACGGCGACGGCACGGTCGGAGCTCCGAGGAGGGGTTTCCGGGGTAAACGGCCCACGACCGTGGCACCATGTGCCGCCCATATTCCAATAGCTCGATGTAAGGAGGTTGAAATAAGGGTAACAACACAAAAGCAGCGGCGTCGTTTCGGTCACCGCCTCCGCGACATGCAGTAAACAAGCGCACTTCCAATCGGAACTGCACTTCATGTGGTCAGTTCTCGCTAAACCTTTCGTGGAGGACATGCCCACCGATCACGACCTAGAGTGGTCCCAATGGCCTATGCCAGGAATCGTAACATGACATCGGCCGGTGGTGCTATAAAAGCTGGCCATAGTATCGTAAGGTGAAGCACTAGCGGTCTCCCGACCAGACATCGTGCAGGCTCCCTCGTGACAGCAATTTTATTCCACCACTGAGGCTGATAACCAACGAACATCGAAGTCCTGCGCCGTTCTTGTCAAACTCTTCAACAGCCCAACATTAAGTTGAGCAGCCCACAATATGGCGCCAATCAGCAGTACCTTGGTCGCTGTCGCTGCATTGAGCAGCCAAGCGTTGGCAGCCAACTACTACGTGGACTGTTCGCAGTCATCTGCCGGGTCTGGAACCCAGAGCAGTCCATGGAACAGCGTCGCGCAGGTGAACTCGCCAACGTTCGCGGCGGGTGACGTGATTTCGATCAAGGCCGGTACAACTTGTAAGGGGACGCTGTCGCCCAAAGGAAGTGGCACTGCATCGTCCTCGATCAAGCTGACCAGCTACGGCTCTGGAAGCAATCCCATAATCGACGGCAATGGCGCAACTGCAGCAATCACGCTGGCCAACCAAGACTATTGGAGCATTTCCAAGCTGTCCGTCACCAATGCAGCCTCCGCTCTGGCGGCCAGGCAAGGCATTCATGCCACTTCCAGCGATGGGAGGACACACAAGGGGATCACCATCGACGGCAATACTGTCTACAATGTTGCGGGCCAGACCGACAAGGCCAAACACTCTGCGGATTTCGTCCTCTCTGCTGGTATCCTCGTGGATGTGGCCAACAAGGGCAGTCGCTACGATGACGTACTGGTCCAAAACAATAACGTCCATGACTGTGGAGGCGGCGGCATCAAGGTGAGAGTGGGCGAGATGACGAATTTGGGCCAGAAGCCCCATGTCACCAAAAACAACATTGATGCCTGCGGCGGCGACGGGATCCTCATCTCCTTCGGCAACGAGCCTCTCATTGACTATAACATCGCTAGCAACCTCGGGACCGGAGCCTACCCTTGGACTGGTGGTAACTTTGCTGGCATGTGGGTTCTAGGCGACCATAACCCCGTCATTTCGCACAATGTCGTCTATGGAAGCATCATGTCCGACTTCGATAGCGAGGCTTTTGACTGCGACTGGGGCAACACAGGCAACTGCACTATTGAGTATAACTTCAGCCGCAACAATGCCGGCGGTGCTTTCCTGAACTGCGACGGCTGCGGAACGTCTGGCGGCGCCAACCAGATCGTGCGGTATAATATTTTCGAGAATGACTGCCGCATGATCAGCAACGGCAACAAGCCCACGCTCTACTTTTACCAGAACGTCATGTATTGCGCGGGTAAGAACTTTGAGATCCAAGTTCCCCCCACGACACACTTCACAAACAACATTTTTGTCGGTAACAACAACTCCTCGCTGCCCGCTCGCAGCGGGATTAGCTGGGAGTGGAATGTCTTCCAGGATGTCAGTCGTCCAACCAACAACGGGATCGCCGGTGACCCCGTTTTCGTCGACCCAGGAAAGGGAGGCAAGACTCTGGACTCGGTGGACGGCTACCAGCTCAAGAAGTCATCGCCGGCCCTGCACAACGGTGCTGTAATTGCCGACAATGGCGGAAGGGACTATTACGGAAACCCCGTCTCGGCTACGGAGAAGCCAAATCGCGGTGCCTATGAGGGGTCAGGCATTTAAAAAGTTGTATGGAGAGTCGGGCGACGAGTAAAATTGATGGCTCGCACCAGACGTCCAACAGTGTTGATCGTCAGTAGCGCAAAACCTTTTCTTTTCATATGTGGCTTAAAGACCTATTTCGCCAATCGATGCCCAGAAATGAGTTTACAGGGGGCAGTTACACTCCATCAATGTCTCGTGATCCGTCGTAACCTTTCGTGACAAACAGCGTTGAACAGGCCAACCCTCAGCTAGGACTCCTGGGCCCCCTTACGCTGGGCCGCTTCACCATCTCGGCTGGGCCGCTTGTCGTACTCCTTCGCCCGGGACTCAAGTTTCTTCAGCTCGGCAAAGAAGTCAAAATCCTTGCTGCCGGAGCTGACGACCATTTCCGTCCCGTCAGGGACCGCGGAGCGACCGCTTCCGGAGACGGCCAACGGCCAACCGCCGACACGAGACCCCGGCAGCAAAGACTGCGCAAAGTCAATCACATTCTCGCCTAGTGCGTTGATACCGTCGGCGCCAAAGGACGCAATCCCCCCAGGACTAATGCCGCTGGATGGGGAGGTCGCGCAGTGCTGTAGGACGCTTGGGATGTCGGCGGCGCTCGATATGTTGTAAAAGTCGGGGAATGGGGTTTGCTGCTGCGGTCTTGACGTCGAGGCCTCGGCTTGGTAGGACGGGAGGTCGCGGTCTCTTTGCTCGGCAAGCGCCCTTGCAAGCTTCGTAGCTGGGCTCTCCGGACACATGTTGTTGGCTTGGGAGTCGGCTGACAAGCGTCGAGATACTTCGTTCAAAGACGAGATGATTGAGCTGACTTCATCGGGGGGTCGAACGGCGTAGTAGGACGCTTGCGCTGTGAAGATGAATGTCAGTCACTGTGCCTTGCTCGCTACCATCACACTCTGGACTTCTCGCGCAACATACCTAATAATACCTGGCCTGCGACAAAAAGGCAAAAGGTAAACTGATGAGGGGCTATTCCCTCACTCACAGCCAAGTATCGTCGAGAAATCTTGTCAATCTTCATCGCCGCCATCACACATGCCTCCTTCGACGCTGCCGAGACGAGGCCAGACAGCCACGCTTTGGACTGCGGCGGAGGATGAGCAAGTCTTCGGTGCAACATGATGATGGCAGCATTGTGCGTCATGTGCGCTAGCGTGAGGTTCGGGTCAATATAGCCATTTACGACTCGAACATCCCGCCAGCGGTGTGTCAAACATAGCTCCCATCTGCACGCGCGGTCAGCCTGGTGAACGTACTGTGCAAAGCGCCCCCGTCAAATGATCACGTACTGCAGCAAGCGCGAGTCCAGCTGGCGGAAGCGGGTCAACCACGCCGACAGCCGATTTGCATCCCCGTGCTCCAGCGAGTGACGCAGGTTGAACTTGGTGATGAGCGACAGAGACTCGGTCGCCTCAATCGTGTATGCGAGGCCACCAACACCATTCGGTCCTTCTTTTGTCGCATATGGAGGCGGAAAGGGCGATGTTTCCTCCGGCGCCGTGTTCTCTTCGACCTGCGGCTGGTCATCCAGCTTGAAATACGAGGTCTCGACGCATTGATCGGACTCCCACATGCAGCCGTCACACGGCAGGCGCCTTCTGATGCTTTTGCTCGATATTACCGGGGCGGCACTTGTCACGACTCTCGTTAGCGCACCTGCATCGTTCCGGGACATAACGTCGTACCTGGTCATGATGCTGCAGAAGCGGTCCATCAAAAAGGCGGCCCAGAATACCCGTCTACGCTCTTCGGTCTCCAGCCACGTTGTTGCCGGCTGCAGTACTGGAGGGCTCGTGAGAAAGAACTCTCCAAAGGAGTCTCGTCTCGACGAGTCCTCGGCATTGAGCTGCAGGTCTTCAACCTTGCGTGTGACGAGGGAGACAAGAGACCACGGCGACGAGCTGCTTCCACTCCCTAGCTGGGGAAACAGTTAGCCACAGTACAGCACATGCAGGATCACTTTGACATAGGGCCATACTGTGTCGAAGGTAATGAGCAGCAACGCTTGAACAGCCTCGATCGAGTTACCCTCCATCGCTGTAGCGACAACAGCTTGGCGACAAGCCTCGGCGTACTCGCTCAGATCACTCACGTCCTCCGCGTCAGATTTCTGCACGTGCTTTGCAGCCACGGCTACGATGGCGCGGAGGATCATGGTGACGCCGTCTGATCGGTTCGGGTCGTGCGCTCGCCGAAGGAATGTCGCCGGATGGAGGACGGGCAGCCAGGGATGGACCAGTTTGAAGTATGTTGTCAGGGTATCATCAATGTCCTTGGGCAGGGGGTTCAGAGAGCACAAGTCTTGCGTCGAAGTCGTGTGTATCCGCTTCGGCGGTACGTATGCGTCGAAGCTTCGCTTTCGCTTTGTCCCAGCGTCAGGGGCTCTGCTATCCCGTAGGGTGTCTTGGTCCGAATCCGAATTTGCTGCCGCCGACTGCAGGACTTGTTTCAAGCGGTCAGTGTGCATGCGCAGAATCGTCGGGTGCTCCCCTTCGCTATTTGACCGCCCAGAGAACGCTGGCGGCGCGACACGATTCCTGCCGGCATCCATGACCTGCTGCATCAAGATGCCCTGGCCAAGGAACATGCTCTCCAGAGCATCTATTCGCTGATTGAGGCGCTCCACGACACCTGTCTTGATGCCGCCTTTGAGGCGCTTGTCCTCGTACGTGCACTCGACACCTGCATGGCGCTGTGAGCGAAACCGTTCTTCGTGGCGCCCAATTGACGGCGTGCTGTTCATACCGGACTTGACGCATTGCGAGCACGGCTGTTGCCTCGAGCATTTTGACTTCTTCTTGCGACAGGACTGGCATCTATTACAAGTAAGAAATGATCAGATTGTTCTTGAGGGGCAGTTGTGGTGCGACGCCCACATGGTGAGACGAACGCTGGTGTTTCCTCGCTTCCTTGGCCATCGGCGCGATTCTGCGAGCCGATCGTGTCTTCATGTTCGTACTCTGCATCAACAAGCTCTGCTTCGTTGGTCGAGCCCATTGTAACGCGTCGATTGCGCGGCTTGTCTTCAGGGCACCAATGGACAATGCCGAACTTCAGGATGACCGTCATCGAGCGTCCAGTCCTCAGATGCCTGGTCTTCGACTGAGCTCCTCGTCATCGTGCCACCCACCGTCGAACCGCTTGTTGACCACCAGCGCCGCCGACTCGATTCGGCAGAGTCGCCTCGCCTCAACCCCAACTATCGCTCGCCGGTGGCTGCCGGCCCATCGGCGAACCAAGGACGCGCACGAGTCGCAACTCGAGGACCCTGGTCGACTCCCCGCTTGGTGCAACGTGACCCCATGCTGTGGGGAAGCTCTCGTACCCCAAAACCCCGCAATCAGCTCACACGCGCCCAGTCGCCGGCGTACGGAGCGCCACCGGACCGGCCTCCGTCCTGCACGGAGGGAAGCGCCGCGGTTCAGAGCGTCCGGGCAGATCTCGACTAGCATCACGGTCCCCGCGGGGGAATCGTCTGGGCGCCCAGCCGTCGGTTTCTCGAAGCACGTTTTTCCCCGGATCAACATGGCGGATGTCGGCTCCGCGTTCGCTGAGAGCTGAGTTGCATGCCGGAGGATTGCTGTGTTGGGATCCACATTATCCCGCCCCGTCGCATCAAGACCTACCCTGCACACGTGTCATGTTCCTCCGCGGGTTATGTTGATGTCTGGTGCCTTGTTGTTGGCCTCAAATTATCAATCATGATCATCATGCATCAAAGGTACGTGATGTCTATGCAGTAAATGCTATATGTATAGCTAAGGGCCGCAAGTATGTAGCAAAAGGTGTGTCCATATACGTGATGCAACGGCAACGCTGAATCAGACTGTTAAGAACTCAGGGTTACCACCTGGTAACCTAGGCTCCACCCCTACCACGAGCTGCCCTGTACAAAGCCTGAATATCGGACTTCCACTGGCTCGGGTCAGGGCGAAGAACACGTCGATCATAGGTGTATAGCCCGTTGACCTCCCCCTCGACGTCGGTCGTCTGAGTCCAGACACCGCCACTGCACGCATATCGCTCGACTTGCTCTCGGAACTCTCTGAAGAGAACCCCGGCGCGGTAGTTGTATGCCTTGAGATCCTCGTTGATCTCGTAGGTCTGGTTTATGGTATTGACAGCTTCCTGAACCTTCCAGAGGCTACATAGGTGGTTGCGATTAGCTTAAACTGCCCCGGTGACTCAAAGCGCAATGGTAATGGCGATACGTACTGCTCCGACGACACATTGTGTCCGATGCCACCAAATTCGCCTTGGAAGCCAATTCGCTTGGGGTCATAGGGAGAGGAGGCCAAAGAATAGAACGGCGTGCCGCACTGAGGGTTGGCATAGTGATGGTTGTCCTGCACATGAAGAGTGTACGTGGTCAGCGCCTGCAATTATGGACTCGAGGCCGCCCCCCCCGCATTGATGGTGGCTTACCGAGAAGTCGCCAAAACCGTGATCGTTCCATCCTGTCACCGAGTTGATGAGTCTTGTGGGGTCAATTTCGCGCACAATTTGAGTGAGCTTCTCCTCGGGGAAGGGCTGAGTCCTCAGTTGACCCCAGCCTTCGTTGTAGATGACCTGCCATGAGCTGTTAGACAAGTTTCGATTGCCGGGCGGTCACACCACCTACCCAAGTGACAATGGACGTATAGCTCTTGTGCTCATTGATAAGGATCTCGAGCTGGCGTTGGAACTCTGCCTGCTGCGCATCATTTGGTGGCCTGTTCCCATCGGCCGGGAGACTGGGCATGTCTTGGAGGACCATCAATCCAATCTCGTCGCATGCCTGGTAGAACAGATCCGGCTCCACCTTGATGTGCTTGCGCAGCATGTTGAAGCCTAGGCTCTTGAGCATCTTGAGATCGTAGATCATGGCCTCACGGTTGGGAGGCAGATAAAGCCCGTCCGGCCAGAAGCCCTGATCCAAGGTGCCGAAGAGGAAGTTGAACTTGCCGTTGAGCAGGGGGCGCTGGACGCCTTCTACAACACCAGTGGTGATGCTGCGGAAGCCTGTATAGCTGTGGACCTTGTCGTCTCCCATGGTCACAGTAATGTTATACAGATTCGGCGATGACGGCGACCACAGCTTAGGTGACTGGACTCGAAACTTGACCTCGGTGTTGGCCGAACCCGACTTCGTGGCGACAACCCTGCCCCTGCTGTCGATGACATCGAATTTGACCTTTGCATCCCCCTTCTGGGAAGTGTGAGCAGTGGCGGTGACTGGCATACAGCATTAGAGATTACACCTTCCCGCGTGAAACATTAGAGGTCCTCTTACCTTGGCCATGCATATCAGCAGCGACGTCCAGCTGGGTCACATGGTTCGACGCGACGCTCTCCATCCACACGGTCTGCCAGATACCCGAGCATGGCCGATACCAGATGTGGCTTGGGTTCCTGGTCTGCTTGCCCACGGGGATAATATCCGCGTCGGTAGGGTCAAACACGTAGACAGCCCTGCAAACACGTCAATCAGTCACTGTCTGAGCCATGCATGAAGAATTTCCCCCAGGCAGGACATACAAGTGGTTGTTCTGGCCCAGTTTGACGTTCTTGGTCACATCGATGCTAAAGCGGAAGTATCCACCGGTATTGGTGCCGACCTTTACGCCATTGACGAACACTGTTGCCTGATAATCGACGGCCTCGAAGTTGAGCATGATCGACTTTCCGCTCCAAGAGCGAGGCACCTTGAAGTCTCTCGCGAACCACATGTTCGTGACATTGAGCTCCTGGAGACCAGAGAGACCGCTCTCAATGCACGAAGGAATCATCGTTTCGCGGTCCAGAGGTCCGCTCGGGGGATCGGTTGCGCCATCAGCACTGGCACTTCGATATGTCCAGATGCCGTTCAAGCTCTGCCAGGTGTCACGCTGAAGTTGCGGACGAGGGTGCTCTGGCCAAGGATTGGTGCCGACCTCGTAGGTCCAGTCCGTATCCAGAGGCGGTGTTTGGACCTTGTAAGGCACCGGGGCTCGCTTGACGTTGGGGACTGTGGAAGCCGCTGCCAGAGAACTGAGAAGCGCCGCAGCCACCCAGGCAGGTGCAGTTGTGAGACGCATCGTGACTGCTTCCAATGGAACAAGGCAGTGCAAAGAAGCAAGTGGCTGTTCCGTCTCGTGCGAGCGACTGGACACTCTGACGTCGGATGAGCTCTCACAGTTGAGATCTACAGGTCCAATGTCAACCACGAGCTACACTCTGTCTTTAAGTATGTACGCGTTACCGTGCTTCTCCCTCGCATGACTGAACCCCTCTTCTTGGCGTCAAGTGGTTCCTCATGCATTTGCTTCGCGTAGTCTGAAGACACTGTCATCAAACATTGCCGATCAGTGAGACACCACGCCTAACATGCCGGTGTCATGTCGGCGGTTGTGTACTGGGACTATACAGGGCCCATTGTCCGACGTCACGCGTCCGAGCATCAACACTTGCAATGACATGTTTGCAGGCATCGCGGATGACAGAACGGTGCGACCAGCAACGCCGATTGGACCGCATATGCCGTTGCTATTAGCTGCCTGCACGGATTCCAGGGTGCATGGTGCTTAGATTTGTCGTGTGGTGGTGCGGTCAATGCGGCTACCATGTATGTCTCCGGTAGATGACCAGGGAGATGTCGGCCGAGCGCGACCCAATCCCATCGGCCGCAACCCTTCTTGGCCGAGATCTATGCAAAGCTAAAGTCGCGCGAGGGCGGGGTTGCTTCTGGTGCTTAATCGATCGCCAGACTGCGGGGAGACGCGGGCGTCGTCGCCCATATGATCAGATCAATCATGCTGCGCAGCCACGGGACTTGTTCTCGCCCAGGGTCCTCAGCACCCAGCCAATTTGCCAAGATGTTGTTGGCCATCATGAGCCAGGAGAGCTTAGAGAAGGCTGACCTGCCCGTTGAGGAGAAGATGTGCACGGGTGGTAGGGTTGGCATCGTGACGTTGAGAGGACTGGAGCGGTTGTAAACAAGGGCGGCCGCCGGGTCGTGCAAGAGCCTAAAGTGTAAGACATTGCCGCTGCAACCACACGTCGCGTTACCAAGAACAAGCTTAAGCTCCCATTACCACCTCCAGCGCGCATCGCCCTCGCGGGTGTCTCGCATGCGGGTGCCGTGCACGCACCGTCACGAGGTGCCGCCGCAATCTTGGCATTTTATATAACAAGAGTCCATCCTCGTCGAGATGAAGCACGATATGGGCGGCCACGCAGAGGTAGTCGCGTGCCGACTTGGCACACCATGCCGAGTGGCTTTGTTCGTTGCGGCCCGCGGGGTCCAGGCGGCAGGGGCGCACACCAGATCGAGCCCCAGCACCCGCATCCGCCCCATCGCGTCAAGTCGGAATGAAGCACTCGACAGCCGGCATGGGCGGCAAGGCGGGAGCCTTCCCCGCCATTGGTTCATCGCGGCGGTCGATTGACTCGTCACTGCATGCTTCCTCGGCCTCTAGCCTCACCTCTCACACGTACTGATGCGGAGAGATGATTTCCCTCCGCGTCAGCTAAGCACATAAAGACAAGTTCATGCGTCCTAGATATCCACCTCTTGGCAACTGTTTACTGAAGAGGTCTTGCCAGTCGCGATGGTCTCGCCACTCCTCATGATGACATGGGCCGAAGTGGAGGCTGTCAGACGGACCCTGGACTTCAGGCCCCGCTTGCCAAAGTCGCCGAGCGTGAACCCGGCCGTCTCACGCGTCGCGGCATGCTCATGAGCGAACCTTGGGCTAGACATCTTCTTTTCAGGCCGCCGTCGAAAGTCGAACGAATTCCCGCGTCGAGCGCTGTCTCAAACTATCGCCCTCAATCATGCCTGCGACAGCCACTACTCGCGTCCCGGGGATAGGCGCTTCGTCGAGGACGAGCCGGGCGGTCCGCGCGCTGCCAATCCTCGCGTTGACGCTACTCATGGCCAGAGTAGTGTTGATGGCCGAAAAGTCCGGGCCCCTCATCGAAGGCATGCACGAGCGTTCACGATTCGAGTTTGGAGACGTCAGCGCTGCCTTGACGAAACGGTTCTATGGCGTGACGATTGTCGACGAGTTGTTTGGACAAATCACGATCGCCTTTGCTCTTCTCCAGTTTGGAGTTGATTCGAGCGCCTACTGGCAGTCCCTAGTCTTCCTCACAGACTTTGCGGGGATATACGCCATAGTCCTGCTCGAGTCGTCTCGCTACGTGTACCGCGCGAGCGTCTTCCGCTAGTACGTGCGCCCGGATAATGTGGTCTGGAATAGGCGATCCAGTCGTTTGCTAACGTTGGTTGCCGGATTTAAGCCCCATCCTCCTGACATTCTTCGCGCAAATTATCCCCGTCGGCCTACTTGGCCCCTTCTACTACTTCGCGCTGTCCGTGTTGGCACCGCTAGACCAGCTTCTTGCGTCATCAGATGCCAGGCGGCTCGACATCGCGACCATTGCTGCCGTGCTCCCCACGATCCTCCTCGCCTACTACGTTCCCCATTTTGGATCATACTGGCCTACATCTCTGGAGGAAAGGCACTGGTGGAACTGGATCTGGCAACTCTATGGTGTCTGGGGCTCGTTGCTTCTCCTGTTTCTCACTCAATCAGGCCTTGCGAGGTTTCTGGTTCCGTCGACTCGGGCCAGCGCATTCCTACGCATCTCTGTGGGCATATTCGCAGCAATCAGCACACTGACGTACTGGTACGCGGTGCTCAACGCTGATGTTTCCCTCTTGGATGCGTTGGTTCCCAAGTACTTCATCCAGAACCCCCAGGACGGCATGGTGGCCCTTCGTACGATCCTGCAATACGACTACATCTGCTCATTCGGCGCGGTATATTGCTGGCTAGGATACCAGTACTGCGACTTGAAAACCACGGGCTTGACTCGCTTATCGTGGCTACGCATTGGGACTGTTGCCATCGCGGCGACCGCGGTCTTTGGACCTGGAAGTGCCCTACTACTGGGATGGTACAAAAGAGAAGGCATTCTTCAAGCTGGACGAGCACCGACGAAGATACAATAACCTGTATATCGTAAGAGAAAGCGGTCTGTAAGAACGAGAAGGAATCTGCCCTGACTGGGTCAAATGGGCAAGACGCCATGACAATCACAGTGAAATGCCTGTGCTGTTTGCAATCGCGGCACGAAATGTCACATTGAAGCGTGTGGCGAGACTCGCGCGAAGAGCCTCAATTTAGCTGGGATCATTCGAGGCAAGGGATCCAGAAGTTAAAACACCGGCAGTAGATTTGCAGGGCGGTCGCATCAGGGCACTGGCTTTGTCGACGGTGGTTCTTGGCTCCTTCACTTCGCAGGTCAACCCGGCCATCGTGATGGCACCATCAGTCAGTCCGCGTGACCCGTGCCACAGTTGACCGCGACGGGAAACTGCAGACAAAGGCGTGAACGATTACGAGAACATTTCAAAGACCCAACAATCCTTCATGAATCAGATGCGCAATAGCCGCGATGGCAGTGCAAACTAGTTGACGGGTAACCATGAACCAAACAGTTGATCGGGACATCAAACTCGCCGCGCTGGCGGAGACGGCGGAGCGGAGTCTTGGCGAATCCTGACCATGGATGCAGGGACATTTTGAGGTGGCTTGTTCGTGCGGATGGCGTAAGCTTAATTTTAAAGCGTCAACGTCTTGATTCATCAATCTCGCTCAAGAAAATGTCGAGATCACACTAAACAACCATCATGACGACCGTCGAAACCAGCTCCGGCAAGGGGAAGGGTAAGTTGCCTCCTGCGCGACGTGTAAGATGGCTGAACCGAACCAACTAACTAATGACAACGCTCGTTGCAACCACACAGCCCTGGTGGCCCCTGCGGCTTCCGTCCTGGCCCCTGTGTTCGAGGACGATCCCGCCATCACCTACGTGCTCAACGCCCTTCCTCGCCAAGATCGCATCGCCTATCTTCCCGCCTATTTCACCGCACTCCTCAACGCGGCCGCGCTGAACCGCGCCGTGTTTTACGAAGCGGCGTCGTGGCAATGTACCTCGGTGGTGATGCCGCCCGGTGAGGATGTGGGGAACCCGTGGACGCTGATCCCCGCGGGCCTGTTGCCCATGCTCGGGAAAATCGGCTTCGGCGGATGCAAGAAGATGATTTGGGAATTCACCAATCTCACTGGTAACGCCAAGAAGCGTGAAATGGGCAAGGGAAAATATTATTACATCTTTTTCATCGGCACGGCGGTGGAAGGCAGAGGCCAAGGCCTGGCCAGCAAGCTGATTGGGGAAGCAAAGGAGCTGGCGGCCAAGGAGGAACTGCCCGTCTGGCTTGAAGCCACAACAGAGAGGAGCAGGCGGCTATATAGCAAACTGGGCTTCAAGGACCTGGGAGGAATTGTCCTCGGCAAGGGCAATGTCGGCGCCGACGGAGAGCGAAAGAAGGGCGGCGAAGGAGTCACAATTTGGCCGATGATCTGGCGGCCAAGCATTAAGACATGATACTCCCCGTGCCAACTACGCGACCACGCGAATTTCACATATTAACGACTACATGTACTATGTTAGTCGCTCTCATAGCTTCACACACTAGATTATTGGTATCTCGCCGGGCTGCTCTTCGAGTGCCGCCCCGCCTTTCTGTGAACGAGGCGCGTGACGGCCTCACCAAATGTCCAGCAAGGCGGAGTTTCGTATTGAGGAATATCCCGGCCCAGTTTGAGGACAACTTGCCCTAGCCTTGTTTGCCGCCAAGCAGCGATGCGATCGTGTCCGGCTTGAGCTTCCCCGGGAGAGATGGAATGTGTGGTTCAGGTGTTACAGATTGTCCTGTCAGTAGCCTGTCCTCAGAGTTGGCTGCACAAGCTGGTTCCTCCAAGTGATGCAGGATTGCGCCGGCTTTGCAAGGGTCAGGTTTGCTTTCGCCGGAATTGTGCTCCCCCCGAAAAGTTCGATGGTGATGCGTCTCGGCCTTCGACCTATCCGGACGCCAAACGACAATATTCTCGTTCGAGGTTGTGGAGGCACTGGGAACGATGCTGGCGGGGACTGGTGAAGCACTTGCGGCCCTCCAAGCTGCTAGCGTTATGACGCCGATGACGACAAGAGACACCATTCTCTCGGCGCGAACAAATGCACAGCGCATGGTACAGTAAAAGGCCGAAGTTCGTCCTGTCGAGAAGCTGAGCACTGTTGGAGGATGTATGATCCGAGGGTGCCGAATACGCCCAGCTACGATGACCGCATTAGCTATCTCCGAACGGCTGTGTGCCTGATGTGTGGTCGCTTCAGTTGCCGGGGACTCTGCGAGTTCGTGTATGATTCGAAGTAAAGACAGGTGATCGCTGAAGCAGAGGACCTGAACTAGAGTATGGGTGCTGTAGATTGGCAGGCGGAGGCAGCGGAGGCAGCTCAGGCAAAGGTCCGTGGTAGGCCTCGCGGACTGGTTGCAGGTCCAAGTCTGTATCTATAGCATTGCCCGACGCGCCGTGCACAGCTGTTCAGTTCTTCTTGAGCGGTTTCGTGGCCGAAGGCGCACCGCCGAGCATTCCCAGATTGCTGTTATCCCGGATGTATGTTACTGAGTTGCTCATGTCATCTCTTGGTGCCGTGACCAGCGCGAAGACGCTCGTCAGTACCAGGAACGTGCTTGAGTTCCACGTTCACTTGGCTGGCAGCGCCGAGACCGGGAGGGGTGACGGCCAAGAATCGCACCTGCCAATGGACCACTGCTCCTTTAAGTCGGGTCGAGATAGCGAAGGTAGGCGGCATATCGCTAGCCGAGATTCTTCAAGTGGCCTACCGGCCGTATTCTTCGCACGTTTTCACCCTGCTGAGCCTTGCGGATGGGGAACGTCGCACGCAGTGGGTGACAGATGGACCCCCAATGTGGCACTTCATGCGCGAGGTGGGCAGCTGCCATCATTTTTCCGATTGGGAGAGTTCTGCATCGCACACCCTGCCGGACCAAGCCTTGCCTCGGACATCCGAGGCGGGGAGTTGATTCCCAAGGGGCGCGCGACGTCTTTCGACGAAGCCTTGGCGTTTGTGCGCCTACCTCGTCCTTAAGGCTTGGGCGGCGTCCAGTGCGCTGTGGGACAGACCAACCGAGTGTCTCGCATCGCTCCATGGGGTATCAGACATTTCTGGACATTTCTGAGAATGAATCGCTGTTGCCGTTCGGTCCACTGCCGAGTTTCGGTTGTTGTCGATAGGCGCCGTTCTACTCGTTTCTATACCGTATTTGGCTCGCCGGGATCCATGGATCTGGTCAACGGGCTGTCAGCCGGTGTGACTGGTTTGAACTTGGCGGGCAGGTTTTTGGGGCGAGTGCAGCCACTGAGGTGGGTGTACAGCGGGGTCCGACCTACCCAACCGCAGCTTGGGTGCCTGGGCCTGCTACCAGTACCGAGAGCGGCTCGCGCAACAGACCGGGACGCTTCTAATTCAGCAGAGGCAGACTTTCGTGGGGCTGGACCCCTCCTTCCAGCCCTGACATCATTACAGTAGCATTAATATTCCTCCCTCCCACACCAGCCAGGAGCCGTGGAAGATGCTCTTGTTCTCAATTCTCTCGACACCTCACATTTCGCGTCCAGCCTCCGATCTCCAACCCACGACGTCGCGCTGCTGTAACGACGCCGCCCTCGCGATCTCCCTACACAGCTTGTGAGTTCCGTCACAATGAGCCGCGCCCCGCTGGGCAAGGGCGGCGGCGCCCGCTCCGCCTTTGGTGGCGCTGCCACGGGCAGCTCTCTGTCCTACCTCGCCGAGCCGCCCTCGTTCGCCGCCGTGTCGGATCCAAACGTTGTCGTGTCTCTCAAGAATGTGCTCAAGAAGGACAGCACCACCAAGGCGAAGGCACTCGAAGATTTGCTGCAACATGTCCAGGCCCACCCCCACGAGCAGGGAGGCGGCGTCGAGGATGCCCTCCTCGATATCTGGGTGCGCCTCTCCCCCATTCCCGCGCACCTGACGAGCTGCCTTTAACAGCGTTCATAGACTCAGTTATATCCTCGCATCTCCATCGACAATTCTCGACGAGTCCGCGAGCTTTCGCACACCCTACAGTTCGAACTCCTCAAGTCGGCCCGGAAGCGCATGGAGCGCCACCTCCCAAAGGTCGTGGGCGCGTGGCTCTCCGGCCTTTACGACCGCGATCGCGTCGTTGCCCGCGCGGCCAACGATGGGCTCTCCTCGTTCCTCAATACGCCCGAAAAGGTGTCCGGCTTCTGGCACAAGTGCCGCGCCCAGATTCTCGATTACGCAACCGACGCCATACAGGAGACCAAGGACACTCTAAGCGACGAACGGTCCACCACGGCCGAGGAATCCGAAGCCAAATACTTTCGGGTTGTCACGGCCAGCCTTTCCCTGGTTCTCGGGTTGCTTCAACTCCGAGATGCAGGTCTAGAGCAGCTCCGCGACAAGTACGACGCCTACTTCAGTGAGGACGTTGTTTGGAAGGCCGTCACTTTCAATGATCAGCAAGTCAGGAAGGCTGTGTGTCAGCTCCTGTTTGTCTGTCTCGAGCGCAGGCTCCCTTATGCCGATTCTGTCAAGGCTCGCCAGGCATTCGTGACCGGAGGCCTCAAGACGACTCAGGCGGGATCTGCGCTCGAGTACGTTAGGGCATTGACCAAGCTCACCCAGCACGCCCCCTCCATCTGGGAAGGCAGCCCGAAGGACAAGAAATCCCCGTTTACACGGCTGCAGGCTTTCATAGCCAAGGGGTCTCAGGGTAGCCCGCCCAAGTACTGGGAATGCCTAGATCAACTACTCGCTCAGCTTCCTACCAACGTTCTGACGGTCGACGCCTCTTCTGGTCTGCTATCGTCCCTCACATCCGGCATCACGAGTCGGGACGAGCCCCGCACGAATACCTCTTTTTCTTGGAAGTGCTTCGTTGATGCGACCAAGCGATGCCTCAAACCTTTGTCTGACGACGATCGCTTGGCTATCGCAAAGGAGCATCTGTTCCCGCTCTTCGAGCACTTTCTGTTTTCAGTGTCTGGCAAGCCGACCGCAATCCCGCTAGGGCCCAATGCTATGTCAGTAATCGTCGACATAGACGTCGGCCTCCTCAATGCGTCTCCCCGCTTGGCCGAAGCCGTCGCCGCTGAGTGGGATCGCCTGGGCACTCAACTGTGCACAAATATCTCTGCTTCTCTTCCGGAGGTCTCCAAGAACTATCACACATCGCAGGCGCAGATCGCAGAGGAAAGCAGGCGCTGGTTCGGCCTCATCGGGCTGCTCCACGGCGAACGGGAAAAGTCGAACGCCGTCGATCATACTGCCATTCCCTCCGCCAAGGTTGTCTCGCAGTGTCTCATGCTCCTTGAAAGTAGAAACTTGAAGCCCTTTGGAGCTTCTCAGGCGGTCGAGTATTCATTGAGTACGGCACCCCACCTCTTTGAAGGCGACTTAGGTCGCCGTGTCGGCAATTTCCTTCAGTCGGCTGCTGAGGATAGCATGGACAGAGTCATGCAATCTGCCTCGTCGCAGAGCCTTTTCGCTTGCCTGCGAATTTTTGGCAGCATACCAGGCCAGCAGGAAAGCTACCAGGCCGTATGGCACGCGTGGACATTGGCATCGCTTGGTCTTGCGGATCCGGAGCGGCGCAACTTAGCTCTGACGTATCTCGTCTCCCAGCACAGGGCCTCATCCTTTGCTCATAGCACCCTTGGCCTTCAAGAAACAATCTTGGAACAAGCGCGGCTGGCAGCAGAGATGGACATTGGCGCCAATAGCCATTCCCTTGCGCTTGTACGAGCCGCCTTGGAGCACAAGGCAGTCCAGCCGGACGTGTGTCGCAGGATAGCCAGGGAGTCGGTGACCCTTTTGTCAGCCGGACCTCAGTACCCAGAGAGTATTCTTGAGGTGTTAGAAGCCGTTGCCACGAGCGACCCGGAACTCTTCGCCGAGGACGAGGCCATTCGAACTGAACTTGTATCATTGCTTCTCGGGCTTGCAGAGCTTTCAGATAGCACGGTTTCCGAGAAAACGGCCAGATTACGATTACTGGTCGATGGGCAAAGCAAAGGTTCGCTTCCAGTCGTCGAGATTATTCAGTCAAATCTGGACCGCGCTGGACCGCCATCTCTCGAGTAAGTTCACAGGCCATCCAGTTGGATGCTACTGCAGATATCGCTAACAAGTTATTTAGAATAAGCACGCTCGTTTCCCAAGCAAAGGCTGCTGCAGGCGCCGATGTGCCCTGGGAAGACATTCTGCCCAGCACGAATGCTTGGATGGCAGAACTCTCCCCTTTCTTGGACCAGCCTCCCAATCCTTCCTTGACCATCACCTGCAGCATTGGAGGCGCCCTTGCCCTCGGAAAGCCCGGTGCGGCCCCCTCGTCTTCCCAGAATCGGGTCCCCCGCGATCGAAAGGGACGCTCCGTGCCCGTCCGAATGGCTCTGTATACATGCGAGCTTCTCAGCGCAGGGACCCCAATCATCCATCTTCCACGGCAGTTCCATGTCGAGCTATTATATCTGCAATACCTTTCGCTGCAGCTGGTGTCGGACCAGATGACTACGACAGAAGCCGATGGACTCTGGCAGAACCTGAACTCTGGCGATGCCGCTACCGAGGCCGAGGAGCTTGTCACGATGTCCAGAAGAATGTTGAATGGTATCGCTTCAGCAGCGCATCAGTGGCATAACTCCACGGACGAGAGTATCTCTGGCGTCGCTAATGGCTTGATCGAACTGGCGATGAATGAGGCGACTGAGTTCTCTCCCAGAGGCGTGTACAGCGCTCGCATTCTGAGCGAGTGGCTACAGGCGCTCACGGATGCTCATGGTCTTCCTGCAGGCACAGAAGAACGTTTTCTTCGCTCAGACTTCCTCAGGGCCAAACCTGAAACTGTCTTGGTAGCCGCGGCGCTCGTAACGGGCTTCGGCGAGCACCTACGGGCATCAAAGGCTATCAGCAACTTTTGCAACCGCTTGGTGAGCGACATCGCTGCGGCAAACGTGGCGGACGGCGAGCGCACAATCATGACGCTTGCTCTCTTCACCCTGTGCGCGCAAGTGTACGACATTGGCGAGCTTCCCGTGGCTAATAACCGGATTGTCTTCGCCGCGAAGCAAATCACGTCCTGGGCAGATGACCTCGACGTACTGGACCCTAACCTCTGTGCGGAGATGTGTCGTACACTTACTTGGCTGCTTCCCTGCATGAGGGACGTTTATGGCTCATACTGGGAGAAGGCCCTGCAGCTCTGCATCGGATTATGGGAGCGTGCCGGGCAGCTCGTGTTGCCCCAAGCCCTCCCCTTTATTTACTCATCACTGAAGCTGTACAGAGCGCTTGAAGGCATCCAGGAACCAAACGACGACCTTCAAGAAGCCTTGAGGGACTTCTCGGCGGCCAAATCGAGTGGGCTAGTGGAGCTACTGAAGCTCCCTCGTGACTCGACGTCGCAGCCACTGCAGATTGTTGACGAAATGATCTGCCGAGAGCTCGATACGATCCCTGTATCACGCATCCCGGATCCCGTAAGCCTGTTTCCTTTGGTCGCCTCTGAGTCGCAGGATATCCAGACTGCAGCATTCGACATGCTGCACAGAAAAATACCCGAGCAACAGGAACAACAAGCGCTTGACATCCTGCTTGACAAAAAAGGTAGGCCACTTTGGCTGCCCATGAATGCTACAACACAAGGTCATGTACTGATAGCCTTCAGATGCCCGGCTTCCGGACGAGCTCCTCTCGCTGCTTCTGGACCCCCCGACGCTGGATAAGTTCTCCGACGAGGCGCTGGCCGAGTTTCCCTCCACCATTCGTTGTTATCTTTTCACATGGAAACTCCTCTTCGATGCATTCGCGGCCTCTGTGTTCAAGGTGCGGAACGACTACACCGAACATTTGAAGACAGGCGATTACGTGAACCCATTCCTGGAATTCTTGTTCGATGTGCTTGGACACTCGGCAGCGCATCCCTTGAATCTCGACAAGGAAGGTCTCGGGACGCATGAAATTTGCAATTATGACACCGCCCTGGCGGAGGCGGAGCCAGCCGAGAAGAGCTTACACTGGCTGCTTGTGCATCTGTACTATCTGACACTGAAGTACATTCCTGGGTTGTTCCGAACCTGGTATATCGATTGCCGGTCGAAGCAGACCAAGATGGCGGTCGAGTCGTGGACGACAAAGTATTTCTCGCCACTCGTCATCTCTGACACACTCGACGGCGTGCAGGCTTGGGCAGACAAACAGGAAGCGCCGGCGGGAGATGAACAGGAGCTCCTTGTCAAGGTCTCCAAGCCAGCCAAAGAGGTCACAGCAGCCTACGATGTGGATGAGTCGCAGGCTTCCATCGGGATCAAGCTGCCCTCGAGCTACCCCATCGAAGGGGTGACGGTGCTTGGCCTGCACCGCGTGGCTGTATCGGAGCGCAAATGGCAGGGCTGGATCATGACGACGCAGGGAGTCATCACCTTCTCGAACGGCAGCATCATTGATGGGCTGCAGGTGTTCAAGCGCAACATCATAGGTGCGCTGAAAGGTCAGAGCGAGTGTGCCATCTGCTACAGCATCATCTCGACCGATAAACGCACGCCGGACAAGCGATGCACAACCTGCAAGAACCTGTTCCACCGCACCTGTCTGTACAAGTGGTTCCAGACCAGCAATCAGAACACGTGCCCTCTGTGCAGGAACCCGATCGACTACCTGGGAGCGGACACGCAGAAGCGGAGACCGGAGCTGCGATAGCCGTGACGGACCAGGCCACCATTGTTGGGTTGTTAGATTAGGTAGAAGCATTAAACGGCTGCATTATGGGCGTCAATAGATGGCGGGATGATCTGGGCGGGCAAAACCAGGGCTGAGCGGTCCTCTGCGCGATTTCTGACCGATAGGCATAGCGATCAGATTGTCGTATTGCCAAAGTATGGAATAGCGTTATGCTTCGGGATCAAATGTTCGCGAACAAGGGCAATTCGAGGGCCTAAGCGGTCTTGTTACTGCGCCACTCTTGACGTCGCTTGAGAATATGAGAAATCGTACCTGTGCTGCTGCCACCCTCTCCTTGTCGAATCTGACCATGGCCGCCACGGCAGCTCTCGTATCGTCATTCACACCTGGCATGATCTCGGTCCATGGCCGCTGCGGGAAGACCGTCCATAGTTGGAATGGGGACACCTTGAAACTCTGCGCCTCGGGCCACGTCTCCGGCGTCGGGGTCCCGAGCGTTTTGAAGACACTGAGGATGAGACCTAGCTGACTGCCATCCTCATTGGCGGGGCGTGACTCAAAAGGCGGCGCACCCGTTGCGGCTTCAGCAAGCGCAACGCCCAAAGACCACATGTCCACGCCTGCGTCGTACGCTTTGTTGCCAAAAAGCACCTCTGGCGCGCGGTACGGTCCCGTACCGATGTCGAGGATCTTGTCGTGCGGGGGCTCGACTGCAGCGGACAGGGACGGGTGCCACGCGGTGCCGAAGTCGGAAAGACGTCCGGGGCCGGTGGGCGAGGCGAGAAGGATGGCTGAGGGCTTGATGTCTCGGTGGATGATGCCCATGGGGTGAATGTGGGAGAGAGCGAGCAGGACGTCACGGAAGATGACGCCCAACTGCCTCTGTGACAGCCCCTTGCTGGGAGCGCTTCCGCCTCTACTGGCGCCACCCTGATCAATCACGGCGGCGAGGGTCAGCGGCATGTAGGGGAAACGGAGCACCATGCACTGCGCTTGGTCATGAAAGACATCAAGAAGTGTGATGACCTCGGGACAGTCCGAAAGGGAGCCGAGGATTTTGGCCTCGCGGCGGGGGTTGTGCGGCTCAATGTTGCGGTGGGTGGTGATGACCTTGAGGGCGTTGGAGCCGGAGCGAAAGACTTGGGAGGTGACACCTTCAGCAATGGGTGTACAGTTTGTGTATGGCCCGATGCGAGTGCCGCCTCGGTCGTTGGCGGAGTGGTCCGAGGACGTCTCGTCAGGTGCTGCATCATGGGATGGTGATGATGGTGAGGTGGATGAAGACTTTGAGCGGGTAGCTACCCCCGCGTCACAAGCGGCATTGTATCCTTCCTGGCATGTGCGTCAGTTTGTGATGGCTCTGAAGGGGGAGGGCATCTTACCCGGGAGGCTGCGCCTTGGTATGCTGCTTGCTCGATGGCGACGGCGTCGCCCTGGGCGGCAGGTGGCAGTGAAGCTCGTCTATAAGCCCTGGTGAGACCGTCGCTCCGTGCACATGGAAGTGAGCGTCCTATATAATCTCACAGTGTCTGAATGACTTCATAGCGATCGAGAGCCGACAAGGAGGCCTTCCACTCTACCCCAGCCATCGTCGCTAGGGGCCCAATGAGCAGACACTAATGGGCATGCGCGACTGGAAAGCCCAATAGGGTTGACGACGGGGCGCGGGTCAGTCAGGCGGAAGCTCCGGGAGCTTGATGCGGTTCAATCCAGGACGCTTGGATGCTGGATCTTGGACAATCGATGTGGGCAGTTCGTCCCGGCCGAGCAACGTCGTAATGGCTCCCGGGTAGGCCGGTCGAAGCTAGCTGGGTTCGAGCTTCGATGGGTGAAAATCAAGTAGGCTCCCCGCGCCGTTGGGGGAACGAATGATGTAGTTTGGAAGCACCAGCGGAAGGCATGCAAGCATGAACGAACCCGGGGCAAAGGCAAGCGACGGGAGCTGGTGGAGCTGCAACGGCGGGGAAAAGACCCCAGCTTCAGCCAATGGCGGCGCCAAGAGTTCAGTGCTTGCAGGGAGAATGCATTAGATGCCAGTGCGCGCGGGATGGAGGCTTCCAGGTTTCCACCGCTGTCGGGTGACAGTGGCAGCGGGTGGAAGCCCAGGTCCAGTGGCTAAATTACAGGACGGGCGGGAGAGGGCTCGTCCGGGCGACAGGCGTAAGGTAGCACCTGACAGGCGCCGAACCAACTGCGGACAGGCCGGGCAGGCCCCACTGGGACCTGGGAGCCGCTGCCAAAAGGGCGCCCGTTGGGCCGACGACACAGCGGGCTCCAGACGGGCGCCAACTGATGGAGCCCTGGAGGCTCCCGCCCAGGCCAGTCCATGTGCGGGCAGCCTCCCGTCCGTCCCGCCCAGTCGCGCCAGCCCAGCCCAGCCCAGCCGAACAGCGTCGGCGGCGGCGGCGGGCGTTCTGGCGGCGTCATGGTGCCAATCCAATCCCATGCCATCCGTCATCTCCAACCCTTCCTCTCACCACCCTTCACCATCGCCGCAACTTCAACACCTCTCCGCCCCGCCGCCGGCCTCGACATGCGCTATTGCTAACGAGCGCGCGCCGCCGCCCTCTCGACCTGCCTGCCCCAGCGCCATGCGCGCATTCATTTGAGACATCGCCAGACCTCGCTCGACGCCCCAGCGCTCCGCGCTCTCTCCTCCCTAACTTCCCCCTCTCTCACGCACACCGACGAAGCCGCACCCACAAGCACGCACTCTTCCCATCGCCCGCCGCCATGGAGGACGTGGCGAGGGCCGAATACCCCGGCATGCTGGTGAGTGGCCCCCTCCCCCCCTCTGCACGCTCGGCCCAGCCTGCGCATTGGCCGCGCGGATTGACTGACCGTCAACAGGCCAACCTGCAGCCCGGCCAGGCCGTGCAGACACTCAACGACCGCGTGAAGCGAATCAACAAGATCAACATCGAGATCGCCGACTGGCTCCAGGTACGCAGGCGTCGGAGGGTCTCTACTCGTCGCGACCTAGCCAATTGACCTGGTTTGATGTAGGAGCGTCGTCGCGTCGAGGAGCAGTATGTCCTCGGCCTGCGCAAGCTTGCGCAGGCCAGAGCGCCCAACGCGGCTTCAGAACTCGGGTGCGTGCACCGTGCTGGATTAACTGCTTCTTTGACTACCCAAAGAGCTGACCACATATCTACAGAGTCTTCCAGAGCCCCTGGGCACGCGTTGTCGACTCGGTCGAGCGCATCGCCAAGTCGCACCATGTCTTCGCCGAGCGCATCGAGAAGGACGTGGAGAGCCCTCTGCGCGTCTTCCAGCAGCGGCCCGACTACCTCAACATGCACAACATCTCTAGCAACCTCGGCGCCATCGCCAAAGACCTCGAAGACGCCCAGGACAAGGCTGACAAGCTGAACAAGAAGGGCGGCAAGGCCAGCGCCCAAAAGGTCGACGCCGCCACCTCTCGGCTCGAGTCCGCGTCGCAACAGTGGGAGTCACAGGCGCCCTTCATCTTCGAGACTCTTCAGGCCCTCGACGAGTCACGCATTAACCAATTGCGCGACCTACTGACCCAGTATCAGACCCACGAGTCCGATCAGGCTCAGCGCTCCCAAGACATCGCCGTCGAGACCCTCGCCGTCATGCTCGAGATCAACACCGAGAGGGAGATACAAGAATTTGCTCAGCGCACCACCGCTGGGCGGCCGTCCGTGCCGACGAGGACATCGACGAGGCGATCATCGATGGCCACTGGGCCGCCGCCTTCTTCGTCCGCTGGGCCACCGCCTCCCTTGCCAACTGCCTCGACCAACAACACAACGGCGTCGTCCATCCCGCCGCAGACGCCGGCCTCTCAGCCGCCCGCCGATGATGACGCCAGCGAGCACAATTCTATGCCGCCCCCTGAGGTCAAGCCAGGTATGTGACGCTATGAAAGCCCCGCAGGCAATATTCTAACGCAGTTTCAGAGTCCAAACTGCGCCGGCTCGGCACGATGTTCGGCGGCCGACGGCGGCAAAGTGTACATGGCGGCTTCGGCCAGCTTTCCCCCGGTAAGGGCGGTACCACGTTCGGACGACTGGGGAGCAGCCACGGCCGCGGCGTGTCGCCTCGAGCGTCCTCGAGCAACCTGCACCAGGAGTCGACACGGTTGTCGTCTCTCGCCGAGACCCCCGATCAGACCAGCCAGGACGAACCGGCAGCTAGGGAACAGTCCTCTCAAGCGACCACCAACGGCGTCACGCGCCATACCCTTGTCGATACATCGACGCCCGCCGCGGTCAACGGCACGGACGTGGCCAGCGTTCCGCCACCACCGGGGCCGCCGCCGTCCCAGCAGCACGGCGACAGCTCTGGCGTCAAGGACGCAGAGGGCTTCACCATTCGAGCGCCGATGACCGACCCTATCTCCGAGGCCCAGCGTGAGGCCGCTGGTGACGAAGCGGACCAGCTGCTCAAGCTCAACATTCAGAATAAGCCCGTCGAGGAGGAGGATCCAGAGGCGAAACAGGCTGCGCTGTCCAGCGTGGCGAACACGCTCAAGATGGGACCCGCGACTCGCCGCGCCGGCACCATAAGAGGACGCCGCGACGTACGCAATACCATGTACGTGCCGCCGGTGGCCACCACCATCGGACAGTCGGACGGCGCGACTCCATCGGGCCCCGGTTCGCCTCCACTGACTGCGTCGTCGTTCACAAGGCCGCCCGCAGTTCAAGCCCTGGCGTCCGAAGCGAGCGTTGCAGGGACGTCTGACAGCCAGTCCGTGCGATCAGGGAACTCGCTGGGCAGCCTAGCCCATGCTAAGCACCCGGAGATGACAGGGCCGGGACTCAATACCTCTATCATTGAGACGGTCTCTGCTGTCTTTGAAGATGGCGTCGTGAAGAGCGCGTCCATCGCAGGAGAGATTGCCTTTGTGAACAATGCCAGCGATGGAACCAAGAGTGAGCACCTGCTCCGGCCCTCTTATCTCTGTTGAATCCGCTTACTGACTAACCAGCAGCGCACGAGACGATTCGCATCAACAGCTTCCCCAGCCTCGAGCGCATTGGTCCGAATCGCATCTTCGTCCAAAATGCATCCATTGACCAGCCTGACCAATTCAGTCTCGATTTGTCCCATCTCAGCAAGACGTCGATCGGCTTCTCGTACCGCGTCTTTGCCGAGGAGGCGGAGACACCTGCTCTCGGGCGACATGCGCCTCTGCTCCTGAAGCCAGCCTGGAAGCCGCAAGGCGACAAACTTGGCCTGTTGCTGCAATACCAGCTGAACCCGCTGTCTCAGCTCACAGCTCCCCTGACCTTACACAACGTTGTCTTCGTAGCCACCTACGATGGCAAGTCCAGCGGCGCACAGACCAAGCCCAGCGGGACGCACCTCAAGGAGAAACACCTCGTGTACTGGCGGCTGGGCGACGTGACGCTCACGAGCGAGATGCAGAAGATCGTGTGTCGCATCGTCGGCGCCGAAGGTGTCACCCCGACACCAGGCCACGTCGAGGCACGATGGGAGTACACGGCCGCTGGGGACGAGCTCATTGGTAGCGGCATCTCCATCTCCCGGCTCGTGGAGGACAAGGGCAAGGGCAAGGAGACGATGCCGCCGGAGGACGACCCGTTCGCCGACCAGAGTCAGCCGGCGGCAGCGACCGGAGAGCCAACCTGGGTCGGCGTGCCATTGCAGCGAAAGCTTGTGAGTGGCAAATACGAGGGCAAGTGATAGCATCGAGGCGCCGTCGATCGAGATCTTCGGAGGGCGTTTTCATCTTGCCTCATGCTTCCCATTGCCCCCTCCTCCGAGACGAGACGTGTATGCTCAAGTCCAACTTTTCTTGTTTTCGCATTCCGCCTGGAGTTTGCTCCTGTTCGTCTGCTCTCCTGGCGACCGTTACTCTCTTCTCGTCAGTCCTTGTCACGCGCGGGTAGCCCAAGCATTTCATCGGTTTTATTTTTCTTGTTGACGGAGAGGAATTTGAAATATCACGCAATGAAGCAGCAGGAGCAGCAGCAGCCGGCCTTGTTTGCGGCTTGGGGCTAGGGAAACTGGATGCCCAGAGGGGCGGCCAGTCTTGAGCGCTCTTTTGCCTACCTTGACAATCTCCAGGCATACGCACGCACACCGAGGCAAGTGCAAGAGCCAGCGCAGTAGCAGGAAGGGGTGGAGGAAGAAGTGTGTAGGAAGTGTGGTGGCGGCGGCGGCGGTGGACGAGGTCATGGAGTGCTTGGACACCCGCACAGATATCTTACTTGATTCCCGTTGTTTCTTCCCCTACAGCACAAGTACAGTGCCTAGTTCTCGAGCAAGGTATTTCTAGGTCAGTAGCAGTGGCAGTGGCAGTAGGAGTATGAGTCGGCATGGCACCTACCAAGGAGGCAGGCAGATCGGCACCCGATCGCACCGCCAGGCCGCGTCAGAGCCCCCCAGTATCCACAAGGATGTATGAATACAAAACGGCATATCTTCCAAGTTGACCGACTCTCTCCGCGCAACGGGGACACTCGTCAAGATGAAGCCCACCTCGCGGCGGTGTCGAAAAGCCCTGAGATCTTGCGAACTGTTTGTTTTGTCTGCCTGTTTGTCTATCCTGTGTTGCCGCCTAGCTGTGTTATTTTCTTCTTCCGTTGACCAACTCCGGTTATGTCGAACCCAGACCCTCCAACCCATGCCCCTATCCTGCCGCCAGTCGGCATCCCCAGGAGAGATGAAAAGAGATATGCCCTGAAAAGGCGTTGCGGCGTATCCCTCTCCGCACGCCTTCACGGATGAGGAAGCTGCCGTACTATTCCAAACACGAGACGTGCGATACGCGTGTCGGTAACGTCGTGCCATGCTCAGCAATGCTACTATACAGAACAAAATGTACAAGGCAAGAGAGAGAGCGCTTCCCATCGCACTGCTTACTCTTCCTTCTTCTCGCTGCCCGCCTCGTCGCCGGTTTTTGGCCGATCCTTGGCTTCCGGCTGCTTGGCTTCCGGCTGCTTGGCCTCAGCATCTTTGCGGCCCTTCTTCCACTTGGCGTACTTTTCGGCCAAGTATCTCAAGGTGCGGCCCCAGCCGCCCATGAGTAGGCCCTTGATGCTCTGTGTCGTGCTCGGCCAGTTGACCGTCTGCTTGATGACCTGGCGCACGATGTGCTGCAGGTCCTCTGGGTCGTCACGAGCGATACGCTGCTCGAACTCGCCGCCCTGTCGACGCTTGATCGAGCCGCTGTCGTCGGATGACGCCTCCATCATGCGATTAAACTCCTCGCGGGGCATGTGAAACTTCTTTTGGTACTGGAAGTAGAGACGGGACCGAAAGCTGCGAGGCAGGCGTCTAACCATGTTCCCGCGCTTGACAGGGTCCATGTCCTGCTGCAGCTTGGTGTCGGCGGTCGGGTCGAGCACCCAGTCCTCGTCGTCGAGGCGCACGGGGCTGGTAAAGGCCACGTTTGGAAGTGTCTTGATCAGAGGCGCATAGAGCCGGCGGAAGTGGACGACATTATTGTTGACAATGTTGTCGACCTTGCTCTTATTCTCCGTGGGCAGGGCCATACGGGGGTCGCCGAGGTAGCTTAGACCCGCGATGGTGCTGTACAACTGCGTCTCAGTAAAGTCCGGTGGGAGCAGGAGGAGAGCCGTGCGGACGGCGGCGATGAGGTTGTGTTGATTGGCGAGGCGGACCTGCGGATGGTCACGAAGGATCTTGACAGGTTTTTGGAGGCGGCCCGCGAGGTAGAGGTTATCCCAGGTGGAGAGGTCTTTGACGAGGTTGTCGATGCTGGTGACGCCGTACTTGATGAGCATGCCGTTCATCTCAATGAACGGATTGAAGTAGACGCCAGCGCCCCAGTTTTGTACGCGCGAAACGAATCCCGAGCCAAGGGAGGCGATGCCCGAGTAGTGGTCGCGGTGCTGCTTCATGTTGATCGAGTGCCAATGTTGCGTGTGTGACACGCCAAATATGAAGTCGATCATCTTGGGGGAGCCCTTTTGCGCCTTGACCAGAGCTTCGGGAGGCTTGGGGTGGACCGCGCGAAACTCGGCTTCAGTGATGGTGCGGCCGCTCGTGTCCTCTTGCGGGAACACGCCCGAGCCGTACGCGAAGCAGTAGACGATGGGCGCGTTGAACTGGCGTAGCATGATGCGCAAGGCTTCCTTGAGCTCGTAGTTTATGATCATGTGCTGATTGACGCCAAACAGGCGATGAGGCAAGTCCTCGAACGACTTGATGGCAAAGTCGACCGAGTCTTCCCAGTCGTCGCCATAGAGGTTAAACTTGCCGCCTGCCGACTCTTTGCGCTTGGGGCTCGAAGTCGATGATTCGGAGGACTGGCTGGTCGCTGGGGATGAGGTCGTAGAGGATTGCGAAACTGAGGAGGACCGGGAAGAAGAGCTGGATGATTCCTCCCGAGGAGTGACGTCTGAGTTCCATCGAGACTGGCCAACTTGCGCACGACGGCGGTATCGGGCGACCGATTGCGCGCGCGGGAGCGACAATCTAGGGGCAGTACGAACGGCAATTGTTGAGACTATCGGCCTCGTCGCCGTCTTCATTCATGTCAGCCGGACCGCGTGGGCGAGGGACGAACGGGCGTTGACCAAGAGCCGGGGAACATCTGGGTTTACCTACCGCGAGGCCGAGCTCAAAGACGGCCATGGTGGCGCACCAGAACTGTCGCAGAGGCTACACAGTCTCTCGAGGGTATGGGTTAGGGGGCGGTCTGGGGTGAGCAGCTCAAGCTGCGAAGAATCGGGGCTACCGGGAAGCTTCCATCAGCGGCCCAGAAGCTGGCAAGCCGGGGTTCGAGGAATAGCGGATGCTGCTGCGCGCCGTAGGGACGGGTGCGATTCGTTGGGGCTTGGCAGGCGGCGAAAGCTTTCTTCAGGCGAGGGCGAGCAGTCTCCGGTGTCGCGGGGGCCAAAGGGCACGCCAAGGCGCAGGTTCGAGTGATTTTGACGTCGGCAAGATGCTTGTGTTGAACATTGGGTGAGCAGCATTCGGAGCCAAGGAAGAGGAAGCGGAAGGGTCTGAGGTGGGTCACGGGAAGCCGGGCTGCCGCTGACGAATGGGAGCGCGCATTGGGGGGGAAGCAGCAGGGGACGGGCAGCTGCTTGCCCGGCTTGGTGGTGTTACAGCCGAGGAAGGAGAGGCTTTACGTCACCTGCGTGGAGCTCTTTGCAGCTGGAGCTTGAAGGTGTGCGTGCGGCCCTGAGGCCAAGACTGTACGAATTGGAAGCTGTGCTGCTGTGCTGCTACTGCCGCTGTCGCTGACAGTGACACTGGCCGTCGCCCTCGGCTGCTCCCTCTACTCCAGCGCTACTGCAAGACGAGGAACCCAAGACAAACAACAAAGACTCATTGTTCCGTCCCGTTCAATTGCATCACAAACCGCCGTATCGCCAACTCAACACGCGACCACCGAACTGAACGTCGCTATCACTGCCCCCGGCATCTCACAGACGCCAGCGCCTGCCGGCCTCACACTCTCAAGCGCCTCCACCGCCAGACACCTCCGACGTGCGCCGCCCCATGTTGTCATTGTGCTCATAGTCCTTGACCGAGCTCTGTCCCGTCGTCGGGTTCTCGTCCTCTTTGTGCACATGGATGCTGCCGTCTCGCCTGAGGTCGATGTCGACGACGTGGTAGGCCCCGTGCGCGTCCACCGTCTCGCGATGATGCCGCCAGCCCTCCTCGGTCGCAAAGTCTGAGTGTTCCTCGTATGTCCCGAGCACCGGATCTGTGTATGACCCTTGCCGTGCCGATAGCGATTCCGTCGTGCCGTGCAAGGCCCGGATTGCCGCCTCATTGATCATCGGCGCGCTGGTCCTGCGAGGGGGGTTGCGGGAAATGGCTGACCCGGGCGCGTCCGGCGCATCACGGGCGCCCTCCGAGGTGCTGCTTGTGCTTGCCTTTGTGTCGGCCATGGTTAAGCAAGCAAGCTGCATTTAACCGCAAATCACCTCTGCAGGGCAGAAACTGTGGATTTAGATGTTTCGTCCGCTCTCTCTCATCCCCCGGAAGACCCTGTTGATGTCACACGTGCATCATGGCATTGTGCCCGCAGCCACAGCGCGGAGACGTTAGCCTGGTGAGCCGTTTAAACTTTCCGTCACGTCTGGTGACCTGCCATTACGGCCGCTTGTCACGCTACCCTCGATTCGTCCCTGTATCCATTTCGGTCCATCATCCGTCAAGTTCGCCATGGGGAAGCGGGAGCTCACGGCGCGGAGCTCCGAATCACGCCATGACATGATCCCACCAGCGCGGCTGTATTTCACCACGTCGCGTTCAATACTGTGACAGCAAGCTTGAGCATATCCAATAGCTACTAAGGGAGGGGAACCCTCGCATGTCATCAGGCACACATGGGAGCCAGTTCCGCGCCACTATCATGGGGTAGTTAACATTCCTTCAGATCCGTGTTCTCCAGCCCGGGGTAACACCCATAACGCTCCATGATGAGCTGCGTCTTCGACATGTCGCCTGCTAGGAACCAACCCTTGCTCATCAAGACCTCTTGTAGCCTTGTTTGCTCGGCTGCGGCCGTCGCGCGGTTGTCAGTCTTGAACGACGCTTCCACGATGTAATCGAGCCCAGTCCCTTCGGCATCCAAAATGGGCCAGACCTCGACATACAGCTTCATGCCCTTCCAGTCGCCGATCGAGCGCCTGACCATTACCGGTCCGAAGATGCGTGCTGCCGCCAAGATGGCGGTTCCCCATTTCTTGCAGCCCCAATTGTCGAATCGCTCCGGAGCTTCTTCTCTCAGCAGTCTACGTGAGTCCCTCGTGCTCGGCAAGTCCACGCCCGCGTCGTCCGATGTCGCCGCCTCTTTGATGCGGCGAACCGTGAGTGTCTGCTTCTTGTGGCGGCATTCGACTCGGGCCTCGTACTTTTTGTCGCTGGCGTTGAATCCGTTTGCATTCGCGGTAGTGAGCGCCGCATCAATGTCCCCCGCGACAATGTCGAATCGCTTCTTGTATGTGAGATCCAAGCTGGGTTCGCCCTCAACCCTGCGTACTCGGACACACCAACCAGCTTCGAAAAGTTGTGTACAGCTGGTGTCCAGGAAACCCACGTTTATCCGAGTGGCGGCTGCAGGCATCCCAAATGTCGACTGGACGGTGCTGTTGAGCTTGTGATCTGCGTCCAGCACCACGGTAGGATCAAGCTGTAGCTTGATCTCGTAGGTGGGGACCAGATTCATTCCTTTGTTCGCTTTCACGTCGGTGACGGTCATGGTAGCGGTCGACGACATGGTTCTTGCCACTGCTGGTGTCAATAGCTGGTAGCATCCGCTGTTGGCAGGGACGGAATGAAATGTGGAAGCTTAAAGAGTTGAGTTGATCAAGACACAATGAGGTCGTTGTTACAAGCTGCCGGCTATGCCGGGCGCTACTTCGTACACGATGTCTGGTGGAATAATGTGCGAGCAAGCGCTGACGGCGGCGGGACGGCGACCCGGATAATTTAGCCCCGTCTTGCTTCTTGCAGTGAATCAATAATGCCACGGATTGATACCGCCGCCAGAAGCTTGGGTTTGGCATGGTGGCGCCAGATGCAGCTGAACGACGGTGTGCCCAGTCCCGGGGTCACAATCCGTGAGGCTGAAAAGTGACTTCGACCTGGTCGGAAGCTCGCCACAAACTCAACCAATTGTGCCGAGGAACAGGTGGCCAGGGCCATGACTTGCTTTCATCCGTGAACGTCGGCGCTGGCATCACTCTATTGAACAGTCGTATATTTTTGGTGAATTGTGTTTTGAGGCCAGAAAACAAGACCCAATCCTGTATCAGCAACAGCGGGACCGTTCCCAAAACTGCGTCCTTGGAGCGGCTCTATATTAGCATCCTTCTAGAAGTTCAGTCGCCTCGAGACGCAGGTGCTTGTTCTACTACACCCAATCAAGTCAAGTGAATACGTCGTATTCTTCCCGTCGCGCAGGATACACAGCCGGCATCGAACCAGAGTGGGAAAGCCTTGACGCCGCATCGGACACACCGGGCGAGCTTGGCGGGCACAGATACAAACAAGCGACGACACCGTGGCCAGATACGGGCCAAGCCGCGCCGTTCTTAGGCCGCAGAGCCGACACCCGCCAGGCATCATCAACGAACACTGTCTCAGGAGGTGTGACAAGATAAGCCCCCAGGGAAGCAGCAACAATTGGCGGCGTCGGCCGCTCATATGAAGGTTGCGGGACATGCGTCGTATGCAAGACTCGTAGACTGCATCCACAAGGGACCGCTCAAAGGCTTGAGCACTTGGTAAGACCACGTGGTGGTTCATATCTTCGGGGGAGCACGTGCCACGACTCGACATGAACTTAGTTTGATGTCCAATAACTGGCCCTACTATTTGTCAACTTCATGGCTAACGCGATAGCAGCCCACGTAGAGCTTTAGGTATTACCCTGGACAAAATGTACGCATATATATAGGCCAGCAGCTATCTCGAGATATGCTGGAATGTATTACCAACTCTTGACGAGCACCAGAAATGCGATTCCAGTACACTCTGCTTGCGGTCCTTTCTGTTCCAGGGGCTGTGGGAATGGATGCCCCATTTCCACCTGGGATCGATCAGGTAATGATCTATGTCTCTGTCATTTGTTGACACCAAGCTCATCCTCCAATGCATAGGTGGATCGACGCTATCTCTCAGAAGGGGTATGTGGAAGAAACTCTTCATCGTTCAAGAAGGCGTGCGCCTGTGCGCCTGGCATATAGGGCTGCATACATGTACTAATTGTCGGAACAGACTTGCTGCCAGGCTTCGAATGAATGCACTTTCAAGGTAAAACACGGCATCGTCGAGGGCAAAAAGTGGCGTGACGGTCTGCCAGTCCGCCAACGAAGGTCAGCTCAACAGAGGTTCTACTGGATCACGGCAAAATGCCACAATTCGCCAGGGGTAAGCAGGCCCAGCCTTCCGTTTCGTCTACTTGTGCTAACGAAAGATGTAAATGCAGTGCTCAAGGGACGGCGCATCGTGTCTCCGCAACGACAGTACTGGGACCATCCTCTGCGATTGACGTCTCGGATCATTACGTCCTCTGTCGAATTGACTCGTCAAGACTAGACCCTGTGAGGCCTGTTCATCGCCGCCGGGGAATCACGAGGGCCTTCCGCAATAGTCAGCATCCTAGGCTGCACTTTGGCCAACATTGGTGTGCCCAGTGACAGGGAGGCGGCGGAATTTTCGACATAGGGAGGACTGCATTGAGCAGAGAGAGAACCACTGTATACGGCGCGAATCAGATGCCGCTTCTTTGGCCAAAAACTTGCTGGAGAATGATATCGTTCAGATTAGATGATGGCTGGGTGAATCCTTCTCAAAAGAAGCCACGTAGGCTACTCTGGCACTCCATGTCAGTGAGAGACGTCAAGCACCTCGCTGGCCTGAAGCAGAATGTCCCGCACCTTGACCCTTTGCAATGCACACATAAGCAGCCACTGTGGTCTGGTCCATGTTGACATGTACACGAAGCAGTACTTGGCAGAGAGCTGGCTGCCTTGCCAGAGACAGACGACGATTGGTGGTCACGTCGTCAACTACTCCGCATATCGGCTCCTTGATGGGTCTCGTCATGTTGGGAAACAAAACAACTCAAGACGTCACACTTACAACTAGGATACGATGACGTCCCGAAGAGCCGCACGTCAGGGGTAATCGCCGTACATGCAGCGCGGCTCGGGTACATGTAGGAAACTTGGTTGCCTGGCACAGCCGAAGCGAGGAGGAGCCCGCAACCAGGCAACTCTAGTCCACAAGGCGTGGCAAAACATCCATGTACAGTGCTCTATCTCTGACAAAGCTTTTCACAAATTGCCCTGATTGACCAGATCGGAGCTCACTAACTGCGTCCACCTGACGAATGCCTCACGTCGCGGCACAATTCGTGCGCCAATTCGTGTCTCGAAACAACTTGTAAGGCTCTCTCCCTGTGATCCAACAGGTTGAACACTGAGGTCTCGAGGAGGATGCCACCGAAGGATTCCAAAGTTGCATCGCTGTGGAGCCCAATGATTCTGCTGCTCTGACGCCTCCGGAACTGCAGATGGGGTCAGTTGAGCGATCCCGTCGCCAGTGGGAGCATCGCATTCGAAGAAGTAAACAACGGGAGCTGACGCGGCTTCACACCATCCACAGTGGGAACCACGCCAGGGGCTCGAAAATAAAAATAGGCAGCCGCAAATGCTGCATCCACATCGACAGCTGTACGCCTGTCATTTGGCCATTGAATGGTTACTTCCACAGGAACATTAGATGCGTCCTCCAGTAGATCTGTCTGATTCCTAAGTTCCTCTGCCCTTCTGAAGCGTCTTCCCGTCGAGCTGCATGTAGTAGCTACTACCGTGTACCCTTATCGAATGCACGGGGCGGCTCGTATTAGTGTTGCTGCTGGCTACGCAACCTTGTCGGGGACAACCCTAACTGGCAAGCAAGCTAATGCGCTGCGGCGCAGTGTGGGCGGGGGTGCGATGGCGTCCCTCGAGTGTGCAAGACGAACCCTCGTCCGCTCCGGTCGTATATTTCATGCTGGCAACAATAAAACCTTGGGTAGATATCGCGTCCTTTTCTTTGCTTGATCCGTGACCCTTCATCCGAAATTGTACTGCATCACACGCAAGCATCAAAGACTCAACGCACCGCTTCCACAATGGCTCCTCCGAACACCACCAAACCCGACTCCTATATCGTCGCGCGGCTGCTGCGATACCTCTCCATCGCGACTTTACCGGTTGGCGTCGCGCTACTCCTTGCTCATGGCGTCACGGCTGGCCGCGCCGTACCAGCCCTAGGTCTAATACCCATGGCCGGTTCGGCTGTGGTGGCGATCGTGAGCCTGCGCCGTCAGAAGACCCTGGCTGTCTGGTCGCCGGTGCACCGCATCGCTGCGCAAACGATTCTCCTCGCCGACTTCATCCTGGCGCTCTCCTACTTGGCTGTGTTGATCCCTAGCTGGATAACACTGTCGCGACGTCACTGGCGTGACCCGACCAACAATTCCCTCGTTATTCTAGGAACATACGGCACCGTGGTGCTCCTGTTCAATTGGTCTGTAGGCCTGGAGCATGGTTCAATGGCAGCTGCTTACCCGTCTGAATGAATAGGATCATCCACACGTTCTTCACTTTCGCATTCCTCTTGCATCACTTGGTCATCAGCGTGCAGCGATGGGGTCAAAAGCATGGCGGTGGGTTTACCGCCGTTTGGGCCGGGCCGATGGAACAAGCCGAAGAATACGCCCCCTTCACGGACGCGGGAGCCAGGACCTCCATGGAAACGAGGGCCGACCTGGGCATTGGACCTGACAGGCCCTCCGAAGATGCCTAGGCCTACGACGTCCACCGCTGCTCTGCCAGATGTGCCACAGCGCTGGGGTAGCGAACGACCTGTCGCGTCGGCTTACGTTTCGGCTTGCAGTGGCGTCATTGAGAGCATGAAGTCTTCGTGTCATGAAACTACTCCATCATGTATAAATGTATGGAAGCACGAACTAACGTTTTGGGGTCAAGTTCAAATCGGTATTGGTTGGAGACAAGGTGCTGTCCTGGAATTATTGGCGTTCTCAATACTTTCTGTTGTGGACGTGCAACGCGATTCCGATTGGGACGATTCGGTCATTCTACCACGGATGGCTACTCTGGGGTCGGTTTTGGGGTCATCCTGCGTGGCGGCTGATCATGTTCACGGTCACATAGTCGGTAGTTCTTCCAACTCCGGAACGGGGAGGTTACAGCACTCTATACGCCGAGCTCCCAAACCATGAGCAAGGGACACTGCAGGGTTATAACTAATGCGCCTTGCATGATGTGTTGCACTAGTAAATGGTGGCCAGGCAGCACAATCACAGTCTGCCACTGGGTTGCTCTGTACTGAGGGGCAGATCAGCCACAGTTCACGTTTCACCAAGTACCCCGTCACACACCCTGTTTGTCATGAAGTATAGCGTGTTTGGAAAGTACTGTACCAATGTGTTGGAACTGTGTTCCTCGTCAATTTTCCCGTATCTCAGCGACGGCGGCAGTGTATCAAGGCGTTTCATTGACGCAAAAACTGTAAGCCAACAAATGCAGGCAGGTTGGAAACAGTCGCACAGTTGATATTATAAAACATGAATCAATAAGTGCTTCAATTTCACATAATAAGGGCAAGCCACTGCAGACATCGCCTTGGAGCCCCTGGGGTGCTAAATATGGTAACAGAACAACCCGACATGGATCACTGTTACGCAGAACCCCTCAAGCTCTCATGCATCCAGGAGCGCAGATGTAAGAAGTCGCTCGGTAACTCAACGACAATCCAGGCCCCTGTAGACTTTCGTACTCTTTTATATTATCATATCCTACTGCCAGCCAGTTTGCGCGGTATCAGGTATAAGTCAGTCATCAGTTACACCAGGCCCCCATTGCCGATCCTCTCTACGGTCCAGTCGACCGGCCGTCACCTTGAGCGCACACACTACTTGCTTGAACCTTGAGCGTGGAAGGACAAATGCATTGGAACCCTCTATACCCTTTTGCTGGGCTCAAACATCTGAACTGGTAATAAGGAGCAGGGCCGCTGCCGTTTCATCTCAACGTGACAACGCGCGCAGTCGTCTGAATTGACAGTTCGCCCACGACAAACATCACCACAGCAAATTGGTCATGGCGGAGCCATCATCAACCACGGACGTTCCCGCCACTGGGGTCGATGCGGAGGGCAATGTGAGAGAGCTCAGCAGTCCAGAGCAGAGCGCAGGCCGCATTGGGGCAGTCAAGCAATTGGACCCTGCCGCAGAGGCTCTGAAGGTTCGCAGCATCCCATGTTCCCGTCATGCTACAGGTCTCTGAGCCAATCGGAGTCACACACGCTTAATCAATCTCCTTGCAGGTATCTTCCGAACATCACGGTCCTGATGCACTCGCGTCTGGTAGCACGGAGGCAGCTGAGGCCGCTCCGGTCGTCATCGATCGCCACGTTCTCGAGCGTGCCAAATGCGACGACACCCACATCAAACAGCTTGCTGCAAACCACCGACTGCGGCAAAGGAGAAAGATCAAGAAGTTCTACACCAAACAGAACGAACTTATAGATCAATTTCTGGGCGTCGAAGATGAAGAGCGCCTCGCGACAGACGAGGAGATACGCATGCGACCGAGGATCAAGTTTGCTGTTTATGCCTCCTTTGCCGTCAACGTCTGTTTATTCGTCATCCAGCTGTATGCTGCCATATCTACGGGCTCCCTGGCGGTATGTTAGCTGTTGCGCGACAACCGATCCTTATGTCTGCTGTCGCTGATACCGTGACTGTGCAGCTCTTTGCCACGGCGGCAGACGCTTTCATGGATCTGGTGTCGTCCACTGTGATGCTAATCACGTCCAAGCTGGCACAGCGCCCGAGCGTCTACAAGTATCCAGTTGTAAGGGTGCCTCACGCACGATGACAAGACAGTGCTAAAGAAAACCACAGGGTCGGACAAGAATTGAACCGATTGGCATCATTGTATTTTGTGCTTTAATGGCTACAGTTGCCGTCCAGCTGCTGGTAAGCTCATGTGACTGAGATGGACCAGACGAGACCAAAAGATTATGCTAATAAGGTCAGATTGAATCGGCTCGATCTCTTGCCGGCGGCGAGCGAGAGTCTGCGCCACTGCAGATTGTGCCTCTCACTCTTGTTGGTGTAGCCAGTATGCACTCTGAGCCGGTCATCTGTGGTCGAGGCTTTGGCTAATGAGGTTGCTGCAGTTTTCTCGAAGGCCTCTTTGATGATCTATTGCTACTTTTACAGGCGATTCCCATCCGTAAAAGTCTTCTTTGTGGACCATCGCAATGACATTGTCGTCAACATCTTCGGGCTCGTCATGTCCATTGTGGGCGACCATTTCATCTGGTACCTGGATCCAATTGGAGCAATCTGCATCGCCCTGCTCATCTTGTTCTCGTGGGCGGCCAACGCGTTTGAGCAAGTTTGGCTGCTCGCTGGCAAAGGCGCGCCGAGGACTTACGTCTCCCGCCTCATCTACGTCGCCTTGACGCACAGCCCGCACATCCTAAAAGTCGATACGGTCAGTGCGCGCTTCCAAATCGCAAAGCTTTACCTGAGCCATGTGCGGGTTCTTACTGACCGAGGTCAAATTGTTAGTGTCGCGCGTATCATGCGGGCCAGAGGTACTTTGTCGAGATCGACATCGTCATGGACGCCGAGACGCCACTCAAGATATCTCATGATGTTAGTCAGACGCTGCAGCGCAAGCTGGAAGGATTGGCCGACGTCGAAAGGGCGTTTGTCCACGTCGACTATGACTCTGAACACAATGTTCATGAGGAGCACAGGCCGCTTTACGGGACATTCAAGACAAAAGACTTGAAGAGCAGGCTTGTCTCTTTGGCCAAGAAATTAGGGCATTGATCGTCTGTAGGTCAAGGTCTTAGTTGTGGGCGGCGTCAGATCCTAAAGTCACCTCCAGAATGCAACGAAAAAGGACCCAGTGATGAATGGGTCACTCTCATGCACTGACATGAACCTTGCGACAAACGAGTCGACAATCCCTGGTCACCAGAATACCGCGTTGAACACAATGCATTGTATCCCAAATCTAGATCATAGAATTGGAGTAGCTACCCCCAAGCCATCACAGGTGAGGATGGCAATCGTCAGACCGGCGCCTCTTCTCCGAAATCCCCGGTCTCGGCCGCATAAAGCCAGGGCCACAACTCGCTGAAACCTACCCCAGCTCAGTATTCCTTGTAAATGGGTGACATGGACGAGGGCCCATAGAAAAGCCACGATCAAGCATAGCAGACCCGAGCTCGACAAGCTCGAGCGGTCGTGGACGCCACCAACTACATGCGTCATTCATACATCACCTCAGTCGCAAGCATTCAGCCGCCTCACAAACCCCGCCGGCATTAATATCTCAGTGCCACGGGGCTATTTGAGCTGTATTAATCCTTGAAACTACACATCTATACTGAAATCACATCCAAAGCTCAAGAAGCCCGCAATGTCGTCGATCCGACCACTCGCATCGCCCGCTCTCCGGGGCGCCTTGCTGTGCCCAAGCAGGAGACTGCTGTCCACCACCATTGCGAACCGCGCTGTCGCAACGCCACCCCGGCAGCCAATGTACGAGGGTGGTGACTTCGTCGGTGACAGTGGCGAGCCGCTGCCGGGAAAGTCGGGAAAGGGCCCCCAGGGCATGAAGAACTCGTAATGCCGCCTCGGCGCGCGTGCCTAATTTCTTTGATACAGCTTGGTCGTGGCAAAGTACTGACGGCTGAATTTCAGGCCGGGCGTCCTGGCGGCGGCCGCTGCCGCGTTGGCACTCGGGGCGTATTGGATGTTCAAGGCCAAGCGCCCCGAGCCGGCCCAAGAGGCGACCGCCAAACCCGATAACGCAAAGGCCAAATGAGGGCCTTCCCACCGCAACATTAACCGCAGTAACGAGTAATAATCGCAATGGACGAGGGGCGGCGCCATGTTGCTCTTTACGAATCCTAGTCACCCGTTTTTTTAGGACTCTCGACCATCTATCCAGTATGATCTCGATATTAAAAAAGTTACCTTTGTATGGTGCACTTTCTTTGCCCAGTTTCTTTGCCCCATTTGACACACCGGCCCGGTCCTTTCTCGAACGGCCCGCAGCTTGTAGCAGACGGAAGTAATCGTGCCTAGAATGTCCTTCACAGTCGGTCAATCGCCTGTAAAGAGGCACGCAAACGCTCTCTCCACGCAGAGCCTAGCCTATCTAATATGGCCTGGATCAATGTGTTAGTGCGACCCTCGAAATACCAGTGTGGCTCAAGGCGCTCCAGAAGCCGGCAATAGTGTGCTAGTAAGACCAACGAAGCCGGGTGGCCCTGGGTTAGAAGCTCCATGAACGCTACAGACACCTCCATGGGCCAGACGCGAACAGCATCCCATGTCGTGAACTCTTCGTCGCTCAATGTTCGCGCTGCTGCGAGTGCCCAGCTCAGTTGCAAGGCAGCGTCACGGTAGGTCTCGCAGACGCTGGCGGACCACAGCTCTTCCCCTGGCTCCGCCGTGCCAGGAATAAGCGACAGCAGGTGCGACTTCATGTGAAGCCTAGCCGGATCCTCGTCGAGAGTAGGCATGGGGGATTCCCACGAGTTGGCAAGAGGGCCAAGCGGACCCCGTTCAATCTGGTCCCAGAACTCGCAAACGAGCAGGCATCCGTTGCGGATGAAGTAAAGCCAGCTGCACAGCAGGCCTGGGTGCGGACTTGATGGGTCGGCCAGCAGTAGTCGCTCATCGGGTTGGTCGGCTGCGAAGGAATAGATGACGAGGAAATGGGCAAAAGCTAAGATTGCGTCGCAATTGTGCTCCGTGACATTGGTGATGGCGTGTCGGAAGAGTGGCATGGCCATGTCTTGGTGGCTTTGGGCGCGCATGATGTACCGCTGTTGTTCAGCTGGAGACAGGTGGGCCAAGTGAAGCGCAGAGCAAGCCAGCAGCGCATGCATCAAGAAATCGTGCTGATTTGCCATCTCAGGCATGACCGTTTGCCAAATCCCGGCGGTGTCATGTCTATCCACCAGTGTGAGGTAGGTGGTAGTCGTGTAATGGTGCAACAGGTGCCGGTCAAACTCGTCTAACGCGTTGGGTTTATCGCCGTCTGTGCGATGGCCATTCCGAACGGAGGACTGCTATATTTTAATTTTCACTATGGGCATGCGTCCAAGTTCGATGCGGTGATGGCACTGGGCTTGTGATCTTACGTAGGGCGCTTGCGGATCAATCTCTGTGAAATAACGCAGAAGATTGCCTCGAAAAAAGGTCTGCAGCGGCACAGGTTGCCAGTCCCCCGTCGTGCCATGTCGTCCGTGGATTGACATCCAGTGATTTTGCATGCGCTTCGTAGAGACGCAGAGGTAGTCGCAGCCTCCGCCCTCAAGGCACTTGAGTCCGTCGAGCACAGGGAGCAGAGGAACGGGAAACTTGGTCACCTCGGAACCAATGACCACTTCGGGCTTGGCAAGCGGGAATCGCGACGCGTATTCTATGAAAGGCCGCCGATTGGATCTGTATATTTGATGCTTCTCCTTCAAGTGACGGGCGATACCGGACGGCTGGAGGGCATAGCCGCATGTGACACAGATCAAGACGGAGTACGCCGGGTTGTATTGTAAAAGGCCGCTCGGGCTTTGCGCGGTTCCGCCGTCCATTGCGTGGACGATGCCAGCAGCGGAGGTTGTTGCTATCTCCGGAACCTTGCTTGTTAATTCGGAGAGCTGTGTTGCTGCGACAGTGCTAATCATGAATGGAACGGCACCGGTGGTTCTAGTGGGGGGGTCGATCAGAACTTATTCCCCGCGGTCTTGGGGCAACTCAGCAAGCCCAGCGCCCCCAAAACATGGTGTCATCGCCCTATGTGGCTAGGGGCGGACTCTTGTGCTGCTTGGTCATGCAGAATCGCAAGACGCCTCCTGCATGGAAATCGACGGTGCCGTTCCCGCTAAGACACCAGCACGGCGGGTGCTCACTGCTGGTTGGCGTGTACATCGTAAGTGTCACCAGCTGAGGCAACGAGCAGAGGAGACGGATATAAAGTGCATCGTGGCCGTGTAAGAACTTGAGAGACTCATCCCCAATGCCGACGATCTCTCAGAAGTTCATTGCAAAGAAAAAAAAACGGTTGCGACAGGCTGCTACGTTCCCCATAGCGATGACTTGGACGCGCTCAATTATCATTACCGGCGGCACCGCCAACCTTGGGTACCATGCGGCTGCTGCCATTGCCAAGGCACACCCCGACTTCCTTGTCGTACTCTCTTCGCGCTCCGACAATGATCGCGCCGCGGAGACGATCAACAAATCTCTGGGTCAAAACAACACCGTTTTCATTCCACTCGACCTCTCCAGCCTGGAAAGCATTCGGACATACTGCAAACAATGGGTCAGCGAACAACGGCCCCCAGTTCAGGCTCTCGTTCTTAACGCTGGACTGCAATTCCCTGGCGGCTTGACCAAGACTGCCGACGGACTCGAATCCACGTTTGCCATCAATCACGTCGGACACGCGCTTCTCTTCCACCTGCTGTGGCCGCACTTGGCTGAAGGGGCACGCATCGTGCTCACCTCGAGTGGCACGCACGACCCCGACCAAAAGACTGGCCTTCCGGACGCCATTTACACGAGCGCGGAAGACCTTGCACATCCCCCAGCCTCCATGGTGGAGGTGCCCGGCCGTCAGCGCTACGCTAGCAGCAAGCTCGCCAATGTGCTCTGGACATATGCGCTCGACCGTCGCCTGGCTCGGCGGAAGGACACGCGTGCCGTTACCGTCAATGCCTTTGATCCGGGGATGATGCCCGGGACAGGGTTGGCACGAGAGGCGAGCGGCGTTGTCAGGTTTCTCTGGCTGCGAGTGCTGCCGCACATCCTCCCCCTGCTGCGCGTGGCCGTGTCTCCAAACATTCATGCACCTGCAGAATCTGGCGCAGCGTTGGCTAATCTGGTTGTCGGCAAGGATGTAAGTGGCCAGTCGGGCAAATATTATGAAGGGACCAGAGAAATTCGCTCGAGCAAGGACAGCTACGATGAGTCGAAACAAGAGGATCTTTGGCGCTGGACAGCTCAGTACTTGGCGTCATCGGAGGATGAGCGATCGAGGTTTGAGACGCTGACGGAGTATGAAGAGAGGCAGTCAGACACGTTGTACGAGGTGTACACTTTTTGAGTCGTTGTCGACCTGGGCAAAGAGTATTCCGTAAAGACTCGCATAGACTGTATAATGTGTAATAATTGACATCTTAAGAGATGAGATTGCAATGCACTTTACAGAGGCGTCCCAAGATATGGCGAAGACGAAATGATGGAGGTTAAGCTGGACTGTTTGAGTAGCAACCCGGAGTCGTAGGGTAGGCTGTTTATGTCCGAGCCAGACGAACCAACGAAGCTTCGCGCCCTCCCGCACAGACGGACAAGGCGAGTCCAAGTCGATCTTGAGAACAATGGCTTCAGCAATTGCACTGGAGATTATGTCGTGCTCCGAGGAACATGGAGGGCCTGCTCAATCAATGCAGCTTGCGCGAGGTGACTTGAGATTGCCCGTCCCACGGTGGAGTTCCACGGCCCCGGAGGATATCACGTGCCCGCGGAGCTGCCTCGCGATCACCAGTGAACGCGCCCCAGAGAGCCTCGTAGCTTCGTTCGCGCCAACACAGCTCATTCACGCGTCGCCGTCAACGCTACGATGCGGAGCCACACACCGCAGGAGGGCGAGCGCAGCGGCCCTGGCGGCCGTCGCGGCTCCGTGTCGAGCCGGCTGCGCGCCAGCACCTCTGCATTGCCTCGGCCACAGACCAACCTGCGCGAGTCAAGAGTAAGTCACCATTCCCTGGGCTGGCCCGGCGCCATGAGGCAGCTAGCCGACGCAGAGCTTAGATTTCCTCCTTTCGCGCGACGCAGCCCAGCTATAACCTCATTACCGGCGCGGAGTCCAACTCGCGACCCTCGTCGCGCCAAAGCTACGCGGCAGAGTCCGTCCGCCCCGGCTCGCGTGAGAGCTCCAAAGAAAACATGGCGCCACCCGATGCCGACGAGTACGAGAAATACCGCAAGGAGATCGAAGCACTCAAGGCCGAAATCGGTACCTTGCAATATCGCATGCAGACTGCCGAGCAGGAGAAGGAGATCGCCCTCTCCCAGCAGAGCAACAAGCTGGAACAAGCGCGCCGAAGCAAGCAAGATGAAGCGCAGCAACGACAGGTCGCCGAGGCCGACTGTGCAAAGGCCGCAGAGCAGGCCGAGTCGGCTCGGCGGGACCTGGACGAGCTAAGAGAGACGGCTGAAGCTGAGCAAAGATCCCTGGAACGCAAGGCGCGGGAAGCACAAGACGAGGCGCGCCTTCTCCAGGAACAGCTTGACGACCTTTCCGCGACGAAAGAAGAAGCCGCCCGAATAGCCGAGAAGAAAATGGCAGATATGCAGATGCAAATCGCGGCCTGCCATAATTCGATACAAGAGCTGGAGCAGGAGGGCCAGACAAAAGGCGAGGCGCTGCAAAATGCGCAAAACCAGTTGGCCAATAGGGACGGCCAGATTGCAGGGCTGGAGGCCGACGTCCTGCGTCTCAAGGCACAGAGCGGTGACGCCGAGACCATGGAGATCATCAAACGAGAGCTATCGGAGCAGGTGCAGCACATTCGCGCCCTCGAATCCACCAACCGCGACCAGCTGTCCGAGCTGAAGCACCTACGGTCTGTCAACAAGGCCGTCGAGATCGTGGAGGAGGAAAAGCGGACGCTTCAGCGCAGGCTGGAGTCTGCAGAGACACTCGAGACTGAGCTGGCCGAGGCGCGGCTGCAACGGCAACGTCTGGAAGACGAGCGTCGGGCCTGGACGTCATATTTGCAAAATGCGTCAGAGACGGGCAATGATGAGTTTGACTCTCCGGAGGCCATGGCTCGAGCCCTGGTGCAGGAGCGGCTAACGACGGCCTCGTACGTGGAGCAGCTCGGTGCGCTTCGCGCCGAGATGGCGGCCCAGGAAAACACGACGCAATCACTGAAGGAGGAGCGGACCCAGCTCAAGGAACAGCTCGAAGTGGCCAAGACGACGGCCAATGCCTCGTCGACAGACAAGGCGCGTTTGCGGCTCGACCGCCAGCGTGCCCTGGCGCTTAAGGAGGTGGAATACCTACGTGCGCAGCTCAAGGCCATTGATGAGGAGGATCATACGATGCAGCCGGGGCAATACGACGAGGCTCGAGTTGCGCGAGTGCAGGAGCTGGAAAAGATCATTGACGATTACAAGTCCGAGGTACAGACGCTACATGCCGAGCTATCATCGCAGGAGCCACAAGCGGGCACACCGCAGCCCGCAGCCGCAGTCGCCGGGACCAAACGCTCCCGGCTCGACGACGATGAAACGCAGGAGCAGCTCGGACAGCTGACGCGCAAGAACCGCAAGCTCCAAGACGATCTGACATCGCTGCAAACCCGAGCCTCTCTGCTGGAGAAGGACCTTGCCGCCAGCAGGGAGCAGCTCTCGGCGGCCAAGGAGCGCGGCCAGACGCGCGTCCTGTCTCTCCGCTCAAACCCGACGTCAGATCACGAAGCGATCAAGCGGTCGACGCTCGAGGCGCTCCAGAACGAAAACAGAGACCTGCTCGCCAATCTGCGGGCGCGTCACCCCGACCCGTCCGTACCTGTTATCCCCACGTCGGTGCTCGGCGCCATGGAGCGCGAGATCGCGGCCGCCAAGGCGGAGACTACGTCGGCCAAGAAGTCTGCGCAGCGCCTCAAGGAGGTTTGGGGCTCCAAGTCGCACGAATTCAAGGAGGCCATCTTCTCCACGCTCGGCTGGACCGTCACCTTCATCCCCAACGGCAAGATGCGCGTCGAGAGCACCTTTTACCCCTCCCAGACAGACGAGCACGAAAACTCGATTGTCTTTGACGGCGAGCGCGGCACCATGAAGGTCGGCGGCGGGCCCAGGAGCGCCTTTGCGCGCCGCATCGGAGACCAGATTGGCTTCTGGGTCCGCGAGAAGGGCTGCATACCCGGGTTCCTGGCGGCGCTGACGCTCGAGTTCTATGAGGAGCACAACGCCAAGGCCGGGGACGCGTAGGAGCACGTTTTGATCCGACTGACCCGTCGGCTGCGGAGGGACTCGGTTCCTCGCCTGGGACGGAGGTCGGTGGAACGACGTGCCAATGGGAACAGGCGAGACATGCATGCTCACGGAGTTCGATGGTTCACGGTTGCGGGTAGGCGGCCGGCCCTTGCCGACTGATTTATACCAAATAATGGTCATACATGGCATGCATGGGTATTTCACGAGCGATGCCAGGTCTTTGTGCAGTCAAATCAATCAATATAAACATTGAAGCGACCGTGGCCTCCACACGTCTTGTGATATATCCATATTATTCGCATCCCAACGATCGCTGACCCATCTGATGCCATATTTCCCATTCATCCAGCCGTCGCGTCATCATCATGTATGAATGAACATAACATACTACTGACTTCCACATGTACGTAGTAAAAACTCGCCCGAGGACAAAATCGACTCACGAGCCCTGCGCCGCAGCGCCTTTAACTCTCCTGCGCGCGTTGCGCACGCGCTCTTCATCCATGGCACTCCGCCACTCGCAGTCGGCAGCGAACTCGCACGTGCCGCACTTGAACGCCTCCTCAATATCCACGCCGCGGGCGCGCCGCTCGCCGCGCCACCACGCCATGTACTGACTCAGGTACGTGTCGAGGGCTTGCGCGGAGACGGGGAAGTCGTGTACATCAAGCACCCGCCCGTCGGAACGGAGCATGTACTGTACCCGGAGCATGTGGCCGAGTGAGTCGGCACCTTCTGGGAAGGCAAGCCTGATCTCTCGCCGGACGAGGGGAACCATCTCGCGAAGGGTTTGATAGCGAATCAAGTCGTCGCCTAGTATCGCACCTGGCCCTGCGGCTCGGTGGTTGGTCGCATTATCATTTTTGGAGGCGGCGGCGCTGTAGAGACTATCTTCAACGTCGGCCGGGCTCAACGGCGCGTCGTAAAAAACCTCGTCGTGAAGGTCTCCAATCTGTGCAAGGAAGGCGTCGGTGAAGCGATCGTCCGGGTCCAGACCGTAGCGCCGAAAAACCTTGAAAAAGTCAAGTTTCTCAGACGCCATGTCGGATAGGAAACGGTGATAGAGGAGCAACTGGATCTTGGCGGGGCGTAGCAAAGACTTGGACACCGGGGCCCGACTCCCGCGCGTCTTCACATCGGTGAGGTATACCTTGGGTGAGGCAGTCTTCTTTTTTGGTGGAAAGTAGTCTGTCAAGGCCGATTGCTTCAAGTCGAACTGTGACTCCTGGCTGGATAGCTCTTCTTCAAAGTCAGGGTTTGGATTCTCGTGGCTGACTCCGTCGATGACGCCATTGACCAGGTTGCCATCGACGGTTCCCCAGACCTCGAGCTCGCGCGTCAAGCCAGTCTGTCGCAGCGTTCTCAGCCCCTGGACCAGGTTCCATAATCGAAGGGCAAATGCGTCCTCCTTGCTCGCAATCTCAATTGGCACTGTGGTATGGACCTCATCTTCAAGCTTCTGGTGGACCTTGGAGCCTTGCCGCATGGCGGCGGTTCGAGTGCGCCGCCCTCCAGGAAGGCGGGTTAGCGTGTACCAGTACTGCAGTTCGCACCAGGCACCCGAAGTGAGGTCGCTGACGGTGAGGGGCTTGCGAGGATACGAGCGGAAGCGCTGAAGCGGGGAGCGTTCGTCTTCAATGACGTCGGAGTCGACGTCGGTGGACACCTGAGCAGGAGCCTCGCCATCGTGCAACTCAGATAGGGCACGGCTCACTAGGCGCTTCAGTCAGTCAGCGAGCCCTTGCTGAGGACGAGGCTGATGAGGGGGACGTGAGCCTTACGATCGGGGTAGCTGACATCCGCATCGACCGGTGGTGTAACAGGCGCCGGAGGGGCCAATCGGCTCTCAGAGGTCTGTTGATGCACGCTGCAGAGATGCGAGCATGTGCACTGAGAGATCTCAGGGCCGCCATGGTGAGGGGTGCCTTCGGCGTACTCTGGAATCGCGTCTATCGCAGCGCGCACGCTTGGGTCTCTGCGCAAGGCGGGGGGTGCGTGAGCGGACGAGTTGGGCGTGGCGTCGGCGGCGAGTTGAATCAGCTGGAGTTCCTCCTCAGAGGTAAAGTCGTAGCCATAGTCGCTGTCGCTATCGAGAAGCTCGACGACGGCCATGGCTCCCGCGACGGTGTTTCATGTTTGCGAGAGCATGATGGAGCCTGTGTGGCGACTCGCGGCAGGAGCTCAAGAAGAGGGTGGGCGGCACGGTTCGAGGAATCGGGGGACTCGCGACAGAGACGCGGGGTCACGTGGGGGGTATGCACGGTAACACAGTGGCGCCGGAGCAGGCGCAGGCAGACAAGCACGCAAGGCAGCACAAGGCAGCCTCGACAGTGGACATCATCAAGCGCCACTGCCCGGATGGAGGACATCCGGCCTGGCTTGAAGACCACCTACCTGAAATACACGGTGTCTGGCATGCGCTATCGTGCTTCGGCACTGGACCAGAAGGGCGAAATACAAAGTGCATGAGTTGTTCAAGACAAATCGACGGCACCTGCTAGCAAATACATACGTTACCTCCATGATAGTACTAACCATATGTGCTGTCGATGCATGCCTCCGTTCATCGTCAGCTGGCCTGGGCGCGCACAGGCGCCTGCTGCGGGCGCTGTGCGACAGTGCGAGAGCCTCCCCTCACCTGCCGGGGCTGTGGCTGCCGTCAGAGCCCTGAGATGCTGTCATCATCGCGTGAAGGCCTCTGGCTCAACGCATCTCGTGGACGGGAAAGAGAGCGATCTGTCGCGCTGTCCTCTTGATTTCGCTTTTTCTTGTCGGCTGCCTTGACTTCAATTCCCTACCACAGCCAAAGCTGCATTGGACTCACAACGGCTGCCACGCTGGCTCGCCGACCGGCCTTCGCTCGCTCCCTGCAGGCCTGCAGCAGCAGCCCTGAAACATGCCAGCGGGCTCGGTGGCTGGGTCGCGCCATGCCTCTCCAGCGGCCTATTTGTCAACAGGCGTCCAGGCTGCGTGACACGACGGCTGCATCTCCATCCAGCTCTCCGCCATCACCTCCAATGGATCCGAATTGAGCCCTTCACCTCTCCGTCATCCGGCGTCTCTGTCACTATTTACAGTTGACGAGCTGGCCCGTCGTGCCGTCATGGGACGCGCGGGGCTGAGCCGCCCTGAAACCGGTGCCTGTCGTGGCTGAGAATACGAGGCTGCCTCGCGAGTGCCGCCTGTCGGTCCTCTCCAAGGCAGCACCATAGTTCGCCGCCTACAAAAGGTCAGCAGACTTCACACGGCTCGGCGCCAATGCAGGTCCCGGCCCTGTCCTGGAAACCTTGCCTCAGACTTCATCGCAGCCAGCGCCATCATGACGACGACGACCGATACGGCGCCGGCCGTCCTCCGTTGCCGACGACCCACCATCCCCGAGTCGGCGCCGGGCCTCCCCAGCACCGGGGGAAGCGACTCCGTGTGCGACAGGCCCCCTGTGGCCCAGCTCGACTTGCTGTCGCTCCCGCCCGAGCTTCACTTAGCAGTTTCCGAGTACCTCATCTACCCGGACGCCCTGTCTCTCAAGCACACCAACCGCCACTTCTACAGCATCGTCGACACTGGCATCGAGCTCAAGATCGACTGGCTGATGGAGCGCCGCCGCCTGCATCTCGAGTGCCCCAACGACCGGCGCTGCGACCTTGGCAGCGACCTGCGGTTCTGTCGTGGAAGCGTGCCGTGCGTCTGACCTTTCCCTTTTGATACATCCGTGATGAGATCCCCTCTGCTAACACGGCGCGCGCTTGCGCAGTCTGCTGATGCGCCGCCGTCGCGAACACGTCGAGTGCGAGTCCCGCCCGGGGCTAGGCTGCCTCGTCTACGGCACGCCTGCATGCGCACACCGACCCAGGAGGCGAAGCCGCTGGCGGGCCGGCCTCCAGGCCAAGTTTACCGTGGAGCTGTGGTGGCTGCTGCTGCTCGCCCTCGTACCTGTCTTGTGCGCCTGCATCTTGGCCGCTCGCTGGGTCGAGAATTAAGAAAGAACAAGGTGGTACTTGCAGCATTTCTCATAGAGTATGGAAAGGGATCTTTAATGTGTAATAGCGAGCCGGCTGCGGGCAGCTGAAGCCACATGATGATGCACGAACCAATTCTGCACGTGTAGTTTAGAATGCAAGGCTCACAACGTGGATGGCTCTCCTACCCACCCCGAGGCTACCCAGCCTCTTACCAACTGCTCTCACTGCGTACGAGTGCCGCTTCTTCATGTGTGAAGTGAGCCTGCTACTACAGGACTCTCCCTCTGTTGGGCGGCTGGTCCCCAAGGTATCAAACGATGCGAGATGTCCGTCTCATCCCTCCATGAACCGTGTTCCTTACAACCAGCACCCATAACGTTGATGACAACAGACTGATGCAGGTTTGCTTGCAATCAAGGCCAGGGCTTCGCAATTGCCCATGCTATTACGAGCTCAATAACTCGAAACAAGCAGAATACCTCCTCCGTTGTGCTGACAGTAAAGATCGTCACGGCGCGGCTGTCGTTCAGGCGTGGGCATCAGCACTTATGCTCTGTGCCGCGGGGTCTTGTGCCACTCATCTTTTAGCTCCAGGTACACCCGGGCTCCAACGTCCAGTGTGCCAATTAGATTGAGCAGAAAATGATTGTCCTTGTCACAGAGCTCGAGGTGAATTGGAGAAAATACCTGTGGAATGCTCAAGCACTGTGCGCGGCCCAAACATTGCGACGTGGTCGTTATTAGGCGAACTGCTGGGCAGCGCCAAAACGGCTTCTGACTCTGCGCTTACACCCAGCCATGCCCAAGCCCGAACTCATTGGCTTGTTTCGATGCGGCGTATCACCAACACAAAGTCGCACTGCATGAGCGCCAAGCCAGCGGAACGCGGAACAGACGACGGATGCCTCGGCCCGGGGAAAGTGACCGCGACAGGCGGGCATGAATCGGTGTGGCAATGCTGATCCTCGAGGCATCAATTTGGGAGAAACTGGCTCACGGCTCGGGCCAAAAGTTAACAATTCGCGGACTTACAAGATGTGCGATGCGCATGAAGCTGCTACCAATTTGCAACAGTCTGAGCGCGTATTATATGTGGATTCATCTGCGTTCCAGCTCGTTCGGTATTATTTTAAACTTCGAGGCTCCAGTCCTGATGTCTGATGACTCGGCTGGATGGGCGTTCCACCCTCGTGGTTCAAGGATGAAGCACGAGCCTCCCTGCCATTCATCCCACCAAGCTCAATGGCTGCACCTTATGTATTCGTTATGCCTCACTCTGAGTACACTTTGCCAAGACGAGGCTTATTTTGCAAAGGTCTACTTTGTAGCACCAGTCAGCGCGCGGTCATCCATGCATCTCGTCAGGGGTACAGCCAGGCCACGCTCCTTCTTGCGCATCGAGCCTGCGGCACAGCACATCCTGGCACTGGGACAACTAACTAGCACTGTAGGGCTCCCGATTTGCCGGGACTCTGGCGCGCGCTGTGCGACAAAGTTCCCCTCATTTAAAGTTGCGATCCGATGAAGACGGCACAGCAGCGGGGATGGACCCAACGAGCAGCGGCTGGGTGACTGACATGCATGAAACGTAGCCATCTACAGGGGACGACCGCGTGTTTTCTGTTGGAAGCTCCGTTACTCTGCTAGTACTATTATTCTGGCTCGCGAGACCAACACTAGTCGGTGTCCGCGGGCAAGGAACGGTACTGTACGATGATTCGTCGCCTTCATGTTGCCAACGGACGAGAGCGAACAGCACATGCCGTACCGTCCTTGAACTTGGCGTTTCCTACTGTGTTGGGGACGAGAGCGGTGGTGGATCCGGCGGGACAGGAACCGCAACAGCCGCCGATGGCGTGGGCAGGCCTGGGCTGCGCCGTCTGAAGGGATGCACCCTGAAGACTCGTAATTGATTCGCCGGCAATCTTCTCGACTGGACAGGAAGGCTGGCCCTCAGATGTCGACGATGCCGTGGTGGATCCTCCGACTACGGAGCCATCTTCAGCACGAGTGGGTTTCATGAATCGGTTGCGATAGAGGCGTGACGGCGAGGCGCCAACTAACATGATGGCGCCCGTGTCCCTACGAGATGACGCCGAAGCGAGCGTCGGTGCACGTGATAGTTCTCGAAGGCTATTGTCTCTTCGACCATACATGTGCTGCCGGCAGGGCTCCACGAGACAATAGACTCAACCCCGTAGGGCCGAACCGTTTCAACGTTGCACATGACGCAGACAGAGTGTGGCTGAATCTCCTTCGGCGGGAGAAGCCTCCTTTGGCCTTGGCCACGCCACCGGCGGTGTTCTGGACGGAACGGCAGCCAGCCGCGCCCTCAATAGTCGAAGCCATCGGCAGGTCGGATCCGTCCGGGCGTGATGGAGGCGTGCGCAACACAGGGAATGATCAACGCCCTGGGCTTATGCATGGAACTGAATCAATCCAGCACTCGCTTATCGGCTGGTTGTCTCAGGGGCGCCCATCCACCCACACAAGCTTGCAAGCGAGCCCCCAACTGTCCGTCGCCAGTGACGGTGTTCCCCGCAAATCGATAGACAACCTTCTTCCCTCGTTAAGGCGAGGAATCGTCTGTGCCAATTTCCGGCTTCGCATCGCCCCAAGCGCCACGTTCCGCAAGCCACCATCGGGAAGTTTTTCATTCTCGCCGGACTCCCTCTGCTGCGCTTGGTGGCGTGATTTGTTAACGCGCGGCGGCCAGACCCCTGGTCGTCAAGCGCGAGATGCCCGACCCCTGGCGGCCGGGCTGACATGAGGCGTCAAAGTCCGTCTCACTATTCAGGCAGGCCAAGAAGTTTGTGTGCCTGGGGGATGTGCCTGCCCCTGCAGGCTGCGCTGTAGGTGCGCCGCTCGCTGCAATGGACTGCTTGCCTGCAGAGTCACGGCGTGTTGTCTGGACCGACAAATAATACTTTGTTACTCTCGCCGTTCATCCGGCAAACCTGAGCCCCTCGCGTTGATGTGAGTGAGTCGTCGCATCGGTTCACGCGATCGCGTCTGTCGCACTCTTTGATCGCGACGCACAACCACACGACGACAATTCGATGACAATGACATTGCACACCTGAGTCGAACCAGACGTGCGCCAACATGACCTTTTACTCCTCGGCGCCGCCGCTCAGGGACTTTAGCGAGGCCAAGCCCACGCTGCTTGTGGCCTGGTGGACGACGCTGTTCTGCACCTGTCTGATCCTGCTTCGTCTGGCAGGGCGGTACATCCGCGTCGAGAAACTCTTTGTCGAGGACAAGATCGCTGCCGGCGCCCTACTGCCACTATACCTGCGAATTGCATGCGTGCACGTCGTCCTGTTGTACGGCACCAACAATGCACAGCTTGAAGGGAGCGGGCTATCGCCCGTGGAGCTCGACAAGAGGGTGACGGGAAGCCGGGTGGTGCTGGCGTCGCGAGTATTTTACGCAGCAACGTGAGTCTGCACTCTTGAGAAATATTGTGGAAAGAGAGATCTAGTGCTGATTCAATGGACCAGACTATGGACTCTCAAGTTCACAACGCTCGAGTTCCTAGGCCGCCTCGCTGGCGCGTCCATGAAGAAGCTCTATCAGCGCCTCATCATCGCCCTTCGCGTCGTTCTCGTCACTACTTTTGTCGCTGTCGTGGTCAGCGACCTGGCCGAGTGCCAGCCGTTCGCCAACTACTGGCAAGTCGTGCCAGATCCCGGGCCAAAATGCCGCCAGGGCTTCTCTCAGCTTCTTACAATGGGCGTCTCGAGTGCCATCCTCGACGCCATCCTCGTCATTTTCCCCGTTCCGATCATCATTTCGACACGCATCGCGACCAAACGCAAGGTCCTACTCGTCATGCTCTTTTGTTTCGGCTTTCTTACTGTCGGCATTACCGCCTACCGGCTTCCCGCAATCATCGATCAGAAAGGCGACCAGATCGTCCGTTCCATGTGGGCTTCCATCGAGCTCCTCGCCGCCACCACAGTTGCCAATCTTGTGGCACTCGGGTCGTTCCTGCGTGACAGCGGCGTGCGGAAGACCAAATTCCGACCCGACTATCACAGCAGCGGCACGGCGTCGCGGTCGCGGCAAAAAGGTCAGCCTGTGGTCAGCGACTGGTATGAGACGGAGGCGGCGAGGCACAAGAAGGCCGACAGCGATGACTGGATCGACGAGGAGCGCTCCAATACGACCGCCGACGTCAACGGTGACGCCCAGGCTCGCCAACGCACCGAGGGCAGGGGTGGTGGTGCCAGCCCAACAGATAGCCATGACTCGCTGATCCGGCAGGGGAGCCACGGCATGTTCTCGCGAGGGCCCGTGGCGGGAGAGCCCAGGCCTCCCAGCCCGGTTGTGACGGCAGGGCCACGCAGATAGATTGATTGATACCTCTGTAGTTGCCAGGCGAGAGATACCAGACCTAATTCGTGCCACACGCACTCACAATGGCATTCATTCTGTTGCATTAGGCTATTGGCATCTCAGACACCATCACACCCTCTCCGCGACATGACTGAGACGAACCCGGCCAGACCTGGCGCTGATTCCAGACTTCCCTCATGGCTGCACGAGAACAGCAGCAGGGAGCAGCCACAGCGCGGCAGCGACCCTTGCAGGCCCTGGGAGCCAAGCCAGCCAAGCCAGCCGGGTACCGTCAGACGGCGAGCATCAACTCTGGTTAGAAGGCGCAGGCCGGTGTAGCCAACCAAATTGCCAACGAGGTGATTCCGGCCCTGACGCGAATCCGTTGGTCAACCTGGAGCTGCGGCAGCTGAGAGCTGCCCAAATGGGATCCCGTCTTATCAGCCCCAACCAGGCTAACCCCAGGTTTGCGGAGACTCTGCCCACCTGCGGTCCCACATGGTCTCCTGCAGACGGGGAGGAGAGGGACGGCTGGGGGAACGGCCTGTGAGACGCCTCGACGCCATTGCAGAAAAAGCCACGCGCGCGTTGCGCCATCAAGCCGCTGGTGTGGATGCGGTTCTAGAAACGAGCCAGTCCACTGCGGTGTCTGTGTGAGCCGTACCACCCCCTGGCCCCCCTGCCCCTGACGACCGGCCATGGATCCCGCTTCTGGCGCGTGCGGGAGAATGAGACGGCACTGTCGCACTGTGACGGGGATCATCAACGAGTTCTCCGATAGATGTCTGGTGCGCCACGCCAGGCCGCGGTGCGATGGCATGGATGGCAGACAGCCAGGCCAGTCCCGTCCTGTCCGGGCGCGAAGAAGCAGGGTTTCCATGTGTGTGGCGGGCCGCCTCGATGTGACATGATCCGATCCGGCGCCGAGAAGGACTCCCCTTCAGGCAGTGACCTGCCTCCCCCCTCTCCTCTCGAGTCCAAGACCGGCGTGACAGCCTTTTATCAATGCGACGCAACTTCCGGATCGACACTGGGAGGGCTCGCTTCGGTCGAACGGCCTCGGGGCACACCGCACGGAAACACTCAGCGTTGAATCGCACGCAGAAACTGCATACATTCTGCCCTCAAGCCTTGTTGTTGCATCGGCGACGACCAATATGGCTGGCAGCAACGAGCCCGAGAAGCCCAAGGCAATGAAGCCGGGCATCACGTACACGCGTGACTTCGAGGTCGTGGAGATGAGCGACCTCTCGGCCGATAAGTCGCGGGGCCAGTTCACCACCACCACCACATCCTACTCCATCTCAACAACGGGCCGGCCTACGCGCTCGTCCGCCCGCAAGCCGACCTCGACGGCGTCGCTCGGCCGCCGCTGGGTTGACAGCTTCCGCCGCGTAGAGGGTGTGCCTATTGGCGGCCACGATGGCTACCATATCAACGATGGCATGCCGGACCCGGCACAGGTTGGCGACCGCTTCTACGACCTGCGCGCCGCCAATGCGCGGACGGCCAACTCAGCGCTCGCCCGTGACCTCAAGTCACGGCATCTACAGATGATTGCCATTGGCGGCTCCGTCGGTTCGTCCAGCCCTCAGGTCCAATATCACGATTCGTTACTGAAGCCTCGCTCGCAGGGACCGGTCTGTTCGTGAGCTCCGGCATGGCGCTGTTCCAGGGCGGACCCGTGTCCATGCTGTTGGCGTACATCATGACCGGAGCCTTTCAATTTTGCACGATGCAAAGCCTGGGAGAATTGGTTGTCACCTTTCCCATTGCGGGCTCCTTCTCCGTGTTCTCGACACGTTTCCTGGACCCCTCCTGGGGGTTTGCCATGGGCTGGAAGTGAGTGACCCCCCTGATCCCTGACCCGTCGCACGATACTTAAGCACGTTGCGGCCTCGCGATTTGCACTGCACGTGGCCTTCGGTCACCAAGCTTGTCTGACTTCCGAATCTGCAGCTATGCCCTGCAATGGCTGTTTGCAATGCCGCTGGAGCTCATCTCTGGTGCCCTGACTATTCAGTACTGGAACCAATCCCTCAGCCCTGCCATTTTCGTGACTATTTTTCTTTTCGTCATAGCTGGTATCAACCTCATGGGCATCAAGGGCTACGGTGAGGCCGAGTTTCTTTTCTCGACCATCAAAGTCACAGCCATCGTCGGCTTCATGTAAGCAATAACGCTCCCGCTGCCTGACCATGGAGCACTTTTCTGATTGAAGATTGTCAGTCTTCTCGGTGTCGTCATCAACATCGGTGGCAGCCCCCATGATGGATACATTGGCGGCAAGTACTGGCTTGACCCTGGTCCTACCAACCACGGCTTCAAGGGCTTCTGTAGCGTGCTCGCTACATCGTCTTTCTCCTTTGTCGGCACCGAGCTCGTCGGTCTGGCTGCCGCCGAAGCTTCCAACCCCAAAAAGTCACTTCCTAGTGCCATCAAGCAGGTCTTTTGGCGCATCGCCATTTTCTACGTCGTTTCGCTTTTGCTGGTCAGCTTGCTTGTCCCGTACAATGAGCCGCGCCTTTTGGGAGGCAGGAGCTCCGTCGACGCAACAGCCAGTCCCTTTGTCATCGCCGTCGAGAGCGCCGGACAGACAATCCTTCCGAGCGTTATGAACGCCGTTATCCTTGCCGCCGTACTGAGCGTCGGCAATTCAGCCGTTTTTGGCTCGTCACGGACACTCGCTGCCCTGGCCGAGCAGTCGCATGCCCCCAAAATCTTCGCCTACGTTGACCGGAAGGGAAGGCCACTGGTTGCCACCATCTTCGCCCTGGCCCTTGGTCTCCTGGCTTATATGGCCGCCATCAAAGTCCACGATCAAATTTTCGATTGGCTATTCGCCATCTGCGGACTGTCGGGCCTCTTTACCTGGGCAAGCATCTGCCTTTGCCACATTCGCTTCCGACGTGCGTGGGCACTCGCCGGCCATACGCTAGACCAGTTGCCTTTCAGGTCACAGGCTGGTGTTATTGGAGCCTTTGTCGGCCTAGTGGGAAACCTGCTTGTTCTGATCTCCCAGTTTTGGATCGCTGTCTCGCCGATCACCACCAGCGACACGGCCGCCACGCCAGCAGGGACAGCAAAGGGCTTTTTCCTAAAGATGATGGCGGTGCCTGTCGTGCTCATTTTCTACCTAGCGCACAAGATCTGGTTCAGGACAGGGGTCGTCAGCTATAAAAACATGGATATTGACTCAGGCAGAAGCTTTACCAGAGTTCCGGCATTGTCAGCGGAGGAAGAAGAGCGTCGGAGAGCATGGCCGATGTGGAAGAGGGTGTACAGAGTTCTTTGCTAGTTACAACTGATCCTGAGATACCATAATTGCTTAATCTTTGGCCAGCTATTCAGCGAAGAAGCTGTTCTTGACGGGAGTTTTCGGTGAAAAACACTATGTTCATGTCACCGGCACTGGGACGACAGCCAGTTACGGGCTGCCTCCTCTGCACAATCATCCAGGTGCCTCAACCCACCCTCGCTCAAGACTTGAACACCCAATGGGCAATGAGGGTCATGATCGATAGATGATAGATGTGTTGGTCCCTCCCGCTCTTATTGTATGGGCTCCATTGACTGCCGCGTGGAGAGCCCAGCCAACATACGGGATGAGTACCGCTGACTCATTAAGACTCACGTACCGTCTGTGGTCTGGAGGAACTCTGCTTCCAACATCAACGCACATGCAACTGCACGGCTGGTTCCCCGCCTGAGACTCCACCAGCCGTTGCTAGCGAGATGAGTAGTTTCGGCATGATAAACCAACCTCAACTTCACAATCATGGAGAACAACGCAATCCGGGCGAGGGTGACGCCAGCACCTCAAGAACTGATGGCCGAAAGAGACGTCGGAAGTTGGCGTGTCACAACTGTCACAGACTAAAAACACGCTGCGATTTTGACGTTGGCACGCATGTGTGCCGACGCTGTCAAACCTTGAGGTATAGTATCCATGTCGTCAAGGCTTCCAAGGACACTCTCGTGAGTGAGATCGAGGACTAATAATCTGATCAGGCTAGAGTGTGTAATGTTCGACCAGCCTGCCGCCGGCGCCCCTTCTGCAATAACCACGCAAGTATACCTCGTGTTTTGTGTGGTTCTTGGTACTAAATCCTAATAGGGATAAACCCCTTGCTGCACCAACTGGCTCTGTAACACTTGAGCACATCAGGGATTCTATCGACGCGCTTAGGAACGAGCTTAAATCCTCATGTGTCGCTTCTGGGGCAAACTGCCTACAAGACTCCAGTCAACATACCCCAGCGTACGCTGCAGCGCTGCCTAGTAATGCCAGTCATGAAGATGAAGACAAGCTTCCACAGGACCCGCCAGATAGCAGTACTACAACAGCACCGATCTCGATCATCCGCCAGGTTATTGTAGATCGAGATGCTGGATACCGGCGAGAATTCCCCGATACCACCCCGGATGTTGTGGCAGCTGGGATCGTCCCTGAAACGGAAGCGCTTCAACTGGCAACCAAGTTAGTTCTTCGCACCCGTCATTCTAGTCGGCAGTCTGGTGCCATTTAACCAGTTACACTGTGCACAAAAGGCAGGAAACAGGATACTAAGAGTCATGACCACAGATTTTGCGAATACCATCACGACTTGCTTCACTGCCCTGGGGTCGATATCGGTACATTGGTGAGGCAAATTCGCGAGTCGTCACCGTTTCTGTTCGCAGTCTGCTGCTTCAGTGCCACAACGTATCGCATACCACCCGGAAGAGACGCCCCACAGCCCTTTGACCTGCTCAAAAGCCATGTCATGGCTGTTCTTGGTCAAACCTTGCTTCAAAGTCCAATCCCGACAGAGAGCATTTACGCAATGGTGATCGTCTCGACGTTGACGCCGCCCATTAGGGTATGCTTGTCAATGGCCACCAACTCTTGAGAACACACCCTAAGTGATTCCAGGCCCGCCAGCCCTACGTGGATAGCTGGTTGCTTTCCGGTTATGCGGCCCAACAAGCTATGCTGGTGATTGACTTCACCGCCATCACGGACAACCTCAACGCAAACAGGGTCAGCCCAGGAAATGTGAGGCATTTGCGGCTTTGGGCCACGATATGTCTCAATCATCTGCAGTAAATTGTCCACGGAGACTACAATCTCATGCGTCACTGACAGTTGCAGCTTTTCACTCGGTTGCGGCCGACCACCTGTCATGTCTCCCGCGTATATCGACCAAGCGTACCTCATACTCAACAGCTCTCAAGACAACATAGAAGACGAATTTATAATTGCCGAGATAATGTTATATCGCCGTTTCAAGAGGACCGTAGATGCAAAAATTCGAGTCGGCCACGATGGTCGTTGCGAAAACCTCGAGGGGTGGCGGCAAGAATGGAGACGCCTCTTGAGTTCGTCACCAGCGCAGCCGAAGCGATTCTTACAGAGGCTGACAGCTTTCAGATGTATCTCATCATGAGCTGTTGGATCTCAGCTACCACTTTGTTTACGTCGCTGTGATCATGCGTTCGCTGGAGCTACTGAAGGAATCCCGTATGCCGGCCGACAACACGCCAATAGACGAGGGTCCTCTCATTAGCGTCGCATGCGGGCACGCGCTGAAGGTCCTGCACTACGCTAATAAAGCCCCGAAGCAAGTCAAAATGACTCTCACAGCGTTCAGGTATATGAACGTTGCCTACTGCGCCCTCATGCTGTCGAGGTACCTCACTGTCTGCGGGACACCTGCCAGAGAGATACTCGGACTGATTTACGACACACAAAAGAATCTGGACAACCCCTCTGGACGTGTCAACTCTGCCCTCAGTGTTGCTCTGAGTCAAGCAAAGAATGAGCTGCAAACGGCCGGTGATAGTTGGGAGATACCTTCAGATCATCCCGACACTGATTGCGAGATCACGGCTTTCGACCCTTCCACTGGATTTCATCAAGGATATCCTCTAAGCTTGGAGGACATAAATGACTGCTTTCCATCGTTTGGGACCCTCTTTGGCGACACATCCACAATGCCAATCATGCCTTTCATGTAGCTGCCCTAGGGCGTCGCAATTGGGTTTACCGCTTGGGGATCTTGCGTACTCATGGGCAGACATGACCGCTTTTGGGCCACTTTAGTGTATGTTCCCGCCATGGGATCAACCTTGCATGAATGGAATACTGCATGCCACACAAGAATGCTGAAGCTGCCGAGTCAAGAACAACGTTTACAAACAGGCTACATTGACCTAAAACAGCCCTCGGTCCCATTTTCACACCTTGTTCGTCTCTATGACCAGTCGTCCCAACGCAAGCCGTTCGAAAACAACACCCCATTTCGCTCGAAAGTCGGGCCTTCTGCGTCTTCCAGAAATCCCGATGCGCAGTACGAGTTACTCACACGCGGTAGGGCCTTTTCATAAAAGACATCGAAAGACGATGCTAAAGCATCTCTTAACGTGTGTACGCTCCCTTGCGGGTGTAGCGCGCCCCACGGGCGGCTACATGTTGCACCTTTGCATGTTTTGGTGACAAGAAGCAACGCATCGAGCCTAGAAGTCAAGGTCTGAATCGACTGACCTAGTATGTTGATAGCTGGGGCGTTGGGTTGAAGCAAATTGTTCATTTGACCTGGATCGCTCTGCAATAGTTTCGCTCAGCTTCTGCCCTGTTTTGGTACGTGTAGGGACAGGTCTAATACTCACTTTAAGGTCATAAAGCTCGCGCTCATTATTGCACCAGACCGAGTAGTAAAGGTTATACTCCTCAGATATGACACGGACTGCTTTGTAGGTGTTGTTCGTGGCAAACCTGTCATCCCCTCCAAATAGTAAGAACTTGCCCTCGGATGCGGCGAAACCCCAATACTCGACGGTGACATGCTCATGTCGCGTGGAACGTGCGCTTGTCTGTTCTTCCTCCGTCAGGGGTATTGCCACTCCATCAACGTCTGCCGGAACAGGATATCCCGCAATCCCAAGTATTGTTGGCAAGAGGTCATGATGGGCCGTGACGAAATCAGCGACTGAGCCGGCTGGAATGCCCGGACCGCGTATAATAAGAGGCACATTGATGTCTTCTTCGTACCCACAAGACTTTCCCGGCTGCAAGCGGTGTTGGCCGATGTGGAATCCATTATCAGACGTGTAGAAGACATAAGTCTCCCCAGTGATTCCGTGGCTTTCCAATTTTCTAAAAACTGAATCGACCATCTCATCAACTGCTTGAAGAGATCTAATTCTGTTTCGGTGATACTCGTCATTGTAGGCCACGTTCTCAGTAGTCATCTTTGGTTGCCGAAATACCCAGCTGGCACCAGACGGATGATCCGAGTTGAAGTTGTGTGTCCTCGGAACGACTACATCAGGGAATAAATGCGCATGACGCTCTGCTGGTATTGGTGGCGTTGTCTCGAACTTTTTGTCATTCCGCTTACTGCCATCCGGCGGGCTGACCACATTCGCATTGATATTCGAGTGGGGTGCTATGGGGGCAATCCCGATGAAAAACGGCTTCTTAGCGGCCACAGCTTCATCGATGAAACCGAGTGCTTTCCCGGCAAGAACATCGGTACTGTATTGGCCTTCATAATTGACGGGCGGCTCCTTGTTCCGTTGAAATGTGGCGTTCAGATAAGAGTACGTGTTTGGGTCCAGCAGAAAGTCTGACCCCGTCCAGCCAGATGGAAAGGGGTCATGGTAGTTGGAAACTGAATGAGCATTGAACAGCTTGCCAGTGTAATAGGTGTTATAGCCCGCAGATTGCAAGAAAACAGGAAGATATTTCTCATTAAGTCCTTGGCTCACAAACTTTGGGTAACCCCCTTCAGGATATAGGTCAGCTTCACATCGACTGCAACATGGAACAAGAGCATACCGTAAGGAGGAAACACATCCGTGACGTTGGTATTATGCGCCATCTTTCCAGTCCATAATGATACACGAGCAGGACAGCATATTGCCGAGGTGCAATAGTGCCTCTTGTATAAAGCTCCGCGATCTGTAATGTGTTGCTTCACATAGGGAAGGAAGTCAAGGGAGTCGAGATGAACATCTTGATCGTCGGTGATGATGAACACAATGTTAGGTTGACTTTGAGATAGTTGTCGCCCTGTCACCAGTTGGCTTCCATATCGCTGATTCAGCAAAGAAATGCCGATCGCAAAGATCCCGAAAATTGCTGTAGCCCATCTCGAAGCCATAGAGTCCCTGACCCAGCCAAAGGTCGGCAATTTGGGACGTAATTTAGGTCCCATCGTGGAGCTCTGCCCATGACAACCACCAGACAGCTTAAACACCGCAAGTCTATATTAGGCTTGAGTTGAGAGGGTAGCCCCAAAAAAACGTACATAACCAGATAGGTCACGACGCAGACCCCTTTGGCATTTAATGTGCACTCGGAGACTGCCGCTTCCTTGGGCTTGTTGGTCGCTGAGCCACATCACGTTGGATAGCAAGAGCGGACTCGGCTAATATTGCCTGGCTAGAGTACACTATGGCCGTCGGACTCCGGCGGTGTCAAAAACATGTCGCCGACGGCAACCCACGGTTGGCAGTGCTCCCAACACCTCGTGTGATAAGGGGTTAGTACTGTCGCTGCCCACGTTACTAATAACAGGCATCGACGGCAATCCAACTGGGTGCGAGACCCAAGCCGAATCTAACAAAATCCGTCCGCTCGCACGCGCGTGTACTGTATTAGCACGCTATCAATCGGGACTTGTTCACGCTACCAAACAGCGTGAACTGCCTCCGCCATCAAGGGCTTGTTTGGCCCGTGGCCAAGGTGCCTAAGCACTTTCAGCTCAACACTGCCCAGCGACCATGGGAGCTCTTGCACGATGGGCCAAAAAGGCCGAGGTCAGACGATCCGACGACAGCCCGACGCCGAGTTTCCTCGACAATGACGATCTACGTCCGCTACGACTGAAGGACCGAACGTGGGGTCGGCTTGTCTGGCTCATGTTCTGGCTTTCGTCTGCCTCATCCCCTGGAAATTGGCAAGCGCCTGCTGCCTGCATTGCCGCGGGTCTCTCCGCGTGGGAAACGATCATAGCCATGCTGACCGGTCGCGCAATCTTAGAGGCGCTCATCGTGGCGAATGGTCGTTGCGGTGCTGTGTATCACATGCCCCTGCCGGCTCTTATTCGCAGCAGCTGGGGCGTGTACGGCGCCTGGTGGCCAGTGGTGAATCGTGTAGTAATTGGAATAATATTCATGGGCATCACAGTTGCGCAAGGAGGACTTTGCGTTTAGTACGCCGATATTTCCTGTGCTGTGCACAATCCCGAGGACTAACTGAATGCGATTGCAGCGTGACACTTCATGCAATCTTCCCATCGCTGGATAAGCTTCCGCTAGTTCTTGGCCCCGAAGAGGGCACCACCACTGGGCAGTTTATTGGTATCCTCATCTTCTGGTACGTTGAGACCCTGTTACCTGCAGCGGGCTTTGACGCCAACTTACAGGGTCGAATTAGGGTCCTCATGCTGGGTGCTGACCTTATTCCCGTACCAAAACTCAAAAGCACCATTTACATCAAGGTGGTGGTCTTCTTTGCCTCTGCTTTCGCCTTGCTTGGCTGGATCGTGCACCTCGGCGGCGGCATCGGCCCCGTTTTCACGGCCCCCAGTCGAGTGCATGGCAGTGAGAAGGCATGGCTCGTCGTACGCTTCTTCTTGCTCTTCATTTCCAACAGCACGACCTTCATCATGAACGCAGCGGATTGGCAGAGATACTCAAAGAAGCCAAGCGACCCTATTATTATGCAGATGGTGGGTGGACCAATTGCCCACGTGGTTATCAGCCTAATTGGAGCCCTGGTGACGTCCTCTGGAGCACTCATTTACAAGAAGGTACGCGCTTCCTTGCGTCTGTTGCTCGTGAACATCACTGAAACAAGCAGCCGCAATGGAACCCGATTCTTCTCATTGATCAGATTTTGGCGGACAATTACAACCCCAGAGTGAGAGCGGCGTGCTTCTTCCTTGGACTTGCTTTCACATACTCGTCACTTGTTAGTGTCGTGTTGTCAAATGGTCTTCCGTACGTGTGGCCGCCCCATCCAAAGGTCACTTTCGCGCTGACGCGATGTTCCAGTGCTGGCAACGATCTTGCGGGGTTGTTCCCCAAATACATCAACTACCGAAGAGGAACAATTTTGGCCGGATGTCTCTGCATAGTAATATGCCCGTGGCGATTGATCGCTACGGCGACTGCCTTTCTCGCGTTTTTGAGTAACTATGGGTAGGCCTGAGTCCCAAAGTCGCCCGACAACGGCACCGCTAAAATGATCATAGCTTCTTCCTCTCTTCCTTCATCGGCCCCATGCTTGCGCATTATTTTCTGCTCGTCCGAGGCCACATTAGCGTCGACGACCTCTTCACGTCCTCAAAAACGGGCACATACTACTATTGGAAAGGTATCAACGTACGTGCAGCAGCGGCGTACGTGCTTGGGATCGCGCCGTCTCTCTATGGCTTTGCGGGGGCTCTCGGCGTCCCGGTTTCAGTCTCTGTGCAGCGATCCTTCTATTTTTCCGTCATCATTGGCATCGGAATATCTGCCGGGTCTTATATTCTTCTATGTGCCTTGTGGCCAGTTCCGCAACAAGTCCCCTTTGGCACCAAGGGGTGGCTCGAGCCGGACGACGTCATTCGTCAAGATGATGTATCGGACAATTCGGCCTTGTCTGCCCAAGACGCGGACACCCCCCGGCAGCATTCTCAGGGCAGTCACGATGTGGAAAAGGGGGCAGCAATGCATGTTTAGTCGCCGCAACGGCCACATGTAGTCTAGATCCAGCTCCATGTCAACAAAGTGCTAATACCGTCTATGATGAAAGCCCTCCCGCGTGTTACTGAGGGGCCGATGAGAGGACCCATGAGTCGTCGGCGATCAATGATGACTGCAATGCGAAGTGGCTTGTTGCATGCACCAACCAGGCCGGATGGCCCAGCCAACTTGTATCCGATGTTGGTTGCTTATTCAATGCGTACATATGAGGTTTGACAAATGTTTACGTCACAGGAACACGCTACGATCGCGCCAGCCAGATGAATTGACGACGCTCGCCAGTGACCGTGCCAAGTCAACATATATTGGTGGGCGCTTGCCTGTAGCATGGTGCAGGCGCAGCGTCCCGCCACTTGAACGTTGGCTGGAGTACAGCGACATAACGGGCCACTACCTGGTCGTAAGACCTCCTATTTTTCGCACCTTTTTGTTGTCCCTTCTTATGCTGACTTGCCTCTAGAGCCTCGGGTTTTTTCCCGGTCATTCTGAGCACTTCTGTAGAGCGTGCCGCCTGCAGACACTGGGAAGATCCCAGGGTAGCATCCAAGCCCCGTCGCAAATATTTCCTGATCGTAGCATTCTTCGAGCCAGTTCATCTGCATATGACGATTCTTCATGGTGAATTGAAGATTCCACCCCACACAGCTGGCTTCGATATCTGAGAACACCATGGATACGCTGGGCGCGGCAGCCACAGATCAAGACCTTGGCATCCTCGAGCAGAAATGGAGATAAATTCTCATCGAATTCGGGAATTCGAACGACAGCGAAGCAAGAGATCGAGCCTCTACTCAGTCTCCCCTTACTGTCTATCAGTGGCTACAGCAGAACACCAGCATGACTCGATTGACGTGGTATCTGGAGCGAGACGCGTCACTGAAGCGGATGCTTCAAGACAATCAACGAATGAGCACAATCTGGGCACCAACAGATTGTGCCTTCCCGAGGCTGGATCGCCATGTCGACAATTTACTTGATCTACTCAAGTACCGCATATCTGCACACAGCATGTCATCGGAGGGGATCTTGAACATGCCCAACATTCCTACATTGCTTCGCCCACCATCACTCAACGGGCCACTGCCATTTCGTCTGCGCCCTGTTGAGGAAACATTCAGATCAATGGTGAGGCCTTGATGACCGAATCGGACATCTGCCTGAGCAACGGAAAAGTCCACATAGTCGATCACGTCCTGTCGCTTCCGCCTGGTATGGTGGATCGGATTCTATCCCTCCCGGAGCAGCATTTCTCTCGTCTGCGTCAGGGTATAAATCAAGCGACATTTATAGACGACGTAAAAGCGTCGAGTTCCGTAGGCTGTACCTTTTTTGCGCCAAATGATGAAGCTTTTGAAGCTTTTGGCCGGAAATAAACGAATTTATCGGAACACTGGACGGAATGCCATACCACCACGCGCTGCTCAGATACCACATGGTACTCGGCGACACGCTCTACTCAAATTCTTTCTATCATGGAAAGAACGAGGCCGGAGAGAGTAGCGTCCCAATAGGCCACCGATCGGCGACAACTGTCAAGGATCTATCGCCTGCTCCAACATCGCCAAGTCCCGAGGCAACGGAAGCATCACCGCCGCAGCGACCGGCCGAGAAGATCATAGCAATTAAAGGGAAGCGAACGTTCCCACTTCAGACAATGATAGACAACCTCTGGGTTCACGTTGGGATTGCCAGATTTGGTGGAGTTATATCCATGCGTGTTGCAGAGAGGCAGGCCGCTGTGGTGGTCCACGATATATTGGCGTCGGATGGCGTTATTCACGTTGTGAATCGGGTGTTACTGCCGCCGTCGTCAACTCAAACAACAGATGCGGAAGATAAGAGATAAGCAGCATCTCAGGAGCCGCCTTTGGATGTGGCGCTGTTCAAAGAACTTCTAAAAAGCTACATCTAGCGCGGTGTTGCGCCATATCGTCAGTTCCAGTCATCTGCCACGTTCTATTTGAAGATCGTTCCTGCGCCGAGTGTTGACGATCTTCAACCCCAAATTTTTTTCAGTAAATCTCACTGTCACTACAGGGTTCGAGTTAGTTTAATTAAGTTTCCCATCGAAATCGAGGCAAACTCACAATTTCTCCTTGAACTTGTCACGTCCGGCAGCATCGCACCGCACCCAGACACTCACACTGCATTGCCCACATGTAAACTCACCAAAGCCGTCGTCCTGGATGACGACTTCACCCTCCGCCCAGCCGAGCACATCAGTCCACTTCTCGCCCGCGTGCATCTCCCCGACGTGCATTCTCTTGGTTCCAGGGCCGGCATTGCTGAGGATGACCGCCATTCCCGCCGGCCTGTCGTGCGTACCGTAGCGCACCCAACCCAAACACGTCGCGTAGTCAAAGTAGTCAGCCTGCTGGCCGTACGCGTAGAGTTTCCGTGCGAGCATCAGGTGCGGGAGCATTCCGCCACATGAAGGCGGGAACTCGTGCTCGCCTTTGATGCCGTAGACGTCGCCGTACCAGACGCATGGATAGCCCTCGCTGCGCAATAAGATAAGAGAGTATGCAATAGGCTTGAACCAATCGGCAATTGGGGCCTCGAGGGCCTGGTATGGCTGCGTGTCGTGGTTCATGACGAGAGTCTGGACGTGTCAGCAGACAGTCACCTTCGCCAGTGGTCAGCACTCACGACAGCGTTCACCGGTCTCGATTGCACCAGTGTATCGTCAAACACCTGGCGGATGTCGGCGCTGTCGGCTTGACTGATGGCGCTAAAGTTGTGCACCAGAGGCGCGTCAAACAGCGAGAACTTCTTGTCCATGCGGTCGAGGTAGCTGTGCATGTCTTCAAGACTGTCTTTCCAGAACTCGCCCACGAAGAACCAGCCCTTGCCGTACTTTTCGTCCATTTGCTTCACAAATTTCTCGAGAAAGTCAGCGCTGAAATGCTTGATGGCATCAAACCGAATGCCTCCGAGCGGCAGGGTGTCAGCAAGCCATTTGCCCCAAGCGAGAACATCGGCCTCGACTTCCGGGTGGTCGTAGTCCAAATCCGATCCCATGAGATAGTCACTGGAGTCGGATTGTCAGACAAGCGGCGCCACAACATCGCTCTGACTATGCGCCACGGCACACGGTGAGGACTCACTAATTGCCCTTTTCGTCGTCAACGTCCGGCGTTTCCGCCCAAAGCCCGTCTGACTTCTCACCGAGGATCTTGTAGATTGCCGACTTCTTATTGGCTGCATTGTAGTCGACGCCGCTGAAGTGGTACCAGTGGTATTTTTGCTTGCTGTATTTGTCGCCTCGGCCGGGAAAGTCGAAGCCTACCCAGGCGTCAATCTCGTAAGGGTCACTGACAACCTTGGTTCGGTCATCGGGGTCGACCTCCACAGCCTGGCACTTCTCTCTATGGTCAGCGGCGAAGCGATGATTCAGAACGGCGTCCCAGTAGATGCCGACGCCGTGGTCATTCGCTGCCCTGCAGAGCGTTTGAAGCTCCTCCTTGGTGCCCCACTTTGTGCCCACGCCGCCCTTCTGATCAAACTCCCCAATGTCATACCTAGCCACCGTCAACAACCGAGCTGATTCGAGGACAGGGAGGTACTTACAGGTCGTAAATGTCGTACCCATTGCCTTCCTTGCTAGAGCCCTTGCAACTACCTGGGGCATTAGCCAGTGCGCAAGTTTCTCACAGCACCACATTGAATGCACGTACCCGGGGGGGATCCAGATGTTGTCGATGCCCCAAGCCTTCAGTTGCGGCATTTGGTCCGTTAAGCGCTTCCAGTGTTTCTGGTCTGCCGGGACATACCACTCAAACCCCTGCATCATCGTCATGTTCTCGGGTGTCGCCTCTTGTTGCGTCATGATGCCTGCTTCGTGACGGGCCGGGCCGCGTCCGGGTACGCAGTTCAAAGTCTTCTGGTGCTTTTCTGCGGGCGGTGGGAGAAAGATGGCCACGTTGGCTGCGCGCCCGGCGCCATACTAATAGGCTGGTCCAGAGTCATTCGCCATCTCGATCCCATCTTCAATCAGGTCCAAATCAGGGAATGGGAAACCCAAGTCTCCACCATTGCCTGATAACCTTGGTGATGGTCTCGATAGCGGAGCAGTTGCTGAGTTTACCGAAGTGCCGGAACCCAATCATGTCCTGTCTGCGGTCGGAGCTGGGCCAATACAACCAGGATTCTCCAGCATGTGCGCCATGGTTCAGGGCACCGGGCGAGTGCATCGCTAGCTCACACGGTCTAGGCTCTAGCTTGACCATCGCCAATCCCGCGCAATGCCCTTTGGAGCATCCATATATGCAATACGCAGGCCAGGCGCTGTGTATCGCCTGTTCATTCAGCGCGGTCGGTTCAAGATGTTGCACTCACCGAGGCAACGCCGCCACAGGCTGAAGTGGTTGTGCCTCACAGATGTGGTTGGACCAATCCAAGCGCTGATTGCTCATGGATGATCCGGTTTGTCAGCGGACTTGTCGCGACGTCATTCCTGCCTCATACGAAGGGCGCGACAGGCATGAAGTCAGCCGCCTCAGTCAGCTCGCACGCTGTGTCGCATCGAGTTTTGCAGTGAAGATGAGCTGTGCTGAGAAATATGGAAAGTCAATGTCGAGGGCTTTATCCCCTGAATCCCGTAGGCTTGCGCATATAAAGCCACTCTTGCATCTTGATGAGGTAGGACTCATTCACGCACGAGGCACCCTTCATAATCACTCAGCGTCTCATCTACAACTCACCACAAACATCAACGTGGTAGCACACACAGCCAAGCTCTTCCAATATGACTAGTAATATGAAGGCAATAGTCATTTCCAACTTTGGTCCCGTCGAGAACCTGGTCATCAAAGATGTACCTAAGCCATCCGCCACCGTGCCGGGAACGGCACTTGTACACATCAAGGCATTCGGTATCAACCACGCAGAAATGCACATGAGGCGCGGCGAGTGGGCCGAGTCAGTACCCATCAGTGGAATCGAATGCGTCGGTGTTGTTGAGGAATGCCCCGGCGGCGAGCTCGCCGAGGGTACACCCGTGGCCTCAATGATGGGTGGACTAGGCCGTACCATCCCCGGCAGCTACGCGGAGTACACAGTGGCCAACGTCAATAATATCGTCGCGCTGGGTGTCCCAGGCGAGGAATTGCCTGTGACATGGGCTGAAGCCGCGGCTTTGCCGGAAAGCTACGCCACGGCCTGGACTTGTCTCTTCAGGAACTTGGACTTGCAAAAGGGGCAGAATCTGCTCATCAGAGGCGCAACTTCATCCTTTGGAAGGGCTGCTGTCGGCCTGGCTGTGGAAGCGGGTGCGATCGTCACGGCTACAAGTCGCACCGAGGCCAAGTTTCCCGTGTTGAAGGAACTGGGCGTGGCCGACGCCGTGTTGGAAGGACCAAACCTGGGACAGCGACTCCGCGACAGTGGCAAGCCAGCGAAGTTTGACCGTGTCCTAGAATTGGTCGGCAACAGCACAGTCGTCGAATCTCTACAGCTCGTCCACCGAGATGGCCGTCTTTGTCTGGCAGGTTGGCTTGGCGGCTTGGATCCGATCAAAGGTCCAGCTGGCCCCGATGAGAACCGAGGTTTTAACCCTCTTCTGCAAATGGCCAGTGGAGTTCACTTCAGCTTCTTTGGCAGCTTTGTCTTTGGGAGCGAAGAGTTTCCCGTGTCCGATGTGCCGCTGCGTACCATAATGCAAAAGGTCGCTGACGGAAAGATCCACGCAAAACCCTGGAAAGTCTTCAAGTTTGAAGAGATTCATGCAGCCCACAAGGCAATGGAGACGGGCGAAGCTCAAGGCAAGATGGTCGTCACAGTCGGGCAGCAGTAGATCGACCAATGGACAGCCCCATGCCATTTAGGCTTTATTTCCGGTGATAGCAAGCCAGTCGTCAGACTCAAACAGGGAATGCCGTCTGCGAGGTCCGACCCGGAAGTGCATACATTTCAGATTAGTGAACTGTACGAGCATTTATCATCGGAGGAGCCAATGAGCACGTTTAGCGCCGGGCTGCGGAGTTGGGCGGCAGTTGGGGAATTGTTGAACCCTGGCAATGGGGTACAAACGCCACAAATGCTGAAGTAGCATGGGAACCAGGATGATGTAAGAGTTTAGTCGGGCTCTACCGCGGGATGCTCGATGGTTGGCTGCACGGGTTGTATTTTAAACCGAGGCCGTCGTTGCGCTGAGGCGAACCCCCAGTACCGAGAGTTGAGAAGTGACTACGGAGTCTACAAGAAGACATTTCTGACTGGTATAGCCTAGGTGTGTCATTCCGTTGCTGCCGTTTCTTCCGGTGTTGCCGCTCCGTCTTATCTGAGCCACAGTCGGGATGCTGTTCTTGTCTCGTGTCCGGTGGTCGAAGGTGGCGTTCTTTCTTGGTCAGCCAGGCAAACAGGACTTGGCTTGCTGTTTTGGCCACCTGAACTATCGTGACAAGGTCGGAGTGAGGAAAAGAGGCATAAGCTACTATTCGGGGCGTATAGATCTAACAAATGAAACCGATATTTCCCGAGTCATCGAGTCGGGGCCCTACAGAGCATATACACGGACGGTGACATCTAGCGGCCGATATCTACCGTACATGTCCTTTTTTTTCGACGAGCAAATGCAATTATCCATCGAATTTGCCTCGCTCGTGTCTTTTGCGCATTACTTTACCCGTGTTAGTGCTTATGATTGCTAAGCAAAGAATTTCCAACTCCTTTCCAAGGAAGGTAGGAGGAGGAAGGTTAAATACTCTCGGTCGGTACGTGCTTGAAGCACCCTTCGCCAGACATTTGGCACTTTTCTTCATCGCATCTCAGTCGCCAATATGACAGATCCCAGACGAATTCTGTTGGTTTCATACCCGCGATCGGCGTCGAACCTGTTGGTCCGAATGCTAGGTCTAGACGATCAGCCCGATGTTCCCCAGAATGTGAGCCGCGGCTACCACCTTAAGCAGATGGCCTCTCTCGCATTCGACGAGGATTTATGGGAGAAGCCGCTTCACGAATGGGGTGCCAGCAAACAACGCCTTCGACAAGCTGCCGCCGACGGTTTCGATGCATTGGAGAAGACGCGAGCCGCCGGCGACTCCCAGGGCAAGATCACGTTTACCAAGGAACATGCCACTTTGTTGACAGACCCCACTGTTTTGAACGAGTTCATCTTCGGACGAGAAGGGGCTGTGGAGCAGCGATGGCGCATTGATGAAGCCGGCTGTGACAAGGCTCCAGAAGAGTACACGGCATTGAACGACACCATTTTTTCGGATGCATACCTCCGGCAATGGAAGATGGCATTTGTCATCAGACACCCTGCAATGGCTTTTCCGTCGTTGTATCGGATTCTTCTGAATGCCGCGCCAAACCGCGAGTTTACAAAAGGGACGGCGAATTACCTTCCCGTTTACATGACAATCCGTTGGAACCGAAGATTGTACGATCTTGCAACCAAGTTCCACAGGGAAACTGCCAATGGCGCGGCTAGGGATACCGAGGCCATAGCTATGCCATTGGTGCTAGATGCGGATGACGTGATTGGGAATCCTAGGGCCGTCCAGAAGTTTGCGGCTCTGCTCAGATTGGACCCCGACAAAACCCAATCGAGTTGGTCTCCCATTACACAGGAAGAGAAGGAGAAATTGCCCGCGAGAGCTCAGATTATGCTGTCGACGCTCAATGCTTCCACTGGTATCATAGCAGACAAGTCGGCAGCCAGCATAGACATCACTGCCGAGGCGAGTAAATGGGCGGACGAATTTGGGCTTGCGCGGGCCCAGCAGCTTGAGAAATGGGTGCGAGAGGCGATGCCTGATTACGAGTATTTGAAGGAGAGGCGGATACAAGTGTAGACTGGTTCTTGAGTTAGGTGAAGGGAGTGGTCTCTTGGGTCAAGCATCCTGTCGGAGCCGCCTCAGTGCTTGTGCGATGCGCATTGCGTAGGGCCTCGGTAGTCAGGATATAATTGAAGTTCAAGGACCAGGGTTCCCCGACCAGGCACGCTTGGCACGATCACTCTTTCCCGGGAATTTTCGGTGCCAGTGACACTAGTGGTCCGAACTTAGCGGTATGTCTAAATAAAGGATCAAGACGCGTTGCGCCTTACTTGTTAGTCTTGTAAGTGAAGAGCGCCCGTTGGAATCGGGAGTGAACCTTACGCGCCACGTGCACCACCATTGAGGATGAGCCTGCGGATAGACGTACAGTCAACACACTATGATGTTTCACCCGAACGCGTTCTTCCCATTTGTATTGCCGCCCTGCTCAACCATGCAGCAAAACGCCAAACCAGAAATCTATTAATTGTTCTGGATATATGCGGAGTCGAATCTGTACCGCTTCCTGTTCTCCTCCACCCACCAACGTGCCATGAAAGCAGCCTCTTCTGCCCATTTAGACGCCTCAATTCCATGCTTCTCTTTGATCTTCTGCAAACACGAAAAAAAGTCAAACGCAACTGTTGCGTCTTCTTCGTGGGGATCGGGGCCGAGGTCCGTGTACCGCCACTCAACGTTTTCGACCACGGGCACGACCAAGCGTCGATTTGAGTCGCGAGCATCACGGACCGCGAGCATGGCGCGGCCCGGGTTCATGACGGTGAACTGCCAATAACCATGGCTACCCGATTGTTCGTCGGATACCTTTCGTAGCGGTCGGATGAGGGACTGACCCTCGTAGTTGCGGATCAGGTCCTCAGCCGCCCGGCTTTGCGCATGCGATAGCGAGCCTGTCTCTAAAAGCACATCTAAGATGGTCGGAAGAATCTGTAGTGACTCTACCGCATCGTCTATATCGATGTGCGGTAGATCGGGGTGGGAGATGACCAAAGGTACGTGGAAGTTGCCAATATTTGGGTTGAAATAGGGCGTGACGCCGTTGTTCTCCGCCACGGAGATGCCATGGTCTCCGACTAGAATGACCAAGGTCTCGTTCGCGACATGTTGTTCGTCGAGGATGCCGAGAATGCGATTAAGCCAGCGGTCAACGTACCCAACAGAGTTCACGTAGTGGGACAAATCGCCTAGCCCGTCGTTCGAAAGCTCGACGTACTCTTCTTCCTCGGGGATCGCAAATGGGTGGTGGGTTGTGCTTGTGAAATGCGACAAAAAAATCCGCTCATTCCTCTCCCGCGCCATCACAAATGCGTCCCGTATGTAATCCTCAATAGCGACTTCAGCCATGCCGTAGTAATTGATCTCGGGTAGTTTGACAGCGCCGAACTTCGCAGCGTCGCTTTGCAGATACTCCTTATAAATAAAGTTCTCTGGGGTGTAGCCGAGGAAAGGCATTTGTTCACGCTGTTTGTCGTAGGTATCTGTGATGGACTGGACCATGCTAGACCTCCATTTCAAGGAGGTAAAGTCATCTGTAGAGTTCGTTCCCCCAAGCTTGTTAAACACGTCGAGAATGTGAGGCAAGAAGGGCTGATAGATGTGATTCTGATACTCGACATTGAAGTCGGCGACCAGAGGAGTAATGCCACAGAGCGTCCCAGTCATGCTTTTCAGGGTATATGTCGCTGTCGTATAGGCATTATTGAAGTTGATGCCGCCGCGCCGCTTCTTGTCCTTATGAGCAAAACCGTCGTTATAATCGCCCGTCAGGAAGTTCGCAGTCTGTGTCAGTGTTGCCAGTCTCTCTTCGGCTTTCTTTGGCAATTTCTTGTCTGGAAATGTCCCTGCAAATTTGTTCCAAATGAACCCATTCTTCTTGATCGGAAACACGTCTTTCCTCGTGCTTTCAAGTTTCAGCAGCAGCACATGGCGAATGCTTATGCCTGCTAGCTTTTCGCGCAGCTGGGGCAGCAAATAGTCTTCGAGATTCGAGATCTTGAGCGGATCTTGAGCGGCGTTATAGTGTTCACTGTTTGGAGCATACCAGTCCTCGAAGCCGGCAACCGGGCCTTCCTGGGGGAGCCACGAGAACGGGGGCGGTTTCGTGAGAGCCGTTCGGTCATCCCAATGGCGGTTGATGCCATTTCCGTAGAATGGGAGCAGGCCAGCGAGACTTGGCGAGGAGTGGGCGAAATCGACCCAGGGAAGTAGTACCATGGTCCATGACAAAAACACCAGGGAGCTTTCTTCGGGTCGGATGATGGATGAAAGTACCTGCAAAATGACCGCGGCGCCAACAACAATCTTCGCCCATCTCGAGTTCGACGGCAAATTGCCACTCTCGTGGTCAAGCTCACCCTTCAGCTCAAGATCGGGGTCGTCATCGTCGTCACGGTGTTGAAGGTAGGTGTATTTCGGGCTGTCCGGCAGGCAACGTCGAACGAGGAAGCCAAGTCGAGCAAAGGGCCACGCGACAATGTTCTGTGCAAGACCGGCCACGGAAAATAGATAGTCCTGCACAATCGAGCTCAGGGCAATTAAGGCGACTCCGACAATGATGGAGGAAGCCAGGCCCGAAAGCAGTACCTTGCGCGAAGACTTGTCGCCGACGAATCCAATGTTGCGCCAGTGGACCTCGGAGCCCGCTACGGCAAAAAACGAGATGTTCGCAGACGCCAGGCTGTAGGTAATGATAGCGACGACGGTGGCAAGAGTCACCGCAATTACGCGCAGCCAGCGCCGAGTCGAAAATGACCTGTCGTCCAGCAACAGTCGCAGAAACAGTAAGAATGCCGTGTCTTGGGTGAAGAAAGATAAACCCCAGAACAGCAGGTCACTTGCGTTCAGAGCGGTGTGATGGGCGTAAATGTGCACTGCTTTCGCGCCGATGGTAGAAACAGCCGCGAGGGAAAAGACGAAGGAGCGACAAGCGAAGCGAGTGAGGAGGCCATGAAGGAATCGTCGGTTCAAACGAGTGACGACGGCAAGCGCGAAAAGTCGGAGCGCTGAGCAGAACAGGCGCGCGCCCCGAAGCATCAGGTCGACGGCCATGTCGAAATGAGAGCCGTCAACAGACCATCTGAACCAAGTGACGGGGTGGTCTTTGTGAATCCGACACTGATGAAAAGACTTCTAGTATTTGAAACTTGCGAGAAAAGTCGACGCGGCTCTCGCTTGGGGCTGAGAAACGGCACAGCGAACTCCGTATTCTGGGGCAGACTCTCCCGTTCCCGACGTCCTGGTAACCGAGAACCTAGCCCCAGTGCGGCAAGGGGACACGAGGGCAGTGAAGTGGCACCAAGTGCGAAATTGCCGTTGGTGTGACAGGCGCGCTCGTATAGCTTACACGCGCTGTGCGTACAAGGATTCCAAACGCACCAGCCTCCCCCGGGCAAGCGTTGGCAGCGGCGCTGTTTGCTACCTGGGACATACGTGGCCGCAGCGGTCAAAGGGCAGGCCGGTGGCATACATTTCTCTGTGCATCTGATCGTGACCCTGAAGTCAATCAATGCTCCCCCTGGCGCCTGGTGTGCTGAGTCCATCGCCAAGTCACGCCACGGACGGGATGGAGCACGGGCGGCCCGCCCCTGGAGAGAGAAACAAAGACAAATGACCTCGGATCACGGCACCAGCTGGACCAAAGACGGGCGCATCCATGCGGACAATGGCCGAGCTGGAGCCGCACCAACCGACAGACGCCCCAAATTCGATCCAATCACCAGCGTGCATAATAATTTGGGCCCTTTTGGGCCAAACAGCACGAACATCCCTGCGGTCCCTCGGGCACATCCAAGTTGGGCGGCGGAGAACTCGGGGCCTGCGTTGGTTGGTTGCTGGACATGGGATCTCGGCCTGTCAAAACCTCTTCAATGGGTCGTCAGCAGGGGTAACTGGGCGTCAGGGCGGGCTGGGCGCGATTTGGATTCCTGCACAAGGGGCGAAATTTGCTTGCCAGGGCCAATGAAGCCGTGGCGGCGGCTCCCCACAGCCTGTCTTTTCGCATTTTTCTTCTTGTCACGCCAAGCCAACTCATAGTGTACATACGCATGTTGCTCCCATGCTCAACTGTACTACACCAACATGCCTCTGGAGAAGCTTGCCGTGCCCCTTCAGGGGCGGGCACGAAAGATAGCCAGCCTCCCACTTTGCCCAAACGTCGACCCTCAAAGGCTGATGAATCTGCGCGATCATCCAGACTCTGTGAGCCAAGTCATCCTGTCTCCTGACCAGGGATATTTGTGGCGCACGCGATAGTGCGGTTCTGCAACGGGTCCACAATCATCAGCCGGACTGAACCGAGACCTCTCGTACCCCCAAAGCTAATCTCGCACGATCAACCCCCGTGAATGGAGACTTCTGGACAGCCGCCCGCATGCTTTATTGCTCTGCAAGTGCGTTGCATCCGGGCCCATGTGTACTTGGGTTCGCATGGCTGGGACAGAGAAGATACAAGATGCAACCGCTCCGCACGAGACTTTCACAATGGAGCCATAGTAATGCGTGGTAAAGGTTCCCACTTCTCGTTCCTCTGGGTGCATTAAAAGCAAAGGCCCCGTGGCAACGCCGGGCCATGACCTCGTGTACGCCTGGAATGCCCTGCTGCTATTTCACTGCAAGTCTTTCTCGTACTCTTTCTTTACCTTTTTGGTCTATCTTGCGCTTTTTCGTCGCATAACGTAGGCTGTGATCTAAAACTCAAAGCACGCACTTCATGCGTAGCACGACTACATACGTACATACTACATTGTGGGAACAATGGGTATGCTGTCTGGTACGTAGCTGACCGGGTTCTTGGCGCCGCAGTTGACGACATGGAACCTAGCTCAAAATTGGGTGCCGGCACAGGGCTGAACGGTCCGAAAGCATGCTTGCGGGCTCGACAATTACTTCGAATGCCTTGCCAGCGAGAATGGCACATTTGTTACAGTTGCTCTGGCTCAACTTGCCGACGCCATACGGGCTGGCTGAACCGTACGGGCCACTTCAATGCACAGCACTCGGACCTCCACCGTTCTCCATGATTACCATAGGGCTGCAGACTTGGCCAGGCATGCCGTCTCACGTCAGACGCCCCGCCCTTGGATAAGGAAGCGGCCAGTGATGGTCGTAATGCCGCATTTGCAGAACTAACCTGCTTGTCTCAGCTGTCGTATTTCATGTTGATCTTGATCGTCTTCGACTCCATGAACTCTCGGACTCCGTACCAGCCTCCTGTCCGCCCATGACCACTGCCTTTGGTCCCTCCGAATGCTGACTGGAGATCACCAATCCCGCCAGCGTTGATTGTGACCACGCCCGCCTCCATCTTGCGAGCGACACGGATGGCTCTTGCAATGTCGCGGGTGAAAATCTGGGCAGCAAGGCCATACTCTGTATCGTTCGCCAGCTGGATCGCCTCCTCCTCGGTCTCGAAGGTCTTGATCAGCACCACCGGGCCGTAGACCTCCTCGCGCCAGAGTTGAGACCCTTCCTTCACATCGACAAAGATTGTCGGCTGCACGTAGCAGCCCGATGTGCCCTTTCTCGAGCCACCAGTGAGCACCGAGCCATCCTTCCTTCCAATCTCGAGACCTTCAAGTACGTGCTTAAGCTGCTTCTCGTCGGCAAGCGCACCTATCCCTGATGAAGGGTCAATCGGGTCGCGAGGGAGGGTGGCCTCCACTGTCTCAAAAGCTTCCTTCATCCTCTGCGTAAACGAATCCGCAATCGATGACTGGACAAGCAATCTGGTGCTTGCAGTGCACGCTTGGCCGTTGATAGCCAGAAAATGGTTGGCGCAGACCTGTACCACATTATCTAGGTTGCAGTCGTTGAACACAACGCCGGGCGCCTTCCCGCCTAGCTCGAGAATGGTTTTCTTCATGTTGCTCTTCGCGGCGAGCTCAGCGACTTTTTTGCCTGTTGGGGCTGAACCAGTAAACCCGAGGACACGAATCTTCATGTGCGAGGCCAAATGAGCTCCAGTCTCCCCGTCGCCAGAGATGATGTTGATCACGCCTGGGGGGAAGCCAGCCTCGGGGATGAGGTCAGCGATGAGGAGAGCGTCAAAAGGCGACTTCTCGGAAGCCTTAAACACCAAGGTGTTGCCGGAAGCAATGGCAGCTCCAACGTGGAACGCAAAGTACACCAGGCCGGCGTTCCAAGTGCTGACGGCAGCGCAAGCACCGGAAGGTCCCCATTCGACAATCTGACAGCACGTTAGAATGATGCCTGCTTGTGAGTCACAGCGAGTTACTCACTTTGTACGTGCCATCGTCCTGGTCCGTGAAGCTTTGGCCCTCAATCTTGTCCGCGAAACCGGCCGACGACTTGAGCGTGGCAACGGTCCAAGGCCCGAAGACATGTTGAGTTATCATGATGGTGGCGCCCATAGACAACGTTTCCGATTTGGCAATTTCCGGAATCCGCTTCTCAATAAGCTCAGCGAATTTGATCAGGCAGTCTCTCCTCTGAGGGCCCGTGAATGTCGACCAGGGTCCCTTGAATGCTGCCTCCGCAGCTTGAACAGCGGCGTCGACATCTGCTGGTCCCGCAACCTCAACTTCTCCAACATAATCGCCGTTGGCAGGGTTTTGGACGCTGATGGTTCGGCCTGATGTTGCGTGAACGAACTCATTGTTGATGAAGAGTCGAGACTCGTAGGGGTTGCTCTCGCCGGCCATGATGTACACAAGATCGTCTCCGTGCGAATATTGTATGATCTTTCCAAGTATTGCGGTCTCCAGAAGAGGTCTATTACTGATCACGAATACTTATACTTGCCAGCAATACTAGCTTGCTGACATGGACGTTGAGGCATGTTGCCGGCAGTGCCGCCGCCACTCAGCGCTAACACAACAATGAGTGTTGAATCAGCGCGCATAGCACCCTATTGGTGAGCAGCAACTACTTGAATTGGAATTTGCTCTATGAGAGCTGGCTGGGCGTTTGTCATCGAACCTCAAGGATACCTATCTTGTCAGCTTCGATTGACGCGTGCAAAGTCCGCATTATGATATCGACGCAAGCGATGCGGCGCCAGCGGACATTCCGGTCGCCGAGGGGCGAGATTCCAGGTCTCACCCTAATGCCGGACAGTCATGAGCGATCGGCGATACTCTTGGTGATGAGAATGATTTCTATTTCGCGAGTGTTGAGCAGTTCCCTGACAACGGGACGGACGGATCTGACGTCACTATCCATCTTTGCCTAGAAGATTGCCCGAAATAACTCAAGAGATCTGCTATGTCAGAGTTCGAGTGCTGACACGATTGGCCTTTGCAGTCTCTTCCTCGACTCACAGCATGTTCGAACATGTTTCTAGTGGTTAGGCCCTCCTTAGCGTCAAATGCCGTTGACGGCCATGGCACATACACTGGTGGCAGAGACCATCTGCGGCGCAAAGCATTTTGCACCCTGGCTGCATTTGTAAATAGCTGTCCCAAGGCAAGCAGCGCTCCTCACTACCAGTTGACAACGGGGTGCGTTTGCGGTTGCGAGCTAGCTTGCGCTGTGAAACTTCAGGCCCGTCTAGCGAGAATGGCGCGGGAGCGTGATCGATACGCAACTTGATCCTTGCGGAACATGCAAATGGCAACGCCGACAAAACGGCTGGTTTCAAGATATCTGAAAGTCCTCACAGAAGCTGTAGCCGGGCGCAGTCAACTTATTTGTTTATTTTATGAGTATTACTATTTACAGTCATGCGTTTCTCTATTTTCACACATGCGGAGACAGTCACCCTTGTCGTCAAAGCCACGCTACGTCACCAAATCTCGGCTTGACGTTTTAGGTCACATTGACAAGGGCTTGAAGCGCTTGACACTGTGCTAATGCAGGGGCTACAGGCATAAAGCTAGAGACATGGCCAGGGCTCCTCTACGCACAGAAAGTGAGGGTATCAAGGCTCCTCTGCGCATAAGACTCCGTGCATACATTAAAGCCATCAGGTATCTATATTCAACTTAAAGCCTATGTCCCTACTGACTCTAATATCTCTAACTCGTCCGACTGCGACTCCTCGTCCGATTGCGACTCCTCGTCCGACTGCGACTCCTCGTCCGACTGCGACTCCCCCGAAGACTCCGATAATCGTGGCCTTTCTAACGACTGTAATGGTTGAAGTGAGGCCAGGTGCGGCGAGCCTACAAGTATCGTATCTCCATCAATATCATCCGCGCCGGTGTTGTAACGCTAGGCTATAGCAAAGATATCAGGTCGGCGAGGGGAGCTACCATAAAGCGGTCCTCGGATCCTCTTGCCTACACGCGTCCTCTATGTGGGTGCTGGTCGTGACTGCGATGCCTGTAATGCTTCAAACTGTAGCTCGTCAATCTCCCACTAGGAAAGATCACGACGGACACTGGCGTTGAGCTAGGTTATTCCTCTACTTCTATGTTGACTCGGTTGACGAGGTTTCTTTTGACGAGGCTTTTTTCGAACTGTTTGTTGCCCTTATGACGATTGGTTTCGACGATGCCGCTTGCGTTGAACCCGTTAAGGCTACTGGCTATCGTGTGTTGATGTCTAATGGGGGGGAGTAGCCTGCCTTTCATCTTAGTCCTTAGCAGCTTCTTGAGCTCGACGACGAGACCTAGTCTGACGAGGCGAGACTTACTGCGTTCCTAAGCTTTGAGAAACCTACTCACGACGGGGTCTAGCCTAACGGGCTCGCTGGCTAGCTAGCGGGCCTTCTTGTCTTGTGACTTATAGATTCGAGTCGAGAGGAAGGTTATCGTTTTAAGCGGCTCGACGACGGCCTCGAAGGTTCTAAACGACGGTAGGATCGCGGATCAAAAGAAGCGGCTATTCGACGTACTAAGGACTAGTTAGCTACTATAAAAGTAACGGAGCTTTATACTCACTAATAGCTTGCGTAACCACCAACGAATATAGCAGTCCTCCTTCTTTAACGTCTCCCTTACCTGAAGGCGGGATAAAATAACATGACTGCAAGGGAGGGCGTACTGCTAAGTGAAGTTGCCAGTACAGGGCGGTAAAGGCGTTAGATTTGGGCATCTCTCTATCGGCAGTGCGGGCATCGCAAGACGATACTGGTAAGAGATAAGCCTTACTGCCTCGTAGGCAACTATAAGGTTAAGGTCTCCGAGCCACCTTCTCGAAGCGTATTTCACGCGGAGCTTCATATCCATCTCTACTGCCCGTTCGGTATATCGTCGTTCGCGCTATTCGACCATCTCAAGGAGAGCGTTGTGTAGATATAATAGGTCGCCTATCGATATATATTAACATTTGACGCTTTAAAATACGGCATAGAAATATTGCTTGCCTATCCCTATGCGAAGGTGGGACTTGAGACTCTTATGCGAGCTCTCGGCCGGGCTATTTACCCGTTGCCCGAAGTTACGATAACGGTCGATAAAACACCTGGCCCATTAGTGACGGAGCGGCATATAGATACGGGAGATATAATGCAGAAGATGCCTCTAACGCGGCAAATATGCCTCCTTCATCAACCCCCAGGCCCGTTCAAATTCCGGCTCTATTTTAGCAAACATGACATATTTCCAGGCTGCGAACATGCCATCACGAGACTGCTCGAGGTCTGCGGCATCTCGCGGCGCCCGTGGATAGTCCTATAGATCATCAGGTAGGCCAAGATTTGCTCGATCGCTAGCATCAAGCTCGTCGGGATCATCCTCCTCAAGATCGTCAGAATTGCCGTTCTCGTCAATCCAACGAACGCGAATCTTCGAGCGAATATTCACGTTAATATGGAAGATACAGAGTTACTGCTGCGAGTCTAGAAAGTGCGTTCGAAGGGCAGCCTTCAATGCATCTTCTTTGTCTGTAATGATAACATGAGGTATTAGGGCCGTGATCTGTATGCGGATAGCATTCAACTACTGGCAGAGCCAAAGGTAGGCTTCTTCTTTCTCTGAGTTGATCAGACCGAACCCAAAGTTCACGAGAGATCGCTAGTCTATGACCCCGACAACCTAAAAAAGAAACATCTTGAAGCTATATAGATTATTAGGCAAAAGAATGCAATAGGTAGGTAGAAAATACATACCGGTTCGTCTTATATGTATTATCGAGACCTAATACCTCAGGGAACCGTTTCCACATCGCCTCACACCATAGATACGTCCAGAAGAGCCCAATCACGCGATTATCCTCATCATAGCAGACAAAGTACTTAATGTTCTGCTCCTGGAAGATGCGGATAAGTGCTTGCGTAGCTATCAAGCCTTTAAGCGCTGCAATGCGAAGGAATTGCCGATCGTTGTATATATCCCGTGTCCGGAAAAATGACCGCTCGGGATCGGATTGTCGTCAGATAATTAAGTCCATCTCTCGGGCTCGTATGGCCTATGTCTTCGAAATGTCATGTTCCAAGGTCTTCTACTGCTCTATGCGTCGGCGGTGAATATTGTATGCAGACGGGTATAGCGTTAGACCGTGATTGTAGCTACCACAAAGAAGGTAGTATACCCACTTCCAGTTCGTCTTCTATGTAGCCGTAGCTATGATACGGTATGGACAGTCGATTCGCTAGGAGGCAACCTTACGCATTCCTATGCTTATCGAAGGGCGCTTTTCTCCTCGGTCACACTCATAGAGAATTCGCATCGGCAAGGTCGTTCCGTGGAAGTCACGCTTGCCGATGCTAGAGCGCCTGACAATGCCAGCACCGTTTTCACGGTGAAATCCTTATAGGAACGTATAGAGGTCGTCAAAGGTTTCGAAAAGCCTCGAGGGTAGAGGCAGCGGGATCGAGGTCAGAAGGTCATCGTCTTCATCTCTATTTGAGCTATCTTCGGAAGTTGTATCGCTAGATATTATTTCGATGTCGACCTCGTGGGCAGCGGGTTCGTAAGCAGCGGGTTCGTAAGCAGCGGGCTCGTCAACGGCGGAGTCGTAAGAGGCAGATTCGTAAGCGGCGGGCTCGTCAACGGCGGAGTCGTAAGAGGCAGATTCGTGAGCGGCGGGCTCGTCAACGGCGGAGTCGTGAGGGGCAGATTCGTGAGCGGCGGGCTCGTCAACGGCGGAAGATATATCGCTAGATATTATTTCGATGTCGGCCTCGTAGGCAGCGGATTCGTGAGCAGCGGGCTCGTCAGCGGCGGAGTCGTTAGATATCTCGAGCCAGGAGTCATTTTCGCTAGAGTCTGCTTTGATAGCAGTCTCGCGGTGAAGCAAGTCTAGCAAGTCTAGGAGACTAGACGACGAGCTTGGCGTATCAGGAATACCGGTCAAGTCGATAGGTGAGTCAGGAATGCCAGTTAAATCGATATACTCTATAGCCGACTAGGCAAGAGCTCGAGGAGCCGTAGCAAGACTGTGCTCGCTAGCTAGGCGGTAGTTAAGGTTGCGAGGTTGGCTGGATAGCCTCTCTTCCGCGCCGTTAGACCGAGCGAGATCATTCATATTAGAGGGCAGACAGATAGGCAGACAAAGAGGCAGATAGACAGGCAGACAGAGAGACAGACGGCAGCGGAAAAGGCAGAGCAGAGAGAATATATGAGTTGAAAGGTGCAAGCGAATCCCTCTTGCTTCTCGAATAGAGAAAACAAAGATCAACAACGTATTAAGCTCCAGTCCCCTAAGCGGCGTAACACAAAACCCAAGCCCTACAATACGCACAAACACACCCCTACCTTACTCGAGACACTCATCGAAAGATCCTCCTCCAGTCCACGCAACCCCATATCCATCTTCATCGTAGCGATATAGGCGATATAGGAGGCGCTAACGGTATCAAGACCGCCTCAGGTGACGGCAGCCGTTAGATGCGGCGGATTTGAAACCTTCCCCGTCCATCCCAATATAGTGCTTATAGCGGAGGGGATTCTTGACGCCGAGGTAGCGGCTAGCGAGGGGAAGGTCGATTTGCCGGTCGTCGAGGAGACGGCCGGCGAGGAAGTGGTCGAAGAGGCGGCGGTCCGCTAGGCTCGGGCGAACGAAAGTCTCGCCAGCGAGCACCTACTCGCCGTTGTAATTATAGTTATAGGAGCTAACGTTGATATAGCGGCTATGGGTATAGCTGAAGCCGAGGAAGTTGGGCGAGCTGCTCGCGTAGCCGGCCTATGTCTGGCTGAGATTGGGGCGGTAGCCGAGGCACACTCTCTGCGTCGGGCGAGAACGAGTCTATTCCGCTTGGTTGCATCTTTTATTGATATGTGTTGTATGCGTAGTAAAGGAGGAACTCGTGATGGACTAGGCGGCCTTGTAGTACCCCTTATCGGGAGCTCACATTATTATTATCGTACAAGCCACGCGGTAAAAGTACCAGCCTCCTCGTGACAGGTTCCCTCCGCAAAGCTAAAGTACCTAGCACGAGCTATATGTACTCCCTCACTCGTTACTCTGCGCTCTGCCTCCTCATCGCATTATTGATGCCATACGAAAGAGCTATATTATATATATATATGCCATCATGCGAGGTCCTAAGACGAAGACATGCCTACCGTCAACGCCGTTAGCTACGTGCCTCTTCTAGACTTGCATACGCATATACTGATACTTACTGGCGTATAGATATTATAGTGCTCGCCTCTCTTCGTGATGCGCTCAAGGTCCATTGTGCGTAGCGGTGACAGCCTCACGCTCCGTTATGCGTGGCCGTAATGCCTTCACATTCCGTTATGCACGGCCGTGCCTATGTTGCTCTTCGTTGTGCGGCCGGGCAGCTGCATCAGCGCCTGCATTTCCAGGCATCAAGGCATACAGTTATCTTAATCGTTGTTTTGACACTGTCATGTCAGGGGTGCCTTCAGGGGTTGCCAGACATCTAGCCGAATATAGCATACAAACCCCTGGCACCGGGGGAAACACGTAGGGCGGGCTCCTCGGCATCTTCCGCATGTGTGAAAATAGAGAAACGCATGACTGTAAATAGTAATACTCTATTTTATTTATTTTTTTTTGGCTGCGAGCCGTGGAATTGTGCCTTGATATCGGGGTTCCATTCGGCACTGATGTTACATGTATGTTCTGGCATATGCCTCTACCACCGACTCAAACCGACGCGACGCTGTCGACGCGTAATGATATATCAACGTGTGTAAATGAGAGTCCATGAAGTTTAAATATCCGGTCAGGAAAATTGTACACCTAGCTGCCAAATACAAGTAGCCGTGGTTGGTCAAGGGCGTTCGACATGCTCGTCTGCCTGTCACCACCGCCCTGCGTCAATTGGTTTTTGATCTGATCGACCTGCCCAAGATTATAGGGACAGTGGAATCGCGTGCCTGCTATAGAATGGCACGCTCTACTGTTCTCCTGCGCTCATGACGGAGGCAAGCTTCCACCACATGATCTTCCTCGTGCACCTCATTGCACCCGTGCAGTTAGGGCTCTGGGGGCAGTGCCACCACGAGGCTGGGGACCCTGTCCGACGTTCTATTCTCGCCGTCCAGAGCGGCCTTGACAGTACCAATTAAAGAACTGGTGGCAGGCATGATAGCAATTACATTCACCTGCGTTGGCGACAACATACCCGCTCGCATGAGCGCGAGTGGTGCGACGGACCGAACGCGGCCGCCCACGTGCATGTTATGGGACCAATCCTCGGGTACCAGTGCAATTTAATACTCTTCAGGCTACCATCGTCGTTTGAATAGCCGCTTCATTGGTCTGGTGTGAGAGTCCCGGTTGAACGTGGGCACGCTGGTGCGTACCTACTGCTCCTCATTCGCTCGTTCGCTAGGACCTGTGAATAGCATTTGCCATCAACCCGGATAATCGCAACAAGACTTGCATACTGCGCGTTGCGACCAAATCACGAAGAGACTTTTGCCCGAGTACCGGTTCGAGTATACATGTAACAACCAGGTGCAGAGGCCTGCGGGACGACGGCCCGACAGGGCGGTTTAGGCACGAAGTGTGTTGACATGCAACTCAGGACTAGAAAATGATTCCATCCATGTATCGAAAGGGAGCTAGTGCACGGCGACGGGCCGGCGATTGCGGGGAGCTCAAGCGGCGGCTAGCGCTGCTATACATTACTTTCACGTTGTAGAGAGTCGCCCGTGTAAGTGCGCTCAGCGCATAACAGCTTGCTATTTGCATGCAATTTGTTGGCAATCATCCGGAAGCAGAAAATACATCAGTATGTCGCAGACTGGCAAGAACAGCCGGGCCCGTGGTCCAGTCGGCGACTACGGTCGGCTAATTTGGAGTGGGAAGCCCAGGCACCCTTTGAAGCTGGGAATCGTCCATGGGAAAACTGCAACAACGTACGCATGTGCCGTAAAGCTGCAGAATGATCGAGTTGCATAGGGTCGCTGCTATTTAGCCTAAGTGGTGTGACTGCTGTGGCCATTTGCTGTGACACGCGGATGGCCCTGAGACTGGAGAAGTCAATGATCGTGAACGCATATAAAGAGAGTGGAAATGTCGCCTCTTCGACCACAAAACGGACTCCTCAAGCTCACCAACTCTTAACTTTTTTCTACGCTTCTATTTTCACAAACGAACAACAACCGCCACTACCATCAAGATGAAGGCCGCCACTATCCTCTTTGCGCTCGTTGCCGCTGCCTTTGCGGCTCCTGCTCCTGCCCCTGCGGAGGATGCAACCCTTCAGAAACGGGGTTGCGCCGCTGGCTCGTGGTGTTCGAATGGGCAGTGCTGGATTACTCCTACCTGCCCTGCTGGATGGTGCGGACCCGCGTACCAGTCGGGCCAAAGCTGCTAGATGTACGTTTCTACACCTGGTTCACATCAGCATATCCGCTTTAAGGTACATGACCAACCAAGGAAGCAGCTATGCGGCAAACGTTAGGCTTGAGAGTGGCAGGCAAAGCAATTCTGGAGACCTGAGCGGGTCGTTCAAGAAACCACTGTTCATGCCAGGCGCGCCATGGGCGGCATGGGTTGCCGCGCGAAGGCTTCCAGCGATTGCTGTAATTACTTTCACAATAGCTCAAAGACAATTGGTTTGTGATAACTGCCTGCATCAGGACAATAACAGTGAATAATTAGTTGGCCATCTGAGAACCTGCCGTGCACGCAGGCCTTGATGTTGCCTGTTGAGATTTGATGGGCGTCTGCCTTGCCAAATGGCAAACACCAAGCCAGCAGTCCACAGCGCCTCAAGTGCCAAGCACCACTCGTGCTGAGTTATAACCCCTGCAAGGTCCGGCCCCCGCCGAACTAGTCTGACTGCCACACAACGGTTTGGCCCGCCCCTTACCCCGCCTGTGATGAACATGAACACGACCAGCCCTGTAAGTGCCGACAGGCTGCCCACATGATCCCTGCGGCTCGGCGCCTCCGATCAAGGTCAGCCAGCAGCAAACCATTCGACACATTGTAGAACATTGTGTCGATAGCGAACGCCACAGGCTTCAGCTTCTGCGTGATCCATCGCTAGCCAGCCCGCCATGCATAGACCTTAGTCGAGGCTCCCATTGCCGCCAATAATTCTCCTAAGGCTGAGATATGCCGTCCTCAGTTGCACCTTGCCCAGCCATTTGCGAGATACCATCACCGTAAGACGCGAACTTGGCAATCACACACCGGTCTCCTAGAATGAGGTTCAGCCAGCCATCAACAGCAGAACCTGGGTCTAGATCATGCAAAATTGCGTAATGGATGTGCAAGGGAGAACAATACCGGCGCAGGCGAGAACTGTAAGCTCAGTGGGCTCTCTCGCCCTCAAGTGCTGCCCCTTTTATAAGCCCGCTTTCGTCATCAATCACATCTGAAGCCAGCCAAAGACAACTGCAACTGAAGAAATCTCACAACTTGTGTCAAGCTCATATTCTCTGAAATGGCGTCTTACGGACCGGTCTGCTTCACCAAGATCCTTGGGGTGAACGATGAGGATAGCATCCCTCCCAAGGAGAGTGTTGCCAAGGCGGTCGAGGAAAACCCACGAAATGGGTCGCTCACCTTGCCGCCCGCACCCACTGCTCCCGGTGGCCCCTTGGGACTTGCAATGATGACGCGCAAGTTTTGGTTGCCTGGTCGAGAACTCAAGATTGGGTTCCAGGGAGGGTCGACGTGGCAGAAGGTTTGTCTCTTGGCGTGCCATGAACCGGGAAAGAGGCAACGCTCACAAGTTGCCAGGAACAAGTCAAGAGGTTTGCTCCAGAGTGGACCCAGTACGCCAATATACGGTTCACATTCGTCGATTCTGGAGATGTGGACATCCTGATAGCGTTCAATCCTGGTTCGGGGTCTTGGTCATATTTAGGGACAGACTGTTCGTGGTTCAGCTCTCAGAACCGACCGTCGATGAACCTGGGATGGATCAACGACAGCACTTCGGATGATGAGCTCCGCTCTGTCATACTTCACGAGTTTGGCCATGCTCTTGGTGCAGTCCATGAGCACGAAAGCCCGTATGCCAATATCCCATGGAACAAAGAACAGGTCTACAAAGACCTTGGTGGGCCGCCAAACAACTGGGACAAGAACAAGGTGGACCAAAACATGTTTACCTTGTACACGCTCCAGGACACCCAGGCTACCGACTTTGACCCTGACAGCATCATGCTGTACTACTTTCCCGCCAGCTGGACCACGAACGGCAAGGGAACCAAGTACAACACCGCTCTGTCGAGCTTTGACAAGGCGTATGCCAAGTTCTGTTATCCCAAGGGCGACTTCGACGCTGGTCAATTCAACACTATGGAAGTTCGCCCGTGGGACAAGCCGCAGCTGGACAACGATAAGGTCATATACTACCAGAAGAAGTATGACACTGTCCCAGAGCTTCCTCTCGGTATCACGTCCCTCGACATCGGCCAAGCCGCCAACATTCGCATCAGGGCCCTGACCAGTGAGGCAAACACGGAGAAGTTCAAGGCTTCTCTCCAGAGCTGGGCGGACACCACTCTCTTTTCTGCCTCTATGACCTATCTGGAGAAGAGCTCGACGTTCAGCTACATTCAGACCGGCGTCTACAACACGGAGCAGACGCGGCCATGGAACCAGCCCCAGTTGACCCAGTCAAAGCGCATCAACTTTGCGACGCCATTTTCCTCTCCTCCCAAGGTTATCACCTGGCTGCAGTCCTTGGACATGGACAAGAGCAAGAACTGGCGCATCAGGGTGTATCCCAGCGATATTGATAACAGGGGCTTCACTATCCACGCTGACTCCTGGGCCGACTCGATTCTATACAGTGCCGGCGTGACTTGGCTGGCGTATCCTACAGACCAGCCTGGAGTCACTAGCGGCACATTCAATACCCAGGATGTGCGACCGTGGGATAGGCCACAGGCTGAGAACTCTGGGGTCTTCAACTTCCCTACTGCGTTCTCGAAGCCGCCCAAGGTGATCATGGCTTTGAATACTCTGGACTATGATCACACCCGGAACTTGCGATTGAGACTGAGCACATCTTCGGTGACAAACACGGCCATCACCTGGCACCTTCAGAGCTGGTGGGACTCGGTCATGTATAGCTCGGGTGCCTCCTTCTTCGCTTGGACCTGAATATACAACGGTGGTAATACAGCCAATGTAACCTTTGCGGTAGCTGCAATCAATTGATCAAGTTCGGGTGACCACGTAGCTCGGATGAGAGTGTAGATTAGACAGGTATTCCTCTGCAGTATAGAGTTGTGTATCCCAGATTTCATGCCCAAAACCCTCCACCTCAGGGAGGTAAATTGTCTAGGAGAACACACTCACCAAAGGGCTGACCACTGGCTTCCATACCATACAAAACAAGTGATATTGGCATCGGCTGCGTCGATTTGATCGTGGCCTTGGTATCACAGGCCTGCTCCAGCCAGGATGCCAGCAGTATTTTTCGGTTTTGTTTCAGCTGGTCCTTGACAAGTTCAATCACAGGCGCAGTTTGTCGAGTTGGAAATGTCGGATCTTCCCAAGCCCTGTCCGAAATGTTGGCATCCTTGTAGTACTTTTGGATGAGGTCGAGGGCTTTGGCATTCCCGGTCAGGACTGCGCCTTGGAACAGCATAGACAGTATTCCCCTGCGGTACGTATTTCTCTGGAGACACGTACTCATATCCAAGCCTTTCGAGATTCGCATCAAGACCTCCAACCATCGACGCGCCTTGAAGCATGTAGGTGAGCCGCGTGGAGATACGATCTTCCTGACTATCTCTTCGTCGCAGATCATCTGAGAGAAAGCGTAATCCGCAACTCTCATGGCACTTTCGTGGCTTTCAAATCGAAGAGGCCCAGTCTTGGAATTGAGGCGGTCGGGAGTGTCGGCAGGGTCGTCGGCCTGAGACGAAATATCGAAATATTCGCACCCACCGGAACAAAGAATCTCTCTTGGAGTTCTGCAGCGACCGGCTTGCTTCGACAATAGCTCCATCCCTACGCACGCCATATGGTGGCCGTGAACGATTTCCGACTCGGACCACGCGTTCGATTTATGTTCCGGTATGAGCCACGGTGATATTATATCGATTAGCCGATCTCTGATATGATGTGGACGGACCAAGCTGTGTCGCAAGCTTTCAAAAAGAGACAGTCGATTCAGCATAAGTAATGCGTCTGAGCCAATCTTTTGAAGTAGAGCTTCTTCAGAAACGCTGCGACTCTCAAGTCTGGCCCAGAAACGGTCAACTTTAGACAATGGCGGCTGGGTAGTCCACGGCCCACACATGAACCGGTGAAAGGATCTGCAGTCCGACACAACTCCCAAAAGCGAAGAGCCGTTGGGACAGGTCAGGAGGTCGTGCTGATTCTCGTAGACCAAGTCATCTATGCTGTGTAGGTAGCGACGCAGGCCATCAAACGTTCCGAGTTCCAGCTCGACAAATGACAGTAAGATCTGGGCCAAGACGAGAACGGCCACGTCGGGTGAATGTCGTTTCGCAGCCAGTGACAGGGCGTTGCCGACATAGCGGAATGCCGTAACCCTATGGCCGACATCAGGGACCCAAAGGTGCGTCCCCCCAGTTCGAAAACGGGTGGTGTATTTCCCGTGCAAGTTAGCCATATGAGCGGCGCCAACGGCAATGGCAGCACAGAGTGCAATGTCGGATCCGACCAAGAACCCACGCACTGGCTCCATGCTCCGTGGTAGTAGTCCTGTAACATGAGTTGCAAAATGGGTGAGATATTTGCGGCTTGTGGCTGAGAGAGAGGTATCCTGTAGTCCCAGGGAGAGTGGGAAGTAGTCGTGTTCTGTGATGGGTGAAGTTTTAGTTGCTAGCCATTGCTGCGGACCTGCAGCATGCTGGCACGATGATGGGGGCTTGAGTACGGATACGAGCCGGCTCAGCTCCGGAAGCTCATGTGAGGCGTAGTGCGTAAGAAGCACTGAATCGTCTAATAAATCGGATCTTGATGCATTGCTCGGATCCTCGTTGAGGTCCATTGTACGCCGGTATTTTAGGCTCGCACTTCCTTCATCTCCCCAAATGAGGCCATAGGTCCCTGGTGTATATAGCGTTGAATCTTCGAGAGACCCAGATGTCAAATCCGCCGTGAAGTTCTCTGATGCGACGAGTTCGAGAAAACTCTTCTCAGAGACGGCTAGTTGGTGACAGTTGTTAGTACCATCTGTGGATGAAATCCCTAAGGCGGAGGATTCGCTGCCCTGGGGTAGGGAACCATCTCGCCCTCGAGTCGTCTGAGAATCGGTCTGTGGAGGGTCTGGCGAGCACGTTGGTTCGGCAATCTGGACAGGATGGACCTTGACATCCTCCCCACGAGCCCGCTTCGACTTAACCGCCGCCCATGATGTAGCATCCAACCATCGAAGATCTGGGCTCCCGTACCAGCATGCCTTCCCGCTTCTTTCGCAGCGCATGCAGTCGGGTTTGCTCTCGTCGCACTGCAAAGATATACTCTCAGCAACAAAGAACGGTTACATGTATGGCGCGCCTGATCAACAGGACCCGGTAGGAGCAGTCGGTGACCTCGGGTGACGCACCGACTGGTAGAATGGGTCGCACCTACCTTCCTCCGCATATTGCGACATGGGCCACATCCTCCACGGCTCCGAACAATGTTCGTTTTCTTGGGCCGCGGGCGAGTGGCACCGTACATGACGAATGCGAGCAGATCGACTAGGGGTTGATCGTGCAGGACTTGAGCCACTGGGTTGTTGCAGCTGACCCGTCGCCGAGGTGTGGGCTGCTTCGCATTCCCGGTTTACGGAAGGTGAAGGCTGGGCATTTTAGGTGGATGGCGCTTGCAGAGCTGCGGGGAGTACCGGCTGCGGATAGTGATCCGGGCAGTCCGGGCGGAGAGGTCAGTAATACCTAACAGGGCAGGCCGCTGCGATGTCCTCCACTGTGGCTAAAGACATGTCCCACATCATCTCAAGCCGCCTCCAGCAGCCCAGACTGCAGCAGCCGTGAGGAAAGATGCAGGTACGGCCAAATGTTCATTACGTTCGCCCCTCTCCAGTCGAAAATGGCTATCTTTCTCATGGGTCACTCAAGTTGAGTTACAGACGTCAATCGCATTCGAAGACGCTAACTTCAATGCCTGGGTCGGCGAGGAAACACTTTCCACGGCTGCCTCCCAAGTTCCGACCACTTTTAATGCGCTTACGCAAACCTCTGCCGCAAGAGACACTCTTACAGAAGTGGCGGCAATACGCGGCACAAGGGCGACTTGGAAGTACTTCACTTCGCCAGGTCAACACTCCCGAGATGCCGGCAACTCGGGTCGACGAAGGGTGCGATTCCCCGGATCTCCAAGAGAGTAGCTCTGGCCAACGGTGTCTTTTGCCGCCCCGTTTCCCCGTCGCTGACGGCCTATCCGCAGTTATCTTCCAAACTCCAGTATCACAGTTTCGGGGGGGTAAAGCAGCCCGGACGAAGGCCATGGGGCGGCCCTACTGGAGAGTCTGGTAGCCCGACCCCTCCAGCCAATCCCATGCGACCGGCCGACATCGGTTACGGGATGCACGTACGTATGTCCCATTTGGTACAAAATAAGGGGCCGCCATACCTAGTCAGGTCAAACAGTGCGATAGCAATTGGGAAGGGTGTAATTCACGACAGGGAATTGCCTACTTCGCACTACTGTCGTCTTACGACTCTAACGATTCTGGCTATAGCAAGAGAAATGTAACTACACATACGACGGTTCCATCCCGTACTGTCCTCTTATCCATGTCGTCTACGTATATAAAGAGCTTTGGCAGTAACGCCCACTGAGCTCCTCGCTCTTCGGCATCACGCGTGAAATCGTTTTCCACAAAAGGGCTACTCGAATCAAGCACATGAAAGCAACCCGTCATATCTGAGACAAACTCTTTGCAATATGTAAAGTTGCCCATCGCTTCATCACGCTGTATTGTCCGAAACGGGAACTAACTATAACGGATGACAAGGCCTATCAAGCCGGATTCTTCGTACACATGGCTCGAGCCACAGGAGGCGCCCGAGTGTCTCGAGTGGGCTAATAAGGAAAGCATTCTCACTGCTTCCAAATTGGACCCTCTTCCGTATACTCAATACGTTCAGAAGAGACTTCGGGAGTTGATCTCAGTCACGATCAGATGCCCAGAGCATTGGATTGCCGGCAAGCTTTTTCGCCTGCGAAAGGATAAGCTTAACCAGCAGGGGGTTCTGGAAATCGCCGACAACGGACCTGGAGGTGCTCAGGGGGACTGGGATCCAGTCGTGGATATTGACGAGCTCGGAAGGCAAGAAGATCGCAACTTCGAGTTCTCCCCCCTGGGCTTTGAAGGTCGTGTTCTGGGTTTGGATGCCTCTCGTATCCTACTCTTGTTGTCCAACGGAGGATCGGATCTAGTCGAACTTCGGGAGTTCGACGTCAGGCAACGCAGACTTGTACCTGGTGGATTTCGGACAGGCTTGGGTCGCATCACGGTGGCCTGGATGGATCAGGATCATATCCTCATCAACCATGCTCTCAATGGAGGTCCGACAACTGAAGCAGGTTGGCCAGCAGCCTCATACATCTGGAGGCGCGGAACCGACCTCCAAGACGCAACGCTTGTCTACACCGCCCCGGCAAACGACGCGATTTGTCTCGTTGGCGCTTTGGGGCCATCCAACTACGGCCGCGCCTTGGTCATGCGAGCCCTGGACTACTCTACAATGGCCGAGGTTGTCATCTCGCTCGACGGAACGGTTGAAGAGGTGGATTTGCCTTCGAAGCGGCCTCTTGTGATTGCTCCCAAGGTTGTTGCTGGGAACATTGTCACCCAACTCAAGGAGCCAACAATTTTCCAAAGCCAGCCGCTACCTGCTGGCTCTTTGGTAGCATACAATATCTCGCCCGACGTGCCAAAACCACACAAGCAGTCAGTTGTTTATGTCCCTGAGCCCGATGAATTCACGCCCTTCATCGCACTAGACGGCTTCGAAACGAGCCAGGGGAGAGTGCATTTGACTTCGTCCAAGAACGGTGTTGAGCGGCGCTTGTCATTAGAATACCACGAAAAAGCCTGGAGGCTCGTCCAGAACGTTCCGTGCTCCGTCGGTGGTCACTTTGGTATTGTATCCGGCGACTGCCTCTCTAATGATGTCATCGTCACCAGATCGGGGCTCCTCCAGCCGACAGCGGTGCAGCTGGCGAGGCCAGACGGGACTATGCAGGAGATTTTCTCTCAGAAGCCACTGGTCGATGCCGAAAGATTTGACATAGAGCGACTTACTGTGTCTAGCAAAGATGGCACGCTTATCGACTATGTCGTACTATCCTCCAAGTTTTCCAAAGGCAAGGCCAGTCCCCGGCCACTTCTCATAACCGGCTACGGGGCGTTTGGTATAACCATAAGTACGTCGTACTTCTCGCAGGTCTTTGGAGGTATTGCCCTGGTCCCTTGGCTGGAGAGTGGAGGTTCCCTTGCCATCGCATTCATCCGGGGCGGCGGAGACCGTGGCGAAGCGTGGCATGAGGCGGCACGGCAAGAGAAGCGCCAAAAGTCTTACGATGACTTTATCGCCGTTGCAGAGAAGCTTGTCGAGGATGGTATGACAACGCCCAAGAAGCTTGGTGTCTTTGGCACGTCGAACGGCGGACTTCTCGCGGCCGTCATGGGCACCCAGCGCCCGGATCTTTTCGGCGCTGTCGTTAGCGACGTGCCTCTGACAGATATGCTAAGATTCCCTCTCATGGGGATGGGTGCCGCCTGGAAGCACGAGTACGGAGATCCTGAGGACCCTAAGATGGCCAGGATTCTCCGATCATACTCGCCCTTCCATAACATTCACGAAGGAGTCAAGTACCCGGCCTTTTTGGTGACGATCTCCACGAAGGATGACCGAGTCGGGGCAGGGCACGCCCGCAAGCTGGTCGCGAGGCTGAAGGACGTGGGCTCCGAGCATGCTTTCCTATTTGAGGACAGCGACGGTGGACACGGGGTGAGTGACCCTTACAAGAGGGCCGCCCTCATGAGTCGACGCATGGGCTTTTTTCTCAACTATCTCCAGTGAGATATCTAGACAGTCCCGTCGAATGTGTACGACATGCACATAGAGACCAAAATCCGCGTCAATTTTAGCTATCCACGTGGAATCTGGCCCCGTAGGCATCGTGACGCGTATTGGCAGTGGTACGTAGTGCATGAGCCATCATCGCGTGTTCCAACTTCCTTCAAGCCGCGTGCGTCGATGCCGCCATGAGCACTTCGTCCCTCATTCAGGCAGCGGAATCACAGGCAGTGGTGGGCTCCGCACGACTCGAGAGTCGAAACGACCCGGTGTGCCGTGGCGCGCACAATGGGCAGACAGGCTGCCTGCCTGCCGTTGTTTGTGGGCGGCAGGCACCGTTTATTAGCTCCCTTCACTTGGGCGGGGGCTTCCTCAAGAGCGCGCTGAGCCTTCAATGGGTGCCCCCTCCTCCCGAGTCCCCGCCCCTCAATCTCCACCACCTCCAACGATATCTTCGTGGCATACCCTGTCACCACCTTGAATGTTCCATTCACGTCAAACCTATCCGGGTCAACGGATGCGCTGTTGTCGTGCTAGAAGCCTGGAACCCGTTCTTGCCCCACCAGGTTCCCCAGGTTTGCTGTTCGCGTGCATGCGGACTGTCTTCATTTTGGAGTCGACAAGTGTCGACCCCGCGTTCTTCCAGCACCGCTTTGGTTGCCGATGGTCGCCGAGAAGTCCGGCAAGGGATGTGCACTTTTTGTTGCGGCTGAGCTGACAAGGGCCGAATGATGATGAAATGCCCCGAGGCTGTTCCGTTCCCAAGGTCTAGTCACTGACTCAGTGGTGAGCGCCCATTCACGAGAAAGGACGAGGTCTCGACACCAGTCGGCTGGGCTTTTGCGAACATTCAAGGTTGGCCATCAGGGCCACAGCAGCAGTACATGTATCGAATTATGCATGTATATTTTATGTTGTGTGCTGAAGCGGTCCCCCTTTTGTTTTTGTTTGAAGCACTACATGCATATGTACTTGCGAGCCCCGCCCTACGTCCTGTGCAGACACCACAGGTTTGATCATGCGACTTCGGGGCCAGGACTCCAGGAGAAAGGGAGTCTGCCCAGTTGAGCCGAATCTGGGGGTGGCTTGAGGCACGGTCCTGTCGTTCCCCACGGCTCTGCAATGCCAGTCGTCGATTTCTCGGGGTACATCACAGGTATCACCCAGGGGCACCTATCCCGACGTGTCCAGGGTCGCCGGGACGTGGCGGGGATCCCATGCAGCGTTATCTTGTGGCGGGTTGTGGTGGCTCATCCACCCACAGGGTCTAGCGCCCTTGCGCACTTGGTGACCCGAATAGGGAAAGCTCCTGCTGCAGACTTCCGCCTCGTGCTGGCAAACATCGGAGAGCTCTGTCCAACTACATTACCATCACTTCGTTGTGAACATCGGGTGATGGAGTCCAGCTCCAGGATATCATCCTCTTGCTATTTCCCGATTCAAACCGGCAACGAATCGAGAGTCGAGACTGGCGCCAGCTTGATGCCTCGTCCTTACCAAGCCAAGGCCTCGTCTGCCCGGAATCGACAATCCGGGGCCTCGAGACCTAATGCCGGGAGATACCTACAGTCACAGTTATTTGTATAAAGCCTAGTCCAAGTTGCCCATTCTTCGAGTTTTCTTCATGTTGCGACCATCGGTACTGAGTCGCAAATTAACATCATTATATTCATGCACCATGGGTCCCTTTACGCGGGAACCAGCCGTCCCCCAAGAGGTCATGGAGAAGATCGAGAAGCACAGCATGGAGAAGACAAGCCAGGTCCAAGATAACGCCGTGGGCGTGGGCGAGGACATTGTCATCTCCAGTTCACCAACCATGGCTGGTGTATTCTCTAAGAAGGCCCTCATCTTCGGCTGGGCCAGCTTACTCGCCGTGGCTTTGATGAACTACCTCGACCTTGTCGCCGTCAACACGTTCCAGGTCTATGCAATGAGCGAATTCAACCGCCTGTCAATTGAAGGGGCTCTCACGACCGCCATCGGCGTCGCGACCATTGGTGAGAAGGCATGGCTACTCCGAGCATTCATGTGCTGATGCGACCTCTTCAGTTATCCAAGCGCCATTGGCAGTGACCATCAGTCACGTGTCGTAGGTTCAGCGTCCACTCATTAGAATGTTTTCTACGATGCTAACCTTAATGAAGTTATTTCAGCGTATTTGCAGTCGCCACTGTTGTGACCACGCTTGGCAGTGTGCTTCAGGCCGCTGCTCCGGGGCTTGGAGTATTCCTCCTAGGTTTCGTGTTGAACATGATGGGCGGGATGGGTATGATCTACCGAATGTAATGAATGAGCTGGCATTAATTCTCAGATGAGTTCGACAGGCACCCGCATGATCATGTTCAACACTGCGACAAGTGAGCAATTTCTGCTTTCCTTTGGCGATTTAGTTTTGCTCACCAGCACAGGCTTAAGTACCCCCAAATACCGCGGAACCGCGCTTGGCGCAGTCAACGTGCCCAGCGTTGCCTCGTCTTTGGTACGTCGTTTCTCGTGTTGTGAACTTTGGTGCTACGACTAATCAGGAACTGTGCTGGCAGGCTGGCGCCCAGGTCGCTGAAAGCGCTCTCAAAAACATCGGATGGCGATGGGGCTACGGTATCTGGGCTGTCATGGTACGCAGAATTGACTAGGGCATTATTGACGCAGTGTAAGCTCAGCGCTGACCCAATCCACAAGATCCCGGTCGTCTCGCCCTGCCTCATGGCCATCCTCTTTCTTTTTAAGAGAAAGTCAAAGCACTGTAGTGCCACTGTTGGATCCCAAAAAAGGCAACTATGGACACACTTGCGAGAGCAGGACTTGTTCGGCATACTGCTTCTCACGGCGGGCATTGCGCTTTTTCTCCTTCCAATACCCCTAGAACAAGGAGGTATCAGCCAGTACGCCAGCGCACGTCTCATCACCCCGACCGCCCTAGGGTTCTTGTTACTCTTACTATTAGTTGTCTGGGAGTTCAAATTTGCCAGGAATCCAGTAATTCCGCGAAGAGTGCTTTCCCAGCGGACAATTGCCTCAGTGATGGCCTGTAAGCCACCTCCCGTACACCTTACAAGTTATGATTGATATAAGGCGGCTGACAGGAGTCATACACCCAGCGAACGCTTTTCAGTACGCAGGTATCAATGCGGCTGCAGCATACTTCTATCCATTCCTCATGGTTTGCAGCGATCTGAGCATCTCTAACGCGACATACATCACCCTCATCGTAGGCGTCGTGTGTCAGCTCATGGGTCTTGTGTATGGATTTATAATGGCTCGTTACAAGCAGATGAAATGGATCTACGTCAGTGGTCTTGCCATCGCCTTGTTGGGACGTGGGCTGCAGTACGAATTCGTTGATCCTAGGACACAAATGGCGGGTTTGGTGGTGAGCCAGCTTGTGGCTGGCATTGGCTTCGGTGTCGGCATTCAAGGCCTGACAATTGCCCAAGGCTCTGCTAATCCGAAGGGTACAGTGGGTTCTTCCTGGGATACAGGCGCAAGCCAGCTAACAGACGTCAGACTATCCTATCATTATCGCCATATTCTTCATATCCTCGAATGTCGGTGCTTCTGTTGCCGGAGCCATTGTTGGTGCCGTTTGGACCAGTAAGCCCAGATCAGACCTCATACGATCAGCCCTCCTGGTGGCAATCTAACATTTTAGCAGCTGTCCTGACTGCGAAACTTCATGCAAACCTTCCGGTGGAACTTAAGAGTCAATCGCAGGCCATCTTGAACTCTCTTCCCGTAGCGCAGAGTTTTCCACTCGGTTCTCCTGAGCGTAACTCTATCATCGCTGCATACATATCGGCATATCGGATCCTTGTTCTCATCTGCCTTGTTGCGACGGCAATCGCGTTTCTCATATCTCTACTTGTGGAGGATGTCCGGATGCCCGAAAATGAGAATGGAGAACTACCGACCGGAGCATATAAAAACGAGGGCGAGAAAGCTGACGCGTCGTAACAGCTGGTCCCTATGCATCCCCCCGATCTTCAATTCACAAAGTCCAGTGGCTCATATTGCGAGCTATTGCACATCTATCTAGTTTCCATGCTCAATACATGTTTTGTCCCGCGGTTCGAGGATAAACTATAAGCACTAGATCATCCCATGGCTCGATACACGGCACTAGCGGAACTCCCATAGGGGTCCGAAGTGAGGAAGACTAGGACATATTCGGGTCAGAACCCCAGTACCAGAGAGTTTCTTCCCACTCTACCCAATCTCCATACACTATACCGTTGTGGCCTTGCACCCCATTCATGGCACTTACAATACCGTTGATGAGATCTTGCACCTGATTCCCTGCCAATGGGTCCGCAGACCTCATGATCAACCTTTGGGTCTTGGGCGGCGAAACGAGCATTCTGCTGAATGAGCTTGAAGTGACCTTTGGGAATCGGAAGCGAGCAATGATTCCGCAGCCCAGCGGCAACAGCCCCGGGTTTTGCGGAATGGCCGCCATGAGGGCATGTACTGCAGTTGTACTGAAGTCGCAGAGGGCTCCGATGCTCAAGGTTCCTCGGCGTGGCTCTCTCAGTCTAGTTGGCTACCATGACGTTCGAATTATACGAAGCAGCTGTTATCCACGAACCTGCGTCCCACCAATTCATCACAACTAAGTGGAAGACGTGACTTACACGATGGCCACCAAGACGCTGTCGCAAAAAATGCTCTGGACGGCCTAGCGTGCAGCGGGGCACCGACACTCCCCAACGATTGCGGAGAAGCGTGCTTCCACAAACTTGCCCAATTTGGCAATTTTGGCGGCAGTAGCTGGCATCATGGTTGAGGGTTACCCTCCCCGTCGCTCGTCCAGAGCAATGCTTCAAGGTGCTCTTGACTGGCAAGGCACTTCCCCGGGCAGAATCTAAAGCTGTCCAAGTGTGTGGTGCCGGGATTTTACTCACCCGCAGATGCTCTGCATATAAAGAAAGCCGATCCACGACTGCTTGCCGAACACAACACGCCACCCGCAGTGCCATTGCCAGACAAAGATTATGACTAGAATGGCAGTGAGTTTGTCCATGGGTGGGGGCCTTCTTTCCAGCGACCATCCGAGCTGACAGGTAACAGAATCCATCTTTTGTTTTGCGAGCCGTCAAAGATGTCACCTTTGAAGACCGGCCAGTACCAGACCTCAAGGACCCAAATGATGTATTGGTGCACGTCGGGCAAACAGGGATTTGTGGCAGCGATGTAAGCGAACTTGAAGCCAGCCAATCTTATCACGTCCGGGCTAATATTCTCTTGCACAGGTCCACTAGTAGGTCTCGACTTCACATGGATGAGAGCTCCTCATTTACTCACACCAAGGTCTGTAGCTGGCAGCGTGGCCGTATAGGCTCATACATCCTCAATGGCCCCATGGTTCTCGGTCACGAGTCCTCAGGCACGGTTGTTCAAGTCGGCCGCGACGTCAGCTCGCTTCGGCCAGGCGACAAAGTGGCGATGGAGCCAGGCGTTCCCTGCCGACGTTGCGATCACTGTCGCAGCGGAACGTATCACCTCTGTGGACAGATGGTCTTCGCCGCAACCCCGCCGTATGACGGCACGCTTGCAAAATACTACATCAATGCCGCCGACTTTTGCTACAAGGTCCCCGACTCGATGAACCTCGAGGAAGCGGCAATGGTCGAACCGCTCTCAGTGGCAGTGGCGGTGGCCAAGACGGCAGACTTGCGGGCCCATCAGACCGTCGTCGTGCTAGGCTGCGGTCCCATTGGCGTTCTGTGCCAGGCCGTGGCCAAGTCTTGGGGTGCCAAAAAAGTCATCGGCGTCGACGTTGTTGATTCGAGACTGGAGGTTGCCAAGTCTTATGGCGTCGATGGCGTCTTTAAGCCCCAACGAGCAGCAAACGCTACGGTCGACCCGATGCAGCATGCGGAGGACGTGGCCGAGGAACTCAAGGCCAGCTTTGGCCTCGGTGAGGGTGCAGACGTCGTCCTCGAGTGCTCCGGCGCCGAGCCGTGCGTGCAGATGGGCATTTACGTGGCCAAGCACGGCGGCACCTTTGTCCAAGCCGGCATGGGGAAAGAAGTCGTCTCGTTCCCCATCACCACCGTGTGCATTCGCGGCCTGACCATCAAGGGCTCTATTCGGTATCTCGCGGGCTGCTATCCTGCCGCCATTGACCTCATCTCTAGCGGGAAGATCGATGTAAAGAAGCTCGTGACCAATAGGTTCAAGTTTGAGGATGCCGAGAAGGCGTTTGAGTTGGTGAAGGAAGGGCGAAGCGATGTGTTCAAGGTCCTGATTGAAGGTGTTCAGTGATGATACGACTGGGCGTTTGTAACTAACTTAGACCGTCTGAGACCGACTGATGGGCTGGCAGTTCCGCATGTGCAGAGAACAGGCAATGAGCGATATGATACTTATCGCTGCGTGTAAACGGACTGTTTTCGGCGGATAACCGGCATTCTCACCGGTCTTGCCATGTTGGAGTGTGGTAAACGCCGAGTTATCCATTCATGCCTAGCACTGTAGTGCTCTGCCTCCATGTCTCCAGAGGCGATTTCGGCTATACCATAAAAGTCTCTCAAGGCACGCCACAAAACGACAACGCTAAACACTAACTAACTCCTAGCCCAATTGCTCTTCAGCTGTGAGTCTCGCTTCCATTCCGAACTCCTGGTACGACATTCCCCATTCCTGTAGCAGGGCCTTCACCCGATACCCAGTCGCAATTCCGAGGCTGTCCTGGATGCCTGTGAGAATCTCGACCAAGCCCTTTCTCTCTGCGGTACTCGTGCAACATCTCCCAGCGACGTATAGCGGTTGAATGGCTCTTAACTTGACGGCGTCGCAAGGCGTACCGCGAACTATGGAGATAACCTCGGACGCATGCAACCGCAGCTTTTGTTCAGTCTCACGAAACGCGCGCAGAAGATCAAATGAGCCCCCACTGCCTGCGGGCGACGCTGACAAAAGATGTGACGGTCGGTGTATCAATAACAGCAGGCGCGCCATGTGGTAGTACATCATGGTCGTGGAGCAAAGGTCGTTGCTGAACCAAATCTCCTGGCTGAACAAACCTGACCCCTCTGCGCCACCGGCGTCTGCTGGCGTCGAGAATTTCCCATCGGGGTAGAACGACGGCGACAGCATTTCGTACCAGGCATCAAATTCCCCCTCGAGGCTCGTAAAGGTTCGTGTCGTGGGTCTTGGCTCTCCGCTTGCCACTGACAACGCCTCCCATTCCGACGCAGGCGCCAGATGGCACACCAACTTGCACATCAGCCGGATAAGCGAGTAGCAAAGCACCTTGTCTCTGACATGTTCTGCAGTCGTGGATAGGCTGTATGGGCCCGAGGTTAAAGTTGTTCGGCCATCGTCCTCAATGAGAAGCCCCATGTTCCGCCATAATGCGAGATTCTCCGTATTGATGCGTGTGCGGCGATGCGAGACAACTAGAGCATGTTTAGCGCTGCAGTTATCCGGGAAATCGACGCAGGATCGCTCACAGGACTCTTCGAGGTCATTGACGACAAAGTTCCAAAAGCCAGCCTTGACCTCCATGATGTCCTTCGTCCATGGATACACTTGCTCGTAGATAGGATGCTGTTCAAGCAGTTTTCCGCCATCGATAAGATCGAGGAGCTTCGAGAAGCCCGTTAGATGTCCAGACCAGGCATCCCGGTTTGCGCTCAAATGTTCGTACTGGATCAGGATACACGTGCCCAGCAACCGGACAATGGGGTCCTCGCCGTCCGCACGCACCATCAAATCTCCCTTCGAGAGTGACACAGCTGGCGACGGATGGTTTGCAGTCGTAGCCTGTGGCTCCTTGGGCGTGATTGACTTGACCAGCGTTTGTATCGCCTTCTCGTAGTATTTGATTCCGTACCATACGAACCCGAGTCTGCCTCTGACAAGGCGCTCTGCGATTCGTTCCTGCGTCGTGCCTCGCAGGACGGTAGCCACTGGCGCTCTCATTTGCCCAAGCTGCTTGGCAGCGACCGCGCACGCGGCATAGCGCAAAATGGGGTGTTTTCGCGCGAGCATCAAAACTTCGCGACTAAATACTTCGTAGCGGTAGAGTAAGTCCATCCTAAGAAGAGCTGTTAGCAAAAGTCTCTTGGACTGGTGTCATGAACCGGCGCACCATGGTGCTATGCACTCGGAGTAGTGCCTAAGAAGAAAGAGCTCCTCCTGTGTGTCTTTCAATGCCTCGATGGTCGTTTCGTGCAGCCCATCAGGTCCCGTGGTGCTGGGACTGGTGGCCGAGTTGTTATCTAGAGCTTGTAAGCTTTTGTCTGCCATCAGGTGAGGGGAAGCTCATCGTAGTACCACCCGACCCGTTTGTCTGCGGGTTCAAACATGCGGTCTGACCATGAGCCCTTTCCGGGTTATGATATTGCCGTCGCAACAAAGGCACGCTCGGCGTGATGTTTGGAATAGATTGCTCTGGGGAGGTGTGATCCACCAATGCTGGGTAGAATGGTGGCAGTACTGGGGTGACTGGAGGCAGCAGGAGGGAGTCACCGCCGCCAAGGCCATGTTCTACGGCGCTCGGGTCTTAAGCCGTCAGTCTAGGTCGCAGCCACAAATGTGGTCTTCATCGTGATGGGAACATACTGCTTTGCAGATCATCTCTGTAGGAATTCCCGGCAGTCGCCGTGATATCGGCAGTGCGACAGCCGTCGATGAGTTGGCTCGAGCGCGTTGGGGTGCTCTCGGCCTCAAACGAAAAGGCATGTCGCTTAAACACCGAGTCCTGCAAATGGCACACCCGATCGCGTCTCATACATTGGCCACATCGCGGCTTCCGCTCATCGCACTTGATCTTGCGACTGCGACATTCCGGACTAGACATGGAGTTTCTCAGCGCTGAACCCCACGCTCAGGAGCAACCGAGCCGCCGGAAAACTCACCACCCCTTCCTCGAGCGTTTAGCCGCTCGGACGCGTCTCGACCTGCTTTCCTCGCTCGCGGCGAATCCGGGCTGTTCCATGAGCAGGAATTACAGCTCCTCTGATGCGGATAGTTTTCCTGACTGGGCATTGGAGACGCTCCACGCAACGAGCCGATGAAGCTCTGGAAGATGTGCAAATGTGGAGTCATCATGGCGTCGAGGCTTCTGGTCTGGTGGCGAGGAACGAGAAGAGAAAGCGCGCGAAATTTACCTTTCTCGGCTAGTCTCCATCCCTTCAGCCTAAACGCTGCAAATGCCGGGGGCGAGGAACTCCACGCGGAGACCCCAGGTTTCTCTTCCCCAGGTTCGGCGATCCCACTACCATCAACAATGATCCAACTCGTGGCGTACGTCTGAGCGCGGCGATGCCGCGATGAGACATTCATTCCTGGCTTTCCCGCATACCTCGAGCGACTTATTTATTGCCTCGTCCCGATCCCCACCGGGCCCATTCGACTTTCATGTCTGGCTTCATCATTCCATACGCACTCCGACAGGGGCCGTGAGATCACTTACACTTGAAGACTATCCCAACACACATCATGTTACGTCAAGCTGGCGGGAAGAAGCCATACTTTGGCCTCACGGGCAAATGGCTCACTGCATGGATCACGTTTGCTTGCAGTGTCGACATGCTCATGTTTGGCTATGACCAGGCAGTCTTCAGCGGCGTCATCGTGACTGATGATTTTCTGGTCCTGCACGACCTCGTCGGCCCGGAGAAGACTTCGCTCCTCTCCACCATTACCGCAATTTACGACATCGGGTGCTTCTTTGGTGCTATTGTGGCCTTTACAATTGGCGAACGTCTCGGACGGAAAAAGTCCATCATTATCGGCACTTCGATCATGACCGTGGGCACTATTCTTATGACCACTTCGTTTAGCATTGAGCAAATGTTTGTTGGGCGCATAGTTCTAGGGTATGTGGCACTCCTCTCTTCAAGACTATATAGCTACTGACGAGCATGCAGCATTGGCAATGGCATCAATACGGCCACGGCTCCCATCTGGCAGACTGAGACTTCTCCCGCGCACCTTCGTGGCAAGCTCGTCATGTTCGAGATGATGATGAACATTGTCGGCTTCTCTCTATGCAATTGGATCAACTACGGCTTGTCTTTTGCCGGAGGCGCTGTTGCCTGGCGCTTTCCACTCGCCTTCCAGGCCATCTTCATCATCGCCCTCTTCGCGACAGTCCCATGGCTGCCGGAGTCGCCACGATGGCTGCTCTACCATGGGCACGACGAGGAGGCGCGGAAGGTGCTCAGGTGCCTCGCGAGCGATGACACTGACGACGCGCTCGTCACCGTGCAACATGAAGAGATCCAATACAGCGTGCAGTACGAGAAGGAGCATCAGATTAGATGGAGAGACCTGCTGCGTCCCCAGCCTGGAGCCACAAAGCCTCTCCGGAGACTCATTTTGGGAGCCGGCACGCAGTTCATTCAGCAGTTTGAAGGTATGTTCTTCTCTGGCCTGAGCGCCTCCCACGGTTCATCGCTAACGAGCAAGTGTAGGCATCAACATCATGTCCTACTACTTGCCGACGGTGCTCATCAACGCTGTGGGCTTATCAAACGAACTCGCGCGGCTCCTTACAGCTGTCAATTCGGTCACTTACCTCATATTCTCAGCCCTGTCCATCCCCCTAGTTGAGAAATGGGGACGGCGGGGCTTGATGCTGTTGTCAACTGCTGGCCAGGGCGCAGCTTTCCTCGTCATCACAGTCCTGCTGCGGTACGGAAGCCCACCAGATGGAGACCGCAAAGCAGCTGAGGCATCAATCGTGTTCTTCTTCTTGTATTACATTGCATTCGGCATCGGCATGCTGGGCGTGCCGTGGCTGTATCCCACCGAGATCAACTCCATCGCAATGCGTACAAAGGGTGCAGCAGTGTCTACAGCAACTAACTGGTGGGTCACCATCCGCGTACGACAGTGGTCAGGAGCTAACAAGCGTCGCCAGGCTCACCAACTTCGTCATTGTGGAGATTACTCCAATCGGGATCCAAAACCTCGGGTGGAAGTTTTGGATCGTCTTTACTGTCTTCAACACGGCCTTCATGCCTGTCATATACTTCTTCTATCCCGAAACTGGTAGGTTACCCTCGGGCGATGGGTTGACGACGTACAAGAAATTGGACTAACAGCCTTTAGCCAACCGCACGCTCGAGGACCTCGACGAGTACTACCGCGGCAACCCGCCGCTCATTGTAACGGGCGACAAGGACGTGACAAGCAGCAAGCGTCCGCTCAAATATTTGGAAATGGAGAGAACGCATGTCCAGCGCGTAGTGCGGGCAAGCGTTGACGCTGGGCACGACAAAGACGCCGTGTGCGCAAACCACCATGTTGAGTAAATTGTGGTAGAACCGAGACGATTTGAGTTGGTGCGATCTGTATGTCATTATTATGCGCATACCATGCTGTGCTATGCGAGACACTACGTGCTTGACACGGCTGATGTGTCCGCGAGCCTGCGATGACGCCTGGTTCCAGCAATGGTCCAAGACACCAATGATGCGCCGACAGTGTCCCAGCTTCGATTCAATAAACCACAATCTACATTCGCAAGTATTAGTGACCGATATGCTTTTCAGGCACTTGAAGTATTTTTGCAAGTGCCCTTGTTAGCCAGAGTACATGTATGTGGCGTTCTACGGAATCGCTAGAGTGGGGGCAATCGGTCGCTTCAGTAGCTGCACGCTTCCGTCAACAATGTGAGGACGTGCTGGTAATGTACAGCACAGACAATCATCCTGCATAGTGGTCCGTTCTATCACTCTTCAATTCACTTGAGCAATGCCAATTTGTAACTCTTCAAGTCTCCCAGTAATTGCGCTCTACAGTACCCGGCCTCACTCGCTCCCTGCCAGAATCAAGTCAAGGTATATCCCCCGTCCACGATGATGTTTGCCCCAGTCATGTAGCAACAAGCGTCGCTTGCGAGAAACACATACACCTAGTAGTTTGTTAGCAGGATACCTCGAAGCCATCAATTGCTGGGCGATGCGTGAGGGAACTCACCCCCTTAAGCTCCGAGGCAGTAGCCATTCGGCCACCGGGAATCATTGACAACCACTTGTCGAACCGCTCTTTCGGTTGTGTGTACAGCACTGGCAAAGGTACGTCTGTCAGTACTCTCATTTTCTCATGTCGGTCGTGGTCGAACCAATAGTGGCGCACGTACTGTCCGTCTCGATGAACCCCGGCGACACGCAGTTAACTCGCGCAAAGTCCACCCACTCCACGGCTAGACTTTGTGCCAGATGCACTGCCGCTGCTTTGGACGCATTATACGCTGCCTGCCGCTGCGGGATATTCACGAGCGTCGCGCTCACCGACGCCGTAACGATGAGGTTCCCGCGGCCGCCCGGCTGGCTCTTGAAGATGCGGCCCGCCGCCTGCGCCGTCCACATGACGCCGTCGAGGTTCACCGCGTTGTTGGCGCGCCACTGCTCCTCCGTGTACTCGAGCGCAGGCACGTCGGCGCAGACCCCCGCGTTGGCGACCACGATGTCGAGCCGCCCGCCGCCAAAGTCCGCGACGACCTGGTCGAGGGTGGCGGCGATGGCGGCGCGCGAGCGGACGTCGCTGTGGTAGGCGCGCACCCGGACGCCCGTCTGCGAGGCGATGCGCGCGGCGACGGCCTCGGCGTCGGTGCTCGTGCTGTAGATGAGGGCCACGTCGGCGCCTGCCTCGGCGAGGGCGCGCGTGATCTCCAGGCCGATGCCCTTGGCGCCGCCTGTGACGGCGGCGACCTTGCCGCGCAGGCTGAACTGCGGCAGGACGGGAGCATCTGGGTTCTCGGGCTTGTAGAGCGGCATCTTGGCTGACTGCTTGAAAACTGTCGGACGCAACAAGGTTCCTCAGGACTTGGAGGTAGATGTTGGGAGTTTCCACGCAGTACAGAAGGATTGTCGCACGTTTGAGTTAAATGACGTCTAGAATGCACATGTTTGTGACCGATATCGCTTCTTCCATTTGGTGCTGCTCCCGAGGATTGTAGTTTTGGCGTCACTAACACGACGCGCCGCCTAGAGCCGAATACGGCAATTTATGCGGTAGGTGGGAGCGGACTCGATCCCGGCGCCATGGAGACAATGCCGGCCCCGGCCCCAGCCCTGTCCAAGGACGCACGTATGCGATCCAATCGGCTCCTAGTGCTACAGGCTTCAATTCCAGGCACCGCATGGGCGTCGACAAGTTGTCGAGGCCATTGCCCCATCGGGAAGTTGGCTTTTAAGCCTCAAACAAGGTGCTCTCCGATGGTCGAGACCGTCAGCTGGAGCAACCGCAAAATATCTCAATGACGTCGAAACTTGCTGTGTACATGCACCAAGCGTAGGCGGCTTCTAGGATACTTCCAGCCCGGCTCACCACGTCGTGTCACCGCGCTTCACCTCCCCGTCCACGCACCTCCTCACCCAACCCCACACCTCGTTGTGCCAGACCCTGCTATTCTCCGCGTTCAGCACCCAGTGGCACTCGTCCGAAAAGGTCAGGAAGCGCGTCGGCACGCCGTGCGCCTGCAGCGTGTTCATGGCCGCCAGGCCCTCCGTCACGGGGCAGCGGTAGTCCTTGTCGCTGTGGATGATGATGGTCGGCGGCGCGCGGCCCCAGTTGCGCAGGAGCTCCGCCCGCCCAGGATTGAAGCGCTCAAACGCCGCCGGGTCCTGCCAGTAGTAAATGGGCCCGTCGAAGGAGCCGTCGTCAAAGATGACGTCGTTTTGGAGGAAGAAGGATGGCAGGTTGTGGATGCCGTCATGCCACACTGCGCAGCAGAACTTGAGCCGTCGTCAGTAGCTGAAGAAGATACTCGTAGGAAATGGAACTTACCTTGTTGATGATCTCCTGCCCGAAGAACCAGCTTACCATGTACCCGCCGTAACTGGCACCCGCGAGCACCGCCTTGTCCTGGTCGAGGTACGGCAACTTCTCGAGATGGGCAATGAGGTTCACAAGGTCCTCGAATGCTCTGCCTCCCCATTGTCCATTGATGCCTGGCCCGCCAGGTTAGTTCACAAACTCCCAGCGTCGGGCATCCCACTCACCCCTAGCCAGTTCAAGTCCGTAGCCCGTGCTGCCAGTAATGTTGGGACACACGATAACATAGCCCTGCTCAGCCCAAGCAGCCATGTTCCACTACACAAATATCCAGTCAGTCACATCCTCAACTTTCAAGCCCGATCCGCTTTGTTATCTGCAGGGTACTGACTCGTGTGTTCCAGGCGTCTGACCACGCAGACACGGGGCCGCCATGCGGCATCAAAACCCAGGGGTATTTCTTCGTCTCGTCAAAGTCGGCCGGTCGCAGCATAAACGAGTGCAAGCACACACCCTGTGCGCCCTCGTACCAAAACTCGGAGACCATGTCGCGCGAGATGCCAAATTTGGCGCCGTTCTTGGTCGCGGACGATAGAACGTGCACGGCGCCGCTCTCCGCCGCAGCCTCGCTGGAGCCATCACGACTGAACGACGCCGAGATGTCAACCACCTGCCAGGTGCTGCTGTCGACAAAGTTGCTGCTCGACACGAGGAGCTTGTCCCAGCAGCCCTCGCGCAGTGGATGGAATCCCGCCACGGAGCCCTCGCGGAATACGAAGCGCGGACGCTCCCCATCCTGCAGCTTCAACGTCGAGAGCACGGTGCGGCCGCACTTCTGGCTCTCCAGGACGAGGGCGTCCGCACTGCCGGCAAACTCGAAGGCACCCGGCGGGTCATGATCCTCGTCGCTGTCACCGCCGCCGCCGTGCTCGCTGCTGGCGCCGGAGGTGCGCGTGACGAGCGCGAAGACGTCGAATGCGGCGAGCGAGCCCGTCGATGCCAGGTAGAGTCGGTTGGCGTAGAGGTCGCCGGGCTGCGAATAGATGAACATGACGTTGCTCGCCCCATCGGGCGAGAAGCGCATGTTGCCGCCAATGCAGGGCCGCACGTCGGGGGGCATTACGATGGGCTTTGGCTTCGACACGGGTGGCAACGTGAAAGAGTCGACCGGCACAAAGAAGGGCAGTGTGACGATGCCCTCATCGGGCCGCCGGCGGGTCAAGTCGCGGGCGAAGAAAGCGACGCCCCGGTGGGAGATGTCAAAGTTGCTCAGCGGCTCTGCAACATCATACATGCCCGCTGGGGCCTCGAGATCGGGCTCGTCAGCCAGCAGGTTAAGCAGCGAGCCCGCAAGGCTCCAGCGGCCGTCGTCGAGCTGCAGCTTGTTGTACCATAGCGAGTATCTTTGTTCCTTGTACAGTGAATTCCACTGGATTGATGTACGTCAGTGCCTGGCTTGACGTGAAGCAATGATGGATGCATCACGCGGGGGCTACTCACGACGCGAATTTGGGCCGTGTCAAAGACACGCGCCGTGGACCGTTTCTCGACAGCTTCCTCATTGTACAGCTCTCCATTGGGGCCGACGAGACCTGTCACCACAAACACGACGCCACCATCGTCGAGCCGCTTCAGCTTGAGGTTTGCAATGGGTGCGTCGAACTCGCCGACGACGTAGTGTTCAGCGTCGACATACCCCGCATTGGCGACGAAGGCCTTGGTGGCGCCCTTGTCTCCCGACTTGAGGTAGACAACGTTGTTGGTGCCCGGGATCCAGACAGCGTCGTGGACCTTGTCGTCGTCGCTAAGCTGGCGCGAGGGTACGCCGTCGCTGGTGAGGTCTGCCACGCGGACCTCTTTGCGCGTCTTGCCGTCGTCAAAGTTGTGCGTGGAAAGGGTGTACAGGGCAAGGGTGCCGTTGTGGTTTGGGACGGCGACGCCACGGCGAGGGGCACCGAGCAGAGTCTCTGCGGTCAGTTTCTGTACCTGGACCATGATGATGACGATGCTTCCACTGTCGGTGACTGGGGGGCGAGGCAACTGGCACAGCGGGGATGGTGACGTGGTGAGAGTCGAAGCCGTCACCCAATCGTGAGGACAGCGGAAGCCTACGATTGAGTATCAGAGGCTACTCAGGTCCACGGAACTGTACAGACGCCCGAAGGTTTTTATACAGGACACGGCAGAACGCTCACGCAAGAGCTGACGAGTCACGGTACGAATGGTGGTGAAGGCATCAACATGGGTCCCCGCCAGATCGGGTAGGTGACCCGTCGGCGGCACTGAGCCCCGCACTTACATTCACCAGCTTCTCCTGCTAACCAAGTCTACCACGGAATGTAGGTACAACTTCTGTGCCAGGTATAAACCTCCACTGTGAACGCTGTGAGCTTCCATGCATGTGGCGGCTGCTATTACGCGGCAGCGCGCCGAGCACAACCCGTCGGCAAACCCCATGTTGCCTCTCTCAATCTACTCTCTGAAGGCTGAAGCGTTATTACCAGATTTCTTGGCGTCCATGATCTTGCACCCGCAGCGTCTGCCTGAACAGGATTATCACCAGAGCCCTCCGCGTTCTTGCTTCTCATTCCACCCCAATGCCAGTCATGTGAATGGTGCGCTCCGGCCATCAGTCGCAGACAAACATGGGTTTATCATATTGCCAGTCTGCGGCTCTCTTGAAGCAGCCGCCGCCGTTACAGCTGCACTGGGGAGACACGTTAGCACCTGCAATGGCATGCCTGAGACCAGACGCGGGGGGGTGGTGGAGGATGAGAGGGATGTCGCGGCAAAGCCGGGTGCACCTACGGGATGCTTGGCGTTGCATAGCCGGTCTGCGAAACGAGCCTCCTCCTCTGCGGTCAACTCGGTCCGCGGGTGCCAGCACGAGCCGGTGGACAAGTCGCAGAACTGTCGCGACGCTGTCAGCTTCCAAAGCCACCTGTGTGTGTTGCTGTCGACTTACACCAGGGTGACGACTGCCGGTTGCCGCTGCGGAGCCACAAAGGGCGAGAACCACAAAGGGGAGCCCGTACTTCATCTCTGCTCGGGGTGGATAGCACAGATACAAAGGAAAAGTGACGAGACGATAGAGTGAATGAGTGAACACAGTCAAGCTCGACGACGACAAGTAAAATACAAAACACAACGTGTACACTTGCCCTCTTATATGCCCGTGGCGCGATCTGCACAACCTCAACGTGTTGAATAGTCCATGCTTTCGTGACGTAAGTATAGAACTCCCGGAATAGCTCGCCCTCAACTATCGGCCGAAGATGTGTGACGCCATCACGACGGTAGTGCCACGCTGCGCTGCTATATCAGGGGTTGGGCAAAAGCCAGGCAGAGGCGCGGCTTATCGCTGACGAGCTGGGCAATCAGTTCGACATGCAGCCCGTGCTTCGAATAGTATTAAGTTTCGCTCGGTGCAACGCGCCGCATGGGCGGCCTGGGTGCCGACGCCAGTCCCCTGCACCGTCGATGCACGTCGCAGACTTTATTTCATGCTGGAACATTATTAACTCGTCGGGCTCGAGCAGCGAGCCACCCGACACAGGGAGCTTAAATAGCCATGGAGCTCAAGGCTTGCCTGATGCGGGATGCCGGCGTGAGCACGATTGGAATCAATGCCTGCCCTGGGTGGAAAATCGCACCGTAATTCATGGATGCCCTGGGTGCCTGCTGGACGCTGACAGACCACTCACTGGAGCCTCCACTGAGAGGTACTGATCCATGCAATGCAAGGCGATGCGACACCCAGCTGAGGTGGTCTCCACCGAAAGCCGCACCCGTTCCCGCCCGCCCGCCTCCAGGGCTGTCCGGGTGTCTCTCGCTGCCCGTCTCTCCCACTCGTCAGGGCTCTGTCTCACGCCTACGCAGGGCCGGCGCGCCTATTCTTCATCTCCGATCTCGGGGCGTCCGGCTGACTTTCCGGCGCGGAACACCACCCCAAGCTGCAGACAGCTCTACCCGTCTGACAGGCGTTCAAGTCCGAAGCTCGCTTCATTATTACTACACCTCGCCTGCCATTCGACGGCGGCGACATTGCAACCCGCGGGCGCATTTCCGTGCACTCGGCCATCCATCTTCTCCGGTGCTGTTACTAAAACGCTGCGACACAGCGTCGTACTAGTAGCCGGTTGCAACGTCCATCCTCGTTGGGGCCTTTCCCATCCCCCCAATCCTGAACCTGCGCCCGCAGAGGAGAAGCAACCCAGCAATGCGCCGGCACCCGTCCTCCTCCTCCCCCTGCAGATCGCCCAACAACGCATCGTCGCCTCCGCAGCTCCCGCGCAGTAGCCGCTTTTGCCTCCTCTAGCCGCGCTTCTCCGCCGTCCCCTCCCCGGTTGACGGTTGGATTTGTACTACAGTACTACTCCTCCGCCGTCGACTTGGGGATCGTTTAAACCCGCAACGCCCCTCTCCTCGCCGTTTGTGCGCGCTGTGTGCGCGGCAGCTCCCCTGCGCGGCATTATCAGCGACCCGGCCATGAAGACGTCGCCCGACGACGCCGCCGCCGCCGCCGCCGGGGCCGCCGCTCTCGGCGCGGCGCCCTCACAATCCGCGCTCTCCGTCATGACAAGCAGAACAGCGCCGGCCTCGTTAGCATCGTCGGCGAAGCAGCCGCTGCAAGAGAAGGAGAGGCAGAAGCAGCAATGGAACACCAAGAACCTGCCCGCCCGTCTCGCCGCCGACCTCGCCAGCGCCACCACCGCAGGTGCCCTCATCGCCCCCATCATATCCATCATCGACCGGTCAGTGCCCGAGACCCCTCCCCTTGCGCCGCCGGGCCTCTTGCCAACCTAAGCTGACTTCTGGGCTCGCAGCTCCATCATGGAAAACGCCTCGGGCCGCGCCGCTTCCCTCTCGGCCTCCCTCCGCGCCTCCCTCGCCGCCCTCCTCACCCGCCCGCGCCCCGTCCTCTTCTCCCGCCCGACATCACTCGTCCTCCTCCTCTACGCGGGCACGTACCTCACCGCAAACGCCCTCGATACCTTCACCTCTGCGGCCCGCGCTCGCCCCGCCTCCGCCGTCTCAGCCGGCCCCGCCAAGTTCGCCGCCTCGTCCGCCGCCAACGTCGCCCTCTGCGTCTACAAGGACCGGCAGTTTGTCCGCCTCTTCGGCGCTGTCTCGTCCGCTGCGTCCTCGGCCCGGCCCGTCCCCCTGCCCTGCTACGCCCTCTTCACCCTCCGCGACTGCATCACCATCTTCGCCTCCTTCAACCTCCCGCCGCTGCTCGCCCCGCGTATCGACCAACGCCTCTCGAGCGACCTGCGCCGCCACATCTCTGGCCTGACCGCCGCGCAGTTTCTCGCCCCTGCCGCTGTCCAGCTTCTCTCCACGCCGCTGCACCTCCTCGGCCTCGACCTTTATAACCGTCCCTCTGCTGCTACCGGGCAGCTCCCTGGCCCGTCGTGGCGCGACCGCTGGGCCGCCGTTCGTGCCAATTGGCTCGTCAGCGCCGCCGCAAGGGTCTGTCGCATCGTTCCCGCCTTTGGCGTCGGAGGCGTCGTCAACACAAAGGTCCGGCGCGGCCTCATGGAGCGCCTCGAGTGAGGGTCCGGGGTCTCTCATTCTGAGCTTTGCTTGTTTGGCGCACCGGCGTTTTTTCCAATCATTTCTCCTTGCACTTGGGCACCTGGGTTAGAATGCATGCATGCGATGCCTGTGTGGAGGCAGGCATCAACCACGAGACGCAGTCATGAAGTAGACCGGATATCATAGACAACGGATTAGACAAGACAAGACGGACACGCAGCCGCATCACCAGCATCTGCTTTATTTGCTCAGACATGTCTCTTTTGTATCGAGTCCGCAGCGCTGAACCGCGTCTTCGAGCCCACCAGTCCACCTCGCAATGCTCGTCCCGCACTGCCGAGCGCGTCCCCTCATTCATCATTCATGCTTGAAACACTTGTCCCCGTCCCAATCCCGGCTTCATTCACACTCGTCTCCGTTACAAGGTATCAAGCTTCAACATGCCTCGTGACTGCAGGGCGAAAAGTAATACGTGACCCAGTTTCCATAACGCCATCCCTCAGCCCAGGCCATCCTCTGTAAGTTAGGTAAAGGGGGCCGTGAGGTTCCCGCCAAATCAAACATGTACAAGGAGAAAAGTAAAATGATCGTGGCAGTCCAAAGTCGACGGCCAGACCATCGGGGTATGCGAAGGTTAGAAACAAGAGTCGGTGGCAGCCTGTCACCGACGTCGCGGTGGTATGCGGGGCCGCTCGAGCCGCGGTCTCCCTCTTCAGGAAACCTCGACAAAGAGCGTCAGCTTCTCGTTTCGCTGCAGCGCGTAGTCGAGGTCGCCGTTGTTCGCCAGGTTCTGTCGCGTGCCCGACGGTTCGTCTTGGAACGAGAGCTGCACCTGCTCGGCCGCCGTGGCCTTGACGCGGTCTCGGATCCTGTCGGCCAGCTCTTGGAACTGGATGTCTGTCGACACTCTCATGGCAAATACGTCGTCCTTGAACCGCACTTTGATCTTCATCGGCGCAGCTTGTTTCTGCGCGCCATCTGCTGCAAATCGTCAGCTGGGTACTGGAGTGTGTGTTGCGGTTCGCGTCCTACCTTGCTGCGAGGTGCCCTGCCGCGGTGTCGCTGACAGACCTCCGTAGTTGTAGCCATTCAGGTTGTTCCGCGATCCCTGTCTGGACGCAGCATTTGCTGGCGAGTCGGCCGACGACTGGCGCGAGCCCTGGGACAGGCGGTACTCCTCGTCGCCATTTGCGTTGCTGTCGATCTCGTAGTCGCCTTCGCGGGGCGCGAAGAAGAGCTTGACCAAGTCGCACCGGGAGATGTGCGGCGGCTGGTTCAGTAGATTCTTGACGTAGGCATCCAGGTTGTAAAGGCGGCCTTCGGTGATGGCGTCGGTGACGTAGCTGACGGGACCGGGCATGTACGGCAGCGATCGCTTCTGCGTGCCCGTGTTTCCAGCCTCGGCGGGGAACTCGGCAAGCAGGGCGATTTGGAAGTCGTAAAAGTCTTGGTAGTATCGCGACAGCTCCCAGGAGCGGCCATCTTCGAGTTCCGCCTCGATGACGAACCAGTATTTCTCCTCGGCAAAGCAGTACCGCGGTATCCGGGCCCACACGGGGGCGTACAGCTGGGCTGCATTTTCGTGGGCGGCGTACTCTTGCACCGGCTGTTGGCCGCCAGCGCCAGCGTTGGCGTACATGGCCTGTTTGCGCCGTTAGTTTGCGGCTGTTCACTGCGACCCGCAGGTGTAAACCTACCTGAGACCCGTTTTGGTTGATCTGCTGCTGCTGCTGCAGGCTCATGCGCGCCATGTTTTGTTCAAGCCCCGCCTGTTGCTGCTGCTGCGGCTGCTGTTGCTGGTTCTGCGGGCCTCTCGACCCGTCAAACTTGCCGAGCGTGATGCTGCTGTTCTTATACTGCGCTGCCATCCGCTTCCACTCCTCGACGGTCGGGACGTTGGCCTTTCTGAGGGCCTCGAGGGGATCCGCGACCGGCGTCGGCGGATTCGTGCGGTACGAGTCATCGTCAAAGATGTCGATGAAGCCTATGGGGATCAGGCCCGGGCCGCCCAGTCTGCGGATGGGCTTGGCGACGACCCATTCCTTGTTTGATTGGGCGATGATGATGAGGTCCTCGTCTTCGTTGGCCGTCAACTCGTCGGGGCGGCCCTTGGCGGCTTCAAAGTAGTATTTGACCTTTGCGCTGACGATGCCGCCCGACTTGGCGGGTTTGGAGGCTCGGTTGGCGCCGGCGGGGTGGACGGCGGCCTCGCCATAGCCCGAATCGTGGTCCTGGTTCTTGCCGTCGGAGTGGCCGCTGTCGCGCTCGGTGCGGCCGAGGACCTGGAAATAGCCTACCGGAACGAGGCCACGGGCGTCAGGCAGCGCCGGGTTGCAGGCCTCATACCAGTTGGCATCGTCTTCGCGACCGATGACGTGGAAGAAGTCGCCCTTGGAGAAGCTGAGGATCTGAACGCCGGCCTTGGCAAAGCTCTGAACGAGGGCATCGTCGGGTTGGTAGTCGTCGTTGGCCCGGATGACCTGTGCATCAAGAGGTCAGCATTGCCTCGTATTTGCCGCTCGCCATGCACATGTACGAGTCGTCCTTGTGTCGGCGATGGCACAATGCGGGCCAAGGCGCGCCTGGGGGCGATGCATCGCAGCGGGAGAGACCAACCTTTTTGGGCGGGACGATTGCGAGCGCCGACTTGGAGCCGATGGAGGGGCTGTTGGGCTTGTGTTTCTCGCCCTTCATGGAACGACGTAGAGCCTTAACCAAATCCATGGCGGTTAGCTTGGATGAAACGACCATGCATGCATGCGGTGCGAAGGTTGCCTAGCGAAACGTCGTGGGTTGGGGAAACAGTGCGGGGAGGGGGTGGTGATGATGCAAGAAAGACCCGGGGCGGCCGAGAAAGAAAGCGCAGGCGCGTCCGTGCTTGCGCGCGCGATTCATTTGGCAGAGGCAGGCGACGACAAGTCGGACAGAACGGACATGGCGAGCCGCCCGCCGTCCGGCGACGACCAAGAAAAGGGGGGGCAATAGGAGGGGTTGGATGGTAAGCTGAATGCGAACGAGCGAACGAACGAACCTTCATCTTGTGCGACGGCCTCTGGCGTGGTGGTGTTGCAGGAGGACGGGTGGCGGCAGCGTCGACACGGAGGCGTCGTCAAAGAAAGGGAGCTGCGGACTGCGGGCGACGCAAGCCGTTTTGTGCGTCGTTTGTGGGCGTTCGGTCGCGGGCGATGGGGAAACGGCGGAGCGTCGACGCGCAATGGTCGCAATCCCCCTTTGGCGTTGTGCTGAAGCTGAAGGCGGAGAGAGCCGGCCACGGCACGAACACAGAAGCTGGCTGACTACCAAACGTCCTGTCCTGCGACAAATGCCTCGGGGCGGTGCCGTCAGCCCTGGGGCGGGGCTTTCGCAGGGAGGGGGTTCGATCGATTTGCCGTCGCCAGTCGTCGGGAGGGGCCTGGACTCGTCTTCTGTCTCTGTCGGTCGGTCGGTCGGGGGGGGCGGTCGCTGGCGAGGGAGAGCGAGCGGACGCAGGAGGAGGAGCGGGGAGGAGGAAGAAGGGCGGGAGGCGCGGCGTCGGCGGCGATGCTCGAGAAGCGACGACAAACGGGGGGAGTGGGCGGGCGATGGACAGAATGGAGAAGCAACTGGAGCGGCAGGGAGGAGAAGTGGAAAAAACGACGAAAGAGGGGGAGTGAATAATGAGCGTGCACCTAACGCCTTCAACTACAGTACATAATACGGGCACCGCACCTGCTGGCCCTCCTGTCGGTCACAGTGACAGGACCCGACGCTGGCTGGCTGGCTGGCTGGCTACCGATACCCAGGTTGGTCCCATCCGTCCTTTTTAGCAGCCGCACAGTCCATCAGCCCAGCCGGAGCAGGGGTCCAATCCCGGTGGTGGTGGTGGAGGATGCTGGTGGATGGTGCGTCTGGCTGTGGGTGGGCGCCCGACGGTGGACGGGCGGCTGGTAGCAATTGGTAGGGGGACGAGTGGGTGTGTGCGAGCATGTGGTTGCGGCCGCCGGGGCTGGGGCGACAGGCGTGTGCATTGCAGGCAATATCAGGCAAATGCAGCTGAGCCTGGCTTGCCTGGTATTTGCTTGCCTCGGCCTGCATGGCGGTTGTGGCAACGCGTCTTCCAAGGTTTCCATCAAATTGGTTTTGTCGCCTGGGCATCTGATGGGCGGCCGCTCCGCGCAGCTCCAGTTGCTGCTGCAATGCGCCTCCAGCCCAGGCCTATGGAACTTTCACTTCTGGCACTAGCACCACCTCGCCGCGGCCAACATCGAACCTGGAAGGGGCGCTCCAGCGCCCAGGCGGGAAAGGAAACCTGCTGGAGGCCGAGCCAGACCAGATCAGACCAGACCAGACCTCGCCTCGCCTCGTGCGGTCCTGGAACCGCCGCGGCGAACGCGAACACATCTGCGCAGAGGCCACCTCCCAAGCCTCCCTCCTCCACTCCCTGTGCGCCAGGAATCCAAAGACAGGTTTGCCCAGAGTGGAGCTTCCATCGCCTTCTGCTCCAGCACCCCACGGCCCTGGGATGACGCCCACCCCGCTGCCGCCAATTGGCGGGCGTCCCAGGCTGGCGGCGGGCGCATGGGGGGAAGCCCCTGAGGGGCGGGCTCCATCCGACTCCATCCCTCCAAGCCGTCCAGCGGTGCAGGGGCAGGCGGGGGGTGCAACGGTCGTCGGACGTCCTGCTGCGCGTCTGCACTCAATCAGAGGTGTCCGTGGGCGAGTGGCCACAGGAACACATGGGTACGCATTGCCCTTTGGATGGATACGATCTTATGAATGGACTGCCGTCGCGCAGCAACAAGGTGTCGCGGCGCGTGCGCCGGTGGCCTATAATCTAGCATTGCCTACACACACCGTTGGCCACCGAGAGCGCATCTCTGCGCGCGTGCTCTGCGGCTCGTATGATTGAGAGCGCCGATTCCGTGTCATCCTTTATGCGGGCATGGCGACACAAAATTGACTCGTGCCGTGCTGTGCGGTGCTGCATGGTGCCTCTGCGCAACGGCGCCTGGCGCTAGGTAGATGGCGTCGCGCCACGCTACGAACAGGATCCCGTTGCGCAACGGGCCACCTCACTTGCTGCTACAGTAGGTACTGATGGATCCAGCATCTGGAGCGCCTGACTGCCCTGAGGTTCGCCCGCCCGTGGGGCCATGGCGTCCGTTGGTCCCTGCTGTCGGCCGCCGTCGAATTTGACGCAAAAGAAACACGCCGCCCGCTTTGCGTCGGTTTCCCTTGCGCGCGAGCGCGCGCGTGAGTTGCGTCTTTAGCACGCAGATGCTATCTTCATCACACTGCAGTTCCCAATGTAGGACGTGCCCAGAGCGGCGCCGGACGCGAGGGGCCAAGCGCGCGTGTTATCGAGCCCGACGGGAGTGCGGGACGGTTGGAGCTGGAACGCTGCAGGGTCCCGCGCCCCGGGTTTACAGCGGACGATGAGCGCCCAGCTTCAGTAAGCTTCGAGCTTGCCTTGCGTAGGTTGAACGCCAAGTTGGGATCTTGGCGGCTTCAGGGCCCGAAGAACCTAACGAAACCCTAAACAACTTGGCCCTGGAATTCGCCCGCCCTGTGAACCGCCTCCGAGAACTGGCCCTACGTATGCGCCGCTGTCTACCGATAACACGGCACTCATCTCTCGTCTTTGTTGGTTCTCTATCCCCCCCCCCCCCTTCGGGTCCGTGCAAGATCCGTGCCCCACCCCGTGGCCCGGCCGCCTGCCTGCCCCTCCCTCCCCCTCCCTGCGCTTCTTCTCCCCTCCACCTTTTTGCCCATCGCCCTTGCACCGCTTCCCTTCCCTTTGAGCAAAGAAAAAAAAACGTCGCCGCACCACCACACACACACACACACCCGCGCTCCACGCATCCATCCACAGCACCGCAAGGCATGGATGGGCCCTGCCAATCCATGCGCTCGCATGCCCATGAAACGGCCCCGGGGATCCCGCGCCGGGCCTGCAGCGGGCGCTGGCTGCATTGCATTGACGACGCGGGGCTCCGGCAGGGGATGCCATGTGCCGCGCCCGCGTCCCTCCTGGAGACTTGGACGATCGATGCATCCATCAACCCCCTGCTTCTCCTTCATCGACAAGACTGTGATCGCCCAACCGCCCACGCCTCCGCTTGTGTTACCGATCCGATGCTCCCGTCCCAGCCCAGCCCAGCCCAGCCCAACCTGCCCAGGTGAGGCCGCCGGCTCCCCCGTCCCACGTAGATTGCGCCACCATCATCACCCGTCGGGCTGGGCCTCCCATACATGTACCTGCCACATCCCCTCGTTTGCCGCCAGTCCCTGCTTGCAGAGCTGCACAATGCAAGTCTGATGCAGGCACAGAAGCAACCGGTAGGTGCGAGCTCATCGCGCCAAACGGCTTCGGCTGACTACGAGCCGGGAGCACACCCTCCGTCCCACCACACTCAGCGGTTGCGACACGGCATCCCGCCTCGTCGTCCCACTCCCTGATGTCGTCCAAGCGCTAAAAGAGAGCACGGCACGTTGCGCCACGGCGTGGGCCAAAAAAAAAAAATCGAGCACAATGCCGCGTTTCACCACACCTCGCTAGCAATTGCCGCCATTCCCGGATGGCAGCTCATGCCGAGTAGAGGAAGCGGAATCTTGCGCTCCTTTGCAGTTCTAATCATATACCGTTGTGTCAACATTCTCCTGCGTCTCTTGCCAGGGCCTGGGAACTTCAAGGCCTGCTCCACAGGTAGGCCGTTGACAATCCCCGGGTTCCGAGGGCCTCTGCGTTCCTCGTGACATCTGGCATCCATATTTCGTCACCGCGGCGCAGCCTTTGTCACTGACACATCGATGGCCGTGCTGTGATTGCTCTGACTAAGTCGTCGTAAATGACGTATGCAAGCCCCGGGTTCGGTCATGCGTCGTCGCTGTCTCATAGATGACTCTACGGGGAAGACAATCAGTTATGCTAGTTGCTGTGCCGTAGTGACACCCGGCACCTTCGACGGTTTGCGTCTGGACAAAGGTCTGCGCGTGACCGAGCCTGGGACTTTGTTACGTCTCTAATCTCACTGTACAAGGCATTGCGGGTATTCTTATCTCGCTACGGAGAGATCTGGCAGGCACGTGCCCATGTGGACATGGACGCCTACAACATCGCTTTTTATCTTGCCAGTGAGGAACCGAGGCTGGTTCTTGATGCTGGGGACTGACATCATGCCAAACGTGCATCCTGTCAAAACATGATTCAGCATCCTTTAATATCCTTGAGCCCAATCAATGCGAGGTTGAAGTACGTCATCGTGGGCCAAATGATATGCAAGTGGCCCACGCGAGGGCAGGATACAGCCAGACATTGTGCGGTCTGTATGGCACCTGTACCTGCGTCACATAGCAGGCAGGTGTCTATCGCAGCCATCTCACACCCAAGAAGGCGTATGCACTGCAACGACCGTGTAAAAGTGCGTTGTTAAAATAGCATCGCTCTTCGGCTCAAACCAGTCGTTGACTTGCAAGTATGCAATTGGGTCGCTGGCGCTTACACGGCTCCCTCACGCTCGCAGCAAGCGACAGACCCCCAATGCGGCCTGCGGGCTGTTGACAGGCTTCGATCAGGGAGCCAAGACGACATCTCCTAAGGTTCCCATGCCCTGTGGGCATACAGCGAGATGAAGACTGGCGCTTCATTGTGGCAGGTGTAGCGGCCTCCATCTGCCCATCCGTTGCGCGTGCAGCTCAAAGGCAAAGGGGTATTGAACGAATCGTGTCAACGCTGGTGGCCTCCAGAACGCGCAAACATTCCCCTGGGTTGACAAGGCAATGCTGTTGTCGATAAACCACAGAAGCTCACGGGACGGGGGATATAGTACTGGCGCCTTCGCTCACCCTCCTTGCCCCCTGAGGAGCATCACCCATGCCTCCGATCCTGGATCCTGTCCGTGCCCACGCTCGTTCGCTTATGGCGCCTCGCCCTCGATCTTCCCTCGTCGCCTAGGACCATAAAGGGCGGTATTCGATACAGCAGCAGCAGCTTCTTCTTTTTTTAGGTGCTCTCTCCTATTTCCCTTCCCGCGCAATGATGAAAGGTCCGAGACCCAAGCTCGACAATCTCTTTAGCTCATAAACTGGCCATGGCGTCTGTGTATCAGGGTCAAGCAGTGTTTCTATTATTTTATCATCTCCCATGACGTCCATACCTACTTCTTCTCCTTGGCCTTCTCAATCTTGGCAATAGTCCGCTCCACGCCCTCCTCGTCCTTGCGGTCCTCCTCCTCCAGCTTGACGTTGCGCATGAACCACATGATGAAGACATTTGGCGCGCATATGCATGTCGCGACGATGCCCAGGATGCGCTGCGACTCGCGGTAGCTCTGGTCGATGGCGGCGCGCGCAGGCGTTCCCGCGGGGTACTTTTGCGCGACGACAATGGACTGGAATATTTGCAGGGCGCTCTTCTTGTCCTTTTCCGGGAGGTAGTTGAGGAGCTTGTCGGGCAGGGTGTTGCGCCAGATGGCTCCAGAGATGCTAATTGGGAGTGAAAGTCAGCAAGGAGTTCCGTCGACAACAGAGATTCTCCCTTTTACAATCTCTCACCAAGCGGATGGGCGGCAAAGGGGGCTATGCAGTAACACTCACCTCGTTCCGATGGCGGCGCCCACGCTGTTGGCGGCCTGGAAGATTCCCGTCGCGACGGCAACCTCCTGGCGCGATACGACGGCCTGGACCGAAACCTGCGCAGCCGTCTGCCAGAGGGCGCGGCCTATGCCAGAGATGACTTTGGAAGCGATAAAGGCGGCCTCACTACCGTATCGTCCGTCGCCCATGTCCACCAGGTAGATCATGATGCCCTGTCCGAGGATGACGAGCGGCGGGCCTGCGAGTGCCCAGTAGTGCGCGTTCTTGGTGTACTTCATGCCCACGGCGACGAAGAGGCCAGAAATCTGGAATGCCACTCGCAGAGAGTTGCTATGCGTCTGTGTCAGTCCATCATCTCCCCAGTTGCCTGTCACAGTCCAGGTGCCCACGCAGGGCCAGGAAAAGGGAGGAGGGGGGCTTGAATGTGGATGAATACACGTACTCAATCCGCGTTGCTTTTGCCGGCGAGAAGTGGCCGGCGACCTGGAGATAGCTCGGGAAGAAAATGGTGAAGAGGCTATACTCCATGAAGTCAAACGTCTGGATGAGACACGCGACAATGACGGTGCGATTGGCCATGTGCGCGGGGATGTAGGGCTTCTTTGCGTAGCGAATGTCCCAGACGAGGAACGCCAAGAAGCAGACGACACCGACAACGAGCATGGCGATGAAGCTGCCCTCGCGCCAGCGGCCCGGGTTGAAGGACCCCGTCAACGACACGGGGATGAGGATGAGCGACAGCCCCGTCACGAGTAGCACCAGTCCCGCCAGGTCAATCTCCGTCCACACGAGGTGCAGGACCTTCTTCCACGCAGGACTGTCGGGCGCGCAGCCGGCGACGCTGGCAAGGGACTTGGCGACGAGGCCGTGGCGGCGGGCGCGGCGCTGCAGCACGACCATTGTAGCGATCAGGGGGATGGCGACGACGGGCACGACGATGGCCCACGCGCCGTAGGACCAGCGCCAGCCGGCTTTGGTCAGGAAGCCCTCGCCGATGAGGCTACCGAGGTAGAGGGCGGGGATGGTGGTGATGGACTCGGGCAGCGTGGACCAGAAGGCGCGGTTGATGAGGTTGGTGGCGTCGGCGATGAAGACTTGCTGCGTGAGCCCGAAGCCCGTGGATCCGACTGCGTCAAATAGTCCTGCGGCCTGGTTGTATGAGATAAGGGGTTAGCATGTTTGCGCATCCATCACCCTGGTGGTATGTTGGCGTCGGCGCGTTCAGGGGATGATTGGAAATTAGGGGGGGGTTCCCACAAAGTAGGCTCCAATGTCGGCGCTCGTGGCATAGACGATGAAGCTCAGCGTCTGGAAGACGATAGACAGGGTAAACATTTCGGCGCGGCCAAATACCTGAAGGTTTGGGTTCCGGAGTCAGCATCGTGTACGAAGATGAAGCGTTCTGCTGCCGTCCTCCCATCAGTGTGTTACTTACATCGCTCAGCTTGGCAATGATCGGGTACGCCACGATGCGGGTAATGTTGATGACGACGTGCGCAGCGCTCATGAATGAGTGCTTCTTGAATGCGCTCGTGACGTACGGCTGCAGCACCGAGTGCGAGTAGTCGGAGAAGGTGATGACGAGCGTCGTCAAGAACAAGCTGCTCTCCTGATCAGCAACTTGTAACGGAATAATGGCAGAAGCTCCAAAGCCAAACAAAGAGGAATAACATCGGGATCGAACGCACGCACCTGGTAAAGGCAATGAGCAGCGTCGTGCGCGACCACGCCTTCTTCAAGATCATGGCCTTTTGCACGCCCGCCTGCACGAGACTCGACTCGCTGTACACGGACACGGCGTCGCCGCCGCCGGCCGGTCCCCCATCTCCATCCCGCCGCGCCTCTTCCACGTCGACGACGGCGGCGCTCTTCTTTTCGCCGGGAACGTCGACGGCCGCGGCTGCGGGCTGGTGTTGCGGCTCGCCTGCGCTGTCGCCGCCTTGCGGGCGGATGCCGTGGTCGTCGTCCGCTGCCATGATGGAGAAATCTCACAAAAACAACGAGATCTGCGGAAAGCAGAAAATCGTCTTCGCGTTTCTTCGACGTGGACACGAAGACTTTCTTCCGGACGCCGGACCCCTGCGCAGGTGGAAGGGGGGGTCACACTCGTGTTATAGTCGTCTTGAGCACCTGCTCACTTGCCGTCCCTTCGGACTTACACGCGCCCAGCGGTGCGGCTACGGTCCACCTACCGGGCGGCCAAGCTGCCAGCACGGCGAAATATCCCTCGCCCTCGCCCCAGAGACTCAACCTGAAGAGAGAAGACGAACCACCCTGGGGCAGGTCTACCTACGGAACGACACGAACATGGGCCGACCGGACGGCCGCTAGCCCGCGAGACCTTGGCCGGCCGCACTGCCAGTGGAGGTGCCCGCCTCAGTTCCAGCGAGTGAGGTCTGGCGGGCGCCACTCCCACCTCCCATCCCCACCACGCCATGCAGCGGGGACCAGCCAGCCAGGGTTTATGGTTAACAACAAGGTGGGAAGAGCGCTAGAAATTTTTATCAATCTAATCTCTGCCCACCCATCGCATCAGATCAGGACTCCCCCCCGTCGGAAGTCCCTCGGGCCAGCACGCCTACTCGCTCCCCAGTTGGTCGGGTTGCGGCGGGGACCCCCCGTCTCTTTCTCGCCTCGCCCGCCACGAGGGACCTGGGCCCGGCTCATGGCCGAGAATGGCAGCTCGTGCAAAGTGGAAACCCACGGCCGCGTGGCCGTCTAGATTTTCCCCTTCATCCCGGTGATGTGTTGCACATGGAGCAACCTATCTTTCGTGTATGGAACCCTGGATGGCTCTGGTCCACCCGAACCCATGCGTAAACGGCGTTGCATCCCGCTGTGCGGGCGGGGCCCGTCTGCGTTCAAGACAAAGTTCCTCCGTCTTACGGAGACGTCTCGCCTCGCGAACCGAGACGACAACCCTGTTGACGGTGAGGGGACCTTTGCCACCGCGGAGCATCCCGTCCTGACTGCGCAACGGCCGTGGTCGGCTATACATACATACCTTGTTGTCACCTGGTGCACCTGGGTCCCATGTTGCAGCTCGAAGCCTTTCCTTTCGGCATCCGCCGTCGGATCCACGGCCGATCAAGTGCATCGCCAAGGACGAACCCACCCACACGTGAACACTGCCTCGCTCCATCAGCAATGTTCGATTGAAAATTGAACGCATGATCTTCACCACGCGAATTTGACCAGGCGGCCAGGTCTCCAATGCTCTGCTCAATCGCCATATTTGATTTGAAGAAGTACTGTCTGCTCTAGCTGGGCTATTCTTCGCTACATCCAAGCAGAACGCGTGCCTAATACAACTCCATACGCCAGTCATGCCGACCGTCTATGCCTCAACTATGCTTCGGCGTCGTGAGCCCCTACTGGGGGTGAATTGTGTCGTGTGTCGAATCGGAATGGTGTCATTACGGTCATCGTCGACGCCCGCTCGTCCCCATGCCCTCATGTACTCTGTTGCTGTGTATTAATATTCATGTCCGCCGACCTGCTCATTCACGCAGACCGGTCAAGCCCAAAATTGCCACGTCCCGGTGGACGTGGAGAATTGCTTTTGTTGCATGGCTGCCATCCGCCGAGGCCCACCAGACACTGGCTCGGCCTCGGTCGCAGGCGGAGCCGTCGTTCACGGGTATCAAAGCACATTGTCGAACGCCCATTACGCGAAGTGGACCGAGTCCAGCGAGAAAAACGGCATCATGTCGAGCCAGACAAGGAAAAAGGGGGTGGGGCCAAGAGAGAGAGATGACAAACTTCAAATCTGCCCCTTGATGTCGACTTTGCTGAAGGCCGTGGCCCGGAAACTCTCAAAGAGAGAGCCGGCCTTGCCCGCCAGGAACGCGATGTGGTCCTGACGGTCCTCGAGGAGATGCTGGCCTTGATGATCGATGATGAACTGAGCAGCATCGGCATCCGACTCGAAAGCAAGCTCCTCGGTGATGAAGCGCAGCTTGACATCGGGCTTGTAACTGCGAGACAGTCAGTACGTAAGAATAGACACGCGGCTTCACCGGGAGGGCAGCTCTTACCTCTTGCAGATGTTGCTCATGGCCGCAAGGCGCTCCCGCACGACAAACATATCCATGAGATATGCGCCCATGTTAGGGGTGTCCAGGTAGAGCTGGAAAAACTTGTGATAGTTGCCAAGGGCGAGCGCCGACCGCACGTTCAGGGCGTGCTTGATGGGGCGCTCCTCCTTCTCTGCTGTGGTTAAGTCTGCCAAGATGTCGTTCAACCCGGAGCGGTTGGCGGTGTGGATGAAGTACAGGATGCGGTACGCCTTGAACTCATGGGGGTGGCCCTTGAGGCCGAGGCCGTAGAGGGATCGAAGCTGTGTCTGGCACTGGTTATACTCACCGATGTCCCCCTTCTCCAAGGCAATGCGGGCGTGGATCTCGTAGACGGAAACAGTAAAATCATTCTTAATGTGTTGCACCGTCAAGTCCTGGCGCATCGACTTGAACTGGTCGCAGATGTATGAGTAGTTACCCTCATCGCGCCACTTCTTCTTAAGAAGATCGAGCGTCTGGCGGAGCACCTTCTCGGGACGAACATTGGACGCCACGGGCGGAGCAGTAAGGCGAAGGTACCGCTTCTCCAGCGTCTCGCTGGTTCCAACGATGGGTCCAGACGAGTGCGCCGTTGGGCTTGGCGAGCGGTACACGGCTTTGTACTCGCTTTCGAAGCGGCGTTTCCGCTTGCTGGCCGCGTCCTTCGAAAACTTACTTTGTTTCGCCGAGGTTTCTGTCGCAAGACGCTTGTCGTTGGCCGGGTATGAGACGCGGTCCTCGAGTGACCCACGAAGGTTAGCAGTGCGCCACGGCGACTTGGGCCCGTCTCCCTCGGCATATTCAGACGACTTTCTCTTCTTGGACTTGAGAGTTCCGGATGCTGACGATCCGGACACGGCGTCGCCCTTGGAGCGCGCGTCACGCTCGGCCTTGACAAGGGCCTGGGGTAGGGGGGTGTTGTCCCAGTCAATCGTATACAGGGTGCCGTTCTCCTTGGCCACGCCGATAGTTTCCTTCAGCTTGTTCTCTACTTCTGCACGGGGAACCGTCGGGTCTTCATTTTGTGGCAGGAAGGAGCGTTGAACATAGCGTCGAACAGACTCGGGCCAGTCAGTCTTTCCTTTGGGCTGTTGTGATGCAGCTGGCGGGGCTGGAGGAGGCTGCTGGAGAGCGGCGGCGGCGGGAGGGGGTGGGGGCGCGTAGCCGGTAAACGGTGGAGGAACTGGGGCTGGGAAGTGGCCAAAGCCCTGGCGAACTTGGACGGGAACATAGGCTGGATCTGTCTTCATGTTAGCAGCTGCATTCCGCGGCGATAATGGCAACAAGCAGGAAGACGCACTGGATGGATACGCATACGACGCGGGCGTGGATGGTTGAGGGACGCCCGGCGCTTGCTGGGCAGCCGCTGGCCACCCGGGCATCATCTTGGCGAGCGGGCTGCCAGGACAGAGGTTAGTGATTTACGAGGATGGCCGTCACAGGATCGAGCCTTGTTCGGTGTTGCGGGAGATGCAAAAGGCTCGCGGGCGAGATGCCGGGTTGTCGTGACGATGGCGGTGATGATGTCGGTGGTTGTGTGGTTACGAAAAGTTGAGGGAGCAGATTGAGGAGCGCGCATGCTGTTTGTCAGGGCTGAGTCGGGCGGCGGTGGCACAATCCGGTCCCGTGACTCTAGAGCGGTCAATCTTCGGTTAATAAGTACCCAAGATGCGGCCCCACTATAGGTGGCTTCACTGGTCGCGCAGGGGTGGGCGCCTTATCTCATGGCGGGGCCAGGCGTCTCAACGACCAGCGACAGAGGATGCATGGCTTCTACAACGGTGACGATATCGAGGACGCAGCCACACCACTATTCCTCTAGACCGGAGACCCGTTGCAATCCGTTTCAGCTTCAGCTTCACGACCTGCCACGCGCCGCACATCTATTAGACGCACCCATCCGGTCGCGCAATCCCTCGGCGCCTCATCGATGCCACGTCTAATGTGCTTCCCCGCCGCGGATTGACGGCCCTACATCTCCCATCTGACGCGCGTTCGCTCCGACATGACGAATGTTTTTAAAACACATCGACCTGACTACCGCGCTGCGGCCTTCCTACCTACCAGATGAGGTGCTGTTGTTCGTGCAAGACAACGTCGGCCTCTACGAGGGGTATGTTGCGCACAAACCCCCGCAAGTGCGCCTATGTCAACATCGGCTAACGTCGCGTGCGTAGCAAATACAAGCTTCCGAACCAGCAGAACGGCCAGGTCTACCTGACTTCACATCGAATATGCTACGTCGACAAGCTCGAGCCTCGCGCCAACTCGGTTGCGCTGGAGCTCAAGGAGGTTGACCGATACGAGTTCTACGCCGGCTTCCTCAAGTCCTCACCCAAGGTGACCATCGTCCCGAAGCCGTCTAAGCGCTCATCACTTCATGGGCGGGCTTTATCCAACGCGGCCTCGCCGTCAAGGACGGACTCTGCGTCACCGGCACGCAGAGACAGCGCGTATCGGCCACCGACGGAGCCGCCTCCTATCACGACGGCAACATGGGTTTGCACCATCTGCAGCTTCTCGAACCCGATCCCAGTGAACTTTGACCCGCAAGCCGCCAATGCCCATACACCGCTGCCGCCGTGCCTGGCATGCGGCATCAAGCCCACGCTCTCACATGTTCTGAAGGCGGCCATCACCAACGCCAGCAACCGGCCAACGCCTGCGCCCCCAGCCCAGGGCTCGCCCAGCCTTGCACTGCGACCCATGTCCACGGACAGCGTCTTGCAGCCGACGCCAAGCAACAGTCTCCCGTCAATAATGGAAGGCAGCGCAAGACCCAGTGCAGAATCCGGTGCCTCGTTTCAGTGCCCGCGGTGTACCTTTTCAAACCACCCGTCTCTCCTGGCCTGCGAGATGTGCGGAGCATCTCTGGTATCCCGAAATGTCTCCACCCTTCCCTCGGGGCAGCCCGTTGATGAGATAAGAACACAGTCTCCCGGACCGGTTCTAGATTCGAAAAGCAGGAATGGGCGGGGAGGCATTGACGTTTCCGACAGTGTCAAGATTTCCTTCCGGGGCGGTGGCGAAAAGATATTTCACGAGCGGCTCAAAGGTGCCATGACACAGCGCAAATGGCTACTTCAAAACGCGCCGCCAGCGCCGCGGGGTGGCCGCATCATAGACGAGCCTCTCAGCAACGGGTCAGCCCACGGACAATCCAGCCCCAGGACGAAGACGGCTGGCATCGCGGGCCTGGAGCAGCTTGGACTCAACATGCGTAAGAACAACGAGCTGCTCATTGGCAGCGCATTCGAGGATCTGGAAGCACTGATGGCCTCTGCCAAGGAGGTGATCGCCTTGGCGGAGCGGTTTGCCCGGCAGAGCGGTGCAAATGGCGGCGTGTCTGCCGAGGAAAACGCCATCTTGGCCGAGTCCGCAAGCCAACTCGGCTTGGTGACGACAAAGGACATCGTCGGAGGCGGCAGCTCGGAGTCGCTGTACCTGTCTGAGCTGGCTCGCAACATGGCCGAGTTCCTAGCCGATGACTCGAGAGGCGTCCTGAAGAAGGCGGGCGGCATCATCACGCTCGTCGACTTGTGGGCCATGTTCAACCGGGCGCGGGGCGGCGTCGAGCTCGTCAGCCCCATGGACTTCGAGAAGGCCGCCCGCCTGTGGGAGAGCCTCAAGCTGCCCGTCCGACTGCGCACCTTTCGCAGCGGCGTCATGGTGGTGCAGGGCCGCGACCGTACCGACCAGACGACCATCCGGGCGCTGCTGTCCTGGTTGCAGGATCTGCACGAATTCCCGCCCGAACGCGACGTGCCGTGGGAGTGGCGCGAGTTCGGGCGCGGCGTCACGGCGCAGGAGACGGCCGAGCGTTTCGGGTGGAGCATCGGCGTCGCCGAGGAGGAGCTGCTCATGGCGGAGGAGCACGGCGCGCTGTGCCGCGAGGAGGGCATCGAGGGGCTCAAGTTTTGGAAGAATTACATCGACACGGGGGACGTGCGACCGCCCAAGAGCCACCAGCAGATGGAGGCCGAGGCCGTTATACGGTCGCTCAAGGACAGCGGCTTCATATAGACGACTACTAGGCATACGCGGAGCGGGCGACATTTTAACCGGGAGACGTCTTGTACACGCCATCTCGTGTTTCGCATCAACACAGATAACAAATAGGAGCATGTCAAACATGTAATCATTAAATGGCCAGAGGTATGCTGGCCTCGTATCGTCCAACCGGAACTCCGCCGTGAATACAAAAGGTCCTGAGGATGCGCACCCCATGTGGTGCCCGTCAGGGCCGAGTCCAGGCGAATGCCTAATCAGTTCATGGCTGTACCAAATTGCAATGTGCTCCGACACCTCCCAGTAACTCCAGTAGCGCCATGCCCTTGTGCTCAAACACCTACTGTAAACCGAAAAACGTCCCGCCAGCCTCACACGCCGTGCCGACGTCTCGTGGTGCAAGGGCTCAGTCATGGCGGCAGATGTGGCTCTCTCAAACGACGACATGCGTGGACATGTGCTCGACTGCCTCCTTAATGGTGCGCAGCATGCGCTGGTTGACGCAGAATGGGCATCGCAGCGGGCGTTCATGGCTGGAGACGGGGCCGTCGGAATGGATCGGCGTGAGAGTCAGGTCAGTGCCCATATCATGCCCAGGCGTGGCATATCGCGGGTCTGAAGACGATGCCCTGCCGGGGCCAGGGGTAGACATCATGGTCTGCGGGGGCGGGACCTGCATGCCCACGCCTCTCTCCTGGCGCTCGCGCTCCTCGCGTACCGCGGCAGCCTGCTCTTCGGCGGCCTGTTCTTCCTGCTGCAGCTGGCGGAGTGCGTTCTGCAAAACCACCTCCGGGTCGTCCTCTGCATACATCGGCTGGTCCTGCGGTGGCGGAGGCGGCGGTGTCGGCGGATCGGGCGGCGGGGGAAGGTGCGTCATGGGAGGTGCAACGTGCGCGTGCGAGGAGGCACCGCCCAATCTGCGGACGACCTCGTCGCGGACGAGCGCGCAGGTGTTGAGTGTGGCCTCGACGCCGACGACGCGCAAGACCTGCTCCTTGATAGCGGAAGGGTTCGTATCGGGGTGGATGGCCATGACGCGCGGCACGCAGTCTGCCAGGTACTCGATGTCCTCGGCCGGGTCGATGGCGTCGTCGCCATGGCGCCGCTGCCTCCTGACGAGCAGGCCGTATCGCTTCTTGAACCGGTGAATCCAGCCGGGGGAGAACTCGGGAGCGCTCTCGTCTTTGTAGCGCGGTAGCTGGCCGAAGATGGACTTTGCTTTGTCGCCAAGTTCCTCGTTGGTGGGCTGCCGGCCAGATGCCTGAACCTGCTGGTACCACAGGAGGACGAGCTTCTCGACGTCGGGCCAGTTGCCGAAGCGCAGACGCGAGCCCGACAGCTGAGGATTGTCGCCGTCGAGGCGCGAGTACTTGGGGGAGAGGGAGTGCGAGACGGTCGACTGGCTGATCTGCTGGCCGTACTGGGCCCAGAACCACTCGATGCATGCTTTATGGGAAGGCCGGACCGGCTGCGCCCCGGCCCAGCGACGCAGGGCGCGACGCTGGTCGAGGGTCAGCGAATGCCGCTCCTTGGGGCTGTTCGTGCTGGCGGAAGACGCGGCGGCGGCCGCGGCGGCGACATGCTGGGCATGTTGCTGTGCGAGGTCCGCGGCGGTGGCGGCGACGAGCGCCGGGTCCGTCGTGACATCCGTCATGGCATTAGGCCGTATACTCGGACTCTCCTTTAGATGATACCCACGGCGGGGGTCCTTCCCTCGGGGGGTTGCTGCTCTAGCGGATGTAATCGTTGTATCCGAACGACGCGAGGTGGGATTGTTTCGATTAAGGAGGACGCGCCGATGAGCTACGCTTGGGGGAGGTGGGCGAAGGTGGGGGGTGGCTGGGCTAGTTTTGCAGAGTTGGAGAGTGGTATCACGTGACTGTGTGTCTTGCACAGGCATAAACTCGGCTGTTACATGTCGGGTCGGCTAACTCGATCGGAATGCGCCCCTTGCGCATTTGGATTATTCGATTGCGAGGCATGTTCGATAAAGACTGGAGGAATGTATTCCGCTTGTCAGGGAACCGTATGCAATTGACTTTGCTAGCGTATCTGTCCGAGTGGTTCTATGGGGGGAGTTTGGCACAGTTCAAGACACGAGAACACTAAGCCAACACCCGCCCAACAGCTTCCGGGGATGAGACGGATAGTTGGTCAACGACAGCTGCCCAAACTCCTCTGCTGCATAAGTTGGCGGTTTTCTCAGGGGTCTTCCCAAGATTCTATGGAAGGGCATTGCTACTGGTCAATGGCTTGACTGGCTGCCTAGTGTCCTGTAGCGCAATGGTCTACCGCGTCACGGAGTCATGGGACATGTCGTGAGGAGGCCAAACCTGGCGTAGTGGACACAGATTCTCGGGTACACGATGCAATACCGTGTGAGAGTGGGTAAAAGCAGCCATCATTGGCTGACAGCCACTGAGAGTTGTCGAGGCGCAAGCAGCAGAGTCCGCCTCACGCACATTTGGAGCCATGCATTTGGTATGGAATCTGATGTCGCTCAAGCCCCAAAGACACCGCGTTGCTTTCAATTCAACAGACACTTCTGTGGCCACGTCAAATCTAGTCAATGCCTGGACCGCCAGGTCCTCTGTATTGAGCGAGCAGATCGCCACATGCTTCTATATGTACACCGGTCGTGTCGTACAACGCCCACCTCGTCGCCTCGCGTTCCCCGCTTACTGCTTCTTCTCCTGCTCCTCCATGAACTTCCTGTCGGCTTGTCAGCAATCCGTCTCGACGCAATGGCCGTCGGGATGTCGAAATCACGCACTTGATGAAGTCGGCCTCGTCGGAGCTCGAGGCGTTGATCGGAGGGGTGACCTTGTCAGCTGCAGCCTTCTTGGGACCAGACATGGCGTAGTAGGTGCCGCCGAAGAGGGTAGCGAGCCAGCCCATGGCAATCTGCGACGATTCGTCAGTCTCGTGCTTGGGAGCCGTCGACATCCGGCGAGCCGGCGAGGAGAGGCAACGGACGTGGTGGCTGCCGAGGCGCATGCCCGCAACGTTGTAGTAGGCGACACCGGCCATCGTGATCGATTGAGTCTCGGTGTGGAGGATCGGAGGAAGTGGGTTGGCGGGGGGTTATTGATGCGACGAGGTTGACTCTGTTGACGAGGGTCGCGGGAGAGCTCTCAATCTCAAATTCCGCCCCGAGCGACTCCAGTGCCTGGAATTGCAGGCCGAAAAACAGCCGGGTGGAGCGGGTATAATTCGGCCGGGGTTGGTGGAGCGCTGCCCCAGCTGTAGGGTAAGCAACTTAGCACGACTTGTAGATTGTAGCGCTGCCGACGTCACAGGCTCACAGCGACCTGTCCCGCGCTCGCGGCTGTTCCCGAAGCCCGATGCTCCCGCACCAGCAGCCACCCCCCAGCTGCCTCGATCTCCTCGCCACGTCGTAGGCGATTCTACATCGACAGCGACCCGTTGCCCATCTCCAAAGACATCTCCAGCTACTGCTACATCACAATGCCTTGGTGGGGCAAGTCCAAGGAGGAGCCCAAGCCTGAGCAGGCTCAGGACAACAGCACGTCAGCCAGCTCCTCCTTCGATCCGCACAAGCTGCCCCCGAGGGAACGTCTTCCCAAGGGGCTTCAAAAGATTGTCGACAAAGCCGATGAGGATGGCAGGCTCTATGAAGACCTGCGCGAGGGATAGTGAGTGCTCCGACATACTGTGCCACGGCGCATTTAACTGACGCCTGCAGCGCTCGCCCGTCCACCGACACCAACCTTCGCTATGCCGCCTACGCCACACGACTACGAACGATCCTACTCTCAGCGCACCGCTACGTTGCGTATACGTCGGACATTGGCGAGTCGTTCCGGCCGGTGGCGCACCCCTACATGGTGCGGACGGCGTACGGCATCTCGTGGATGTACATCCTCGGCGACGTTTCGTACGAGGGCTATAAAGCGTACTGGCACAATCAGCGTATCCTCAACCCGCAGCTGCAGCTCACGCCGCATCAAGAGAAGGTGACTGGACTGCCGGCGGAAAGTCCAGCGCCCGAGGATGCGAAGCCCGGGAGTGTGTCGCCCCTCGAGGACTGGCGGACCGTCATGGTGCAACGAGGCATCTTTCAGAGCGTAGCGAGCATGGGTCTGCCGGCATTCACGATCCACAGCGTGGTGCGGTATTCGGGACGGGCGATGAAGAACGTCAAGAACGTGACTTTGCGCACGTGGGCGCCCATTGGGCTTGGCCTGGCGATTGTGCCTTTCCTGCCAGCCATGTTTGACGAGCCAGTCGAGCACGCGGTCGAGTGGGCCTTCCATCGAGGCTTCGAGACGTTTGGCGGCAAACAGGCCGTAGGAGACGCGCCCAGGACGGGGCGAGAAAGGGTGCTGAACCAGAAGGTGATCAAGGACGAGTAGGCTGGGCGTCGAGGAGTTTGTTTGTGTGTGTGTGTGTGTGTAAATGTAGATTCTGCTGGCGTCCAAGGCGCAAGACGCTCGACTCTTTTCACTCGGTATGGAGACCAGGACCCCTCTGTAGCTCATGATGCAAAACATACGACGATATGGTTCATGGGGATCATGTGTGGATACGCTATCTTGGCGGCCACGGGACACATCGCCCTGGGCTCCAGCTTCCATTGCTTCATGTTCTGGTTCCAGCGCTGCCTGTGTGGCTTGGCCAGTGCGCGGGCCCCTGTGAGGGGAGGGGTCGGTCTCCTGAGCGCTCCACGTCGTTGCCCCGCGATAGGCGGGCTCGACTCTCATCTCACCCGCCTCAATCTGCACTCAGCATTGCTCCCTACTGACAACCTAAAATAAGCTTCGAACCGCTCATTTGGGCACGAGCACTGCGGCTTGCGGCACTGCGCCCGGTTTTAACGGCCCCTCTCGGCCTTTGCGCGCTGTGAGCTCGCCGCCGACAACGCCGGAGCCTGCGTAAGCGTGGGAGACTTCCAGACGGTTCCAGGCTTCGCCGCCTCGCGCAGCAACCGCCACAGCCGGCCAGCACTGACGACGCTGCACTGCCTGCGCGTCTACGGGCTACGACGAGGGATAAAACGGATTCGACCTCTCGCAGTCCATCATGGCGTCCTCATCGAATTCAGACGTCGACGACACCAGCTACGTCATGCGCGACAAGACAGACGCCACCCTCGTCGGCAAGCACTGCCAGTACGAGTACTGCAACCAGCTCGACTTCCTCCCCTTCCTCTGCCAGTCATGCGGCAAGACCTTCTGCCTCGACCACCGCACTGAGTCGGGCCACAAGTGCGCCAACCCGGGCGCCTGGGCGCAGCGCAAGCGACAGGCCGAGCTCGCCAAGCCGTCCATCGGCCAGGGCAAGACGCTGCGAGACCGTGTCTCCCAAAAGCCCTGCGCGTCGCCCGACTGTAAGACGGTCGTCGGCACGTCGCTCACGCCAGGAGTCCACTGCGACACGTGCAACCGCGACTACTGCCTCAAGCATCGCTTAAAGGAGGACCACAACTGCAAGAACCTTGTGCCAATCGGGGCCCGTCCGTCGCCGCAGATCGACGCCGTCGCGCAAAAGACGAGATCCGCGCTCGACAAGCTGCGCGCATGGGGCTCGGCCAAGCGCGAGCAGGCCGAACGCGCCCTGCCGAAACCTAAGCCTAGCTCCACGGCAGCACGTGTCGCGGCTACGGCCAAGCTCAAGAAGACGGCCAAGGGGCGCAAGGACATTGCCGAGGAGAAGCGTATCTACCTGTACGTCGAGGCCGAGGCGGAGACGGCCAAGGCCAAGCTGCCCAAGGGCGAGTTCTTCTTCTCCAAGGACTGGGTCGTCGGGCGGCTACTCGACGACGCGGCGCAGCAGCTGCAGGTGCAGAACATGAACAACAAGAGCTCCGACGAGAGGGACAAGCTACGCGTCTTCCATGTCGAAGGCGGACGGCTGCTCGAGTTTAACGAGAAGATTGGCTCGTCACTACAAAGTGGCAACACGGTGATTCTACTTAGGGGCGTTGGACCGCCGCCGAGTTTGATAGAGCCGTGAGTGTTTGCTGGAGTTTAGCGGGAAGGCGGTGGGAAGCGATGGTCATGACTCGGAGTTGAGCATGGATACCCATACGATAGAGGCATAACAAGCCAGCATTATTACGATTGCATGAATAAGACATCATATATAATTGGCATCTTCTTAGTTGGCTTGTGATACAACAGATAGCAATTGCAACTGGCCAAAGGAAGCATTGTTCTTGAACTTATACACGCGTTGCATAGTTCAGGGTAGCATCCGAACCCGAGCTTAAGAGGTCACGTGCTTTCGTGTTGGCTCGCGACTCAATGACGCAGAACGGGAGCGGGAGCGCCCTGCGTTCACATCAGTCCCCCATGCAACATGTGCTCCGTGGCGTTCGCGCAACGCCATGCCTCCCCACGTGCCGCGAAAGCGGCTGCGCGAGTCGCCGGTGCCTGAGCAGAGCAAGAACAGCGCAAAGGGGAAACCGCCCGGCTCGAGTCGGCGGAAGGCCACGTTATACGACGACCTCGATGCCACCGCGACCCCCTTGTCCTCAAGGCAATCCGGCTCAATTGTGCCAGGCTTTGACGAGGACGATAGCGACAGCTCTTTAACGTCATTATCAGACCAAGAGTTTGAAGATATTCCGGCGGCGAAGCGCCCGAGACTCGAGGAATCCGACGATGAAGACGACATCGAGTTCGAAGACGTGGAGGCGCCGGCCGTGTCGTCGACGGCTGTGCCGGCAGTTTCCGGTGACCTGGAACTGACGCTCAACAAAGACACTCGCATCTCGCTCACGAACCCTTTTGGCGAAAAGAAGGGGCCCACGAAGCGCGAGCGAAAAGTCCGCAATGCGACACACTGCGTCCACGTCATGTCCCTGCTCTGGCACAACGCCGTGCGAAACTCCTGGCTCTGCGATACCGAACTTCAAGCCATCATGGTGTCGCACGTCTCTCCCAGACTTTGGGACGAGGTCGAGCGATGGAGGCGCAACTCTGGTCTCGTCAAAGCCCCTCCTCCAGCAAAGGCCAAGCCGCCGGTCAAAGAACGATCAAAGGGCAAGGGAAAACGAAAGGGCCCGGCGGACCGCGAGTCTCGGGACTGGGGCTCGGACGCGACGAAGCTAGAGGAGGGCGCCGTGGACATGAGCCACGGCGACCCGCTCTTTCGGCTGATGCAGACGCTGGTGTCCTGGTGGAAGCAGCGTTTCCGGGTCACCGCGCCTGGCTTGCGGAAATGGGGCTACATGGAACTGGAGCGACTGGATCGCCTCACCAAAGGATACAAAGCGGACCCCGAAGACACGGCGAGGTACGGGGAGAGGATACTCAATCTAGAGTCATTACGCCAGTGCGCGCTCGATTGCCAAGGCAGTCGCGACGTCGGAGCACAGCTATTCACCGCCCTCTTACGCGGACTGGGAATTGAAGCGCGCATGGTTGCTAATTTGCAGTGCCTCGGCTTCGGGTGGAACAAGCTGGAAGATGCTGACCCAGAGAAAGAAGACAAACTAGCCGAGGAAGTGTCCACAGCCAAGAAGACACCAAAGAAGCCAAAGGTGAACGGCTCCAATGCCTCCAAAAAGGGGCAACAAGCGACTGCCGGCAAGTCGCGAAAGACGCGATCCTCTGACAAAATCAAGTCGGAAGACTCCGACGACAACCTCAAGCTGGAATACATGGACACCGACGACGAGTCCGTTGTGGAGGTTGAAATAACGCCCAAGAACGTACGCCCATCAAAGAAGTTTGACAACGACCTGGAGTTCTCCCACTACTGGACTGAGGTGCTGTCTCCGGTCACCACCAAGTATCTGCCGGTCGATCCCGTCAAAGGCACTATTGCAACAAACCGCGACCTGGTTGAGTCATTCGAACCGCGAGGGGCCAAAGCGGATAGGGCCCGGCAAATTATGGCTTACATCGTCGGATTCTCCCCTGACGGCACGGCCAAGGACGTTACGGTGCGATACCTAAAACGGCAGATGATGCCTGGTCGGACCAAGGGTGTGCGTATGTCCCCTGAAAAGGTTCCAATCTATAACCGCCATGGCAAGGTTAAGCGGTACGAGATGTATGACTGGTTTAAGACCGCTATGTCAGGGTATAGACGAGGGGACAGGAAACGACCTCTCACTGAAATCGATGACCAAGAGGACACGACGGACCTGAAGCCCTCCAAGCCCGAAAAGAAAGAAGTCAAGGAAGGCCAGGAAACCTTGCAGTATTACAAGCAGTCCAAGGAATTTGTGCTGGAGAGACATCTCAAGCGAGAAGAGGCTCTCAAGCCTGGCGCAGTGCCTGCCAAGAAGTTCATGAACAAGATCAAAGGCGGAAAAGTCGAGGATTTGGACGTATTTCTCCGCGCAGACGTTGTCAACGTCAAGAGCGCCGAAACATGGCACAAGCAGGGCCGAGCCCCGCTGCCTGGTGAGCAGCCACTGAAGAGGGTTCCCTATCGGGCCGCCACCTTGAACCGGAAGCGGGTGATTCTGGAGGCGGAGGCAGCCACCGGTGAAAAGGTCCTGCAGGGGCTGTACAGCTTTGAGCAGACCGACTGGATCATCCCGCCTCCGATCAAGGATGGCATCATCCCGAAGAACGAATATGGGTACGCCATTGCCTGCATTGCTTCCAAGACCCGTGCTTACCATCACGCAGTAACATTGATTTATTTGCCGAACACATGTGCCCCAAAGGTGCGGTCCACGTGCCGTTCCGGGGTGCGATTCGTGTCTGCAAGCGGCTGCAGATCGACTACGCCGAGGCTGTCGTCGACTTCGAGTTTGGGCATCGCATGGCAGTGCCTGTGATACAGGGCGTCGTCATCGCCGAAGAGTACCACGACCAGGTCATGGCTGAGCTGGAAAAGGACGAAGCCGAGCGGCGCAGAAAGGAAGACGAAAAGCGACGCACCGCATCGCTGAAACAGTGGCGCAAGTTTATAATGGGCCTGCGAATCGTACAACGCATTCGCCAGGAGTACGGCGACATCGACGACAGTGTGTCGGTTTTTGCGCACAAGGGCGGCGTTCCGCAGCATGAGCCATTGGCGGACCATCATGATGAAGAGATGGCGGGCGGTTTCTTACCTGAAGGATACGAAGAGGAAGGCGAGGAAGAGGGTGCTCATCAAACGTCGAGTTTCTTCCCGGTTGGTGATGAAGATGGAGAGGAACCAGTGGATGATGGACTCATCATGGAGGACCACCGGCACGAGGTCAGGCATTCATCGACACAGGACAAAGAAGTGGAGGAAGAGCAAGACACGTCCGAGAAGAAGAAGCCTCCGCGAAGACAGCCTGCAAGAGGCCGACCGAGGGCGAGAAAGAGGGTTGTGTCCGAGGACGAAGACGAAGACGAGGGTGATGAATGGGTCAACCCCGATGATGATGATGACAAATAAGGCTGTAACACCACATATCAAGGAATGGGATTTAAAATAGATGCTCATGGACTTGTATAGCTTCGTTAGGTCTACTTGCCAAGTGAGACCAGTCGTCAAGGCTATCGGTTCTTCCCAAATCTCTCATGCCACTTTCCCTTGCTGCCCGTATCCTTGAGCGGGGCCCTGCTAATGGGAGACTCGGAAACGGCGTCGAGCTCGACCGTCTCGTGTATAGTCGAGATGATGGATAGGCATGGCTGGGGGTCGGAGGGCGACGTCGCCGGCGAGAGCAAAAAGAGCGCGTTTGAAGTGTTCTTCTGGCGTATCGCGTACGACTTGTCGGCCGTCTTGAGCACCGCGGAGGAGTCTGCTGACTCGAGGGTGAGGCTGCGGGTGTCAGGATCTGAAAGCTCATCTGCACCGAGTCGCATAACACTTACACCGGGGCGGCTTCAGATTCGAGCAGCGACTCGAGCTCCGGGGGCAGCTCGATGAGACGGTAGCCCGCGTCGTGCGGCTGGTGATTGAGTTTTATGCCCTGTTCCTGGCTCATGGTGACATTTGGTTGTTCTTGATGTAGCTACTATGAGAAGCGGTGCATCAGACTCATGGTGAGTGAGGCGGGCAGTGCGTGCCTGGGCGAGTGAATGGGTGAGGCCCAGATACCGACGGTGAGGGGCCTGGAGGACGTTGTTAGCGGGGTCATTCGGTAAAGCGGGCTGCTGCCCCTCCATCCATTTCAGGAACGGCGTTGTTTACATGGCGGGACAGGGCTTGGGGGACCCAGCGGCAAGGGGCCCGCACCTGCTTTTTTTAGCAGGCCAACAAGCCCAGAAGCCATTGTTGGGCCCCGATCGCACTTGCCCTGACGCGTTTGACGCGTTCAGCCGGCTGCCCGGGATCCATGGTCTTCCACACCTCCCTCGCCTGACCGCTCGTTTGCAGTACGTACATCTACCTACAGCGAGTGCTCGGACGAGGAAAGCGACTCCATTTCGGTTGGTCTCACCACGGCGCAGGGACGCTTACCCATCTCATTCTTCACCTCGTGGCATCAACGGCGCATAGCTTTTTGTTCTGTAGATACCCTTGCCCTTGTTTACGCTACGCCCGTCGCGATTTGTTTTCCCCGGGCTCGAGCGCCCTGTGCGACAGCCCACCCCGATCGCTGCCGTGTGGGCTGCATGTCGACAAACGCCTCGCACGCGAGCCATCCAATCCTTCTCGCATCATATATGCATGTTTACCTGTACGCCTCGGCTTCACCATCCGACGCCCATCTGCGAGACGCGGCCCACACCCGACCCGCCCCGTTCATGCATTGTTGTGCGCACGGCATCGACAGGCACCGCGCGCTCACGTCGTAGCGAGGAGACCGCGATCGATAGAACGGCCCCCCTCCCTCCCCGCCCCAACCAAGCGACAACGACGGCCCGCACCCTCGGTCAGAGACAACAAATACCAGCCGGCACGGCCCACGCGCCTGCGCACACCTCATCGCTCGAGGCCGGCCCGACGCCTCTAGCATGAGCGCGGCCCGTTGACGAGACCATGGTTCGCGTCACCGACGACCTGGCGCTTTCGCCCGAGAGCGTCGTCCTCTACCACGCCTCGGACCCGCTGCTCGGCCACCTTCCCGTCCTCGTCTTCCACGGGCCCTCGACGACGGCCAACTACACGCACAACAGCTCCCGCGTCCAGCTCCACGTCCTCTCGCCCGCCGGTTTCCAGTCCTTCCCGCGCGTCACCATCTCGCCCAACTCGCCCTTCTACACCGTCGTCAACCACCTTCCGCGCGAGTTCCAGGGCGATGAGGTCTACCGCGGCCTCGCGTTTGGCCTCTTCAAGTACTTCAGCGAGCTCTCCGACGGCGTCAAGACATACCTGCGCAATGCGTATCCCACGAGGGGCAAACGGCCCGGCAGCGCGCCTGGGCTCTTTGGCGAGCAGCACGCTGCCGACTTGGTCGCCACCATGACCAAGAGCGAGAATGCGGCCCTCGTCATCACCGCGCTCAACGAGGCGCTCCAGACACAGCACGTGAGCCATGTCGACGTCGACGTCGTGCTCCCGCCCGGCGCCATAGTGCCGCTTCAACCTGGCGACTACGAAGACGTACCCGATGACGAGGACGACATACTCGACCCGACATTGCGCCAATACGGCGGCTACACCCCGCTCGTGAAGCTTCTCGGCGAACCGGTGTTTTTGCCCACAAGCAGACTGCGCCGTGCGCCATCGAAACCAACGGCCCTCAACCGGAGCAAGTCCTTCACCAAGGATCAAAAGTTTGAGCTGAGGATGAAGCTGGCGGAGCTCGTCGACACGGAGGAGCGCTACGTCATGAAGCTCGGTGAGCTGGTGCACCACATCGCCCGTGACTTTCGAGAATCAGCCAAGAAACGGTCACCGGAGAGTTTAAGCCCGTCCGAGGAGGAACTCGAGAGGCTGTTCCCACCCTCCGCGGACAGCATCCTGCAGGTCAACTCCGAGTTTGTGCAACAGCTTCGGAAGATCATGGACGAGACGGAGGAGGAGGCAGTCAAAGACATGGAGTCGACAACGGTCAACCTCCTAGGCTCTAAGCTTGGAAGCTCGCCGCGGATACGCGACCCGAGTGGCGCCCTCGCCATGGCCCGCTTGTTCTTGGAGTGGTTTCCGAAATTCACGGAGTGCTACCAAAACTACATCAAAGCGAGCCAGCACTTCCCGACCCTGCTCAACTCGTTCCTCGACCAGCAGTCTAGCTTCAGGCAGCGCGTTCACCGAACTGGGGAACAGGCGGTCCGCTCCATCCTCATCGAGCCGGTACAGCGACTGCCCCGGTACAGCCTCCTCATCGACCAGATCGTCAGCTCCCTCCCCATGACACATCCGGCCCTGCAGCCCATGCTGAAGGCTCGGGACATCATCACCAACATCTGTTCCATGGACGAACCGTTGCCGGACAAGCCTCATGTTGCCAACCGACTTCGAAATATGGTTGAAGCTTGGCCAATGGAGTTTGAGCCGCAAGGCCGTCTCGTCCTAGCAGCCGACTTCCTCGAGCTGACTCCACCATTCCAGGCGCCCGCGAGCGAAGTAGACGCAGCGGGCATGTTCTTGTTGTTTTCAGACTGCATCGTTGTGCTCAAAAAGACGGGGGCCACCATGACTGGGCGAGATCTATTGCGGGAGATTGACAAGCCGTCGGCAGCAGAACTGCTGATCTCGATGACCAACGCAGCCGGCGGGCCAACTTCTTACGAGTTTGCGTTCACGGGCTGGCACAACCTAGCCGATGTGCGGTTTACCGAGTCGTCTGATGGTGCACTCGTGTGGATGACGTCGACGCAGGACATGAAGGGCGCGCATACCGGCGAGCACAAAGTGAGCAAGTCGCCCACATCTCGCTGCTTCATGCTTCAAGAGGCGTTTGAGGGCAAAGCCGCAAAGTGGGCAGAGGATGTCGTCAAAGCCCGAGTGGAGGCGCGCTTCTCCGAGTCAGAGCGCGAGAATCCCATTTGGACGCTTCGATCAGTTCGCATGCAGGACAGTAGTTTCGGACTACACGCTGCTGTGTTCCAAGAAGGAGCGCACCAGCTCATCGAGGGTCGACGCGAGCCCGCACCGATTAGGATTGTAGTCGACCATGAGAAGGGCACCAAGGGGGCCCCAGTCGGGCACTACGGCGTCGAAATCGTTGTGAACGTGTCGAGCGGCAACATGAAGCGCGTGTCGATACTCACCGTGGGACTGAACGGCAAGCAATACCAAGACGACGTGGCGCTGGAGGACTTTTTGCCGACCATGTCGCGCCGGAGTAAGTCGCCGACCTGCGAGGGAATGACCTGTACTAACCGCCGCCAGTTATTCAACTCCTCAGTACGCAGTTCGACCTCGCCAACATGAACCTCACAGCTGCGCTAGTCTCATACTACACCAAGACCATCCGCGGACTGAGTTTGTCCAACCGAGTGGAAAAGACGCGGTCATTCCTCGCCGCGTCGCCCGTCAAGCTCCTATCGAACCTTTGGGGAGGAGGAGGCTCCAACAGCAACGCGCCGGAAGTGACTGTGACGAATAACAAGCACCAGCACACGCCGTCGCTACACCGCACCGAGAGCCACCACTCGATGTTTGGGTCTATCAGGGGCAAGGATGAGCGCCCGGCGACGGCCGATGGTCGTCCGGAGAACCCTCTGATGAGGCTCGAGCAGACATTTACGGGATACATTGCGGCCCTTCAGGGGCGCAAGGGCTCTATAATCGGGCGCACGTTGCTGAACAGGTCTCTCGTGGACGAGCTCACGGTCAACGACCTGTACAACCGGCTCATCGAAAGCCCTTTCGACTACGAGGCAGGAAGCGACCTGGGTACCGAAGTCATATTTGTTGCGTTTGAAAACTTCCTCAGGATGGCCTGGACGGATCAGATGGGCCCGGTCATGACGATGCAGGCACTCGATACTCTCCAAGAGCGGGCGAACAAGAGGGTCCCCGGTAACTTTGCGGATTTCGTTAATTATCTGTTCAAGGAGATGGCGCCGCAGAACCGGAGGGCGTTCACGGCGCTCATCAAGCTTCTGGCGGACCTGCTCGACGGGTGCGGCAACGACAGCGACCGCGGCGCGCTGACGCTTGCGTTTGCCGAGCTGCTGGTCACGGACGGCTCGGCGCCCAACTACATCAACCTGCTCGACCGCCTGGTGGAAGACTGCGACAGGATCTTTGAGGATCCATGGATGCAGCACACCCTCAACTTTACTGGATCCGGGACCGGTTCTATCAGCTCGGGCACACGCCCCAGAGCACATACTGCCTCCATCACGTCCAATACGTCGTCGCTTCGCCGCAAGTTTGGTCTTGATATGCTCCTGAGACAGAATCAAAAGGAGGAGAGACCATCCGTGTGGCGTACCCTCAGCAAGCACCGGAATCCCGCTACCGGCGAGACCTCGAGCTTGTCACGCGGGGTCATGAGCCGCACACGGTCGATCGACGACAGCACAATACCGAGGGGACTGCTCAAGCGTCCCGGGTCGCGCGACCGACCTCCAATTGCTGGAGCCTTTGACGAGGCACCACAGCGGCCGGCGAGCTCGCATCGACTCGACTTCCCGCTCGACACCATCGGAGAGCCGCCAGATGACCCGGTAGGGTCGAAGCGCGGCAAGAAGAAGCGCCGTAGCTCTCTGTCCGACTTGAAGAGCTTGATGGCCTCTGCTACTATCGACGACGAGCCGCTGCAGCCGCTTCAGACGACTAGGGAGACGTCTGGCAAAATGAACGCGACGACGCCGGTGACGAGTCCTAAGAGCGCGGCACCTTCGAGAATACCCGTGAGCCCTAACGTGGCACATGTTCTGAAGAGTCCGCGGTCAAAGGAAAACTACGCAGACCCCTTTGCCAGCACGCCTTTGATTGTAGGGCCGCCGCTGGTGCGACCTGAGGTGGCGACCAAGATTGAGCCGCTAGCAAAGATACCAGCTCCCACGAGGCCACAGGATTCGCCGATTAAGCGTCGGGGTCACGCGAAGACGCTGTCGTCGACGAGCATACCCATACTCAAGCCAGCGCGACCTGCCACGTCTGGAGGAGACTCCCCCACTCGGCCGTCTAGCCCGACCAGAACCGCGACTATGAAATTGCGATTACAGTCGCCGCAGAGGCTGCGCGAGCGCTTGCAGACGGAGAAGAAGGCAGTAGGAGACGCGGACGCATCTTTGCAGTCTGAACTGTCCCGAATCGGTGCCGAGATGGCACGTTTCAACACCGGCGACAGCAGCAACCAGGCAGCGGACGTTCGACGACTGGGCGCGTCGGTCAAGGCGCTCGAGGACAGAATTCCCACGGTGGTGCGCGAGCTCACGGACAAGCAGGCCGCGATGCAGCGCGCCATGGAGACGACGGTCAAGGCGACTGAAGTGAAGATGCGAGCGGTGGACCAGCTGCACAAGGAAGCGGTGGCGGAGAATGAACTGCTGTACGAGCGCTTCAACGGCGAGCTCGCCAAGATTGTCAAGGCGCTCAAGGGCAAGGGCAAGGACGACAAGGAGGAGCTCGTGGTACGGCTCAAGGAGCAGAGCGAGGAGACGGCGCGGCTCAAGAAGGAAAACGCGCGGCTCAAGCGCGACATGGCGAGCCTGCGGGCGGCGCTCAAGAGCCTGGAGTGAAGCGTCGCGCTTCTGATTGTGGCGGAGGCTGGAGCACGCATGGATCGCGTTGGGGTTCTTGTATAGAGTCTTGTACACTTGGTTGGGTTCTGTCTACGCACAGGCACAGGAGTCTGATTGGGACTGGGTTCATACGGACTGGGCGGGAGGTGCGCGGCGGGTTCTGTACAGGATCGGGATCAGGATGTCCATGTGGTCACCATAGCATGCACAAACCGAGGACAAGCAGCGGAGATGGAGACATGAACATGTCTTGAACATGACTTGAAAATATCCAAAACACCACGCTATGCTACAAAGCGACGCCCTGGCCTGACCAGGGTTTCTGTGTCATCATTCGTGATTCGTTAGCGATACATGGAGAACTGCGAGTCGCCCATTGCGTCGCTGTCCTGTGTCGATGCCGCCGCCTTGTCCTCCTCCTTGCCCTGCTCATACCAGCACTCGAAGAACAGCGGCCCGGCCTGAACGGCGCGGATGGGCGTCGTGGAGGAACCGCCAAGGGCGGACCCCGTGGAGGGATTTCTCGGCGTTGGAGGCTGGAGATCCGGCTGCGAGGGGATCCAGAGCTGGGGGTGCTGTTACTCCCGAGTGAGCTGCTATTCGTATCTTCTACGTACCCAGAGGCGAGCGACATATCTTCCAGGTAGGGTGGAGGAAGGGGGGAGGAACTTCACAAACCTCGATCGGGGCAGGGGCCTCGTCGTGTAGCTCAATGGCGAGAGTAAAAGTGCAGCCCTCGGGAGGTGGGGGGGTCGTCTCTGCCGCGTAGGCTATCCTGCGCAGCGCGCCCCTGAGCGCCTCGTTGACATCCGCCCAGTTAATCGCCCCCTCGGCATCGTCGTCGTCTCCCCACCCACCATACACCATTCTTCTCCTCCTCTCCTCCGCCGCGGCGCCCACGCCCTTGCCCTTCCTATTGCTTCCTCCTCCAGCGGCACCACCACCGCCGCCAACCCCACCGCGGCCCTGGTCGAGGTCCTCGCGCGGGAATCCCGACAGGTCAAAGACCCAGCGCTCGGCGACGGCGAGGTCGTGCGGGTGGTGGACGACGAGGGCGAGGGCGCGGACTGCGCCGTGGCGGAGCTGGGGAAGGGCGGCGGCGACGGCGTCGCGGACCCATGCGCAGACGTCCGGGTGACGGGACTGGTAGACGGGGAGGTTGTAGGCGGTGGCGAGGAGGAACGTCTCCGGTGGGTAGAGGCGCCGGTGGCGGAGGAGCGCGTGCAGGGAGATGGTGAGGAAGGCGGCGAAGGAGGAGAGGAGGGCCGAGGTCTGCGGCGGGGAGAGCGTGGGTGGCGGGGGTGCGGCCGCAGCGGCAGCGGTGTCGTCGTCGGTGGGAGGCGGCGCGGGGCCGGCGGCAGCGGCGGAGGAGGCCATGCTGCGATGGTGACTGGGTGGTCGGCGTTGGGACGCCGTTGGCGATGCGACGTGGGAGAAGGCGCGTGGAGGGGCAGATGGGAAATGCATAGTCGTGTAGAGGGGGACGCGCTGTCACGTGAGGGTTCGCCGACTTACATGGCTTTCAGTTGACTTGATACAATTGCAGCACAACACTCGAGTTGACGCAATCAGCTCTTCGATGAATAATACTTTTTTTATTAGTTCTGTCACTGCTCGTTTCGGCTCCTGGCCCTATCAACTGTGCACTCTCTCGGCTCAAGGCGACGGACGTATACGTAGCCCAAGAGCCAAGACTGAAGAAATGACAGCTTCGAAACACTAATAAGTTCAGTTCAATGGAGATGCGGGCGCTTGAGGCTCTATGATAAGGGGGAAAACCGGTGTTCATGCGCATGTTGAAGACAGGGGGCGGCGCTGTAGCCGTCGTCGGTATCGCGGGCTGAACCGAGCTCCGATGCTTTGAAGCAACAGTCCGGTTGTCGAGTTTCGTCCCAGTATCATGTGGGATATTTACGGCGCCGCGCCCGAGTCGTCAGCACTCGTCGCAGCAACTCTCGCACAGACCAGAAACGTCCCGATTACGCAGCGTCAGTGACTATACACATCAGAGGCATGCGAGGTGTATAAGAGAACAGCTGCCGGACGGCAGTCTCCGCAAGGGGGTAGCCTAAAAGTTGCCTTGTCAATCCCCTGACTCAGACTACCACAATCTCATCAGTGATGCGCGCCTCCTCCTACATCGTACTCATGGCCATCGGCGCCGGCAGTTTCGGCACCGCGGCCGACACACCAGCCACGAGTCCCACGGCGACGCCAAGCCCGCGGCGGAAGACCCCGAGGTCGTTCTTCCTCGCCGGCAAAGAAAGCAGGGGCTTGATAGTGTGCCCCGAGAGAGACAAGATGGGCGTCGAGATCCCATGCCCCCCAAACGTCTTCTGCCTGCCGCCCTATGCCACGTGCGAGGGTGCCAAGTACGTGCTGAGGGACTGGATCCCCCCGCGCGAGCGGGCACAGTGCAACGCGTGCAAGTGCTCGGGACCAAGGATTCCGGTATGTTTGACAAGTCGAGAGACTCGAAAGCCTTATCACACGGCGGCGCAAAGAGGTGAAGCAGTGACTGACGTTGAAGTGTGCAGTGGCCGGAAACGATGGAACCCATCCCCGAGGGGCAGGAGTGGTCGCCAGATCAGGTCGGGGCGTCGCAGGCTGCGGCAGATTGCTAGGGATTTGGGCCGTGAAGGGTGAGATATGCTACAGACCTAATTAACGCCCAAGCAATAGATGGGAGGCTTGCGCCGCGTTTCATTCAGTCGGATCAAAGACGGGAAACGGACATCGGATGGGTGCATGCTGGAGCGTTGCCCTGCCTGCCTGCGGCTATACAACCTCGCCCAAACCTTGCATCGATCTAGTTCCTAGGCAATGTCTATTAATTGGCCTGTTGGTTCGCTTGAGTCGCGTGAGCCCGCCGTTGTTGATAAGGGTTTCCAAGTCGAGATAAGAAGGCCGGGTGTCTTCACGCCATGGGAAGAAACGAGTGGCTATCTTGACAGGCGTGGAAGATCCACCGAAGAGGCACTTACTTGCCCGGCACGCAGCACAGACGTAGACGTGCGTTGCAAAGGTTCCAAACGAGAACCGGGTGGTCACAGGCAACTGCCTTCTCGAGGTCATGTACGTGCGTTGCGACATTTACCGTACAGTGCCTCGAATGTCGTCAGCAGATGTCGCAGACGCCGCACAGGCCAGATCAGTATCTGCAGCGGCACGCCCGACTGCGACCAAGTGCGGCTAGTATAAGAGGGCGAGACGGACAAGCGATGCTCGCTTCGGGTCTCTTCTAACCACCCGGCGGCAGACCTTGACCTTGCGTCTAGGAACATAACCCCAGCATCACGAAGCTCGCGACCTTTGGCGTCCTTTGCGACACAGCACCGCCGACATGCGTGTTTCCGTCCTATCCTGTTGTCTCGCTGTCATGGCCGCCGGCGGACTCGCCTCAGCCCGTACCGCCTCTTTCCGCCGCGCTGACGCGCACACGCAATCCGGCATGAAGATCGAGTGCGAGGCGCGGATCGAGGTGCCCGCCGTCTGCTTTCCGCCCCATGCCAAGTGCGAGGGGCCTCTGTACAAGTACAAGATAGACACCGGGGTGGACCAGAAGCTGCGGGACCTGTGCTCCAGGGTGTGTCGATGCGTAGACGATCCGACAAAGGTGCGTTCTCAGTCCCTTGGCCTACCTCATCCCTTTCCCTTGACTGCCCGCCTGATGGCGCCGGCCCCCCGGCGAGGGGGCTCAACAGACAAGGGCGTGGCTCTTCGCAGACTGGCTGACAGGCTATCTGACTGACTGAACGTGGATGCAGAAGCAGCCCAAGGCGGTGCAGTTTGCCGACGAGCTATGCGAGATGGGCGGGCATCACGGACTGGAGAACTACGTGCCGGAGAATAAGGTGCTGTTGAGCGAGAAGCCGCCGGTCACCAAGGCGCCGGTCCGCAAGCTGCCTGTGAACAAGTCGGGCAAGTCATGGCTGGACTTGGACGACCACGAGTAGCGAGCGTGTTGGATGTGTGGCATGGGACGTGTTGGTCGCATTCGAGGGCTGGGACAAGCGGCGTTGATGAGTTGGAGCGCGTGTGGTGATGACGAGAGGTGGACGATTCAAGAGAACGCGTTTTTAATGACAACCGGACGTGTGTCGTATTACAGTACAAGAAGAACAATCGTTATGGTGATAGGGACGTAGGTAAGGTATGCAGCAAAGCAGTTTCACCCCCCACCCGTAGGGCTGAAGCTCGAGGCAGCAATGACGCCACGCCACCTGCAGAGCCCCAGAGCCCCAGAGCCCGAAAGTGAGAAGCTCCAGCAGCTCCCTCTCCCCACCCCCCGCCTCCAGCTCCGGGCACTTTAACTTCTGCCTCTCTCCATCACCAGCTTCACTCCCCCCAGCTTCCGCCACCTCCGCAAGCCGCTCCTTCGCACGGATCCTCCGCGCGACCGTCTCATCATCGACACCTTTTTTCAGCATCCCGCTTACCACCACTGCTGCCATCCGCGCATCCACCAACCCCCGCCACCCATCGCCATGGCGTCCGCGCCGTCGACGCTCGGCACCGCCGCCATTCTCAAGGGCATGGCCGATGCCCTGCCCGCGCACCCGCCCGGCGACGACTCGTCCGACCTCGCCAGCTCCTACGAGGCTGTCGCCTTACTCATCCACGCATACCTTGCCGCCCTGGGCTTTGAGCTCTGCGGCTTCGACGAGGACAAGCCGATGGGTAAGTCATGCGCGACGAAAGCACAGAAGAGGCGAAGCGATGAAGACACAAGAGAGACCGGAAGGACATGCGCTCAGTGCTAACGCTACGTTCGCAGACTGCGCCAGTATCGCTCCCCGCCTCCCGTCCCAGTGGAACGCCCGCTTCGGCTCCCTCGCTTTCGTCTACCGCCACAAGCAGTCGTCGATGCGCTTCGTCGTCCGCGTCGACCGCATGGGCGGCAAGGTCGAGGTCCGCGGCCTCGCCGTCGGCGCCGACACCATTCACCGCTTTGAGCGCGCCGTCCGCGATGTCGTCCGCTCCGACGGCCTGCCCCTCCGTGTCACCCTGGGCTCCGACGGCGCCGAGGACCGCTCCGACCTAGTGGACAAGATGAAGGCGCTGTTTGTTTCAGAGCAGGCCATTGTCGGTGCGTTTTATTTCTCGCCCTTGTCTTTGCGATGAGAGCCGACGATAGAGATCCTCTGGCTGACTTCGTCCCCGATACAGATATTCTCCATGACCTGAAGGTCAACATTGTCCAGAAGCTCATCCCCAAGCTCCAGCGCGAGGGCTACGTCGAGGTCGACGACCGCGATGCCCAGGAGGCCGCTCAGGCCGAGCGCCGCGCCCAGGAATCTCGCGATCCGAACCGCCCCTTCCGCGGCGGCGAGCCCCAGCAGCCGCATCCGCATCCGCATCCACACCCGCTGCCCGAGCTCGCCCGGCCACGGCCCCTCGCCCCCGTCGGCGACTTCCCACCCCCCGGCTTCGACGACGAGTACGAGATGAACCGGCCCCCGCGCGCTGGCGCCGGCATCATCCTCCCCGACGGCCGCTCCCCCTTCAACATCGGCCACGACGACCTGAACCCACCGGGCCTCGGGCCCCACGACCCGCTGAGGGGATCCTTCGTTCCCGGTGGCGGATTGCCGCTCCCCGGTCGCCCCTCGGGCATGCACCCGACGTTCGACGACCCGCTCTTCGCAGGCCAGCGCAGTCCAGGTGGGTTCGTGAGCGACAGCGACCCCATGGCCGGCTACTACGACCCGCAGTCTCCCCCGGGCTCGCGCTGGGACCCTGTCGGCCCCGGTGGCGGTCCTCGTCACGGCGGCCCGGGTGGCTCTCGCGGCGGCAACTACCCCTTTGGCGACTTTGGCGGCGGCGGAGGCTACGGCGGAGGCGGCTTCGGTGGCGGCGGGCATATCATCTAGACCTGCCACGTCACGAAGGAGGGAGAAAGGGAATAGGGGAAGAGGGGAAAAGCGTTGACAGGAGGACGAGGAGCTTGTACGATTTGACGCCGCCAACGAGTTGCACACACACTCGACGATCACATGAAGCAATCACGACCACACCAACCAAAATTGACGAACCCAAAACACTGTACCATACTTTGTGCCATTGCCTCTTGTCTCGAATTTTTGCGTTGCATTACTACTTTTGCATTATTCGTGCTTTAACTAATGGTGGGAGCCCTGTCTGTCTGTGTCTCTGTGCGTATCCGTCTAGTTACTCAGAATGCACCATGCGAGCACGTATCGAAACCCGTCTCGTTCCCAAAACCGCGGAGAGAGTTGGCCGCGGGGATGATGAAACGTGTCAAGTACCTTTGTGCTCACGACTGAAGACGCGCGCCCACTGTCCATGTAACCTAACTGGAAACGACCATGGGTCCGACTCGTAGGTTGTACTCGATTAGAGTGCTTGTGTATTCTGATGGAATCCGGCCATAATGGGGATATGAAGGGTGGGTGGTGTCGGGGGGGACGGGCTTTGAGGTGGTGTGGGTGATGTGGGTGAAAGAGAGAGAGAAAGAGGGAGGGGGGGAAGGCGAAGGTTCATCACCGTCGAAAACAAACATACCGCCAGCTCCGATAGCGACTCACGCCAACCGGGTCAGGTCCAAGGGCAGGGTACGAGGCCCTTGATGATGTCCCTTGCTCGCAAATTCAGGTCGTGGCGAAAACCGCCTCACTGGCCCCGGTTACTAATTCCAGACCACGGTCCGAGGAGTCGCCGCGCTGCGGCTGCCCGCCCATGCAGCCTCCTCCTACTGCTGAGGCGGAATGGCCAGTTCGCTAAGCTTGGCCTTTTCTTCGCTCGATAGCATGCTGTACCAAATATGGAAGCCGGCTGTGTTCTCCCGGCCGCATCGAACGAAGAACTCAACCAGATAGGTCTCCGTCTCGTCATCTTTGTAGCGACGACCGCCGCCCTCGGTGAACGACATAAGTTCCGATTTGGATATACCGAGGTTCAGATCGAGCGTGTCGTCGTCTTCCCAACCGTCGTCGTCGTCATCTGACTCGAGGTCCGCGTTGGCGGCGAGTGCTGCCGCTGCAGCGTCGGCCGCGTTACGCGCTCCAGATGCAGACAGGAGTTCTTCGATCAACAGCTTGATGATTTTGAGAGGAGCCGGAATGATGGTATACTGATCGGGGTCTGGACGTTCGGGCCCGTTAGCACTGAGATAAGCAGACAGGCTGTGCAGATAGCTCCCTGGAGCGACAGAAGCGTTCTCGTGAGACAGCACGTCGGCGAGTCCCTCTGGACTTCCAGAGTTAATCAGCTGGATAGCATCATCGAAAGACATACTCTGCTTTGACCGAGACCGCGTCTTGATTCGGCCATCGTCGTTTATGATCAAGTCACCCTTGACCTTGATTTGGGCGAGTCGATCATCGTCGAGGGAGTAGAGCTTCGACAGCGCAATGACACTGCAAACAGTTAGCAGTCGACCTGGCAAGCAATGAGGACATGCACTTACTTTTGGCGAATCTCGTCGTAGCCGGCAAAGCTAATAGAGTTTTCGAGCCACTTGGCCAGTACAATCTGAAGGCCGTTCTCGCCGTTGATCTGGAGCTGGCTCAGGAACTCAACCACATCCTGTGCACCAGCGAGCGAGAGCCGCGCGAACACCAATATCAGAGATTGGATAAATGCCGCAGCCTGGGCAGTGTAGAGGCGAGTGGCAACAGCCTGCAGCAGCTGAGGAAGATACGGCCCCAGGCGCTCCTGGCCCGCCTTTTCCACAAGTTCAGCCGCCAAACCGCCGACCTCGGACGCCGCGTTGTCCTCAATTTCGTGCTTAAGGAGTCGGTCTATGATACGAAGGCACGTCTCGAGGCCAGACACCCCGTTGGCGTCCTGCCAGTTGAAGACTTGCTGGTGGTCGTGCATGAGTGCATACTTGACCGTCTCGGCACCCGGTCGGAGAACCTCGCCCTCGGTCGTCTCCATGAGCACACGATTGAGCTTGGGGAAGGTGGCAGCAACGAACCCGTCGGGCAGTGGCTCAGGGCCATGCTCGGCCAGGACGGCGAGCAGCTCCGTCGCAATCGTCACCAGTGGGTTGTCGTCGGTGAGGGGCCCGACGTCGAAGGCCCCCGTCAGCGTCGGCAGGCTTTTGGTGCAGAGGGCGCTAAACGCGGGACCATCGCCTGCCAGAGCCTTGACTACCTCTTCAAACGTCTCCGTCACAAGCATCGTAACCTGAAAGTTGGACGTTCCGACCTTAGCGAGCATGAAGAGCATGTCCAACGGCTGATACTCGCTGGACAGCGCGATTTTGGGGTCCATGCCGACGACGGCTCGGAGAGCCTCGGAAAGCGTCACCAGAAGCTCGTCGGTCTCCTCTATGTCCGCAGGATCCTTGTTGTCCAAATAGTTGTGGATGGCAGCAATTATAGGACCTTGTTTGTCGAGGCCAACCTGTTCCGCGCTGACCAGACCCTCGAGGGCCTTGACGCACGCAACCTGGACCACCTCGGACTCTTCAGCCGTGACGGACGCGATCATGTGGTCGAGCAGAGGAATGGCTGGGTCAGTCGGGTTGGGCTGAATGCTAGGCAGCTGGAAGGAGCGCCCAAGCATACCGGCGGCCAGGAAGCCCCTGGCCCGGAGGAACGGCGCCGTGGCGGTCTTGATTGTGTAGTCAATCATCTGGAAGTAGTCGGCCGCCATGGCCGGTTGGACGGGTTTGCCCAGGTCCTGAAAGTCACTGAGCAGCATGACAAACAGGTAGAGAGCCGACTCTTGGCTTTTCCACGAAGAGGTTGCCAAGCCGGGAAAGAGTCTGGTCGTATAGTCAAACAGGCCGTCGAGTATTTTGTGGTCGAACCACTCGCCCAGCTTAATGATGAGGTCGCTGGCGGACGTGCGGGGCGTATAATCAGCCGTGATGGCGCTTTCCTCAGTCAAGTAGAGCGAGCAGTCGATGTCCCAAAGCTGCTCATCCTCCTGGATGATGCGAGAGTAGCTGACGAGCATGGCCATGATTTGACCCACCCACTGCACGTCGCGGACCTCGGCGTGAGCATGCAACTGGGCGTCGAGCTCTGCCTTAACACCAGGCGCACGGAAGCATTGATTCAGGAGATCAAGCTCCTCGAGGACGAGGACGTCGAGGGAGTAATACAGATTGTCGGCACTCTCGAGGCGGCGCTGGCAGATGCCATTGACGTACAGCTGCTCGTAGGGACCCTGCAGGTTGGTGAGCTCGTCCCAAACGGTAGCGAAGAGCGTGGTGCTGTGAGGGAGCAGCAGGTTGCCAAAGCCACGGCGAAGGCGAATGAGCGTCTTTGCGACCTGCAGCTTGAGAGCGATGATGCTGTTCCAATCATCGGGCTGCCGTTCACTCAGGTCAGCAGGAGGGAGCGTCTCGCGAAGAACCAGGATGAAGAAGGTCATCCAGCCCGGGTTCGCGCCGCCATCGCCTTCGAGGAGACCTCTAGCAAACTCCTCGACCTCTTGTGCATGGGCGTCTTTGACCATGTTCATCAGGTCGAGGCAAGAGCGGAACACGGATATGGCGAGAGCGCGCATCATGGGTCCGCGGCTCGTGTTGTGGACGACCTCGGTCAGGGCGTTGGCAATGTCGCGAGCCATGGAGAAGAACTGGTCATCGGATATGCTTTCCTCGGTGAGGAAGCCGAGGACTCTGAGGGCGCCGCGCAGCTGGATGTCGGTGCCCGAGGCCATGACGCCCAGGACGGAGGGCAGGAGGTTCGGCCATTTCTCGGGGAAGTCGTGAATAGCGATCTTGCCGACGGTGTAGCTGGCGAGGAGAAGAAGGGTTAGCTGGGCTGACAGACACGGGCGGCGATTGCGGGTGGGCGACGAACCTGGATTGGGTCTTAACCTTACGGTCCTCCTCAAGGCCGATGGCTAGGTCGAGCAGAGACCGCTTGACGTGTTCTCTGGCTTCTTCGGAGATGGGGATGGGAGGCTCGTCGCCGGGTTCGTCGTTGGCCCAATTGTCCACGACAAACTGGCGCAGGCTGGTGATGGCAGCCTGGCGGACAGTCACGGCCACGGACGCGTGGGAGGCAATGTTGGCCAGGCAGACTGGAAAGGCGGGGTTGGTTCGGGCGCGCTTAAGCTCGATCTCGGCCTGCAGTCGAGGTGCCTGGTCGGGCACCATGGTGTTGGCGAGCAGCTGCGCGAGTTGGTCCTCCATGGCTGTGGCGGGGGGGGCGCGAGCGGCGCGTGATTCACGGGGGGGCGGTTGTCGTGGTTCTCAAGCGGGCGATGTAAATGCGGTTATAATGCTGCGGTGTCTCGGCGGTGGCAGCGTGGCGGGGATCGAGGAGATGGGTGCCACCGCTTTGTTTGGGGATGAGACGCGTTAAGCGGCGGTGATGGTGGATGTGGTGTGGTAGTGGAGGTGTTGAGTGGTGGTGGCAGTGGCAGTGGGGGGCGGAGAGAAGGGCGGGAGTGAGTGAGAGGCAGCTGGAGGCCGATAAGAAAAAGTTCTTCCGATAAACCTGGGTAGAAGGCGGCGGGCGCAGCTGTTGTGGGCCGCTGCTGCCAGGGCTTTAGGTACCTACCAAAGACGCCGACGTACCTAGCTGACGGGACCTGGCAGGTGTCCTGAAGCTCGAGCTCTGGCTGACTTTGGGCGCGGGGGCAGAAGGAAGCTCATGGAGGGCGCGCATGCCCCCAGCTGCAGCAGCCGCAGCTCCTGCGGACAAATTTACAACGGACCTGGCACCGCCACTCTGCTTCCCCGCACCGACGAGACCAGACCCGACGAGTCGCTCCACCAGCGCACGTTCGGCAGGTTTAGGTAAGAACCTGTGGATGGTGGTGGCCAGGGCGCTGGATGGCTGACATGCCATCCAGGCAAGTCAGGAACCGCGGGGTCGGCGGCCACCAGCAGGGGTCCTGTAGTGGGGGGTGAACGATTCCATTGGGGGGAGCTCTGCCCTGGCGCGGCACCGGCAAAAAAGGCGGGAGGAATTCTACGTCACGTCGTCCTGCACCAATGTCTCGCGCCTCTCGACGACACCACTGCAAAGCCCGAGTTGAAAAAAATATGTTAAACACATATAACAAAGGCAATCTGGCCTTGCAAAGGGATTTATTTTTGGCAATTTTCTATCGAAACTTGTCCTGCTTCAATTGGCACTTCCCAAGTCGTGACCGGGCCTTGACTTTCTTCCTGGACGCTGTCGAGGGGGCCCTTTCTCCCCATCGACAAACACCAACCTCTGCATCGCGACGTCGGGTGCCGTGTCTGTTGCGCAACTCCCTTTCCTTGGTAGTAATTTTATTTTCGTCCCAAAGCGTGCACGCGTCCCAAGTTGAAGCCTGCTGCTGCCTGATCCCCAAGGTGACAACCGCACAGTAACTCGGCGGCGGGCCAGAAGGTTCCAGTCCAGCTTCATTCACTCGAGCATGCTGCCCGGCAACCAAGGCCATGAGCCAGGTCCTCCTGTTCCAAACCGAGTGCGTTCGCCAGCCAAGCCAAAAAAAAAAAAAATTCACTATAAATTGAACGCTCTGAACAGGGTGACGCGTCCTGTTGTTTTCACTCCTTCATCGCGCACATACTTCGTTGCATCTGCACGCACAAAACCTTCAAGCTCAAAGATCATCAACCCATAACCGCAGCAATGGCCCCCTCTCTCGAGACCCTGCTCGTCGCGGCTCTGCTCAAGATCACGGCAAACCTTGACTCTGCCCAGGATGTCCTCGCCCTCGCCCGCGTCAGCAAGACCATGTACGAGCGTGTCACCACTCGATCCCAGCAGATCCTCGAGCCCTTCATCACCCCCAAGGTCTTCTGCTTGAACCTCGGCGTGCTCCTCCGCACTGCGTACGCGGCCACCGTCTTCCGGGACTGCCTCTCTCAGCTCGCCGACTTTGAGATCCCGGCTCCCGTCACCATCAACAACTTCTCGGTCCTTGCCTGCGCTGCCCACCTCGCCGACAACACCATGCGCTACGTCAACGTCAATGGCATGAGAGCCGTGTACTTCCAGGCCCTCTGCCCCTTCAACCTCATCGTCACCCACGTCACCGCCTCCTACTCCGTCTGGTTGAACAAGGCCATCTGTATGCAGCGCTGCGCCCTCGTCCGCTACGCGGCCCTCATCTGGCTGTCGAAGCAGGAGCCCCTCAGGGGCTCCGAGGAGCACTACGCGTGGAGGGACTTCCTCCTCGACTTCTACCCGGAGGACGCGGTCAACAACGAGCTCTGCTGCGAGCACTGGTGCTCCCTCGTGCAGGACCTGTATTTGCCCGAGGGTCAGTGGAAACGGCTCCAGACTAGAGCGACGACCCCCCGGCTTTGATACCCCCCGCCGGTCGTCCCCCCATGACGACCCAGCGGCACACCAGCTCACGCAACAGATATTGCCAGGCTCCGAAAAGCTCATGAAGTCGTTCGACTGGGACCCGGCCGACTTCGAGCTCGTTTTACCGCCCCATTTTTTTCAGTAGGGGATTGCGGCCACGGGCCGCACAAACAACAGGAAGAAGGGGATACCGGACGGGATGGGACAGGATGGAGGAGGGGCCGGGGGGATATATGGCCCGGATGAAGGAATTGGGGGAAAGGGGGCTGTTTGTTCGTCTTGTCCTGTGACATCGTGTTCGCCGGCGGCAGATAATACCGACGAGTGTCCTGGATGATTTGGAAGGGGTCCGGCTTCGCTTGTGTGTGGGTGCCATGTGTGCTTCTTGGTGTTTCTCGGTATCACGCCCTGATAGGGCCCTTATCTGCAGCAGAGACGCAGCGCCAGCCACCACATGGCCAGCTGTCCGGTGCAGATTGACACTGACTCGATGAGATCGAGTAATGCCATGCGCGGGCTTGGCGGCGCGCGGGGTGTGGGGGATAGATGGCCGGATGTTTGTGTTTGGGTGATAGATAAGCCCGTGATAGTGGACATCGGTTTTAGCCAGCACCAAGGCAAGGGCAAGGGCAGCCCAGCCAATTCCATTCCAGGAGGGTCTGACGGATCTGATCTGGGGCCAAGCTTCGCCGGTGCGATGGACAGCCGAGGATCCCTTATCGAGCGAGACGCCCCCGGCTCGTCCCTGCGGACCCACGCCAATCAAGGCCGGTACCGCCGGCGACGCCGCTCGCACACCACCCTTTTCTCCTTCTGGCTGCTGCATGACGTTTGGTGCCTCGCTCGACACTCGCTCGACTGGCCAAGGCAACGCGACGGTCTAGATGTGGGTAGTCGTTCCAACGGCCACTGTGCTCGTGCCGAAAGCTTGTGCCTGTCTTTCCGCGGGGCGGGTGGGAGGCGAAGCAGCCAGCATGAGGAGCATGGATCGCGCGACGAGCCGCTGGCGAGAGACGCGCCCGCCGCCGCTTGCGCCGCCACCAACAGCTCACCCGCGATAAGACATGCTGCAACGCAGGGCTGGAGGACGTGAGACGCGAACGGACGTACATACATATAACGCTGGGCCCGTCCGTCGATCCTCGAGAGCGGGGGAGACGGGGTGCAATTGCAACGCTTGAGACTTTTTGTCGACGACCTTTCTTCTTTCTTGCTCACGACGCCGCGGGCAAACCGACGACCACTGATTCCTTCGTCGTCTTGTCTTTATTACACGCCACCCCGTAGCACAAGAAAGAGGTCGCTGCCGTCGTGCAACAAGCCGCAGTCGCCACGCCCATCATGGCGGCCAAGTCTCGCTTCCGGTACTGGGCCGACCGGCTGGCCGTCGAGTCGGAGCCGGGGCTGACGGCGAGCCAGCTGATGGTGCGTTTGCCGTTCCTTTGTTTGAGTGTGTTTGCCTGATTGGAGTCGCTGGGCCATCGACACGATCGCTCGATGCTTCAGTCCCTTTTTTTTTTAATTCTCTTCACGGCCACTACCGCGATCACATTGACACCACGCATAAAGCACAGCTCATCGCTAACATGGACATCTCCATCAGCTCACAAACCACGACCTCAAGCCCGTCGAGCGCGCCCGCCGCCAATGGGGCGCCTGGAACTTTGTCGGCTTCTGGATCGCCGACTCGTTCAACATCAACACGTGGATGATCTCGTCGTCCATGATCGTCGCCGGCCTGTCGTGGTGGCAGGCCTGGCTGTGCGTCTGGCTCGGCTACGCCATCGCCGCCTTCTTCATCGTCCTGACGGGCCGCATCGGCGCCGTGTACCACATTGGCTTTCCCGTCGTCGGCCGCGCCTCGTTTGGCATCTGGGGCAGCCTGTGGCCTGTCTTTAACCGCGCCGCCATGGGTGCGTATTTCTTCCTTCACTTGACTTCCCCCGTATAGCGACTGTCAGAATGAGAAACTGACCTAAATGGTGTAACGATATAGCCTGCGTCTGGTACGGCGTCCAGGCCTACATCGGCGGCCAGTGCGTCTACCTCATGATCCGCGCCATCTGGAAGTCTGGCTGGGACCGCACCACCATGCCCGGCCCTTTCGACCCGGCTGCCTCCAGCACCCCCGACTACGTCTCCTTCTTCATCTTCTGGCTCGTCTCCCTGCCCGCCATCTGGTTCCCCGTCCACAAGATCCGCCACCTCTTCACAGTCAAGGCCTACTTTGTGCCGCCCGCCGGCATCGCCTTCCTCATCTGGGCCATCGTCCGCGCCGGCAGCATCGGCGCCATCGTCCGCCAGCCTAACACGGTCCACGGCAGCGCTTTGGGCTGGGAGCTCGTTCGCGGCGTCATGTCCTCCATTGCCAACTTTGCTACCCTTATCGTCAACGACCCAGATTTCTCGCGCTTCGCCCGCCGGCCCCGCGATGCCTTCTGGTCCCAAATGATTACCATCCCCGTTGGCTTCGCCCTTACTTCGCTCATCGGCATCCTCGTTTCCTCGTCATCGGCCGTCATCTACGGCGCCCCCGTGTGGGATCCTCTCAAGCTGCTCGACCGCTTCATCGACGATGGCGGCTCCGGTCAGCGCTTCGGCGTCTTCATCATCGCCCTCGCCTTTGCCCTCGCCCAGCTCGGCACGAACATTGCCGCCAACTCCGTCTCTGCCGGTACCGACATGACGGCCCTGCTGCCCCGCTGGATCAACATCCGCCGCGGCGGTTACATCTGCGCCGCCGTCGGTCTCGCCATGTGCCCCTACAAGCTACTCACAAGCGCCAACAGCTTCACTACCTACCTGTCCGCCTACAGCGTCTTCCTCAGCTCCATCGCCGGCGTCATGATTTCCGACTACTACTTTGTGCGCCGCGGCTTTCTCGACATCCGGGAGCTATACGACGCCCGCCGCACGGGGCCCTACTTTTACACCTTTGGCGTCCACTGGCGCGCGTACGCCGCTTACCTCGCCGGCATCCTCGTCAACGTGGTGGGCTTCGCCGGTGCCGTCGGCACCAAGGTGCCCATCGGCGCCACCTACCTCTACAACCTCAACTTCTTTGCCGGCTTCGGCGTCTCGTCGGCGCTGTACTGGGGACTGTGCCGCCTATTCCCCGTGCCGGCCACGAGCGACAAGTGGATGGAGGTCGGCGATGAGATTGACGACGTGCACGTGGCCTACGACCGGGACAGCGACCAGTACGACGAGGAGAGAGTGGCCGGGGAGGGCAAGGGCGGCTCATTCTCGCCACGGGTAGAATAACGAATGGTTTGCGCGTTTTTGTAGATATGGAGTTCTCACTGGCAGGCCTTGATCTTATTCTTTTGACTTTTGAATCTGCAAAAGTGCAAATGTTTAGCTGCATTGGTCGCCGACAATTCGGTGCCAGTCACGTATGTGCCACCTGTGTTTGCTGTAGAGACCTGGCTTGCCTTGACGCTAAAAGAGATTTTGGTTACGCTACCTCAACTAAAGTAAATGGCTTATTGTGCCGCTACATACTGCTGTCGTTGTTGTCGTTATTATGTACTGCTCACGGAATTGAGCAGCATCGGGGACTGGCTGATTGAGAGGTTGCGCAGGTGAAGCAACTAACCATTGGCACATTTGCAAAGGTAGACCCATCGTTCATGGGACCGCTTTCTTCTCTAAGCAGAAGATTCTTTAGTGTGGTTCTACACTGTATGCACAAGGCGCAAAAGAGCTCCTATGACACCCGAAAGATCTTTGTCCACAGGAGGTCGGCGGTCGTGCAACTGTGTCAACGAGGCTGGGAGCAAGAAACGCCTCGAGGGTTAACGGTAGCGAAGCTGACCTGACACAGTGATGAACCCCAATTCATTGAAAGGACAAAGGCAGAAAAAGAGACTTGCAAAGACAAAAAATCCCCGTGGCTTTGCGCAATTCCAGTCGCGACGATGCCTCGGCACATCCAGTCGCCATCGCCGCCAAACGTGTCAATCTGAGCATAACACGTCCAAGACGAGAGCTACCAGGATCGTGCTTACCAAATATGAACGACCAGTGCCCTTCTGGAAACTGGAATGGGGGAAAGGGGGGAAAACCGTGGAATTGATGTTGTCACGGTCAGTTCACGATATCCTCAACAACATCGCGTCCCAGAGGCGCAAAAAGGACCCGGGGGCAAAAGTAAAGCGCTTGCCTACTGCCAGAGTCGAACTGACGACCTTGTCATTACTAGTGACACGCTCTACCGCTGAGCCAAGGAGGCGGATTGTTGAAGAGTTGTGGCGTATTCAGAACTACAAGGCCTTAAGCTGGAGCTGTGGGGCGGGAGTGGTGGATCATGGATTCAATTGGACAAATGTAAGGTTCCGGCTCAGGACCGTGCCATCCTCGCCCAATTCGATCCAAGGGCATGGGCTTGAACGGTTGCGTTGGTTGGGGGAGGGGGGGCAGGGGGGGGAAGCGGGCTGCAAAAAAGAGGGACCACGACAGCCCCTCCGCATTCTACCCAGAACCCATCAACTACCGCGAATATTCCCTATCTAAATAAAGACATCAAGCCAGTCAGTAGAGCTTCGCGGCTATCTACATATTTTTTTAATTTCTCACAACGACGGTAAGTTGCGGCTGGAGTGAGGTTGAGAGATTCGCCGACCCTCTTTTTTTGCAGCCCACTTTGGGTGGCTGGGGGTTGTGGCCACTGCAAACAAGGCTTCAAGTTCACGGAGGCGCCCACAACAAACAGCCTTGAATTTGAGGCAGCAAGTCGATTCTTCGGTTGAGATGAGCAATCGATATATTACAACCAAAGGAAAGCCAGCAGCCTGCCCTGATAAGCCTCTGTCCATTGTCCGTCTCTAACTCCTCGCTGTAAATCTGTTTGTGCGCAGCGGTCAATGCTTCATGCGCCCCATGTGTACTCATCTGCCAATGCACAATGTCTACCTACGTCCTTGCATGGACGATCCCTGCTACTTCCTGGCTGCGTCTAGGGGAGACATGGCTACGACAGCCGTCTTCTCGCTGTCGGCCTCTAGGGTTCCCATGATCTCAGCGTCAGAGTCGACGGCCGTCGCGTCCGAGCTCTGCGTGTTGCGCCGGGGTAGTCCAGGGCGCTCTTCGACCTTTTGCTCCTTTTCCTTTTCCTGTTCCTTCTCGTCGACCGTCAGAGCACATCCCGCCTTGCCGAGCTTGATGCAACTGCAGGAAATTAGGGCCAGGACTGCAAGGCCGGCGCCAATCAGGAATACTCCCTTGTACTGCGCCTTGACTTCCATACCCGCGGCTTCAAACTGGCCCTTGGCCACGTCCGCGATGGCCAGCACGAGTGCCCCACCGACGAATACTGTGATGGTTATGACTGCACCAGCCATGCCCTGGCGGTGACGGGGCAAGCTCGTGGTCAGAAACACGTTGCTCACTGTCCAGAGCACATCCACACAGGCCGCCTCGCAGACCATGGCAGGAAATACCCATGCCCAGTAATTCGGATTTTCTGGAATCAGGGCAAAGAGAAGCACAGCAACGACCTTGCAAATGCCAGAGAAAATGAGCAGTACGCGACCAGGGAAGACGTGGAGGATGAGTCCGGCAAACGTCGACAGAATAACTCCGCTGGCTGCCCACGGCGCAAACCAAACGGCGGTGACCAATGCCGACTTCCCCAGGATGGTCTCGATGCTGTTGTACGTCAGCAACAATGTCTCACTCTAGAAGAGTGGTGACCTACTAGAAATTGGAGTAAAACAGGTATACCGAAAATACGCCCCACGAGAGGAGCAGGCAGAAGAGCATCCGTTTCATGTACTTGACGCGGAATATGTCGGCAGGAATGAGTGGCGCCGTTGCGACCCATCCCTCCACGTAAACAGTGGCCGCGAGGAAGACGAGCCCCAGGACGAGAGTCGAGACAATCTCCGGGGAAGACCAGCCGCGGCGCGCATGGCTGCTCTCGGTGATGGAGTAGATGGTCAGCATCAGGCCGGGGATCATGGTGCACGTCCCCCACCAGTCCATCTTGACCTTCATCTTGCGGGCCTCGGTGTAGTCGCGCGGCGATGTCAACAGCGCCGCAGCGCAGCAGAGCCCGGTGACGATGCCGCCGATCCAGAAGTACCAGCGCCACTGCAGCAGATCTTGCGCTAGACCGCCGATGATGATGCCCGAAAAGAACCCTAACGGCGCGGTGGCGCCGTAGAGGGCAAACACGAGGTTTTTCCTGGGGCCGGGCCGGTAGATGGTGCCGAGCAGGGAGATGCCTGCTGGGAGGAATGCGGCCGCTCCCAGCCCCTCCATGGCACGACACAGGACCAGTGTGGTGAAATTTTGGGCAAATCCTGCGGCGATGACCCAGATCGAAAACCAGATCAGCCCGCTGTTGAAGACGACGTATCCCCCGTACATGTCGGTAACGCGACCCAGCGGAAAGAGGAATGAGCCGGCCACCAGGGTCAACACGCTCGACGGCCACGTCTGAGACGACGGGGGAATGCCGAAGGGTTCAACGAGCGCGGGCAAAACGACTTGGAAGCCGCCGATAACAAATTCCTGTAAAAGTAGATGTCAGCGACGGTGTTCGCAAGATCGTGGTCGGAAGGGCAGGCACAAGCAAGGGTATCGCGGCCAGAACGTTGAACAGAACGTGGAAGAGGTCCTCACCGCCATGGACAGAGACACTAGCATCGCCGTGACAAAGGCTATCTCAAGCCATGTTGACGAAAAGGTCGCTGGTCGCTCTCGGCCGAGCTTCTCGATGTCGATTCTCCGTTGCTCGAGCTCGTCTGAGCCCTCTCGCAGAGTGGTGATGGACTCGTTGGAAGACATTTCGGCGTGGCCCTCCTCAACCAGCTGCAGCGGCGTCCACCAGAGACAGTTTATATCGGCTGGGCTTGTCGTCTCGCCGCGTTGACATGTAGTTCCCCCTTTTCCAGCTCAGGGGAGACGAGTTCAAGGCCGTCGCCTGACGCCATGGTGACGGCGGTCCATTCCTCGTCAGTTCCCATGTTCTCAAACTTGTCGGGAGACCACATGGTGTAGAGACAAAATTTCCCCACGAGCCAGCGCTGCCTGCGTCATGAAGACGTTGGAGATGAGCGAGAAGCTCCTCACCACCATTTCTTGGCTCAGGGTCGCGATTCTATTGCAGCTATGGACTGCTATGCTGCGGACTGACTAAGTACCGTTCATATTCCCGATACTCTATTCACATAAGGCGCGACAATTACTCTCTGGTCTGTCCTGCGTCCTCCAGCATGGCTGGCTTGGCGACCGCACATGTTGGATCCCTTGAATAGCTCAAAGGTCAATTCCAGCATAGAGCATGAGGCGACAAAGGGAGGATGAGGACACGAGACCTGATGGACCCTATCAACGCGTTGCGATGTGTCATGGGGTCATTCCAGACATCTTTGGATTTGCCGCTGCCTAGCTGCCGAGTCGCAGAATGGCAACCACGCGGGGATGAGTACGGGACGGCCTCGAAGGATGGCAGAGCGGGTGGCGTACACGACTGCCGACCGGTCCATGATTCCATGGAGCTTCTCCGGTAAGTCTGGTCCGGAGGCCGGCTCGGGGGCCAGGGTGTGCTCGCGCAACGAACCGGTTTACTTGCCGCGACTCGGGCATGCAAGCATCCGGGAACCGATTTGTGGCCCAGCATCGCCAGTCTGCTTCAGAGCCCGCGGATCCTTTCCTTGGGCGCCGAAGTGGGCGCTGGGAGATTGCCCCTTTAGGCGCCTAGGCTCCCTCTGGGTGGCCGGCGAGCGATGGCGGCGCGGCGACAAGCTTCAGCGTCTTTGCGGGCTAGTGCTGCAGGTCCCGGCGCACATCGGCTGCAAGATGTGTTGTCTGGTTTCCCCTTTGGGCGGGCTTGGAGGACGGATGGTTGCGCGGGCTTGGGTGGACGGATGCTGCGGGCGTCGCCGAGTGGCCCATAACGCCCATGGGCACGCTACCAGTGGCCCGGCCGAGCAGGGAGGGATGGAGGAACGTGGCGGACGGAGGCTTCGCCGGCTATCTGTCGCCCTGCTGTGCTCGCTCGGGCCATCCAAAGGCGAAGACGCTGCTGCTCACATGGCTCCCGCCACTCGAGCGCGGCGCTCCAACCAGAGCCAACTGTCGGATCTGACATCTCAGGCAATCGGACCCCGCCATGCCATCCACATCATCAGACCTCGAGTCGTCTCGTCACCGACACGTCGCGTCGGACTCCATCCTCTTCGCTGCAGCGGCTCCAGGAAACGACAAGACCGTGGCCATGCCCGCCGAGTCGTGACGGCGCGTCCTTTGCTGCGCTGCCTTTCTCGACGAACCCTTCGTCTCGCGCCATCTCGTTTTGACACCTCGTCAGCGTCATCGGCCGCCCCATCTCGTTGAAGCTAGCAGCGCTGCGCTCTCAGACACACGCCACTACGCACAAACGTCGACGTCCCTCAAGCGAATCGCGCGCTTCGGGCGTCTCGTCGATTGCAGAATAAGCAGAGGCGTTCGGCCGCTGCTGCCCCGCGGGTCAGGTCTCACCGCGGCAGAGACACGGGCAAACGAGCCCTCCGGGAGGGTGACGTCTCAGATCGCCAGGAGCAGAGCTGCGTATGCCACAAACCAGCCGGCCCTGTCACAACTGCCGCCGCCGCCGCCTGCGCTGCGATCGCTCATGGCCGACGTGCCACAAATGCGCGGTCTCGGGGCAGGAATGCCTCGGGTACGGCAAGGTCTTCATCTGGACGCAGGCGCTTGACGCGCAGGGAAACAATGTGCGGCCGCCGCCCCCGCCAGCCGCGGCGGCTTCAGCAGGGTCCCTGTCGGCGACTGTCAGCCCCTCCCGGTACCACCAAGAGCGGATGGTGCGGGAGCGCCAACGGCAGCAACAGCAGCAGCAGCAGGAACAGGAACATCAACCGCGGCGGCCCGATGATGGCGCCGTCCCCGACGCCGGGCACCAGGCGCAAAGCTGGTGCGAGCCCATAAGTGGGCATGGGACCAGGGACACCTCCGTTGACGGTCGAGACCCGGGAGGGGCGGTCGATGGAGAAGCGAAAAGAGCTGTTGGTGGCGAAGCTGACGACGTGGGATGTGGTGGAGGCACAGCAGCAGGCGAGCCCAGCGACATGCCGCTGCAGGACGAGGAGGGTCACGGGTTCAGGCACGGGCGCACCTTCCACCAGCACAAGCACGAGCAGCAGCACCACCACCACCAACAACAACAAGAACGCCAACACCAACAGTTGCAGCTTCAACTCCAGCCTCGTCGGGTCCACCCGCCGCTCCTCCTCGACCAGCAGCAGTATCAGCACTGCCATCAGCAGGAGCAGCAGCAGCAGCAGCAGCAGAGACACGAGCAGCAGCGTCACTACACCGTTCCGATCGGCTTTCTGAACCAGCAGCCCCAGCTCCCACGCAATCCTGGCAGCGCCGGTGCCGTCTCAGACGCCGCCAGCTGGTATCCCTCGCCTTCGTCAGCGGGTGTCACGCCCGGTGACGCCGCCTCTGGCCGCGACTATTTCGCCCCGCGCGGCAGGGTCTCCCTCAACACCTTGACGGACCCCGTGTTCCAAGACCTAGACCGGACCTCGAGATACTATCTAGCCCACTGTGAGCTGCCTCGTGTTCTCCTATCCCCCGCATGTCTGCATGAGCCTCTCCCGGCCCGTCACGCTGGTGCCGTCGCAGCTAACCGCAGCCAGTCGCCGACCATGTCTGCAAAGACCTCGTCGCCCGCGATGGTCCAGGAAACAACCCGTTCCGGGAGCTCATCCCGCTGACGACGAGGCATCCGCTTCTCCTCCACATACTGGTGGCCACGTCGGCCATCCACTGGTCTAACCTCTTTCGTCCCATCACCACAATACCCACGGGCTTGACGGACCCGGGGGGCTACCTGGCCCAGCTGCGGGCCAAAGATCTGGTGTCTCGTGCTGCCCTTATCGACGCCCTGACCGCCAAGCAGACAGCCATGCTCCACCTGCGCCAAGTCCTCGACACGCTGGATCCCGCAGGTAGCGAGGTGGCCCTGGCGGCAATGCACTTTTTCATTCGTTTTGATCTGATAGACCTGGAGAGAAACGGCGACAAGGGCTGGCTCACGCATCTCGACGGCGCCAGGAGCATTCTGGCCCTGTTGTCACCCGCGGCCGCGGCCGCGAGCTCGTCGAGCAGGATGCTCCGGGACTGCGTCATTGCCGACTGTTTCATGTAAGTGAGACGAATGAGAGTGAACGGGATACGACTGCGGCGACTAATACGCTCGTTAGATATCACGCACTAGGGTCGACGCTGGCTTCCGGCGCCCTTGCGGCGCGCATCGCCCGGTATGCAGTCGAGGTGCTGCCTGTTCTGGAGCGTGTCGAAACCAACAGCTATCTATCATGTCCTGCCGCCGTTCTGCAGGTCATTCTGAGGGCGTCGGAGTTCTCGTACGAGAGCGAATCGTTTGGCACCACGCTGACGTTGGGGGCTGCCGAAGAGGCGCTCGAGCTCATCCGCAATCTGCGAGCGTTTGATATGGATGCCTGGGCCGCAAAGCTCCGCACTGACGTGTTGAGCCGGGCTCACGTCGCGTCTGCTCACCGCGGGGCAGCGTGCCTGTACGTGCTCCAGGCACTACCTCTGGCGCGAGCTGCGAGCCCTGTGGACCCCGATTCACTCGTGGACGAGATCCTCATGCACCTGAGCCAGCTCGACGAAGGGGATCCCTACTTCAAGGCGACATCGTGGCCGACATTTATTGCGGGGGCCGAAACGCGTGACCCCGACAAGAGAATGTGGACTCTCAAGCGACTCCTGTCGATTTGGAAGATTTGCTCCTGGGGGTACATCTTTACGGCTATTGAGATGCTCAAGACGACGTGGGACATGCAAGATCGGCACGACGCGGCCGTGGGCGGGAATGGCGCCCTGCGAGGCAGCGTCAATTGGCTCAAAGATCTCAAGGCCATGGGATTCGACTACCTGATCGTGTGACGGTGGTTATCCCGCGCATTTGTGCGCATACTAATTCTGTCAACTGTCCCGCTCATCTCGTCACGGCATTGTAATAGCGTTGCGCATTTTCGGGAGTACTAGCAAGAGCAGGGCGTTTCTGAGAGGTTGATTCAGCGTATGGAAGGGCGGGCATTGGCGTCAGCATGGTGTTCAAAACGTGTGATGGGAAATTAAGGAGTCCATTTGCCTTGAGCACGAGTGTACTCTGGCTACCGCGGAGAAGAAGACAGCCTTTTGTTTCTTTGCCAACATGTCCCTGCAAAGGGTCTGTTGGTGCCATTCCTTTGACGCGCTGGACTGTGCCGTTCAAGGGGTTGGTGCGTCCTCGACTGCGATGAAGATTTAGTGAGAGATTGTAGGCTGGTCATTTGAATGCTGACAACCGAGATGAATTGTTCTAATTGAAGATTATAAAGCACACTGTTGTCTCTAACGCAATTGTCGCTCCGTCAAGCAATGCGAATCGCAAATGGCAAGGATGGCTTATTAGACAAGGCGATGCGACTTCTTGACAGTTTCCGTAAACGCCATGCACCAGGTTGGTCGCGCTTCCCGATGGGCCCCCGAGATCACATCGTCCCACTTCCTCACGCCGTAGCCGCTGCCGCGCCTGACGACCTTCTCCGTGCCTTCTCGTACGTGGCGACGCACGTCGTCAGGACCATGAGGTCAAAGTCCGGGCCCCAGTGGGTGTTGACCTGCAGCACGCCGCACGCGCTGTGCCCGCGCTCGCTCGTGAAGACGGCGAGGACCTCGCCCGTCTCCACGTCGACGAGCTTGAAGTTGCGCGGGGCGAGGGAAGAGATGCGCATGCCGTCGGCAGCGACGGAGCTGGTGCGCTTCCACACGAGGTTCTTCCTCCTCGCGCCGCGGTTCAACTCCGGCGCGAGAGTCACGGCCCAGCGGTGCTCCGTACCGGCGAAGCCCTCCCTCATCATGTCCTCCCAGCGCATGGCGTTGGGGTGCGAGACGGGATCGCCGAGGCCGATCTTGAAGGGGCCGGAGAGCTTGGGCATGTGGGCGACAGCGACCACAGGGGAGGCAGTGTTGGGCCCGGCGTGCACGGTCAGGTCGGGCTGGCTGCGCGAGAAGGAGCAGGATACGTCGATGTAGAAGAGGTGCTCCTGGCCGTCTCTGGACACGACATCGTAGTGCTGCCCGAAGGTGGGCCGGGTGATGGTGAACTGCCGTCTGGGGATGGGGCCGGTGGCGAATGGGGCAGCCATAGTGCCGGGTCGGGTCTATGTATTCGAAATGGATTCGTACCAAGAGAATTGAGTTGTTCGAAGACAGGTTTGCGGCATGAGAGTCGAATTGTCGTCGTCGACCGTGCCGTGGCGGCGACGCTGATACGTGTTATACCAGGCGCTTTCAATAAGCTCGTACTACACGGGCGTCGTGATGGCGCCGCCCTGCTCGGACTTGCCCCATCTCGAACGCCCACCCACAGGAGTTAGCGCCATGCATGCCATTTGAAAGACCAGCAGCCCGCAAAGCGATCTGGAGATCTCTGCCGGGTTTTGCGTGACGTCATGTAAGATGGATCGGCAGCGTGCGTGAGATGATGTTCTTGACGTGCCGGTTTCCGGTGCGAAGGATGGATTCTAGTTCGACGACAATGTACAGTAGGGCGTCGGAGCCATGGATTGAGGAAGACGCGCCCAAGGCAATATGTCCGACTTCGTACAGCAAACCAGTGAGGACCAAAGGTAAGATTCGTTGCTGCCTGCCCGATGCTGAGATGCTACACGGCGCACTATAGGGTCCGGTCCATGTCTTCAATTGTCTTTGTATTGTTGGGAGGCTGTGGCTTGAGCTAGGAGCCAGCCTCTCGACGGGGATGGATGCATATACAATTGATGCGTGAGAGGCCCGGTGACGCCTTACGACTTGGGCCTCGTCCTCGCCCTTGCCCCTTGTTCGCCGCTAGAATGGTCTTATTACTGGCGTGGAGTTGTTCGTTAATCATCTGTACCATCAGGTAATGGGATGGGAAAGGTTGCACACCACGATTCAGTGCGCTTGGCCGAAGCATTTCCACAACACCAAAAACCCCCAGGCTCCATTCCAGTCATCCACGTACTGTCCGCAGGTGATTTAAAAGGCGAAGTGCATCGCTTTGACGCAAAAGCAATCCGGAGGACGACGGACATTCAGCACGGGCTCACGACCGAATGCAGAAATCCCCGTACTCATTGCCGTGCGCATGGCGCATTCTTTTCTTTGTCGTCGTCGTTTCACCGACCGGCCGGTCGGCTGGGAGCAGCGGCGCATCACCGCCACTACAGCTCGGTACCGAGTTTCAGAAAAAAAATCGCCAGCAAAATCGCTGAAACAGGACTGCCCGCTGAAACGACCAGCAAAAGTCGAGAAGGGCAGTGGGCTGTGCTCTCTGAGTGTTTCGCCGGGGCGTGCCTCGCCCGTCTGTCCGTCCACGTTAGAAGCGACATGCGCCGCGAAAGAAACCGTCCCTACAATTGCCATGTAGAGGTGCCTGACCTGGCCGACCGCCCCATCAGTACATGAATCGCCAGCATGAAAGTCGGCGCCGCATGAGAATGACATGTGACGAACTTGTGGCTCCAAGGGCTGGCAGCTTGGCGCGGGGGGACTGGAGTCTTCGGTGTAAGTCATCGTCAGCACCGTGGCCCTCAGCATCAACGTCTACTCCGCACAAAAAGGCCGTACGAAATACTCCACGATAAATTTAGTCCTGCACCACACCCAGCGCCTTTACCACTAGCCGGCAATTTTTCTTGTCGCTGCTGCTGCCCTTGCCCCGATGCCCGTCTACCACTCGCTCAGTGACCCTGGGGGACGCAGAGGGGAGGCCTCGCTCTGGTAGACTTGTAAAGGGCCATGTTTCAAGCTAGTCGTAGCCAGAACCGGTCACCGTTTTGCGCCCCCTCCCACAATCCCGGGCCTCTCATCATCGTCTACGCAGGGCTTAGCGCTTCTTCGCGCTGCCCGTCGCCGCGCAAATCCGCAGATCCAAAACGCCTTGTGCCGGAAACACAAACGAAGCGCCGGAGCCCGTCCGCAGTGTGATTTGGTGCCGTTGAAGATCACCGCTCATCACCCACCCGTCACGGCCGAAACGACACTCACTCCCCCCTTTCGAAACCCAAAACTCGTGAGGCGCTTCAAGAAACGGCGTAAAAATAGCAACTTGGGGATACTAACCGGCTTGCGCTAGGCCATGCAGGTATTGGCCGACGGGGAATGATGCGTACGAGTATGCTTCTACAGGAGGCTGAAAGGGCATGGTGCGCACGGCTGGGTCTTTTCTCACGGACCTCCCCTTCGACGCCACCATCGCTCGGAGTCGGAAGGGGCCGAGCTAGTGTCGTCGGCTCGGCTGCGTCCATAGCCCACTGCCCGCCGCCGGCTGCTGGCTGTCGTCGCGCTCACTACTATCGCCCACTCGGAGATCTGGGGTACGTCAGCGGCCAAGAACGCGTGCTTGACTCGCTTTGCAGAGCGTTCAGCATAAACTTGCCAGGTCTAGCATGCAGGCTCCTCTCAACGGTTCATCGTCTGACAAGCATACATGTCAACCGTCGTCATGCTCTGGCACTCGCTGTACGTCCAGAAAGGCCCGTCGAATCTGTCTCTGGAGACTGAACAGTCGTCGCTCCCCTCACCTTGCAGTCTCGACTCCCGCCGGCATCAACACGGGCGACCCATCCTCGCTCAGTCAAATCATCACCTCATTCCCCGTTTCAACTATCGCCCTCTCGTAACGCTCGCCGCTCCTTGCCCACAGCCCCATAATCTACCTGTCCGTCTGCCCCCCAAAACAGTCATGCCGCTGTCACCATCTCTGACATGAACCGGACCCCTGGGACCCTCCCTGTCCCCCAAACCCCCACGCATGCATCCCGGCATCACCACCCGTCCGCCTGCCGCTACCGTTCAGCTTCTTCTGTCCTGCGATGCGCGCACCGCCGAAAGCTGAAGATGCTACCACTACTGACTACCGCCCGTGCTCTACCGTCCTGCGGCCCACAGCTCTCCCCCCGATACCCGGGCAAGGCAGTGCCACCGACCGCGCAGTTCGGCTGTGGCTCGTTCCGCACGGCGTAGTGAACCGTCGGAGACCCGTTGATCCCCGTAGAACATTCCGCACATCGTGTCACCCTTCCCTTCCCCTTTCCCCTCTCCCCCTTGTTCGTTTGGCACATCGCAACCTAATCCCTTTTCTGGTTGCGCATCCCGCGATCCTCGATCGTTCGGGTTTCAGGCCGAGCATCCCACTGTTTTGCAACTGCGCTCGGCGCTGCCCTGTCGACAACGCTCGCGCGTGGCTCGACCCAATCGTCGCGCCTGCGTCGAACCCTCAACCAGTAGTTATGGACGTAAGGGCTGATGTGAGGGGAGCCGCTGCTCGTGGACGCTTCTCTGCGCCCTCGAACCGGGTCTGAGGTCTGAACGTCACGGCACGATGCAATGCGGCGGCTCCGTGTCAGGCCAAAGCGTTGCCCCGTTCGGCCGGGACGGCACACGTATTCCGGAGAGACGACGGAAACTCCAAGAGTCCACAGCATCTCGGTGGTCTATATAATCGCGAGTCATCCGCTCGCTACCATGGGCTCCCTCATCCTCAAGCTCCTCGCCTCCATCCTCAGCTCCCTGCCCCCGAGTGCATTACTCCCCTCCCCTTTGTACTTCTCTTCTGTCGGTCTGTGACCTTTTCCGTGCAACGCCCTGGAGGCTCTGTCTTTTACAAATACACCGTTACTTCAAGTTCTCTCTCTCTCGTTGCGGTATTAGCAGCTTCATAATCACTCAAAATGCGTTACGCTTTCGTCTACTCGGCCCTCGTCGCCTGCGTCTCGGCGCACGGCGTCGTCACCTCCATCACGGGTGCCAACGGCGTCGTGATGCCCGGACTGAGCAGTACGTCTCCCTTGATGCCTGAAACCTACCTCATCCCGCAAGCAGCCCACTTCTATAGAAGAGCGCCGTGCTAATAGCGCTGAAACAGTCGCCGACGGCACTCCCCGTGACTGCTCCAGCAACGGGTGCGGCTCCCAGGCCGACACCTCCATCATCCGCGACCGCGAGATCGCCAGCGGACGGGCCAGCCCCCTCGGCCGCACCCAGGGCAACGGCCCCGTCGACGCCGCCAAGATGATCAACGCCTTCATGGGTGGCGCCGGCGCGCCGACCAACAACGGCCCCGCGTCGTCCGTCGGCCAGGAGGATGACCTCTCCGGCCTCAAGGGCCTCCAGCAACGGAGCAGCGGAGAGAGCAAGCGCCAGCTCGGCGGGCTCTTGGGCGGCCTGCTCGGCGGCGGTGCTGGTGGCAACGGCGGCAACGGCGCCAAGGGCAACGGCGGTAACGGCGGCGGCGCGGCCGGTGGGCTCGGTGGTCTCCTTGGTGGGCTCGGCGGCGGCGGTGGCGGCAACGCTGGCACCAAGTCGAACAAGCCTGTCGAGAACATGGTTGCTGCCACGGCCGGCAAGGGCCAGGCTCAGGGTCTGCCGACCTGCAGTGACAACGGCGAGGTGACCATCACCTACCGTCAGGTATGGATGCCGCACTACCCCGAGAAATCCTTCTGTCTCGCGCCCGATATACTGACATGACACGTCTTAGATCAACCAGGACGGTGCTGGTCCCCTGACGGCCAAGATCGATCCCTCCTCCGGCGGCACTGACGCCAGCGCCTTCCAGACGGCCCAGATCACGCAAAACGTTCCGGGCATCGTCGCCGGCCTCTCCACGGCCACCAACACCGACTTCCCAGTCACGGTCAAGATGCCTCAAGGCATGACCTGCACGGGCACGGTGGGCAACGCCACCAATGTCTGTGTCGGCATGGTCAGGAACAGCACGCCCGCCGGGCCCTTTGGCGGCTCCTTTGCCTTTGTCCAGCCCGAGAAGGCTCGCGCGCGGGCCATTGCCTACCGCCTCAGGAAGCGATTTGAGATTGCCCGCCCGGACGCCGAGGCCGAGTTCCGCGCTGCCGAGGCCGCCGAGCTTGAGGAGGAGGGTGACGACGAGGAGTAGGTGCCGTGCCGTGCCAAGGAAGAGCTGGCCGTTGGGTTCGAGAGGGAGAAAGGAGGAAGCACTCCGGTCGCTCGACTGGATGCTGCATGGATGGAGGCGAGTCGGCCAGGGAAGGCTCGTCCTCGATAGGCAGGGAACTCTGTGTGCACTTACGGTTGCGGCTCGCTGTAAATTGTCTTCTTCGTCTAGATTCTGGCCGAGTTATATAAGTATACTTGAGGCTTTAGACTCGCTGCGTGCCGCTCAAGTGATGGGGGTAGAGTGTGGTGGCGTGGCAAGTGGGAGGTGTGGGAGAAGAGGCACGGACAGGTAAAGTCATCGACTGGAGAGCGCATCGGGGGACCAGTAGTTCCCTTATGCGACTCCGCGAAAGCACGAGAATGGATGGAGAGACGGAAATGGTCTTTTTTCTACCTGCTTGTCATGCCAAACAGAACGAAAAGACGTGCGACGCCGCGCACCAAACGCTCACTTGTACGGCTCTCGAGCCGGGAAGACGCGAAATCAGCCGGTTCACGCACACTTCGTGAACATCTAAACAGAAATGCAAACGCCTGTTCCATGCTTGTTCGTGACGGTCGTGAGGCCTGTGGGGATAGTGCACGTAATGACACGAGTGCAAATAGCAAATGAGCAGCGGGGGTATGTTGGGCACCGAAGCCACATCCCAACCGCTGAGATAGTACAAACGTGAGTGGAAAACTTCCGGGTTGTCGGGACCAACCCGGCCATCGCGAGTAATCAAGAAAGCTCGGAGAAGGGGCAACACCCGCTGCGTTGCACAAACGAGGCGAGCGTCGCCTGGGGCCCTACCAGCGGCGGCTGCGAATGTTAGAAACTCTCTTCCGACTCGGGACCGCGACAGGATAGTACCTATAAGCCGAGTTGGCATTGGCCTGACGACGCTTGGCCTTGACAGGTTTCCGGTCTGAACGTTGGCGTGGCGGGCTGTCCGCTACGTGCTTCTGCCTCACCGGCCGTCCTAGCAGCTCGGCCTCTAAAGAGTTCAAGTCCGAGGACTTGCTGGACGCGGAGGAATGCTTTGACACCTGTGATGCCTGCGAACCTCGGCGTTTCCGGTCGGCCTGCCTGGGGACATCGAGCCCATCCCAGAGCGTGCCATTCAAAGTGCCGCTTTCGCTGGTCTTATCGCTCCTCGGTGCTGGGCTGTCCGGTCTTCGCTTCTTGTGGTGTTGTCGCTCCTCTGCATCGCTGCTACGGGAGCGCTTGTTGTGCACACCCGGTTCAGCGGAAGTTGATCTTTGTCGCTGGTTCGTCGTTGCGCGTTCATGAGATGAGGTGCTGACCCCCGCATCATCGTTGGCAATCTCACCTTCCTCCTGCTCGGTACTAATCGTCTTGGTCTCCGCAGCCTCATCCTCAACGTTGCGCCCTGGCGCAGCATCCCCAGCTACGGGCGCCTCCACAACGGGGACACGGTCCACACCTTCAGTAATACGCATCGGCTGGGGCCTATCGGCTTCTCGTCCATGAGGCACCTCGGTAACAGGGGCCGCTTGATCACCGAGTGATTCGGCTTGGATTGCTTCGTCTGGCCGGTGTTTGCTCGCTCCGGCAACTCTCTCGGGTCGACTGCTACCTTTCTCGGGCGACGTAGGCGCATGGCTTGGCCCTCCAGACTGACTGCTCTTGCGGGGTTGCTGAGGATGGTGTTTGGGATTGTTGTGGTTTGGGCGTCCTGGCGGTGACCCCTGAGAAGATGAGTATCGCCGGCCCGCTGAAGACGGGGATGCGTGGGTATCGTATTGAGGGTTGTGACCGGCGTGCTTATTTCCCACTTTCTGGTCCTTGTGGCGCCTGTCTTGGTGCTCCTGCCTGTCATGCTTGCGCTTGTTGCGGTGATCGCGTTGAAACTTGATCTGGTCCTGACTCGGCGGTGGCTTTGGAGGAAGCGGATGGCTTATCCGAGTACTCGGCGGTTTAGGCGGCGTCTGGGCTGAGCTTGCTGGCGGCGCCGAGCGAGGATGAGGCGGCGGAGGCCTGGGAGGGTGATGCGAAGCAGAGTGTGCAAACGGCGGCGGCGGCGGCGGCGGCTGATGCGCTTGGCCGTAGTAAGGCGGCGGCGATCTGTGATCGTGGCCAGCGGGCGCGCCGGGGTAAGGAGCAGGCGGAGGAGGGCCCGGCATCGGGCGCGCGTAACCCGGAGGACTGTATTGCGGTGGAGCTCCATACGGGGCCGGAGGGGCGTACGGCTGGCTGGACGGGTACGAGTAGGGCGGCTGCGTGTAGCCGGGGGGGTACGACGGAGGCGGAGCGCCGTACTGGGAGTAATGCGGCGTGGGCGGCGGTCCAGGGTACGCGTTGGGATGTTGCTGGTGTCCCGGGAGAGGGGGAGGCGGCGGTGGTTGGTACTGGCCGATGGGAGGGCCATATGATGGAGGTTGCGGCGGAGGCGGAGGCGCATACTTTGTGATGATGGGTCCCTTGGACTTTTTGGACGAATTGCCGTGATGTTTCGGCCCGCTCTGGCTGGGAGGAGGTGCATTCTTCCAGGCCGCCAAACCACTTCATTAAGTCAGCTGCTGCTCGACGGCATTAGGCTTAGCTTGAGGGTCATCGCGAGACTTACGCTGGCGTTGCTCGGGTAGGCTCAGGACACGCAACCGCCCAGTGCCCCGCAGCGCCGCAGTTGTAGCATTGCGGCTCACGAGGCCGGTTGTCGTAGGCGGAAAAGTAGTCTGCCATGGCGGCGGCTCGCGATGGCGATCCGGCTCAAGGATGGATGAGTGAGTCGAGCGCAAGACAGGTGCTTCGAGAACGCCCACGCAGAACGAGGCGCGATCGCGCCAGAGACCGCCGCCTCTCAGGTCACGTCAGGCTCTCGACGATGTGGACGAAGTAGCAGGGCGCGATGTTGGGCGGTGCAAGTCGGGCAGCGCGCCAGCTCAGCCGTCGTCCAAGGGTCGGGTTGGGGTGAGCGTACGGACGGACAACTGGCGATTCGGCAGGCCCTCCCATACCCTGTGATGCCGCGCCAGAGACCTTCACATCAGGCAGGCCAACCGAAGCGTCAGGATCGCTTGCCTGGCGGCAGGGTGCGCGACATGTGTTGCGACAAACGCCCAGCGTCGTTGGAGCAGGCGAGCCGAGTTACAAGCGCGAGAGGTGGTGACAGTCGGGTCACGCTTGTTTGGTGAGTTGGATGGAGCTTGAGCTGGAACACTGGGGTAACACGTGAGACAGCGCACGGGCCAGCGCCCTGACTGGTTCGCCTAAGGCACTAACTGACACGCCCTGTCGTCCGGTGTGGGCGCTGGCCCGTGAATTAGCCGCGCCCAGCGTGTCTCGAGCAATCGTTAGCGGATGAATTGTCTCGAGCTGTCATCCCCGCTCTGTTGACTGTTTCCATCACGTTGCCGGTGAACATCCCGACTGCCAGCTGTTCACGTACGTACTCCAACAGCCCGCCAGGTCTGCGTCGAACACCGACCGTCATTGCCAAGTCGCTCGAACTCAAATGCCGCAGAATGTGGGCATGGAGTCCATCTATTCCACGCCGCCAAGCCCCATTGCCGCCAAGCTGTCGGCGCTTTGACGCAGTCTCTCCCTTCGCCAGACGTCGATTCCGAGGCTGATTGCCTTGTATTGTTTGCGCTTTGAACTCATGTAAGAATGACGGATTAGCTTCCTGGCTAAGAATTGGTGGCCAATATTCGGAGGGCTTCTTGTTCCGTTGTTTGTATCTCGGCTAGACTTGATCACCGAACAAGACACTTCTCAGCTTGGTGCAGTAGGCTAGAAGGGTTTGTTTGTCTTTGCATCACATCCACAAGCCGTCGGAGGCTGAGCAATTGACTCTCGTATGTACATACCAGGACCTCGCACAAACCACCGACCATCCTTCACACAACATGAGAGACTGGGGTTGAAAACCCCTCCGTGGGCACGAACCCAGTCTTCTTCACGATGATACTCCACTTGTCTGGATTGAACGCTTCGCCTCCCAGCAAGTACTTCTGCATCATCACAAGCCTGAGGCATGTTGCGCGTATGGCTTGTAATCCTGCCGAAACGTTCGAATACGAATCGAGTCTCTTTTCGACTGAGTCCTAGCGCGCAGATGCTTGGTCAGTGACTCGCACGCGAGGGTTCCGTGCATAGGGTAATAAAGCAAAGAGAAGTGGCTCACCGCATTGCAAAGCACTATAGTCGTGTCGCTGTCATAGTACACGACGCTGCAGACACGAGGGCCGGGCGCCAAAACGGGCCCAGGTCCAGCGACGTTGTTCCAGTGGTTCAGGGCTCGTAACAAGGCCGCGTGCTTTGGCTGCCCGTATTTCCACTCCTTGCATTCCACTTTGGCGCCCATGAAGTTGGCGCTGCGCTCGTCGTGCGTTGGCGACTCCGACGTTGTGTTTCGGGCAAAATCGGTCTCCCATTCGGGGTTGGCGGCAAGCAGCTGGTCGTGCACCTCCTGCACCGTTCCTCTGAGCGTCAGCTTGGGGCCACCAGGGAACGCCTGGGCATCCCATGCCAGGGGCGCCCAGGTGACTCCGTCGAGGGACTCGGCGACGCCCTTGTTATTGCGAGCCCACTCGTGAGGGCTGGGGCCAGCAAGGGCGGCCGTCGCCGCAAGGCAGGATAGGATGATGAACCGCATCAGAAGTGGTTGGCGCCGTTACGCCTAGTTGGAGGATCAAGGGCTATAGAACGAGGTGGCGCTGCGAGGACAATGGTGTAGTATATATTGACTGGTCTGTTCTGCAAGGCATGACCATCCTCCGGCAGTCGATCTGGGGGAGGTGTTCATATTCAAGGATTTGCGCGAGATTCCTCTGGAGAGATTCGTAACAGTATCTTGCTTTAGTTCCGGGGGTGGGTTTTCTCGTGCCTGATAATGAACGCTCGGATCAGCAAGTGGTGTTTTGCCGCGCCAATGGCGGTCTTGTCGCCAATAGGAAAGTGCAGGTTTGACATGAAACAACGCTGGCCAAGATCTTAGGCCCGCTACCTAGTCACAAGCAATGGGGAGCAAAGCGGGTGGCTGGGTAGTCTCGTGAGATGTGGCACTGTCACTATGGAAGAGACTGGACTGGCTGCGCAGCTGTCACCAGTTGAGCGGCGGCGGGCCCACGCCGACGGTTTCCGCATCCTAGAGCTCATGGACATGTACGAGTAGGATTGTGTAAAGGTGTTGAATGAGGCATGCACTGCGTAAAGACTTTGTAGGAGGTCTTGCAGAGCCCAGCTTTGTTCTTGAGACGTTGAGGGTTTGAAAAGCGGTTGCTTGGGGGGCTGCAGTAGCACCGGCAGACGCATCGCATCATCCACATGCAGCGTCGTGAGCCACCAACAACAGACCTGGCTGCTTGGCCGGCAACCTGGGTAGGGCGATCGGCGCGCATTCGTGCAAGTCGGCAGCATGCAGCCTCAGGATTACCGCTGCGCACCGCCGCATTGTACATCGGAGTTTCGTCCTGTACCTGGACAGCATCTTGCTGAGCCGTACTTTGGCGAAACTCCAATCGGAGCGTTCAACCCAAGAAACGCAAAGAAGTCAAGTTCACAGGGCCGTGGACGGTCACGTGGACGCCCCGCTGCCCTGCACCCCATTCGGCGAGCACGCCGCTCGAAAACGAAACAGGCCAGTCCCCCCCCCAAGGCGGGAGGCGCTACGGGTAGGAAGCAGTGATAGGGCACCTAGCCTTGGTAATCCCGCCGGCCCAGCCGCCAAACTTGCAACCCGGAACTCCCAAGCAGCGAGCGCCCACTGCAGCGACACGATCCCCTTCGCTTCTACAATGATCGCCTAGCTCTTCTTCGCGGCTCGCTGCCTATGCCAAGCTGCACGCCTCCAGCTCCCGATCATGTTGGTACAGGCCGTCATCTGCTGCAGCGCTCTCCTCCCCCACCGCCCGTTGCCATAGGTAGCTCGGAGCAGACGCCTCTCGGCCGGCCTTGATGAAGCAGCCCCGATATATCGGACCGCTCGCGACCGAAGCACCAGCCTGACGTTGACGGCGAACCCCTTCCGGCTCCTCGTCGTCGAGTCGACACATTCGGCGCCACGATGCCCAGCTTACCTTGTGAGCGCGGCGTAGCTCCCTTCGTTCCCAAGGACCAAGCTAACTCTGGTGCACCCCAGCTTCCGTCGACCTCGACGAGTGCATCTCGCGGCTCTACAAGAAGGAACTCCTCGCGGAGTCGGTCATCGAGGCGATATGCGCCAAGACCAAGGAGCTGCTCATGCGAGAGAGCAACGTGGTGCATGTCAAAGCACCCGTCACCGTCGTCGGCGATATTCACGGCCAGTTCTTCGACCTGATTGAGATTTTCAGGATAGGGGGGTACTGCCCGGATACAAACTACCTCTTCTTGGGTACGTGCTTTCAATCGCCGTGTGGACCTTCAGATGGTGGCGACGCGATGGACCAGGCGCTGACAACGTGAGACGGATAGGCGATTACGTCGACCGCGGCATGTTTAGCGTCGAGACCATCTCCCTCCTTGTGTGTTTGAAGCTACGATACCCCGAACGCGTGCATTTGATCCGCGGAAACCACGAGTCCCGCGGCGTGACCCAGTCGTACGGGTTCTACACAGAGTGCTCCCGCAAGTACGGCAACGCCAACGTCTGGCACTATTTTACCGACATGTTTGACTTTCTCACGCTAAGCGTCGTCATCGACAACCAAATATTCTGCGTTCACGGCGGTGCGTCTCTTGTTGGACCCAAATCCCAGAGCGTCTGCTGACTTTTCGCAGGGCTATCCCCGTCAATACACTCTATCGACCAGATTAAAATTATCGATCGGTTCCGAGAGATTCCCCACGAGGGCCCCATGGCTGATCTCGTCTGGTCCGACCCCGACCCCGAGCGAGACGAGTTTTCATTATCGCCGCGAGGGGCGGGATACACGTTTGGCGCCCAGGTAGTCAAGAAGTTCCTGGCTGTCAACAACATGTCACACATCCTGCGCGCCCACCAGCTCTGCCAGGAGGGCTTCCAGGTGCTCTACGACGACCGGCTGAGCACGGTCTGGAGCGCGCCTAATTACTGCTACCGGTGTGGCAACATGGCCAGCGTCCTCGAGGTCAGCGACGGCGGAGAGCGCTTCTTCAACGTCTTCGCCGCCGCACCGGAAAACGACCTGCATAAGGACCAGCAGCCCGGGAACGAGAAGGCGGCAGACGGAAACGCCTTGCCCGACTACTTCCTATAGTGCTAGGGGTGCCAGGATCATGTATAAACCAGCTGTGGCCTTCACGAAATAGAGCGATGCGCAGCCTGCCATGACGATGTAAATATGTTTTCTTTTCGGTTTTGCAAGTGTCTGCAGATGACCAGGCGAAATCCCACGCCGACTTTTCCGCGCGCTCTTCAAGATCTGGTATACTCGTGTTCTCGTGACGCTCAACGACAGCAACAGCAACAACATCAATGCATGCAAGTGGCGCCGTCCCGATGCCGGCCCTTCATCGCCTACCATTCCTTGGCGATGTCGAAGCTCCACTCGAACTCGAGGTGCTTCTTCTTGTCGTCGTCAACGAAGCTGGAGATGGCGTTGTAGTGGCCGCGGGCGAGCATGCCGGATGGCGCCTCCTCCTCCTGGACTGGCAGGTTGTCAGCTAGGCGAAGCGTGGAGAGGTCGGGAGCGCTCTTACACTTTTTGATGTAGGTGGTCTGCTTGTCCGTGTTGGGAGCATAGCTTCCCTGCGAGCTGTCAGCAGCAGGTACTTAGAGAGAGACGCGAGGCATCACCGACAATCATCTCCGAGTCCTTGGACACCTTGATGCCCTTGCGCTTGACCACCTGGACATAATGGAGGCCGCTGAGGATCTCGTGCTGCACCTTGAACTTTGCGCTCATCGTGAACTTGGAGCCTTCCTTGATCTTGAAGGGCTTGTCCTTCATGGTGGCTTCGCTGCCAGGCCGGGAGAGGTCGATGGTGACGGGATCGCGGCCGGGTGAGTCCATGGTGAGGCTGAGGATGATGCACACGCGGGGATCGTTGGGGTCGGAAATGTCCTTGCCGCCGCCGAGGCCGAGGGACTCTTTGTATCGCTGGAGGGACTCATCGCCGGCATCTGGTATGCGTTGTTGTCAGTAGCTGCTGGCCATGGCGTGGCAGTTGCGAATATCAGATGCTGGCCGCGGGGCAGGCCTGGAGTGGGGAACAGGGACGGCCCCCCCTCACGGGAGCGCAGATGAGGGCGGCAGTGGTGAGCCGTCGAAGCTAATGTCGGAATTGCAAGACAAATGTCGGGCTGTGTCTCGAGGGAATGCACCCACCCATCTGCTGGTACTCGGCCAAGCTCTGCTTGGGCTGGGAGAGCTTGTAGCCCTGCGTCTCCTCGGGCATGGTGTCGTCGTCGTGGGAAGCCATGGTGGGTAGGCGGGGGAAGCTCGAGACGGGGCAGTATGTTCAAGCACAGCCGTGTAATGTAGTCGACTTTGGGTAGACGAGCGGCGAGATGCGGGGGAGATGAGGAGGAGGAGGAGCAGGAGGAGCAGGAGGAGAAAGATACAGAGGACGGAGAATCGGTCAAGAGCAAGGGCCGTTGGAGGGGGAGGAGACAGGCGGCGATTGTCACGGTGACGATGGAGGGGCTTGCAGGGCACCTCAGGGCCGCCGCCGCCGCCGCCGCAGTGGTGGGGGCGGAGACACGGGCATGATTGGACGGGGCAGGCAGCTCAGGGGTAGGATACGGGGGAGGCAAAAAGCTGCCCAGGTGGTGTCGCGGCGGCGGCGGCAGTGTCAGGTCTCTGTCGCCTCTGCAAGTTGGCTGCTGCTCTGCCGCATGTCTCGCCGTGTCTGGCGGCCCTCCGTCTTCCCCCGCTTGTATAAGTCAACTTGTGTACGTGGGTGCCGCGGTCCGGTTTCTTGAGACGGCGGAGGGCGGTGTTGACGGGGCTGGACACCGTTGGATTCTGGACGCGGAGGCGGCGGTGGACGAGGCCTCGACACGACGTGGAGCGGCGCGGTGTGGGCCTCCGTGCGCAACTGGCTGACGGCCGCTGTGCGTGCCTGCTGCCAGTCGACGCGTCTCACGATGGACCTCCCGAGGCGGTGCCTGGACCTGGCTGTGTGTAGGTGCCTGAGGCCTCACTCGCGCTGATATTATGGGCCTACCCTGCACCCGGTGTCGGAATATGTTGGCGGCGTGACGGGAACATTGTGAAGGGTTTTGCTGGTAGCAGTGACGTTTCATGGGTTGCAGTGTATAGTTCTGCGGTGCGCAATGTCGATGCTGCATCAAAGATGTCGAGTTGCCTCCATGCAGTGGCCGAGTGCTCTAAATCAGTCACTCAGCAGTCGTTCAGCTTCCGGAGAGCCTACTGTCGCAGTGGAGACGGACCACCGGCTCAAGCAATTGCCGCCAAACGCTTGTGCCAACAACACCTGCGCGGCGTCAATTGGATGGGCGATGTCCTGGCCTACACAATGCACGTCGCACAGTCGCAGCCAGCATGCGCGACAGCAGCAACCTCCGCTCCAGATTCCGTTGGATAGGTCCAAGAAAGTTGCCTGGCAGCCTCCGTAATGCACGTGAGCTGGCCTGGCACGTCCCCGAAATGCCACATCGCGCTATCCAGGCCAGCTGGCGGCCCGAAGCGGACACGCCGTGTCGAGTTGCCCGACGCTTGCCATGCGCTGTGCTTGTCAATGGGGTGATGATAGTGCGGTACACCATGGGCAACGCTTGCTTTGCGGCACACCTGGGTACTGCGCTACGGAGAACCCTTCCCAGCCATTTCCTTTTCCAACGACCCCGGCTCCCAAGGGTCGTGTCGGCCCTCCCCCCCAGCTGCCTCATTGAGCTGGGTAGGTGTGCCTGAGTCGAGTGGCCCAGGGTCCAAAGGACCGGCAGAAGTCCTTCGAGAGACCCTGGCATCTGGCGAGGAGGCATGTCACCCTGCGCCATTTTTTGCGCATCCTGATACCTCCACCATGGTCTCGTGGGTGTCGTTGCCTTACCCAGACGCGCACAGGGCCCTGGGCGCCCCCCGTTTACCCTAACTGCGTGGCCACTCCGGAGGCGGCCACTGTGGATTGGCGTCCAGAGCATCACGGATGCGCCCCGGGAGCGCCCAGGCAGCGCTGGGATGGAGCGAACTGTTGGCGCCTGCTGGCCGCTTGCACCCGCCGTACCCACCCCCCTGGCCACCGCTCCCGTCCACGGGAGGGCAGCTTGGCGCCTTCCGGGTCTGAGAGAGAGCTGGAGCGAGAGCCCACCCGGCCGGCCTCACCTCATGCCCCCATCCACATCCCATCCATCGAATCCCGGCGTGTCCAGTCCGAAAGAGGCCAGCACCAGACGCTCCCCCAATTTGCGCGGCGCCCCCCCGTCCGTCCATCCACCACCACCACCGCCCGCCTCTCCCCCCCAGCATCCATCGCGAATCTCTTTCCCGTCCTTCCCTCTCCCACACCCACATCTGCGCAGCAGCAGCACCACCACACGTTCACGTCGCAGCTGGTCCACGGCAGGCGTCGCTCTCCTTTGCTGGCCCAACCGCTGCATTCGCTGCCGTCGTCGCGTCTCTGCGAAACGGCCCCAGTACTTTTCTGCCGTCCTGTCTGGTAGGTGAATTGGCGCCTCGCCCGATTCGGTCTACGTCGCCAGTCGCCTCATCCGCGACCCCCGGTCCCTGCATCGTATGCGCCCTCGTCCTCTTTTCTCGCGCATTCGCTCCCCCAGCGCGCTCGTCCTCTCCGCAAAGCAGGCTGACGCATTGTCGCAGGTTTGCTTCATTGATACCTCGCGCGCCGGGTGTCGATTTGGTCGTCGCTGCCGTGCTAGCCGCCGCTGCAGTCGCTCTCTGTTCCCGCCGGACTCGACGCGACTCGAACGCCCGCACGCGCAACCCGCAGGCCACGTCGCATCGACGGCCGCAAACCACCGCCATGGCACCCCCAAGCACCAGAAGTCTGCCCTCGCGGACCAACCCTCTCATGGTTGAGGACATTCCCGAGTGTAGGTTGCCGACACTTTTACGCGGTCGCGTTGGTTCGCGTGTGCGCGCGCGCTAACCTCCACCCCCAGACCACGAACTCGTCTCGCGACGACGCCTTGGCCAGACCAAGCTGACCCCGAAGATGGTCGGCGGCGACGAGGCCGAGTCAGGCACCCTCGGTGCCTTTGAGTACGCCCACCTCCGAGCCCCCCTGCCCAAGGGCATCGTGTCGGGCATCTTCAAGTCGAGCCCGACCAGCTACTTTTTGATGCGCCGGAGCTTTGACGGCTACGTCTCTGCCACCGGAATGTTTAAAGCCACCTTTCCCTACGCCGAGGCCGCCGAGGAGGAGGCCGAGCGCAAGTACATCAAGTCGCTGCCGACCACGAGCCCCGAGGAGACGGCCGGCAACATCTGGATCCCCCCGGAGCAGGCCCTCGCTCTCGCCGAGGAGTACAACATTGACGTCTGGATCCGCGCCCTGCTCGACACCGCCAAGATCCCAGTGTCGACCGCGTCGGACTCGCCGCCCAAGAACGTCAGCGCACCCCCCAAGTTTGACGTCGCCAAGGCCCAGAAGCAGCAGCTGGCGCCGCCCACGCCCTCGTCCATCCCGCGCAGCTCGCGCGCGCGCCGATCCGCCAGCCCGACCAAGAGCACGAAGCGCGCCCCGGCCTCGCCTCGCAAGCGCAGCGCCAAGGCTAAGCTCGAATCTGCCGAGGTCAATGGCGATGTCGCCAAGAAGGGCAAGCAGGAAGACATTGTCTTGAAGACGTCGGCCTTTGAGCCCGCCGTTGTGTTGGAGCCCCGAGAAGAGGACCCCAAGGTCAAAGTCCACGTGGACGAGGAGGTCTCGACGGACGTCAACGGCGTGGAGACTAAGCACACCGTGACCGAGGTCGACATTCCCCTGCCCACGGCAGGCGAGCCGCCGAATGCGGAAGAAATCGCCAAGATGATGGAGGCGGCCAAGGAGATGGTCAAGAAGGACAGGGAAACCACCAGTGCTGAAGCCGAGGAGAAAAAGAACGACAAGAAGACCAAGCCTGAGTCGGCCAAGAAGAGCAAGCGGAAGGCGGTCGACATTTCCGTCTCGGAGAAGAGCCCGGGCAAGAAGGCGGGCGACGCCGAGACCAAGGAGGACGCGCCGCGGGCAAAGAAGGCCAAGACGGCCGTGGAGGTGCAAAAGGACAGGGTCAAGAACAGGGCGCTCTTTGGCATCGGAGCCACCGTCGCGGTCGGGTGAGTCGAGTCCGAAGCGCAACGACTTGCGCGCAACTGCTAACGTAATCCAGTGCCCTGGTCCCATGGCTCGTCAATTTTCTGTGAGACGAGCCGGCGACTGGCCCGACGGAACGGACCAGATGTCGACGCCTGCCGCCTTTGTGCATATCATTTCTTGGTGTCAGTAATTACCGCGCACGGAGAGGAGAATACCCCCTTAGCCTCGAGCTCTCCCGCCCAGCCGGGCGTTGGATATAATGGCCGTCCTGCTTGGCTCGGCTCGGCCGTCGGCCAACCTGGCTGCGATGAGCTCGAGGCGCAAACTATTTTGTCTGCCTGCTCTACACCCTTTTTTATTATAAGACTGATATTCCCCCCACATTCGCTTTTTTCCCCATTCCGCCCTTTCCCAGCCGCTCATTTCGGGAGGGGAGGAACGGCCGCTCTGGCGGCGAGCGACGAAAAACAGTGTTGTGAGATATAGGCGTACGCGGGACGGGGCTGCTGCTGTGGATAGCTTCACATGAATTGGTAGTGGTGGATGGCGTTTGCGCGTCGACGGCGGGGCCATGCGGGCGCAGTATTGTTTGTACTGAATACAAGACGTACAGTGCCCCCTGGCTGCATCTTGTCTTTGCAAGAATTGAGACGAAGAGTCTGTGACGCGATTGAAGCCCTTCTATGCGCCGTCGTGAAGTCGTGGGAGGGAATCGTAGCAGAGTGGACGGGGTACTGTGTGCATGAGCCACAAAACTAGTCAATATGACTGTGTGGTAGCACCTCTCACATGAGGCGCTGCTTCGTAGATACGTTGCAACCTGGGCTCGGCAAGTCACAAATTGAATGACAAGCGCCTTGACTGTCACAAACTACAAGGCAAAACGAAACTGATGTGGTTGCCATGCATTGCTGTAGTGCAGCAGTTGGAACGCCTAAAGTTCGTGGGCGACGAGAGCTTGTCGGTCGCTGGTGGACTGCGCAGCTGCCTACTATGTTTCATCTGAGATGGTAACTGCTGATACGTATTGCCAGGCGAAGCCGATGCTGTTGGTGCCGACGAATTGTCAGCGCCGGGATTGACGCTCGTGTAGCTTCTCCTGCTTGCTGTTCCATTGCCATTGCCATTGCCATTGCCATTGCCATTGCCATTGCCATTGCCATTGCCATTGCCATTGCCATTGCATGGCGCTCTGGCCATGGGCTTGTTGCGGAGCGACAAACTCTTGATAGTCCCCGTTGCGGGTTTAAGTGAGTTGTCTCCCGTGCCTCCTGTCAAGTACGTCATTGCATCGCCACAGCCCACGTGCCATCGATGCAAGAAGGAAGGGGATGGCACCGCGAGTTGACTGTGGTTTGAACGTCGTGGGCAATGAGCACAAATATAGACTCTTGCAAACGGAACATGCAACTCTCTCACTACCATCGCGCGACGGGTCGTTCAAGTCACTTCTGTCGAAGTAGGTTGGTTAGGGTGTTGGGTGTCGGGTGTTGGTGCGGAACAGGCTGCTGGAATCGTTCAGTTTCTCGAGTACGATCACTCCCACCTCTCACCTCAATTGAAAAATGACGTTGGCGAGCAACTTGCTTCGCAAGTTGCGAGCAAGGCCGCATCACAAGAAAATGCAGCTGTTCCGTGCGTGTTCGGAGCTGGCGACCGCAAGTTCGATGCCAAGCACTCCAACATGACATCTTTCGTCTTTCCAGTGGTCCAGAACGCCAAAAGACAAAAAATAATGCGCTTGCTCCCTACGGGGGTCGGGCCTGCGACCGCAACGCGTGCCCGCATATCCCAACAAACGACCAAAACACACCGTCTTTCGTCTTTCCAGTAGTCCAGAACGCCAAAAGACAAAAAATAATGCGCTTGCTCCCTACAGGGGTCGAACCTGTGACCTTGAGATGACCAAGGAATATTAGTCCCACGCTCTAACCAACTGAGCTAAGGAAGCTTTCAAGCTTGGAGCTGTTGTTGGAGGTGTGTGAGATATTGGGCACTATGGAGTATTGGTGGGTCCGCGCCGTTGGAATTACATAAGCATCCGCCCACCCGCTCCCGCTGCGCCTGGATTGGTCCCCGCTATAAAAACCAAACCTTAATTGAAGTCAGGGCCTCAACCCACTGATGACTGGATGAATGAGCGACACAGCGCGTGTGTGCTTAGAAGCCAGCCGCGGCACACAGCGCTTCCAGCTTCGAAGCATCCGCGGCCCTAGTATCATTCGACACGCTGTCATGCGTGCCTTTCTTCGATGCAGTACATCCCGGTGGCAGAGAGTACCCGCGTACCGTGGCCGGCATAGGGACGCAGGGACGCTCCCGCCTACGTGCAGAGACATTACAGAATTCGAGGCGCAACGCGAAAGTGTGCTGCGTTGACAAGTGTCCTGGCATTTGGGAAGCGCTTTGCTTGACTCGAGCAAGGAGTACGTAGGTCGTCTGTGACGATGGGGGCTGCGCCAGTGGTGCTTCGCACCCCTGGCGCCCATGACATCTGTGCTCCTCTTTCCCTACCTTCGGCAACTTGTAACAAGGGCCGCTGGTCTTGGCCAGAACCATCGGCGTCAATTCACCCCGGTCGGCCGCCAGCTTGCGCGATTTGCTCCGCCAGCCACGCAGGACATCAAAATAAGCTTGATTCAGGCTATCCCGTTACTGGACGTTGAGCCCGTGGAGCACGCGCACCACCGGCCACACCATAAGAAGATGGCCGTGCTCGTGTGCACCCGCGAGCGGGGACATCGTGAAAACCGAGCTTGACTGGCGCTGCTGCAACTCGCACTCAACGCCATTAAAGATGTTACTGGCTGTGTATTTCGCGGCGCTGCTCTGCGCCGTGCTCGGCCGTGCCCAGGAGATCGACCCGTTGTCGAATCTGCGCCCCAACAATGTGACGGGCCTCATCTACTATCTCTACCGATGGACAGGCTCGTACGCAAGCCCGCTCGCCCCGAGCGCGAAGTGAACATGCGCTAATCTGTGCCTTAGGTACTACAATGGGACGACGACGCTGCGCATCGACCCGCAGGATATGATGGACGACACCGAATGCGACACCTTTGCCAAGGGGCCAGTTGAGATCTCGTTTGAGAACTCGCTCCTCGCAATCGTCAAGTCGAACCGCTACGTCCCCGACCAGAATGAGGTCACCTTTTCGCTCAGCTTCTGGGACAAGAGCCTTAACATTACGCCCGCGAGAAACAATGACGACGGCCCCATCAACGACATTCAGACCATTTCGTCTGTATTCTCGCAAGTTACCTCCCTTTCGCAGATATCTGATTGCGGCGCTGACTGATTGCCATAGTCTGAACCGCTACACCAAGCCGTCTGAGACGCTACCTCCTCCATGGCGACTCAACACGTCGCACATCGGCGGCACGTCGTACTCATTCAGCGGGTACCGCAACTACACGCAGCAGCAGATTGTCGGCTTCAATTACAGCACGTGCAAGTCGTCGGCGCTCGATGAATACGCAGGCGCGCTGCTCAACCCGTCCAAGCGCAAGAGCCACCTCGACACGCTCAACGTGACGGCACTGCCCTTTGTGAGCGGGCGCTTCGACAACAATTCCGCGAGCATCGACATCCGCGCCGTCATCAAGAGCGGCAACAAGGGCGAGGACCACAAGGAGGGGAGCTTCCTCGGCGGGCCCATCACGATCAGTTTTCTGGGGAAGATTGATGCAGATAGGTCCGATTTGCTTCTATCGAGCTCCAACGATACGCCTGTGTGGAACTCGACGCTGGGGTATCAGAGAGACTTGATGGGGAGTACCAATGCGGGCTGGAGCGTCCGCGTTGGCGGGTGGACAGTGGGCGCCGTGGCTATCGCGGCGCTAGCTTGGCTGTTGTAGATGGGCCGAGACGAGGTATGCGATACAACGATGCATTGACGATTACGAAACCTAGCATGAATAGATCAAGCGGCTCATAGCCAAAGCTGTTGTATGCAGTGGCACTTTCCTTGATGTGGTGTGGAATGGACTCCGGACCAGTCTTGACCTTAACGACTGGCCGCCATTGATCCGCGCTGACACTGTAGAGCAGTCGCCGAAACTGGTTGTCATTCTCGGTGGCAGTCGATTTATATAGAGTAGTGCCGTTCGCACAGACGGAAAATTCCAGTCGCACATATGTTTCCTCACCTATTTGGGGCCACGCCAGCCATTTTTGGTGTGCAGTCATGGGACGGCAGCGGTGAGCCACCTGTTGCTATCGTTGCTGTCGTTGCTGTCGTTGCTGTCGTTGCTGTCGTTGCTGTCGTTGCTGTCGTTGCTGTCGTTGCTGTCGTTGCTGTCGTTGCT